ACAACGACGGCAAGTGGCGGCCTGTCGGTGGGACTGTGAAGTCGAGTATCGATCTCCCTTTATCGTTCCCGGAGCTTGCTTCATTTGAATTAAGCATCGTTGTCCTAGAGCTAGATTTAGATCACGAGCAGGTGAGCATGAAAAGGGTCCAAAGAGAGGTAGCGCGCGGTTGGTTTGTTGGCACGGAATCAGCCACACGTTCACGCGTTAGATATGAAACTCTTGGCGTCACTTCTAATTGGTGAGGCGATAGCTAATATAATCGACCTCGGGTTCCGGCCGAGGGGGTCTAGAAAAGACTTGGCAGGGACTAGAAAAACAAGCCTATGTAATTTCTAGTTCCCCTCGGGAATTGCTAAGGGCACAACAGCTTTTTACTACGGACACAACAAATTGCTTACATAACAAGAGATATTATGTAATCCCGACACAACCCATCAAAATGAGTTGATTAATCTGATCAATTTTTATATGATTTAGATGCTTCAAATTATATGATTCAATATATTATACTTTACATGAACGGATCGTATGCCCAATTTCGCCGCAATTTGAGCACTTAGAAGGTGCTTTTTTCTTCCCAGTTGTAGCTGTAAAATGCGACCTACTCCCACTCAATTCTCCACTTAATTCGTCTGAATTTCCTATATTTCCAACTATTTTATCAGCTTTCTTTACCTTTGGTAAAGGTAGTCGAGGTTCCAATAGTGGTAGATATTCAGATTGATCCTCCGGTGTCAGATTTTGCTTCCAAAACGGGTGAATAGCAGTTAATGGAATTGGTTGCTTCTTCTCTAAGAACCGTACGATTTGATGTGCATAGGGAAGACCCATCGATCTAGTATATCCATTAGCACAGTTTGATAGTGGGGCAAGGGGTGTAGCCCTCTTAGCAATGTTAACTTGATCTTGAATTAGTCTTATTGAATGATGTGAGGCTCGCTTGTTGATATTTGAATATAAAAAGGATTGGGCGAAAAGTAAGGTTTGTAACTGATCATGTTTAACCTCATATACTAATGCATCAAGTTGCGTACGTATCGCATGCCTAATTCGACCCCAAACTGTTAGAATATCACCTGTTGAAGCTTGAATATACTTCTTTAAAAATGTGTCACGAAGAATTCAGGATCAATGATCCTGAACCGATTCTGCCGTGTTCCACCGCCTTTCGTAGTTCGTGTTTTACATTGTTTGATTGGAGGCCTCAGGCATCACTACCTTAATTGTTTCAGCGTGTTGTTTCTTTCTTCTTCTTTCTTTCTTTCTTTCCCCATGTTTGGTATTCTAGTTGAATGCACTCTTTTTTATCAAGACTTGGCTCGTAACACCTCCTACACCTTCACTTGTTTACAATTTCTTTTTAACACAAGTTTAACGCAACTTTCGCGTATGCTCGATATTTTCATAACTTAAACTATGGCCAGTGTCTGTTTACCCAGGATTGGACTGCAAATTTTGGACTTCGTAAATCAACAAGTTCTTTCCACAACTAACCCTGGTGCAACCTTCGGGTTCAGAAGCAAGAGTGCGGTACTCCTTAGTGCAGGGATGGAGGTCGCGACCGGAGACGGAATGGAAAAACCAATTATCCGTCACACCGCAGCCGCCAAGCCGGCAGTTCGACAGCGCATTCGGGAATATTGGAATAAGAAGTGGAACGTGAGGCCACTTCGGGACACACAAAACGCTTGGTGCAAGTGCCAAACAAGAAGACCCTCCGCCTATACGAGGGATTGTCGAACTCGCAGTGCGCCATCCTGAATGAGATGCGCACGATGAGGATCGGTCCCCGGCATTTCTTGTTTAAGATCGAGGCTGCAGATTCGTATAACTGCAGCTGTGTGGAGGGCTCTTAGACACCGAAGCACAACCTGCTACAATGTCCATTGTACACGGACCTTCGGCGACAATGTTGAATGCGGTCAGACAAGGATGAGGTCCAGGTGGCGACAGATTATGACAAGATCATGCAGCACCACAGGCCACCCACTACGTGACCAAATTCATGCACCAGACAGGTCTCCTGCAGCGACTCCGTTGTGTTGAACTCGATGAAGATGACGAACCGACAGGCCTCGCGGCCATGGACCTGGTTGTGGAAGACAATGGGTATTAGCCAATGACGACAAATGATGCTGTAAATTGAGAAACTCAGCCAGAGTCGCCAACCATGCTAATCAACTGGCCAGCATAACAACACCATCAATTGAAATTGAGTCAGGGAAGGATATAGAGATGGGAAGTGGGGAGCGAGAATATTGAGGGTGCACTCCATGGCATTCACTTGTATTAATTTCATCTGTTTAAGGTTTGGGATCGGATTTGTATGGGTTTATGGGCTGACAGGATACAAGGAAATGGCTGATTTCCGCACTCTTTTTAAATCAGCCACTGTTTCCTCTTTGGGAAATCATGTGATCACGACTCTGGCATTTGGCTACGAGTTGTTGCTTCAGTTGGATGAAGCGCCCGCGTAGCAATATGCAACTCGTTAGACTGCAACAGTTTAATTAATTGATAGATTGATTATTTGGTGCGATATTTCACTTTTACCGCCGTCTTTACGACGAGCTACTATGTTGAAAAGTTAATCCAATCTGCCTTATCTGTAAGATGAAACGTATGTACTCTTTCTGTGTGTATATTCGTTTACAGTCATTCTCGAAATCGGCTTGACCGATACACCCTGAGTAACTCTTCCTGGTCCCGCTGCCAAGGCTTTAGCTCGGTTGATTTGTTGAGCAAGCCGCATAAAAGTGAGGGCGGCAGTTTCTGCCATCTAGATTATGAGGCATTATAGTATAGAGTCCGAAGAGTCCACTGATAAATGTTCACATAGTAGAATGTACATACATATAGCAGAATACAGGTATCTAAAGAACTACTTCCTCTTACCCATCTTATGTTTATTGCGGCTTGCTGATTTGTTTTCCCTAGACCCACCGCCAAGACTAGCTCGGATAAAGTTATTCAGTGTATATTGTCAAGCCGATTTCGAGGACCCCTCGCAGTCAAGCGATGTGCAGAGTCCGCAAAGAAAGCTACACTTTAATATGTAACTGCCTTGTACCACTCCTTTGCTAAGACGATACATGGAAGAGAGGAAGTCACTACATGATGCACCGTGCACTGCTTGATCGATAGTCCATTCTTAGTTGAAGCTTAGCCCGCTGCACGCGAGATGGTGGAATAGATCTAAGAGAAGCCTTTTCCTGTAATTACGTACCAGGAACCAAGGTATAATTCTTTGCAGACTCACCGAAGTTCTTCCTTACAGCAAATGGATATCTGCTGTAAGAGATTCTTTTTGTTCACAAAGATTGAAGCTAGGAAATTACTAGCAAAGATTGCCGCGTTGTAGCTTTTGACATCAATTTGTAGTTCGGTCTAACCATAGGTATGTAACGATCATGTCGGCCGAGGAACCCGCATAACAGTAAATACAGCAGAGATAATGCTTCATTGCAATGTTGGAACTTCTCCTTGCCATGGTATCTTCGATATGGGCTCTATATGTTGAGAACTGGCCCTGGACGAGGATACAAGGTCCCACGCTGCTTTGAGATATTCTACTCACTTGAACAAGCACACCAAAAGAATAGAGAGCGTGAGAATCGTTAAGAGCAACAGAAAAGAAAAGAAAGCAACACAGAACGCATCTGTTCATTCCTCTCGGTCAATTCTCTTCGGTGGACAAAGGCTAACGACGCAATTGTGGGGGTATTAAGGAGCTATAAATAAAGAAACGCCTCCCTTGCTTCATTCTATTGGGAACCTGCAGAAGTGGAGAATCTGAGATTAGGCTGTAGGGGCTGAACTGTGGGTACTAATGCATAAGCAGTGGGAACGTGCGGCCACTTCGGGACCCACAAAACGCTTGGTGCAAGCGCCAAACAAGAAGACCCTCCGCCTATACGAGGGATTGTCGAACCCGCAGTGCGCTATCCTAATTCAAATATGTACAATGAGGATCGGTCCCCGGCATTTCTTGTTTAAGATCGAGGCTGCAGATTCGTATAACTGCAGCTGTGGGGAGGGCTCTTAAACACCGAAGCATATCCTATTACAACGCCCATTGTATGTGGATCTTCGGCGACAATTTTGAATGCGGTTAGAAAAGGATGAGGTCGAGGTGGCGACCGATCATGACAAGATCATGCAGCACCCACAGGCCACCCACTACGTGACCAAATTCATGCACTAGACAGGTCTCCTGCAGCAATTCCATTGTGTTGCACTCGATGAAGATAACGAACCGACAGGCCTCGCGGCCATGGACCTAGTTGTGGAAAACAATGGGTATTAGCCGATGACGACAACTGATGCTGTAAAATGAGAAACTCAGCCAGAGTCGCCAACCATGCTAATCAACTGGCCAGCACAACAACACCATCTATTGAAGCTGATCCAGGGGAGTATATAGAGATGAGAAGAGGGGGAGAGATGGGGAGTGGGGAGTGAGAAGATGTAGGGTGCACTCCATGGCATTCATTTGTATTAATTCCATGTTTTTACAGTTTGGGATGGATTTTGGTTTTACGGACTGGCAGGATACATGGGAAATGGGCTGATTCCCGCCCTATTTTCAAACTCAGCCTCTGTTTCCTCTTTGGGAAATCATGTGCTCACCGTTCTGCCGTTTGGCTACGAGTTTTTGCTTTAGTTAGATGAAGCGCCTGTATAGTCATACGCAACTAGTTAGACTGCAACAGATTGATTGAACTTTGATTGATTGATTGATTGACTGATTGATATGATAGCAGTGCCCACCTGCATATAGCAGTGCAGTGGGCTCACGGACGGCTCACAATGCTAGTTCAAGCACTATACGGCTCGAAAGAGACGTAGTACAGTGGGGAGCTCTGAAGTGGAATATCGTGGTGTGCCCGAAAATATGTGTATTAATCAGGACTAAGCTCCCATGAATTGCCAGATAGGGGCTATATATGACTGTCACTATACAAAGAGTGAACATAAAAATTCACATACAAACAACATTAAAAGTCTGCCTGTTCAGGGACCGGACTCTTGAGCTTGCCGGTTGTGAGTGCCAGACGGATATTCTCAATAGTCCATTCCTCCATCGCGGTGAAAGTCTACAGAAAAGTCAGCTTCCCGAATTCAAACGTGCAACGTCTTCAAATATTACGCAACTCACTTCGATTGTCCAGGTACCCATGTGAGGTACCAAGATCACACTCAAATTGCTATTAAGACCGGGGTGAATCTTGGGTTCCTCTTCAAAGACGTCAAGACCAGCCGAGCACACCTTGCCATTTTCTAGCGCTTCGACAAGTGCGGTCTCATCCATGACAGCACCACGAGCCGTGTTAACGACAACCACACCGTCTTTCATTTTAGCAAATTCTTTCTTGCCAATGATATGGCGTGTGTGCTTCTAGAATGTGTCAGCATCCTCTAATCCTTAATGGACAAGCGCATCAGCGAGAAGCACCTACATTCAACGGCAAATTCAAGCTAAGCACATCACTAGTGGACAAGAGCTCGTCGAAAGTGACATATCGAGCTCCACCGGAAAGCTCCTCATTCAACCGACGACGGTTGTGATAAATAACCTTCATACCAAACGCCTCCGCTTTCTTCTGCAGGTTACGTCCAATGCCACCCATGCCCAAGATTCCCAGCGTCTTTCCTCGGGGATCACGGCCAAGTGGAGGTGCAGGCTGGCCACGCCATTTTCCTTGACGCAAAGCGTGCATACCAGCGTTGAAGTTACGAAGAGCACCGAGAATAAGGAACATGTTCACATCGGCGGTTGCATCGTCCACGGCAGTGGGGACGTTGGAAACGCGGACTGGTGGCCTGCGTGCACTGCATGCATGGACATCAATTTGGTCATAGCCGGCTCCTGTGAAATCATTGAATGTTAGAACTTCGAACTGGTGGCCAATGATACTGAGTTATACCGCAGCTGGCAATATATTGCAGTGAGCTTGGAAGCACGCTCACCAGCTCCTCGTCCATCTGGCCTGTGATTTCAAAGGAGAAGAAGGTACGGTAGGCAGCGACAACGCCTTCAAACTTCCCATCTCGGCATTCTTGGATAAATTCAGCACGATTGGTAGAGGCTGTTTTCACTAGCTCGCCAAGCTCACCCAGCGCATTCCAAGACTGTTGCGCACTATTAATCTTGTCAGTGTTGATTGGGGATCACCAGCTAAATTTGTAACACACTGATTGATGTCTCCAAGAAGCAAGATCTTAGGTCTAGGACCCGCGGGTCCTATATTGATGAAGTGTCTATGGGAAAATCTGCAATGCAAGCTGTCAGCTCCGGGTTGTTGATCCACTGGGCGATGATCTCTGTGAACGCTGTCTTGTGCAGCCAGGGACCTTGCAAGACACTCAACATCCGTAGATACGCTTGGTATGTAATGTGAAGAAGCAGGACAGCTGCTTATTGATAGAATGAGATGCAGATACGACATGAGAAGGCGCAAAACTTACAGATAAGAAATCTGGGGGGCAATTCGAGGAGGTCCCATAAAACAAGCAAGCGACTTTGCGCGATGTAACGAGCTTGAAAGAGATATATTCATACTGGAGAAGATGAACATAGTAAGAGGCGTTGTATAAAAGAGAGAAACAAAGCCTCATGATCAAAAATTATGACGAAATATATGTGGCATCGGCCGAGAAGGCCCTACGCGAGGGCCTAAGCAGTAGCGCCCTTTTTGCGCCCTGTCTCTAGGTACGCCAGATTATCATTACAAATCGACTGCTATGGCAGTCAATGTCGAACTGGGCTGATCGTGGAAAGGCAAGACAGCTTGTCGACGCTGGCCGCATACGTACCAACACACCGCCAGTTCCCCAGTCAATGTCGAACTCGAAAGATCGTGGAAAGGCAAGATAAGTTGTTGGAGCTGGCTGCATATGTACCAACACACCGCCAGTTCCCGATGTGGCCCGCCACTTAGGTACAGCTGCAAGGGGCTCAAATTGGGCTCACGTCGTGCTACGTAAAAGTGCGCATGTACACGTGTGGATATATGCAGGGCTGTAGAACTGAATTTGCTGTGCCAGTACATTAGAGTCGTATTTGATCTGTCAAGGACACCGAATTTCGTGTTAAAAACGCTTTGAAAAGAACTCGCTCTTCATACAAGACCACCTTTACTTGAGTAAAGCCTGCCCAAAATATACGCCCTTCGAAGCCCTAGTGAGTCTGCCCATTCTCAATACTATCACCAGCTAAAAAAAGTAGAAACAATAAGACTAAGAAGGTGGAAAGCTGCAGTTGACTGAAAGGACGGAATAGCACCGACTTCTGACAAAAAAATGACAAGTGTTTCACTTACGGCAGGAATGGATGCGTGTGAGTGTATACCTCCCTAGGGCTGGAGGGCAGTGAGTTAAATCGAGCAAACATAGTGGCTGAAAAGGTCCTATGCCGGAGCGTGGGGTGTTCCGACGCCTTGATTGAGACGAAGGGGAGAGAGTCAGGAATTTTCTTCCTCGAGGGGTGGGAAAAGGAAGAGGGACACCTACTCAGTGAAGCCGACATGCTGTGGCTAGAGAAATGGACCAGCGTGGTACCGGAGCAGGTGGACCTGTGCGTGCATGACCTGATCACGGAGCGGTGCCGGGCCCAGTCCGATGCACATGCTGTGTGCGCTTGGGACGGCGACCTCACGTACGGCGAGCTAGACGCGCTGTCATCGGTGCTGGCGGCGGACCTAGTCGAGCGTGGGGTAGGGCCCGAGGTTTTTGTGCCGCTGTGCTTCGAAAAGTCACGTTGGACAATAGTGGCGCTGGTGGCGGTTATGAAAGCCGGCGGGGCATTCGTGCTGTTGGATTCTAGTCAGCCGTTGCCGCGGTTACAACAGTTGTGTGCTGGTGTGAAAGCTACGCTTGTCCTGTCTTCTTCGGCAAATGAGAGTCGCAGTAAAGAGCTGGCGGACAACGTGATTGTGCTGAGCAATACCATGCAAAGCCCCTCATCGTGTGACCTGCATAATTATGGAGCCACGTACCGTACGCAGCCACACCATGCTGCCTATGCCAGCTTTACTTCCGGATCGACGGGAGAGCCTAAAGCCGTTGTGGTTGAGCATTCGGCATATTGCTCTAATGTCTTGGCTCACAGCGATGAGTTGCAGCTTAGTAAAGATTCTCGTGTCCTACAACTCGCGTCGTACGCATTTGGTGCTAGCATTGTGCAAATGGTCACGACTCTGATTGTTGGTGGATGCGTATGTGTGCCGTCAGACTCTGAGTGTCGTGACAACATCGCGGCGGCAGTACGCAGGCTTGGAGTCAACTGGGCCCTGTTTACACCCTCCATCCTGAGAGTAGTGCGGAACGAGAACATGTCCACCTTGAAACATGTTATTCTTGGGGGAGAGGCCCCAGCACGGAATGATATCACAGCATGGCCAGACCATGTTCAAGTGATTGGAGCTTATGGCTCCGCCGAGAGTTCTGTGTTATGTGCCATCGTTCCAAATATGAGACAAATGTCTAACCCCCAACTAATTGGCAAGATGACGGGAAGTGTTGGATGGGTCGTTGAGCCGGATAATCACCACAAACTGGTGCCTCTAGGCGCTATTGGAGAGTTGCTTTTGGAAGGACCAATCTTAGCACGAGGCTATCTCAATGATGAAAAAAAGTCCGCAGAAGCTTTTATAGAGGCTCCGAGTTGGTTTCCAACTTTTTGTGAGAGGTACAACAAACGGCCAAGACGTGGCGGTCGAATGTACAAGACGGGCGATCTGGTCCAGTACAATGCTGATGGCAGCCTTAACTTGGTTGGGCGAAAGGACACACAGGTCAAAATTCGCGGCCAAAGGGTGGAATTAGGCGAGGTTGAGCATCACGTCCAGCAGAGTCTGACGGGTGACACCAGTCCGCTACTTGTGGCTGAGGTGGTGACGCCGCGTGGAAGCAACCATCAGAAGCTGGTGATCTACATCGCAATCGGCGAGGCAGCGAATGAGAGTCCAGACCAAGTGCGGACGGCACTTGAGAGATGGACACAGGGCGTGGAGGATCGGCTCGCGGAGCGCGTTCCACAGTACATGGTGCCGAGCGCATATCTCGCCGTGGACACGATCCCAATGACAGCGACGGGCAAAACGGACCGCCGGCGGCTTCGCGAGATGGGCGCAGGGCTAACGCTAGACCAGCTAGCAGAACTACAGCCATTCCGTGGCACAATCCGGGCACCAATAACGGCAATGGAGAAACAGCTGCACGAACTGTGGGCCAGCGTACTCGGAATCCCTTCCGACAAGATTAGTGCCGACGACAATTTCCTGCGCATTGGTGGTGACTCCATTGCCGCTGTTCAGCTCGTCGCGGCTGCCCGGGAGGAGGATCTTTCACTGACCGTTGCGGACGTCCTCAACACGCCGCACCTCAGCCAGATGGCACGAGCTGTCAAGGCAGAAAGCTACGTCGAAGAGGCCACTGTTGCCTTCTCTCTCCTTCAACTTGGGATCGACGTAAATGTTGCTCGGGTCCAAGCAGCGGCTCAGTGTGGTGTGGACATAGACCTAGTGGAGGATGTCTTCCCTTGCACGCCGCTGCAGGAAGGGATGCTCGCCATGACAGCCAAGCGACACGGTGATTATATCATCCAGAATTTGTTTGAGCTTCGGGTTGGCATCGAACCCGAGCGCTTGGAACGAGCATGGCGGGAGGTTGTCGCAACGATGCCGATTCTGCGGACACGGGTCGTGAACCTAGCGGGACAAGGGTTAGTCCAGGTTGTGGTTGCAGGAGAGGGCTCATTCACAGCCTGCCAGGACCTAGAGGCTTATTTGCAAGCAGACAAACAAGAACCTATGGGGTTGGGGGGCCCCCTTACCCGGTTTGCTGTAATAGACAGCTGCACCGACCAGCGCCCTGTGCTAGTGTGGACCGTGCACCATGCACTGCTTGATGGGTGGTCGATGCCACTAGTGCTCAAACAAGTGGAACAGGCATACCGCGGCCGTACGCGGGACCGCCTGGTTCCGTTCCATGGGTTTATCAGGCATGTTCTACATAGCAGGGAAGGTACCCGCGAGTACTGGCAGAGCCAGCTTGGCGGGTCCGAGGCAGTACCATTCCCTAGTCTACCATCGCCTAGTTACCAGCCCCAAGCGGATGACGGTCTAGACCATCAGATTTCGGGGCTACAGTGGCCAAAGAGCGGTATTACCGCATCGACGATGGTTCGCGCGGCCTGGGCGATTTTACAGGGTCAATACACGAATGGCCTAGATGTGATATTCGGAGCCACGGTGACCGGAAGACAAGTTCCAGTCCCGGGTGTGGAGCGTATGGCGGGCCCCACAATTGCCACAGTGCCGGTGCGGGTCAGGTGGAGCTGGGAGACGGATATTCGGGGCCTGCTGGAGCAAGTACAGGCACAGGCAATTTCCATGATCGCGTACGAGCAGATGGGGCTACAGTATATCCGGCAGATCAGCCCCGACACGGAACTGGGCTGTCGCTTCCAGACCCTGCTGGTAGTGCAGCCTCCACCCCGAGAAATCCAGAAGAGGCAAAGAACGATCGAAGATGTATTATTCAAGGCTCCCACTAAAGTGTATGAGAATGATGGTAGATCTATGGGGCTAAACATAATGAATTCATACGCGATCATGCTCGAATGCCATCTCGGGGCAGATGGCATGAAATTGCGGATAGGATTTGATTCACGCGTGGTGGAGAAGGTGCAGGTGCAACGCATGGCATGGCATCTAGAGCACGTGCTGCGGGGGATGTGCACAGAGCAGAGCGGTCCGCTAGCACTCGGTGACGTGTGCGGGGTGAGTTGCGAGGATCTGAGGCAACTAGCGCAGTGGAATGGGAGTATACCGGCACGAGTGAACCGGTGCGTGCACGAGCTGGTGGCGGAGCAGTGCCGCGCGCAGCCTAATGCGCCAGCCGTGTGCGCCTGGGACGGTGAGCTGACGTACGGCGAGCTGGACGCGTTGTCGTCGGCGCTGGCGGCTCACTTGACCGAGTGTGGTGTGGAGCCTGAGGTGTTTGTGCCGCTGTGCTTCGAGAAGTCGCGGTGGACGACGGTGGCCATGCTCGGGGTGATGAAGGCGGGCGGAGCGTTTGTGCTGCTGGACCCGTCGCATCCGCGCGCCCGGATGCGAGAGATCTGTCAGACAGTATCGGCTCCGCTGGTGGTGTCATCAGCGGCGAATCGGGCGCTGGCGGCTGAGCTGGCGGCGGCGGTGGTCGTGGTGGGCGACGAGGAGACGGCGTGGCGCAGCCAGACGCAAGCCTGTCCAGGATCGGCTGTGACCCCACGCAACATGCTATATGCTGTCTTCACTTCGGGCTCCACGGGAGCCCCGAAAGGAACCGTCATTCCTCATGCGGCCTTTGCCACTAGTGCATTCGCACATGGCCAAGCTTTCCACCTGACTGCGGAATCCCGCGTCCTTCAATTCTCTTCATATGCTTTTGATGCTAGCATTATCGAGAGTTTGACCACGCTATTGATCGGTGGCTGTATTTGTGTGCCTTCTGATATCAGTAGACACGACAACATCGCAGTAGCAGCAAATGAGTTACGAGTCTCTGTGGCTCAACTTACACCATCGACCGCACGCTTACTGCGGCGGGAAGATGTCGCTACTCTTGAGACCTTGGTATTAGTTGGAGAGCCAGTCATACCGAGCGATATTGATCAGTGGGGTGGACGAGTGCGATTAGTGAACGGATACGGCCCGGCGGAGTGCTCCGCTATTTCCAGTGTACACCCGACACTTCATGCGGCGTCGGAAGCGGGTAACATTGGATGGGCAGCGGGCTGTGTGTGCTGGGTGGTGGACAGGTTGGACCACCAGCGGCTAATGCCGATTGGGGCGGTGGGCGAGCTGCTGATCGAGGGCCCGATCGTCGGGTGTGGGTACCTGAACGACCCGGAACGGACGGCGGCGGCGTTTATCGCGCCCCCAGCCTGGCTGCACCAGTTCCGGGCCGGCGGCAGCAGCAGCGAAAGCCATGACAGTAGCGGGAGCGGCGACCGGCTGTACAAAACGGGTGACCTGGTCCAGTACGCGGCGGACGGGTCACTGCGGTTCGTGGGGCGCAAGGATACTCAGGTCAAGCTCCGCGGCCAGCGCATCGAGCTGGGTGAGGTCGAGCACCACACGCGACTGAGTTTCCCGGGCGCGCGCGATGTGGTGGCGGAGGTGGTGACGCCGGCGGAGGCTGGGCGCGCGCCGATGCTGGTGGCGTTCGTCTGGATGGACCATCCGATCCAGGATGATAGCACAGGCGACGACGAGGAAGATGACGGTAACGAGAAGGGCAGGGCGGACGACATCCTGGCGGCGCCCACCGACGGCTTCTCCGCAGCCATTCCAGAGGTGGAGACGGCGCTCCACGATGTCGTGCCGGCGTACATGGTGCCAGCGGTGTTTCTTCCGCTGCGCGGGGTGCCGCTGTCGGCCACGGGCAAGACGGACCGACGGCGGCTGCGCGACCGCGCTGCAGCCCTCTCGCGCGCTGACATCGAGGCGTACCACGGCTCTGTCACAGCGAAGCGTAGCCCCACGACGCCGGCCGAGTGCACCATCCAACAACTCTGGTCCCGAGTCCTGAACCTCCCGCCCGCAGAAATCGGCGCGGACGATCACTTCTTTCGCTCAGGCGGCGACTCCATCGCGGCCATGAAGCTGGCCGGTGTCGCCCGTGAAGATGGCCTCGCACTCACTGTAGCCCGGGTTTTTCAGCACCCGAAGCTCTCGGACCTAGCGTATTCCATCCAGTCTGCATCTGAAGTGAGCGTGAACCTAGCTCCCTCCCCATTCTCTCTGCTAGAAGCAGATGACCTACGTGATGCCACCATTCAACTAGCCATACATCAATGCCGGGTGTCTAACGACCAGATCACCGATATCTATCCCTGCACTGCCCTGCAAGAGGGCCTTCTCGCCCTCACGGCCAAGTCAGCGGGGGCATATATCGCCCACTTCTCTTACTGCCTGCCCCATGACACTGACCTCGGTGCCTTCCGCACAGCGTGGAACGCAGTCGCCCGCGCTAACCCCATCCTGAATACGCGGATTATCCAGCACGACCAATGGGGGAGCTTCCAGGTGGTGGTATCAGCCGATCTTCCGTGGGCAGTCTACGATGATGGGGAGCGATGTAGTGTAGAGGCCGTGGCATCATTTGGCCTGGGCGAACCGCTGGTCCACACAGCCGTAATCAGAGGCAAAGACGCGCACATTCCGCCGCGGTTCATTCTCACTATGCACCACGCAGTTTACGATGCATGGTCCCTGCCCCTTCTTCTGGAACAAGCCAACGCGGCTCTTCGGGGTAACTCACTAGTGGCCCGACCATTCAGTCCCTTTATGGCGTACCTAGCCGAGTCGAACGATGCTGGGGAAGCCTTCTGGCGGTCTCAGTTTACTGACCTAGACACCACGTGCTTTCCCCCTCTGCCCACGCCGACCTACGTACCGAACCCCACCGAGTCTGTTACGTACACCATAACCCTGCCCCAGGGCTCGACGAATGATTTCACGCCGGCCACCAAAATTCGGCTGGCGTGGGCGCTGACCCTCGCGCAGTATACTGACACCCAGGACGTCGTCTTCGGGCTGACGGTGACGGGGCGCGGGGCGCCAGTAGCCGGCATCGAGCAGATGACCGGACCGACCATCGCGACCATTCCGCTCTATGTGCGGCTGGATCTGAACGCCACGGTGGCCCAGGCGCTGCAACGAGTTCAGGACCAATCGACCGAGATGTTGGCGTATGAGCAGACTGGGCTGCAGAAGATCCGCCATCTGGGCGCCAAGGCGGCGGCGGCCTGCCAGTTCCAGAACCTGCTGGTCATCCAGCCTCAGCAGGACAGAAGCGCGACTGGAATCTTCACGGAACCCGAAGTCCGTGCCGGGAAGGGGGCGTTTACCACCTACGCACTGACGCTCATATGTGACTTGGGAAGCGACGCGGTGACGGTGCAGGCGACATACGACCCGCAGACGATTAGAGCGATAGAGGTGCAGCGAATGCTGTACCAGCTGGGGCATATAACGCAGCAGATCAGCAAACAACCGGGAGCTCTGATCAAGGATATGTGCGGGGTCGGCCCGGAAGACCGGAGACAGCTTTTGGAATGGAACCAGAAAGTGCCGGCACGAGTGGACCGATGCGTGCATGCGCTAGTGGGGAGAGCGCTGCCGCACTCAGCCCGACGCGCCGGCCGTGTGCGCCTGGGACGGCGATTTCACATACGGCGAGCTAGACACCCTGTCTTCGTCGCTGGCGGCTCACTTGGTCGAGCGTGGTATGGGGCCTGAGGTGTTTGTGCCGCTGTACTTCGAGAAGTCGCGGTGGACGACGGTGGCCATGCTCGGGGTGATGAAGGCGGGCGGAGCGTTTGTGCTGCTGGACCCGTCACATCCGCGCGCCCGGATGCGAGAGATCTGTCAGACAGTATCGGCTCCGCTGGTGGTGTCATCAGCGGCGAATCGAGTGCTGGCAGCCGAGCTGGCAGCGGTGGTGGTCGTGGTGGGTGACAACGAGATACCGTGGCGACAGGCCCGCGACGCGTGCGCCGGCTCCTTCATGGTGCCGGACAATGCCCTCTACGCCGTCTTCACCTCGGGCTCCACGGGAGCCCCGAAAGGAACCGTCATTCCCCATGCGGCCTTTGCCACTAGCGCATTCGCACATGGCCAAGCTTTCCACCTGACTGCGGAATCCCGCGTCCTTCAATTCTCTTCATATGCTTTTGACGCCAGCATCATCGAGAGCTTGACTACGTTATTGATCGGTGGCTGTGTTTGTGTGCCCTCAGATACAACCAGGCGCAATAGCATCGCAGCAGCAGCGAATGAGCTACGAATCTCTGTGGCCCAACTTACCCCATCAACCGCCCGCCTTCTGCGGCCGGGTGAGATTTCAACCTTGGAGACATTGGTGTTGATTGGAGAGCCAGTCACGTCGAGCGACATTGATCAGTGGGGTGGACGAGTGCGGTTGGTGAACGGATACGGCCCGGCGGAGTGCTCCGCCATCTCCAGTGTACACCCGACACTTCTTACAGCGCTCGACGTCGGCAACATTGGATGGGCAGCGGGCTGTGTGTGCTGGGTGGTGGACCGGACGGACCATGAGCAACTGGTGCCGATCGGGGCGGTGGGCGAGTTGCTCATCGAAGGGCCGATTGTCGGCCGGTGCTACCTGAATGACCCAGAACGGACGGCGGCGGCGTTTATTGCGCCCCCAGCCTGGCTGCGCCAGTTTCGGGGCGGCGGCAGCAGCGGCAGCCATGATAGTAGCGGGAGCGGTGACCGGCTGTACAAAACGGGTGACCTGGTCCAGTACGCGGCGGACGGGTCACTGCGGTTCGTGGGGCGCAAGGATACTCAGGTCAAGCTCCGCGGCCAGCGCATCGAGCTGGGCGAGGTCGAGCACCACACGCGACGGAGTTTCCCGGGCGCGCGCGACGTAGTGGCCGAGGTGGTGACGCCGGCGGAGGCTGGGCGCGCGCCGATGCTGGTGGCGTTCGTCTGGATGGACCATCCGATCCAGGATGATAGCACAGGCGACGACGAGAAAGACGACGGCAACGAGAAGAACAAGGCGGACGACATTCTGACGGCGCCCACTGACGACTTCCGCGCGGCGATTCCAGCAGCGGAGACGGCGCTCCACGATCTCGTGCCGGCGTACATGGTGCCAGCGGTGTTTCTTCCGCTGCGCGGGGTGCCGCTGTCGGCCACGGGCAAGACGGACCGGCGGCGGCTGCGCGACCGCGTCGCGACCCTCTCGCGCGCTGACATTGAGGCGTACCACGGCTCTGCCACGGGCAAGCGTAGTCCCACGACGCCGGCCGAGTGCACACTCCAACAACTCTGGGCCCAGGTGCTTAACCTTCCCGCCGATGAAATTGGCGCCGATGATAGCTTCTTCCGCTTGGGTGGCGACTCCCTTACTGCGATGCAACTATCCGCCCACCTGCGTTCCATCGGATTTTCTCTCCATGTCTCCGACATCTTCCATGCTAAAACCCTCGCCCGGCTTGCTCCTCTCCTCACTAGCGTTCATTCTTCCTCGCTTGACTACGACGATCGAGAGGATACGCCGTTTGAATTGTCTCCCATTCAACAGCTCTTTTTCGACCTCATGCCTAATGGCACTGACTACTTTAACCAAAGCTTCTTGCTCCCCGTCGCCCAACATCTCACGCTTGATGTTGTTGCATACGCTGTGGATATCATTGTGCGACACCATTCTGCACTCCGCACTCGCTTTCGCCGGGCCCACGATGGTCGATGGGTCCAAGTAGTCACCGCCTCGATCGACCGCTCCTGTCGCTGTCAGGGCACCGTGGTTGCATCTCTAGATGAAGCTAAAGATGTTATGCGTGCTAGCCATCGTTGTCTTAACTTCCAGAATGGGCCGATCCTAGCCGTGGATCTGATCGAAATCGACTCGAAAGAGCAATACCTTTTCCTCGTGGCCCATCACCTCGTGATCGATCTCGTGTCCTGGCGAGTTATTCTCGGCGACCTGGAGGAGCTCCTCCAGAACAACAACTTGTCTAGGGCCCGGCCACTACCTTTCCAGACGTGGTGCCGTTTGCAGGCAGAGTATAGCCACGAAACCTTGGCCCCAGCTATCGCGCTACCTTCTCCCGGTCCGCCCGCGCCGCAGGGTTATTGGGGCTCATTGGATCATCAGAATACTTGGGGCAATGCCCTTAGTAGCGAATTCATTCTCAATGAGGAGCTGACCGCCGCCCTCTTTGGAGCGGCTAACAATGCTCTCCGGACCCAGCCGGTGGAGATATTCCAGGCAGCACTCTGGCACTCCTTTGTGCATGCTTTCCCTAACCGAACTCCTCCCACCATCTTCAACGAAGGCCATGGGCGGGAGCCGTGGGACCCTGCCATCGATCTCTCCCGGACGGTGGGGTGGTTCACTACAATGTGGCCGACATGGATCACGGTGAACACCTCTGCTAGTGTTATCGACGTCATCCGCCACACTAAGGACGCGCGACGGCGGACCCCGAGCAACGGATGGGCGTACTTTGCCTCCCGATTTTTAAATCCGGCCGGCCGGACTGTCTTCGAGATACACGAGCCGGTAGAGATTGCATTCAACTACGTAGGCCTATACCAACAATTTGAGCGGGAGGGTGCCATTCTGCAGCCCCCGGTCAGGCTCGAAGACCATATTCCGGACGTGGGAGATGACGTGCAGCGATTCGCGCTGATTGACGTGTCCACCGCCGTGGAACGAGGCCGCCTGCGGTTCTCATTCCACTATAGCCGACACATACAGCACCAGGATGCCATCCGCCAGTGGATCACGCACTGCGAGCAGTCACTGGAGGATGCGGTGCAGCAGCTAATATCCATGGAGCCAACGCACAGCCTGTGCGATTTTCCGCTTCTATCCCTAACATATGGTAGCCTCGATACATTACTGAATCAGACGCTGCCCTGCAGTGGGGTAGCGCCCCAAGAGGTCGAAGACATCTATCCCTGCTCGCCAATGCAGCGGGGGCTCCTCCTGAGTCAAGCCAAAGATACAGGGCTCTACCAGACACGCTTGTTATGGAAGGCTACCCCAAATATCAGGGCGGGCTCAGTTGACATAGACCGACTCCGACAGGCCTGGCAGCAAGTCATTGCTCGCCATGCAATCCTCCGCACAATTTTTGTGGATAGCGAGTCCGAGGGAGCTGGTTTCAACCAGGTCGTACGGCGCTCGAGTACCGCCACTACTAAGGTGATTGAGGCCTTCGAAGCCGAGGACCATAGTCCGACCGTGATTCTCCAGAGGTATCCGAGGGCCGCAAACCGGGTTGGCCAACCTCCCCATCGCCTGCTTCTATGCGCCACATCAACAGAGACGTACTGCGCCCTTGACATTAACCATGCTTTAATCGACGCCCAATCGTCTCGCATCCTACAGCGTGATCTGCGGCTAGCGTACGATGGCCAGCTGCCCGCAGAGCCTGCGCCGCTATACTCCGACTACATGGCCTACCTTAGCGGCTTCTCGGAGACTAATGCCGAACTGTACTGGAGATCGTACATGGACTGCGTGCAGCCGTGCCTCCTCCCGATATGGGAAACGGATAGTACGCGAACCCAACTAGATAAGAAGCTTCGGTCGGCCTCCATCAGCCTCGGAGCTGGAGCGCATTTACACGAATTCTGTCAACGTCACGAGGTGACCCTGTCTAACCTGTTCCAGATCGCATGGGGCCTAACGCTTCAGACCTACACTGGGTTGGATACAGCATGTTTTGGATATCTGAACTCTGGGCGCGACGTACCAATAGCCGGAGTCCAAGACACTGTAGGGCCATTTATCAACATGCTGGTGTGCCGTGTGGAGACAGACTCGGATATATCTGTGTTGTCAATGCTGCAGAGAAATCAGGTGGAGTATCTACAAGGTCTACCGCACCAGCACTGCTCACTGGCGGGGATTCTGCATCAAGCCAACGTGGGAGGAAGGCCTCTCTTCAATACGGTACTGTCACTACAACGACCAAGGCACAGCGAGGAGGGCAGAGACGCGGAAAGACAATGTAGTATTACACTAGAGACCGCTGGAGGAGAAGATCCTACAGAGGTAAGTGCCTACCCACCCTGGGGTTCCTGCGACCCCACGATATATGACGTGGGGTATGATGCTAAGTAGGATTGGCCACAGTACGATATTACGGTGACGATCGGGGTTGGCGAACAAGATATAAGTATCTTCCTCAGCTATTGGAGTACAAGCGTAGGGGACGATCGGGCGTCTGGCATTGCGAGCACACTTCGGCAGATTGTGCAGGAGATAGTGGGCCGACCTCACAGTAAAGTGACAGACCTAAATATGATGAGTGGAGACGAACGGAGACAGATATACGCGTGGAATAGAACCATGCCAGCAAGGATGAACCGGTGTGTGCACGAGCTGGTGGCGGAGCAGTGCCGCGCGCAGCTCGACGCGCAGGCCGTGTGCGCCTGGGACGGCGATTTCACATACGGCGAGGTAGACGCTCTGTCTTCGTCGCTGGCGGCTCACTTGGTCGAGCGTGGTGTGGAGCCTGAGGTGTTTGTGCCGCTGTGCTTCGAGAAGTCGCGGTGGACGACGGTGGCCATGCTCGGAGTGATGAAGGCGGGCGGAGCGTTTGTGCTGCTGGACCCGTCGCATCCGCGAGCCCGGCTGCAAGCGATCTGCCAGACAGTATCGGCTCCGCTGGTGGTGTCATCAGCGGCGAATCGGGCGCTAGCAGCCGAGCTGGCAGCGGCAGTGATCGTGGTGGGCGACAACGAGACACCGTGGCGACAGGCCCGCGAGGCGTGGACTGGCTCCTCCGTGGCGCCGGACAATGCCCTCTACGCCGTCTTCACCTCGGGCTCCACGGGAGCCCCGAAAGGAACCGTCATTCCCCATGCGGCCTTTGCCACTAGCGCATTCGCACATGGCCAAGCTTTCCACCTGACTGCGGAGTCCCGTGTCTTCCAGTTTTCTTCATATGCCTTTGACGCCAGCATTCTCGAAAATTTGACTACATTATTGATCGGTGGCTGTGTTTGCGTGCCCTCAGATATAACCAGGCGCAATAACATCGCAGCGGCTGCTAATGAGCTTCAAGTTTCATGGGCTCTACTTATGACATCCACTGCAAGACTATTGCAGCCGAACGACGTCAAAAGCCTAGAAACATTAGCGATTGGTGGGGAGCCAGTCACCTCAAGGGACATCGAGCGGTGGGAAGGGCAAGTGGAATTGATTAACGCATATGGCCCGACGGAGTGCTCCGCCATCTCCAGTGTACAGCCGAAGCCCGAAGCTGGCAACATCGGATGGGCAGCAGGCTGTGTCTCCTGGGTAGTGGATCGGAAGGATCACGAGCGACTGGTGCCGATCGGGGCGGTGGGCGAGTTGCTCATCGAAGGGCCGATTGTCGGCCGGTGCTACCTGAATGACCCAGAACGGACGGCGGCGGCGTTTATTGCGCCCCCCAGCCTGGCTGCGCCAGTTTCGGGGCGGCGGCAGCAGCGGCAGCCATGATAGTAGCGGGAGCGGTGACCGGCTGTACAAAACGGGTGACCTGGTCCAGTACGCAGCGGACGGGTCACTGCGGTTCGTGGGGCGCAAGGATACTCAGGTCAAGCTCCGCGGCCAGCGCATCGAGCTGGGCGAGGTCGAGCACCACACGCGACGGAGTTTCCCGGGCGCGCGCGACGTAGTGGCCGAGGTGGTGACGCCGGCGGAGGCTGGGCGCGCGCCGATGCTGGTGGCGTTCGTCTGGATGGACCATCCGATCCAGGATGATAGCACAGGCGACGACGAGAAAGACGACGGCAACGAGAAGAACAAGGCGGACGACATTCTGACGGCGCCCACTGACGACTTCCGCGCGGCGATTCCAGCAGCGGAGACGGCGCTCCACGATCTCGTGCCGGCGTACATGGTGCCAGCGGTGTTTCTTCCGCTGCGCGGGGTGCCGCTGTCGGCCACGGGCAAGACGGACCGGCGGCGGCTGCGCGACCGCGTCGCGACCCTCTCGCGCGCAGACATTGGGGCGTACCAAGGCGTCGTGGTGGCCAAGAGTTGGCCTACGACGCCGGCCGAGCGCACCCTCAAACAACTCTGGTCCCGAGTCCTGAACCTCCCACCCGCAGAAATCGGCCCGAACGATCACTTCTTCCGCTTAGGCGGCGACTCCATCGCGGCCATGAAGCTGGCCAGTGTCGCCCGTGAAGACGGCATCGCTCTCACCGTGGCCCATGTGTTCCAGCATCCACTTCTTTCCAAGCAAGCCTTGACCATATCTAGTTTTCCCCTTGACCTTGCTCTCTCCTTGGAACAGGCTCCTTTTTCTCTTCTTGGTGTGCCTAGCTCAGACGCCTTCCTCAACGAAGTCTATATTCCGCAACATTCCTGGCAAAATCAAAATATCGTCAACGCTTTTCCCACCACTGAATTACAAGCTGAATTTGTTACCTCCCATCAGTGCTCTTACTTCCATGTGAATATCCCGGGCCCAGTCGACCCAAACAGACTCCAAGCTGCCTGTCAAACTCTTGTTGAACAACATCCTATATTGTGCACTGTCTTTTTCCCGAGTCCCAAAGGCATTATCCAGGCAATCGTTCGTTGCGACCCTCCCACGATGGTGCGCTATACCTGCGACTCAGATCTCCTCCATTTCTCCACGACCCTTTGTCGTGATGACTCGCGGACACCGCTGCCCTTTGGTGACATGCCATTTCAAGCCTCTCTCGTTTCCGATGGATTGTATAAGCATATCCTGATCCTTCGGCTCTCTCATGCCCAGTACGACGGCCTGTGCCTTCCAGTTCTATACCACGATTTGGCGGCTGCCTACCACGGAGACACGATAGCTCAAGCGCCTGCTTTCTCTGTCTGCATGCAATATCGGCTATCTAGTAAGTCAGCAGATGTATCTCGGTTCTGGAGGGACTTTCTCCATGGTGCAAACATGACACGCCTGGACTATAGCTCGCTCGGTGGACGATGCACGGTCGATACCCCCGAGATTACCACTAAAGTCGACAAAAAGATTGTTCTTCCCAATCTGCCGCCCGGTATAACCATGGCTTCCTTTGTTAAGGCTGCGTGGTCGTTCGTCCTGGCACAGCTGACGCGCCAAACTGATATTGTTTTTGGTCAGACGGTCAATGGTCGCAATGGTCCAATTCCAAATGTCGACAGAATTCTGGGTCCATGCGTTAATATTGTGCCAATGCGAATCACCTTCCAGCCAGGGTGGACTGTGATAGACCTATTGGAGTATACACAACACCAACACATGCAAGTTTTGCCGTTTGAGACGTCAGACCTGCGGGATATCGTCAAGCAGAGCACCACTTGGCCAGACCTTACTCATTTCGAGATCATTGTTCAACACGACAACTTTGTAACAGACCCTCCGTTCTCGCTGGGTGGCGTGGAGTGCAACATATCGGCTATGGCATTCTCAGTTCCAAAACAATTTTGGGTTCACTCCCAGCAAGTGGGCGATAGCCTACAACTGTCAGTCTTTGGGCCGAGCAAATTGGTCGACTCCGTATTTGCTGCCAAAATACTTGATGATATTTGCCAGACCATTCTCTCATTCACACAGGCCCCCGATCAATCACTTTCATTGCGTGATTAGCGTTATAATCTTTATTTTCTTCTTTTATTTCGGGCTCCTGCTGGTTGTGTGAGGGATGTAGTTGACATTGGTGAATTTACGGGCAAGAGACTATTTTGTGACCGTCAAACAACATTTATTTAGACTGGGTGATACGGGGTCCATGAACCAGACCCTGTTGTCCTTCTTTTCTCTATTATAGACCAATTTCTTTCCACATTGCTCGTTAAAACCACAAGAAATCATCCTTTTGTTACGAGCCAAGTCTTGATGAAAAAGAGTGCATTCAACCAAGATACTAAATATGGGGAAAGAAAGAAAGAATGAAAGAAACAACACGCTGAGATAATTAAGGTAGTGAGGGAGACGACTCGGACCTGACGGTGGATCCCTGGGCGCAGCGCGAGCCTAGCCAATCCAATGTCCCAGACCGAAGACCATTCTCCATCCGACGACTGACCCGACAGGCTCTCACAACGACGCCAACGCTGTCGTTCTTTTCGACAAGCGAGTCGCTATGAAAGTAGAACAAGAGGATCGATGGAATACAGTGGAATCAAGATCAATTGGTCAGAATATTGGATAACTCGCAGCTATGCTAAGGATGAGAATATTGATGTCTGCTAATGATAATTGGGCAACTGCCCCTCCACGTGACTCCATAGGCATAAAACCCGTATTAGTCATGAAGTCCCCTCTCACAGATCCATAATCGTGAATTCTTCGTGACAAAATGACGCATTCCAATAAGCTCGAATATCGCCTTTGTCCAAATGGCACTTCCATACGGTCTTTGTGAGAGATTTTCTCTGATAAGTACCTTGGCATCCGGAGATAATTGTGGCAGCCTTTGAAGCGTTTTCTTAACAACGATACGATCTCTCTCAGTCTTTAGCGATACAGATTTCATAAATCTGAGAAGTCTGTTTCGAGAGTCAATATCGCACTCATATATGCCGTTAATTACGAAACTGTCAGGCCGGTCGTATGGTACATGTAAGTAGACATAGAGGATTGGCTCACACGACCGCCCATCATTATCCCGCAATTGTCGGTCATATTTAAGTAGACACCTATGCAACTTCGTCTGCTAACACGCACATATTCCAATGAAGCTAGACTTACCTAGAGGATTGGCAGAAGCGGGCATGTACGTATGTAGCATTCGACTACAGAACAACTTCTCGTAAGCAGGCTGAAAATATATGTGAGTAAAAAGTGGAACAGGGGGCGTGGTAGATATTGAGAAATGCACGGACATTGTAACTGGAGCCTCACTGGAACGTAGGGACACACGGGGGAAATGGGGCCACAAATAAAAGTGTGTACATGTATGCTCCTGGGAGCTATGAAGGAGACACGTTCACTACGATTGTTGGACATCAAGTGTCTAGACATTCGGAGACCATAGAAGTATTTATAATTCTGGCTTGATGCTAGTCTCTAGCGTGGCAAGCAGGTGGCAGGCAAAGTTCATTTGCTCTCTTGTACTAGTAGTGAGGCGGCAAAGAACCCACGTTTGATTACGCCATTGAATAATTAATCGATTGACGTGGTCTGAAACGTACGTTGTACTTTTTGTATTTCAGAGCTCAATAATGTCATAGCGTTTACAAAGGGGATCTTCAGCCACTTTGACCAAAAGGGTTTGTAGCCCTTAGCATTTCCCCTGATTCCCCAGTATAACCCAACTCAAGCTTGTGGTAAGTTTTTCCGCCTTGTCCGAACGACCAGGAAAAAATTGCCATTGGGCAAACATCATAACTTGGACAAATATCTAGAGAAGTCCTCAGCCGCTCTGCCTTGATTGGCACTTGGCCAGGGAGCAGACCTAGAGCATGAAACGCCACCCGGGGAATTGTTGCTCCAGGATACCGCATTGTAACCGCGAAGACAGAGCCTTGTGGATTCATCAACCTCTGCATATCCTCAAACTCAGCCTCGCTAGGTGGTGGACATCCGGCGAGATTCGTGAGTCGGGCAGCCCGATCCCGGGATAAGGGCCCCGGGGCAATGAAATAAATGTTCAGTTCCGCTCAACCCCACTTCCCGTTCCTTAGCATCGTAGAGCCAAGACCTCCGAACCGAAGATCGATAGAACCGACCAATCAGCAGCAAGAATGGCTAATTCGAAGAAGAAGAAGACTCCCCGCATGACTCGTAGTCAGCAAGCGAAACGCACTGACAGTGATAATAAAGAAGAAACGACCACACATAATCCGAATTTAATTGACCTCCCTTCCTCCGACCGATCGACACTAATACGAGGACGAAGCCGAAGCATCGGTAGTGGTCTATGTTACGAGCCAAGTCTTGATGAAAAAAAGTGCATTTAACTAAAATACTAAACATGGGGAAAGAAAAAAAAAGGAAGAAGAAAGAAACAACACGGCTGAAACAATCAGGGTAGTGATGCCTAAGGCATCCAATAAAACAATGTAAAACACGAACCACGAAAGGCGGTGAAACACGGCAGAATCGGTTCCGGATCATTGATCCTGAATTCTTCGTGACAGTCTAATCTCTTTATAACTCACCATCTGTGCACGATGCCCTCGTTCGGCATGATGCACGACAGCGCTTCAACACACTGGTTAAGAAGAACAAAGAGCTCGAAACCAAATTCAACGAGTTAGAAGCTAAGAAGAATGCTGTTAGCAAAGAGCTTGAAGAAAGTGTTATGCTCCGAGAGCGAGCTGATGAAGAACGTGAGGAAGCGATCGCTCACCTGATGATCGTAAAGGATAAAGAAAGGATAACAATGGATGCTAGAAATGAGATGGCATACCAGTTGCTACAATCAGGAAACCATCAGCGCAGCGCACCGATTATGGAAGCTGTAGCTACAACTTCTCGCGCTTAGAAAACGACCAAGATGCCTAATGCTCCTATGCTAAGCGATGGCAAGGAAATTCGCTTCGAAACCTCGTAAACAGTGATCCGACAGAAGCTGATCACTAATGTAGATCATTATTCCGATCCGATCCACAGAATGATCTATGTCTAAAACCGTTGCGAAGGAAAGGCATAGCTACACATTGCACCACAAATGGATCCCGAACCAGCTACTCACTACACCGATGCAGAAGATATCCTTATGCACCTAAAGACAGTGCTTGCTAACCTAAACAGGAAGGCCAGGTATACTCTTAGTTCCACAAATTGAAAATGAAACTAAACGAGAACTTTTCCGACTTTCTGGCTAACTTTATGTAGCTTGCCGAAGGAGCATGCATTTTAATCGAAAACCGTAAGTAAGATCTTTATCTTATGCTTCTATACTTACTATAAACCCAGGTGATGCTCCAGAAGAATCAAAAATAGTATCTTTCGATGAATTTGTCCAGATCTGTATTAGCCTGTCCCACGACATCAACATCTAGCAAGAATCCCGATCCAGCAACTAAGCACGATTTCCTAGTTCCGAAAATGGTCCCACCTCGTCGTCGATAGGTTCAACCTCTACGACTCGAATGAAGAAAGAAAAAATAGGATTCACCCCGTTGCCATTCGCTGAAAAGCAAACACTAACGAAAGAAGGATGATGCTTCACCTGCAAGCGCTAAGGCTAGTAAGTACTAATGCTAGTAGAAGATCTTAGAAAACACGACTTGATACTTGGACGAATGTGGCTAGCACAACATGACATGTTACTCGATTGTCGCCGTCGTCGAATGATTTGGCCACATGAACCCACCTTTAAAGAAGTATACAACCAAGTTTCCCTTCCCACTCCGATCACTATTCTCAAGAAGCCTATTCTAACAAGCGCTGCTAGTGCGCATTAAGCAGATGTAGATCGACGAGATAAGCTATTTGAACAAGACACTGCTTCTTCCGTTGATCCTTCACTAAGATCTACCTCGCCGCAGCCGCTAAGAAGAAAGCATCAGGATAGCTAATAGTAGAGCACAAATTTCGAGAAAATGCAGAGAAACCTAACAAATAATGACCCATTTCCATTGAATATGTCTTAGCTAAAATATCCAATGGATATCAGTTTTAACGGTCCTGTAGCATATCAGAAATTATAAGCAAGATCACTTTCTGATAATTGCACTGAAGTGTTTTCCACACTTTCGATGTGAATCGAAAGAACTGGCAATTTGATGGCGACAAACTACACAGGTGTTTAAGGTCGGACCGCTCCTTGTTTTCTAATCTCTAAGTACTAGATTCAGGCGTAGTAAAGTAGTGTTTTCAAACCCAGCTCCGCTTTTTCGACCTAGTCCTATCTTTCTTGATTTCGACCTGAAATATTGATTACGTTATACCCGTATCAAGATTCGATAAACTCATAGAGACATTGCTGGGAGCTTCAGGAGAGGTTGAAATTGAAGGAGTTGGCGACTTATGGGCGGACAGGACCGCTATCTTCTTTCGGGGAGGCGGAAGTGATATGTCTACTGCAAGAAGGCCATACTTGCTACGCGCCGCATAATTGCGTTTTTTCTTCGGAGTTTTATGACAAGTCATATATGGCATTTGACAACGTCCATTTTATAATTGATCTTACCCAGATCGACGAACTTTTCAGATCTGTGAATCTTTGCTTAAAGCGAGATATCTACCGTCTTGAGGGAGGATATTGATGAAAATGTTTTAAGGTTCGTGTGTTCCCAAGCCTAGTTCACGACATATCTGATGTAAAGGATACATTGATCTGGGACAAGCTTCGAAAAGAAAATGCTACATTTGCCCAACAAACTGTCACTCTAGTACCCTCACACTCTCCCGAAGCTAAAGGAATGCGCCTAGTTATGACCCTGGCTATCATTTCAAGGAAATCTTGCAAACAGATCTACCAGCCGAATTACATTCAACCGGAACATTCCGAACTCCACGGAATCCTCAGTCACCTCGCCGAGAATGATACCGAAAAGAAAAGTTTTTGCCGACGTTTTCTTCTCTCGATTGATCACAATTCCCAAGAGAGCATTCTCTAGGAAAAAATCAAGACGGTGATCCGTATTATGTCGTCATATTTGTGGACATTGCTCTCAAAGATCCAACATGATTCGGCTTACATAAATTTTCGGAGAATTGTCCAAAAAGCGGCTGACTTTTAGTTTCCAATCCAGCGAGCTAAGCAGAGATATGAGAGTAGTTTTGGTCTAGTCGATTTTGAGGATGACGATTGGGAGTCGTCGCTTCCACGGAGACAACGCGATCCCAAACAGGCAAACTTAACAATGAAACACCTTTATTCGATTCCTTGAAGCTGTGTATAGCAGCAAAGTATGAAGCTAGTCAGATGTCAACCAGCTTCGTCGTCCCCAGGAGTTCAGCGACCAGCTCCAGGCGGAATTCTATCGCTCATAACACTAATCAACCAAATAGAACCTCCTTTTTAGAATAAACTTCACCAATGCCTTGATATTTCTGTTGCAAAATTGATCCTGGTGCTCGTCCGCGGAGTTTACCGCTACTGTCATTGGTGACTGTTGAATAAGTGACGAACAGGATTAATTGCTTACATGTCTCACTCCTTATGCTTGTTTCCTTTTAATTGTATAATCTGTTGGCGACGTCAGGTGACATCCCACATGGAGATAGTCTCCTATGGATGAGTAGATAGATAGATCTCTCTCTCTCTCACTCTCTCTCCTTCTCTCCTCCGTCCGCAATACAATATTCACATCTTCATATTCTATTGCCCTTGTATGATCTCCATGATAACCTTTCCTTATAGCTATCGCTTTACCTCTAATCGAGCTCACCATTAGCCGGCAAAAATGATATGATTTGCGCTTGAGACGGGACGATCAATCAGTATCTTAGCCATATTGGCTTACCAAATAAATTTCACATACGGCTCGCTTCAGCAATGAATTAACATTCATGCCATTTTGTTCTCAATTTTGTCATACTGACGCGCTGTCGCATTGACAAAACCCCGCTTGAGTGCATGGGCATTTCCCGAAGCGGCAAAAGTTTGTAACGAGCCAGCCTGTGATGAGGAATTGTACATTTGAAATAGGAGGCTTCGTGTTGCGGATGGCCAGAGATTCAGGCACTCCGTTCATGGTCTGAGCGCGGATTGCCCGATCATTCAACTTTTATACCGTTGTCTTGGCTTCATCAATATTCTCTCGGCCTTCGGACTGTTTGCATATGCTGCCGTATCTAGTTACACGTTTCTCTATCCAACCAGCTCGGGATATTCTATCTAGGTATGTACTTTCAAAGCAAATTCTTGTCTATAATTTAATACAAGAATTACACGCTGGGCGAATATACCTGATGCATAGAGCAGGCATAGCCAACATATACTATTATATCACAATATTCTTCATGCTGTTTCACTTGTACTGCATTATATTTGACTCAAGGCAACTATATTACTATACAGGGCCACAGCCCAAACAGAACAGACTGACAACAGCAAATCCCAAATCAACAGCCTTTTCACTTCCCCAGAATTTCAACACCTTACATCATCCTTCAAAGTTCACCACACAGCTACAAGAGACCCCACAGATCAGCGCCATGTACCACCAGATATACGCAGACGACTTAGTAAACAGATATCGGACTTGAAACTCACCGCTCTAGAGGCCGTTGTTGCCACCAGAAATACAACCGCTGAAAGACAGCCCCGGTCCGCAATAGGCATTTTTGTTGAACCCACTGGCAGGACCAAACTTCAACCATCCATTCCAGGTGCCACCATGCTCCAGACGTAAACATTGGGTACCGCACACCTTGTAGTGTTCGGACTTGTCAAGGTACTTCTTGATAGCACCGGCAATTGTATCAAGCTGCGCGGTTGTATCGCAATGTGCGCCCATAGAGTGGTAAGACCAACTAATTCCATTGATAGAGCCGCTCATCACCCTGCAATCATGCTGGTTGGAAAGTTCCTTGATGCCACCAGCAATACTTTTGACAACAGGAAGCACAATATTGGCAATAACAAGGCAGTTGGTGGTCACTTGAAGGGCTCCGCATGCCGTGATGGGGGTCCGCTTCTCAAGATCAGAACCAGTCTCACTCACGCTGAGACTGGTGTTTGCAACGGCCCATCAAGAATCATGTGGAACCATCTGTCCGGTACGGGCTGACCCTCGATTGATAAAGGCGAGATAGAGGCCCCAACAAAATTGGTAAGGAGCAGATGGTCGAGATGATGGCAGCCTTCGTGAGCAACATAGTAATAGTAGCCGTTGAGGACAATGATACCAAACAAGACAATTGTAGGTGTGACTTTGTTCAGTATCTCAACAAAGCCAGGCATAATTGTGTGAAAGGAGGTTTAATCACTTCAAATTACACCCTTTTATATTTATGACTGACCATGCTGAGATTATAATGGACCCTATGAATAAGCATGCAATATTTCGGAAATCCTCGGCAGCTTCTCATATGAGAAGGCGCAGCTCTATATTAACTAAAGGGGCCACATAGATGTTGGACCCACTGGGGTTGCCTTAGTGTCTGCTAGTGGACCCCTTTGGCTCAATTTTCGTTTTCCAATAACCCAGCTATTGTTCAAAGTGTTAGGACATATACCATTCGCAGTTCCATTTTTCGATTCGATCCAGGCTCTCCTGGACAGCCACCCGGGGCGATCAATTAGAGCCCACGGTAGCCGCTTATATATTATTGCTGGCATATATCACTTTGATAGTGTAGACCAATTACATATTCAAGCGTGTTCTCTTATGTTCATTACAATTCTGAGACATGCATCAACCTAGCAGGGGAGACTACTTCCACACCGGAAAAGTCTGGAACACGATGTCACTGGACAAAGAGTGTGATTCAGGATACTGGTCCATGCCTTGCTATGCAGCCTAGGAGGCTGCATTGGAGCGTTCACGGGTACGAGGCCCGTACATATAAGCAGACTAAATGCTCATTTTGTAGAAAAACCATGGTTTGCGCTGTGACTAGGCACCACACTAGTATCTAAAGTGGCGTACCGAAAATTATTTCGGATTTCGGATGTGGCACTTCCCGCCGAGCCGAGGGTCTCGGGAGATCATCGGTAGCGGAAGGACATTCCCGCTTTTGCTCTATACGGCTAACAGTGAGCAACCAATTACGACTACAGTAGAACCTGTTTAGTACGATCCTAACTTAGTGCGAAATTCTAGTTAGTGCGATAAATTTCTACCTAAAATTTCAGTTTCACATGCAAATCTCGCTGATATTTCCACTCATAGTTCAGTCCATGCTGGAAACTCGGATTTGAATGACCCGCAGCCTAGCTCACATAGATTTACCGCTACGCTCTTGGCCTTCGGACAATTATCTAATAACAGCTTCTAGTTCGTTTGGCCCGTGCCGCTTTACATAGTATATACTCCATACTCATCATGCAAGATTTCAAGTTCATCTTCAATGCTTAAGCTTCAATGGCTCAACAGAAAAGATAGCATGAACTGAAATGATGGTCCAGTGGGAATACTGACAGTAGAAATGAGAAGATAAAAGTGAGGGATGGGTAGTGCACTCCATGGCGTTCATTTATTTCATATGTTTACGGTTTGGGATGGGATTTGTATGGGTTTATAGGCCGGCAGGATACGTGGAAATGAGCTGATTTCCGCACTCTTGTCAAATCAGCATCTGTCTCTCTTTGGCAGGTTCGGTGCCTAAGAGATCAGGTATCCATACGTGACCCCAGCTCTGGCGTCTGCGTACGCGTCCCGATATTAGGTTCCTTGTTACAAAGCTACAACACAAATATGCGAATATCACTATTCACGACCAAGAAGCTATAGTGTAGGTTCTTCGCTATCTCCGAGAGCATCCAGATCGTGCGATCACACTCGGAAAGAAGAAGGAGTTACAGTTCTATGCCTATGCCGACGCTTCACACGGAGACAATCTGAACTTCAAGTCAACTGAGGGCGCAGTCTGGTTCTTTGGAGGTAGTCCAGTCCAATGGTCAACCAGGAAACAGACTATCATAGCCGTGTCAACCACGGCCGCCGAATGGTGCGCACTTGGCCAGCCCGCATGGGACGGCATGTGGCTTCGCAAACTTGCCATAGCCTTTGGTTTTCCTGAGCGAAAGATCAGTTGATGATCTGCACAGACAACGTCGACACTCAGCTCCTCTTGAACAAGAAAACTGGTCGCAACTCGACAAGCTGGCTAAACATGCGATTGAAAGATGCCGCTGCCAAGGGCTACATTGACCTCGAAAGGGTTGAGAGCAAGGCCAACGAGGCGGATGGCTTCACAAAGCCACTCAGAGAAGAAGCGTTCCCCGGATTCATTGCACAGCTAGGAATGTGAGAAACATGGTGGAGGGAAAATGAAGAAAAGAAGTGGACAACATGATAGGATTTCCATCCTGAATGGAGCCCTCCTATTGGTTGAAAACCCACAGGAGCTCAGAGTGCGTTTTTTATTGAATTGAAAAGAAGATCGCTTGTTTTGCCTGGTCAACTGTGGAGGATGAGGAGGCTTGAGAGACTATGAGGGGGATGTTGGGGATGTCAGGTGACATCCCACATTGGGATAGTCTCCCATGGAGTAGATAGATAGATATCTCTCGCTCTCTCTCCCTCTCTCTCTCTCTCTCCTTCTCTCCTCCGTCCGCAATACAATATTCATATCTTCATATTGCATTGCCCCTGTATGATCTCCACGAAAATGCCTTCGCAGCTACTAGTTTAGTCCCAATAGACTCTAATCTGGTATTATCAAAGCTTGATAATCGTCTTCAATATCCGCCTCTACCAGATTGACCAGTTTCACAAGGTTCAACATCAGGTAGTAATATCTCTGCCGGCATCCCTCGGGCGACTAAGCAGCTAGAAAAACGCAAATCAAGGCTCAATCCTGGTCTAGGTTCAGCTGCTAATAAGATCTCTTCGCCTACAAAACGTGATATTCAACAGTTCCACGATATGTCGTTGAAGCTGGTTCACGGGCACATCTTAATGCGAGATGAGATCAAGCGTTTCCGGGAGGGAAATAGAAAGCAAACGAAAAAGAGGGAGAGATCGAAGAAGCAAATGCTTGATATAGGTAGTTTGACAGAATTTCCGGATCCTACTATCACTATGGATGGTGAGGAAGGTGTTAGCGTGAGATATATATCTTACCCCACCTGCTCCAGAACCCTAGGGTGAACCTACACTTCCTGTTTTGCCCCTGTACGACGGCAGGATACATGTTCCAAATGCAGAGGAAAAGGGCATAAGTTTACTACATGCCAACAGAAGGTTTAAATTGTCAATTTAATGGTGGTTTGGTTGTTTGATTGGACTTGAACAAAGGTAGAAAATCTGAAGATTTAATGGGGTGACGGACCGGCAGGGATGACGAACCCGCCAGGATCCACATTATCACGAGAACAAAAGGGTGCCTTGTGGAGCGCGAAGACGGACCTTTTTGGCAGAAAACACAGCTCGCGGTCGGCAGGAGAGTCTCGACAATTCTAGGGCCATTTCCTGTTTCTAGGAATCTCGGTTCTTACCCTGGTATCTTCACTCCACGTTCCTGGCTGGTTACAAACTGGCTTTGGGAAAACATTGGCTGGGTCTGGGAGCTTTTTCACTCCTGGGACCCTAGTTCTGGATCCTAAAGTCAATATTCTATCTCCTAAGGTCGCGGAAAGCCCTCATAAGATACATTCACCAGACCTGCGCACAAATATGAGTCATTCAACGACTCCTGGAAAGGCCAGCCATAGCCCCAGGAACCGCACCTGAGGTTCCAGGAGTTGATAAGACTGTCAACCCAATGCCAAATTGTTGTATTTGGAATAACTATTATTGTCTAGTCTCTAAGTTGGGCTGTTTCTTTCTTTCTTGAGGTGATATAATTTCTTCAAAGTGCAATCAGACTTCTCCACGGATCAGAGTGAAATTTGCAGGATCTGCAATGGGAAATCTTCGCTCTAAACTATAAGCGATCAATTCCCGAAAATTTGCCTGAAAATTTTTCGAACGGCGAATGGCCCCGTAGAAAGCCAGAATTTCAAGCTAGACCTTGAGCTAAGTAATGCTTGAAGTGGAGCTGTAGCACTAGGTTCGGATATTGAATTACTAGATTGTCTCTACGGGGTTCAAAGACCTTAGCCATAGGTGAAACAACAGCCTTACTCCACCCTTCCGTAGCAGGTCTCTAGTACAGAATGCTCCCATGGGTAGACCGCAAGGTCCCCAACCCCCCGAGAACTACTCCTAACCCTTTTCAATAGCCACAGGACCCACATGTCCCATCTCTAGGACTTGGTAATAATGCCCTCTCTAGGCGTGGCGAATCAAACTCCAAGCGTGATGCAGATATTTCGTTGGCTCCAGCCGACTTTCCCGAGACTTGAAAATACCAGGCAACATAAGTAAGCACTAGAGGCCAAGGCCCGAAACATCCCCGCAAAGCCCCTTTTAAGTCCATCTGGAGAAATCTCGAGCATCATTAAGTTTCATACAGAGACGTTGTGAGCAAGATGCCGGGATTTCTTGGAACACTAGTAGTCTGCTCCTATCTTCTAGGCCTACTGGTGCCTGCTCTTGCCAAAGATGATTTAAATTACAACTTGGCACAGAATTTCCGCCCTCAAAATATCACAGGCCTAGGTGGAATATATGCCTGGGTTGGATCGTGAGTAACCCACTACTGTTCAATCTTGTTTTTTTAGATCACTTACCTTTGACAGATACTATAACGCAACTGCACAGGTGGACTTGATTATTGAAAGGGGATACAATGGGACAACGGCCGCATGTGCTCCATTGCGGAACCAAACGATAACCATGCAGTGGGACTCAATCTTGGCGATTTTAGACCGAGGGGCATACAACAAGGGGTTGAACTCGGTCAATGTCATGTTGACATTGATACCACCGAATTACAACAAGTCCAACTTGAACATACTAGCACCAGATGTATATCCCCGGCCACTGTGGTGGGCGTTGCAATCTTCAAGGTGAGAAGGCGCTGGTCACCGTTGAGCCTCTCGCTCAGTCCCATACATTAACAATGGTAAAATTATTTAGTCCGACTGGGCAATCTAACGAGAACACAACTGTGGAAGACCACTTCAATATCTCAACAACCAAAACTTCGGATTCCTTCTCGCTTGCAGGAACTTTACATGCAAACACTTCCCTTGGATACGCTTCACAGAACTTCGAACCTATCTGGATGCCTACATGTAACTCCAGCTACTACTACGGGAATTACACGCTGGCAGTATCACAACTACCAGGAGACTGGTGGTGGAGCACACAAGGCTGGACAAACTTCAAATTACCATCCATGAACGCAACTTTAAACGGGAAAACCGCCAATCTCACTTTGGAGGGAAAATTCGCGGCATACCCGTATCTGAGAGCGAATGATACGGGGTATATTGGCACTCCGGATGGTGGTGAAATCAGCACTGGAGATTCGGTTCAGGGTACTATTCGATTCACCTTTAAGGGCGACTTGGATCTTTATCATTCCGATGTACTGAATATGAGCACGACCGTGCCGACGTGGCTTCGGACAGTTGGATTTGGGAACAACTCGATGAATGTTGGGTATACCTCCGACGGTCAGGGTCGGCCTAGAGTAGGAGCTGCTATTATCGCTATGCTCTTTGCTATCTTTGAGGCGTTCATTTGAAGTGAACGAAAATCAAGTCAGGTAGTTCGACGTCCGGATACCTTTGTGAAAGTGCCAAAATACCTCGTTTCTTCTACAGCGCATGGCTGATAATAGAAGAGCAAGCAACTACGAATATGATTGAGGCATATGACTGGAGGAAGTCACCACTTACCCATCTTGAAACCATCTATAAGATCCAAAGCCATTGCTGGGGATGCGCCTGGGGCCCTGGGCCGCTGACGGGCTTAGGAGTATAACCTGAACGCCTAAAAGGTTAGACTGGGGCGGTATGCCATATACTTAAGGCATGGGAACAAGTAGATTTCAAGGCTGACTGGTCTTTTTCGGTGGCTCTGTTGGTACGTCAGGTGTCTTGTAATCACCCAAGAACAAGGACGTGATATCCTATGAAAAGCTCCTCAGCCCTTCCCTCCTCCCTTCCTGCAAATACTAAGCGCATTGAGTGGTTCATACTTTGCGGATAACTCACGAAGAGAAAAGCTAAGAAGGGTCTCCGCAAAAACAGCTTACGTGTGGAGAGCATACACACGGTTGCTCTCGCGGATATCGAGATGCCCGAAGAGAAGACTGGACGAATTCGGAACATTCCTGTTGGCCATGGAACGGGCCCTGGTCCAGTCGTGGGGGATATGACTACTAGCATAAATATATCCAGTTCTGTAGCAGTCTCTCTAAGCGCGAGATGAGACTTCGTCGACCCAACGGAAGTGACTACCGATTATCATTTCTATAAATAACAAACACCTAGCAAATTTCCCAATCCCAACCCATGTTTGCAAACGATCGACCGGAAATGACTTCCGTCCTAGATTGCCAAGACGTTTGGTGGTATCTATAGTATTGAAGATTGTGCAGGGGTGTTGACAGGAGAGCTGGAGTATAATCGCGAATCGTTACAGTATAGTGGTCGGTTCAATATCGGCGAGGGAAACAATTTTTAGAATGGTGTTGCGTGAAGTCTTAATCTGTCCTCAGGTAATACTTGACTTATCCGCGAGCCAGTGCGTGCGATGGTTGAACGTAGGCTTTTGCGAAGCCAATGTCCCCTGCGTGTCCGAACTTGTCAATCATATGTCCAGAAAAGCAACGAATAGTCTCGAGATGTCGTATAAAACATGGGGAAGTCGGGACAAAGGCATATACGATACATACGTTTGCCGGGAGGTAGTTGTACCTTTCTATTGCATGTTGCTTCACAGGCTCAATTTGAAACTTTACCCTCTTCTCTTCCCTAAGCAACATTTCCTCCCTTGTAAATAACTATTGAGCGACGCCCTGCACTAGGCTTGCCATATGGTCCCGCGACTTGTCCCCTCAAAGCTACATCTTATCCCTGATATGATAGAGAGTCAGTCACTAACCACAAATCAAATGGCCGAAGAGGCCGAATGCAGCAAGGTCACGATCATAAATATTCGCAGAAACTTGCGGCAGTTTGACAGCGTCCACATCCCTAACTTGCATAGGTCGGAAACCAACCGTAACACCTTTAGTGATCGATGCGCTCTGCGACCACCTTTCGGAAAAACCGGGCCTGTACCTCGATGAGATGGCTGTCTTCCTCTGGGATGACTTTTGCACGATGATCACAACCTCCAGCATCAGAAGAGCTCTTGTCGCCAAAGGCTGGTCTAAAAAGACGGCCCAGCAGCATGCACAGGAGCGTAATGCCGATTTGCGAGAATTTTATCTCCATGATTTTGTCAGATTTTCAGTAGTATCATCTAGTTTATGTGGATGAATCTGGATGTGATAAGAGGGCTGGTTCAGGCACACAGGCTGGTCACCGCTTGGCGTGGCCCTTTTGCAGGTATCGCAGTTCCATCGCGACCAACGATATCAGATACTACATGCGTATGCCCAGTATGGGATCGTCCTCTCGCGTGTATTCCGCGGCGCGACCGATGGCACTGTATTCGAAGACTTTTTATCTCAGCTTCTTTAGCACTGTGCACGATGGCCGGAACCTGAATCTGTTGTGGTCATGGATAACGCGTCTTTTCATCATTGAGAGCGGATTTTGCAGATGTGCGCGGACGCGGGTGTGAAGCTAGTATATCTGCCTCCTTACTCACCGGACTTGAATCCCATTGAGGAGTTTTTTGCTACAGTAAATAAATGTTCGTATCAAACCACCATATATATTGTACAGAAAGCAAATCATTGCACCGCTTCAACTCGAAGCCAATGAGCCTCACAGAAAGGCCTGTCACGTTTTATGCCACGGCGGCGATGTTATGTTCGATGAAACGATCCGCCTCTCTCTTCAGCATTAAGATACAGCTCGCCACAAAGAAAGCCTCTACATTGTCAGCGTCGGTATGCTTCTCATCCTTCCACGTGCGCAGATCCATCACCAAGCGACCACCATTACCACCCGAGTACCTAACCGAGCCGGGGGTGCGGAATTGGTCGTTACGAATAAGCTGAGCGACTCTGGCGCTGCTCTTAGTCTTTGTGCCGTCCGCTAACACGATGCGATCCTTGCGCTCCAGAATAAGCAGCGAATCTGCGTTATAAGCTTGTCTCTCTTCCCGACTACCGTAGCGCCACTCGAATTTTCCAAGCGACGTGTCGAAAACCTGCGTACGGCTAACCATCGACCGGCTTTGGACGTCGACCAATTCTCCACACAATTTATCGTCGTCTATGGCCTGCTCAACCGAAACCCTGGCATCGTGGGGTAGAATGCGCATTCTGGGGTGTCTTCCCGGGCCCCAACGATAAATAGTTGAACTAAGAGCATTCTGACGTGGGTCGGATGAGCGAACTAACGCGCACGAGTTGGAATTGCTCTTTAGCCGGATAGAAGTGTATTTTTCCTGTATGGGTGCTCCGGGTTCCACGCTGTAGACGGAGATATTCTCTAGCTTTTTACTGCCACTGAGTGCCTGGTTGATGTTGTATCCAATGGCTTCTACCTGAAGCTCGCTTGTGGCGAGAAAGCTGTCGGGGAAGGATGATTGGCTGCTAGCGTAGTCGGATGCAACAACCTCCTTGTACTCGGGGGGAGACTGGGACTTCCAGTCACCCATTGACTTGGAAGGGTTTGCCCTTGACAGTCGTGAACATGTGAATACACCCATTGTGTTTTTTTTTAATGTTTAGGATTTGGTTGTTTGAATATTTAGGTGTCGCGGAATAAAAGCTTGGCAAAATAACAAGTGTGGCTTTTGATGAAGTGCCAATTTAATTTGCGAATTTCCTTGCACTTATATACGAACACGGATATATGCGTGCATGTATGTTTTTTGCGACGCTCAAGATGATGGCATATTTCGTGCTGCATTGAGTGATTTGCTGCGCCATGCGGCGGATACTGGTTACGGTGATCGCATTGATAGGGTCCACAATGACGCCAGAGGCGGAAAATCGACCACTTACGTCTTGCATGCGCTACTTTAGTCAAGTTGGCTTAAGGTCTCTGGTGCTGCGGACTGCCAGGGCTTAGCTGTTTGTCTGAAAGGCACCTAATATCCTGCTGCAACTTTTCCTAAACGGGAAACATCTGGCGCTCAATGGATCTGCGGCTGTGTCGCTGATCGAGGTAATGCTTTGCTAGCATCCAGCCCACAGAAGATCAGCAGCAACATTGGTCATGATAATCATACAAGGGGCAATGCAATATGAAGTTATGAGTATTGTATTGCGGACTGAGGAGAGAAGGAGAGAGAGAGAGAGCGAGAGCGAAGGAGATCTATCTATCTACTCCATGGGAGACTATCCCCATGTGGGATGTCACCTGACATTCCCAACACTTTTGAACATCCATTGGTGGGTATGTTGCGATTACATAGAAGTGGATACCGTCTCGAGATGAACGAGTGTAAAAAGAATACTCGTAACTAAAGTGGACTCTAGGTACAACTCATTACACGATCAAGAGCTCGGATTTGAGGCCTAAGGAATATGGCATAAAGGGGACCGAGCACTGACCTTTTTAAGAGGACATGTTACAAACCGTTGGGTCGGCGCGAGGCCAAAATTTCAAGCCAAGCCTTGCTTTCACTGGCCTGGTACTTGTCCCCTCACGTGTTGTGTATCTTCACGTGCTCTTCTCTATATTCCATACTAATACGGTATGATTACGAGAGTAGTGCGTCTCTGATTATGACGAAATGATTGGACCATGGTGCTCTTTTTGGCCCCCAAAAGATGCCTCAGCGCCGTTCGACGGCTCAAATGCAGCTGGCCCTAAATGTTCCCATTGAGGCTAAGCTCAGCGTGCATTAAAGCTAGCTACATGGCTCACTTGCTTACTGATTACGTGATCTCAACGCTAGCGCTTTTATTATAACTATCGAACAGCCTTTATCGCTGCGTGTCCACTTTCCTGGGAATGAGCGTACTGCATAACCGACCAGCTTCCCTGTTCCGAGGTAGCATATATTCTCAACGCAAGCCTCAACTCCATAGCCCCAAATCTGATTACCAGCATGGTGTACACCCTTTATGAGGGCTTTGTTCTCCAGGCAAAGCGGGGTTTGACTACACTTTCGCATATTCTCCGCAAAGCCGAGCAGCAGCCCAACGCTTCCAGTCTCCCGTCCTGTCGACTACACAATGACATGAAATCACTTAGTTATCAAGTGTTCGCGGCAACTACGCAAACACTGCTAGTTCTAGCTAAGCTGACGGCCGAATCACTCCCTACCGAAGACACGAGCAAAGATGTTATCTATACATTTGCGGAAATGCACGGGCGCATCGACAGGGTGCTCCAGGCCCTAGACGCGGTTGATAAAGACCTCATCCTCGAAAATTGCGAGGCTGTCACGCCCACGCCTCTGGGAGCGAATATATTACCCCTGTCTGGGATTACGTACGCGTGCATTATGCAGGCAAATATCTTCTTCCATGTTACTACTGCCTATGGCATCTTGCGCAAGGAGGGCGTGCCTCTAGGCAAGGTGGATTATATTTTACCTTTTGCGACTTCCTAAAAGGTAGTTTTAATGAATGACTTTTACATAAATTTAAAGTCGTGATTACGCCCAATTTAGCCGCAAGCTTTTACCTTTGTATTCACTTCCGACGATAGTAATAAAGGAGATTATACAGATCTCGCAGCAAACGCCCATAATGGCGGACCCTTTAAGCATTACGGCATACAGCGTCATGTCCACGAAAGAATGAACCTTTCAAACTTCATGAAGATGTACCTCTAATATAATTGTAACAACTGTACCAAATATGGTTTTGGCAGAGCGTACGGCGCATGCTTGAATCTTGATTCAGATCACCTTTCGACGGTAATTGAGGGTCTTCAGCTGGTGAAGCTTTAGGGCCTTTTGGACGAGTCCTAGACCATCGAGCTTTTACGCCGAGTCGCATCAAGCTCTGCCCAACGAATTGTATATTGCTATTTCACAACACTCAATCGGTGTACTAAAACTAGGGCTGTCACGAACATTCGTAGCAGATGTGCAATGCGAATAATTAAATCGAAAATATTTGCGAATGTTCGTTATTCGCAATTTACCGCAGTCAGTAATAGATGATCCATATATACATTATATAACCCCTTCTTATATTAGCTTACACTTTGCTTATAGAAGAGCTGTACAAGCTGAGAAACTAGAAGCTAGGCCTATTCGGCATAATTTGGTTCAATCATTTGACTACTACTGCATATATACATCATCTAGTAGCATTAGAATGCTCATAGTCTCTGCCTTCATAGAGAACCTTCCTTCTCTAAGTACGTCTCTTCCTGCATTAAATAATCTTTCAATCGAGACTTCAGATGCTAGGATCGCAATGTAATCCCTAGCAGCAGCGGCCATCTGCGGGTATTCCTTCTTATAAACCCTCCACTAATCGCACAACCAGTTCTGGTCTTCCACATCACTTGCATCGTCCCGAGCACTATCGAATTACCGATCGATATCAGAAGACCGAGGTCTGTCTTGGGGCTGTAGTCTTCGCAAAATCCGGCTGCCCACTTTCCGCTCCTTTGGACTAGGCTCAAGCGGCCCTGTTACGAGCCAAGTCTTGATGAAAAAGAGTGCATTCAACTAGAATACTAAACATGGGGAAAGAAAGAAAGAAGAAGAAAGAAACAACACGCTGAAACAATTAAGGTAGTGATGCCTGAGGCCTCCAATCAAACAATGTAAAACACGAACTACGAAAGGCGGTGGAGCACGGCAGAATCGGTTCAGGATCATTGATCCTGAATTTTTCGTGACAGCAGTTATATTTTGACCTACAGTAGCCTTTCCTGCGGCAAGCGTCAGATAAGTAAAAGCGAGAATGAGAGTTGAGGATTGTTTAAGGGAGAACATGGCAAATAAAAGACGTGGTCTGTTTCGGAATGGTAGGATGAATTGACGCAAATTTTGAAAATTTAGGGAGTAAATGCCTATCTTTATATAGCTTCGCCTGTTCAGCTCTATGTAGATCCATATATAATCTCGAACTATCGCAATCGTAAAGAATGCACGAATCGATAGTTTCGGTTCCGGTGGAGATTTATTGTTTCTTCATAGAGTCGCTCTTTCCTTTTCGAGATTCAATATGACGTCATTAGAAACACATTGAGTTTACTGGAAAATGCGTGCGTGACTAGGGTGTCAGCTAGATATAGATTCTTATCCCTTCACTTTAGTCATTATAACAATATACCATTTTTCTTCTTTAAAGCTTAAATTCACTATATATAAGCAGCTCTTATATAAGTGGTCGTTTTCAGTTATAGCTTTTTCGTTATGTGGCTTTATCGCTTCTTAGCAATGAGGTAAAGAATGTGAGGTGAATAATGATGTTGCATCTACGCAAGGTGTTACGCACTAAGGTAGTCTATATTTTTTTCTCGTACACTCAACCCTTGATTCCATGAATTCCAATAAACTTTATTAATTTTGTCAGAGCCTCCATATACAGTAAGAATATTGAGGCGTATTATGACAATATTAACTACGTGGCCTCTATGGAGGTTCTAGTCGCTATGCGACGCAGAGCAGCTATATGACCATTAACCATGCAACAGCTTTGTTTTGGCTAAATTTTAAGCAAGCCGGCAAAGTGATAATGGCTCCTGTCATTCAACAACTCGCTACCCCAAACGCCCCTTGAATATTTCCTGCCTAGACCTCCGCAGAATCCAGTTTTCGACCCAGATTTATGCATAGATAAGTATAGATGATACTAATTGGAAAGGTCTTGGAATTGTTATGTACTTTTATGTAAAAATATGGGCTAGACATTTGATTCTTTGTGGCATCGTAACAGAGTCGGATTATCCAGTTGTAACTGATCCGCAGGATGGGTCGCTTGCCGCGCAGTCCGGTATATCAGCTTCGCACGCTTTTTAATTCGTGCATAAAGCTCGTCTTCAGGTAATTCAATATTGGCTTCAAGCTTCTGCGTACTTTTCCAGGTCCGAAGGACTCCCTTTAGACGTTGAATTAGACGTTATATTGGTGATTGGAGAAGGAAAATCGTTGTTATCCACTTCGTCGAATATATTTAAGTCATCCCCTTGATCAACTTTTGGTTTTATCTAGCTTGATCTCATGTAGGAAGAAATATTTGTTCCACAATCTGTGATGCGCTTTACTTCTTCACACATTAAGATGCACGCCTTTACCTGCCCAAAACCTCTATCCTCAAGCCTGCATGGCGAAAATGACCTTTAGCACTCTCTTCTTTTGCACCGACCATTTTGATCCACCATTCGAGGAAGACGTCAAACCCTTGATCGGCATCCCTTTCATAATAGCTCCAGTGACGCTTAATTAAACCTTTCAGCTCAGCGAAAAACTCTTTAATCGGATTCAAATCCGGTGAATAAGGCGGCAAATAAATCAATTTCACACCCGCATCTGGACACATCTGCTGTATTGATTCCGAGTGATGAAACGATGCATTATCCATTACCAGTACCGATTTAGGCTCCGGCCATCGTCCACAATGCTGGAGAAGTTGAGCTAGGAAGTCCTCGAATACGATAGCATCCGTAGAGCCGCGGAAAATATGCGAGAGGACGATCCCATCTTGGGCATACGCAGGCAGTATCTGATATCGCTGGTCGCGGTGGAACTGCGTTACTTGCAGAGGCGTTCTACCAAGTGGTGCCCAGCCAGTCCGTCTAAATCCAGCCCGTTTATCACATCCAGATTTATCAACATATACCAGGTGATACGATTGAAAGTCTGACAGGTTGTGTAGGTAATAGTCTCGCAAATCCGCATTCTGCTCTCTTGCGCGTTGCCGAGCGGTCTTTTTGGACCAACCTTTGGCAACAAGGGCTTGTCGGATGCTAGAGGTCGTGACCATGGTTTCGAACTCATCCCAGAGGAAGGCAGCCATCTCATCGAGGTAGAGCCCTGGCTTTATTAAAAGATGGTCACAAAGGGCTTTGATCATCAGCGGCGTCACGGTTCGTTTCCGGCCTACTCGTGTTTGGGGGGCATAGATGCTCCTAAATTGCCGCAAGTTTCTGCGAATGTTAATGATTGTTAGCTTGCTGCATTCAGCTTCTTCGGCCATTTGAGAAGTAGAAAATGACTGGCTCTCTATCATGTCACGAATGAAATTGAGCTTTGAAGGAGGAAGTCTTGGAGCCATGTCGACTTGAGTATGAGTTCCGAAGTTCCTTGGGTGATTGGAGGAGGGAAATTAGCTACCAAAGAGCAAGAAAGAGGGGTAGAGAGGTCGCTTGTGTATAAGGATTACATATAAAGTACGAGTTTCCACGCTAAGTGTTTGTAATGTAAGTAATAATATGTATAGAGAAGGCGGTCTGCGAAGGGGCATAGCGATCAATGTCCGGATGCCTGATTTCGTAGGGTTAGTGCCTGAATGGGGCCTGGGATGCCTGAAATAATACTGGCAGAAAATTAAAATACCTGAATTACTATGACAGGAGCCTTATTAAGCAAAGTATCTAAATTGCACAAGTGTTCAAGTTCAATAAAATGAAGCTATCCCCATCATACAAAATTGCATGCACCCCCGAAACCTGGCGTTGAGGCTATTCCCAACCACTCTCTATGTTTGCTCTATACTGGCTCGACCAATGAGAGAGCAGCACTTTTGTAGATTTTAAAGTGTCGCATTTCAATGAAATTGAAGTTATTCGCACTATGTAAAATATCATTCAACCCTCAGACCTGGCCCTGAAGCCATTCCCACCACACAAAACATCATACACCCCCCAAACCTGGCGCTGAGGCTATTCCCACAACACAATTATTCACCTCCGAATCCTCCTCCGCTGGCTCCGACGTGGCGGAGTGACTGCCTCCTGCGTCTGCGATCGACCTCGCTTGCGCACGATTGCGGGTGCGGGCGGCGATGGGATTGTAAGGGGCGGTGGCGATGGCGATGGGACTGCGAGGGGCGATGGACTTAGCGAGACCCACTCTAGGTCGACAATGCAATCCTGTGAATTATCGATTGCAGTTTCTTCTTGCGATTCTCGCGCAATCACCACATGAAGTCTTGCTGATTGGTTTGGCATTCTTGCAAGAAGATCCTTTACCTGGCCCTCGAAGTTATCCGTAATACCTTCGATCCATTGAGGAGTAAGCTTGCCCCCAGCGGCCTTAGTCATCTTCCCAGCGAGAAAAAATTCATCTGTCGGCAGCGCTTGAAACTTCGTAGCCGTAGGTAGCCTACATAGTAGCTTTCTCCTGACAAACCAGTCAATAGCACCAATGTAGTAGGTTGGACGGAGGGAGATTAAGACCGACGCTATAAAAATATGTTAGTAAATTAATTACTGCGAAGAGAATAAGAGCATACAGTCAGGAATTGACCGTGTTTCTCCGGGTCTTTCTCGGAGATAGAACGCAACAGCAAATGGAATGTCCCGCTCTACTTGTTGAGTAGCTCGCTGGCGTTGAGTGTACGCTAGCCTAGTGCTGCTGACTGTGCCGTAGAGAGCAGATAATGGTGTGCTTGTAAGCTGGGCCGAAGATGGAGGTGCGCTCGCTGTCGCTGTCATTGTTGCTGGTGGTGTCGGTGTCGGTGCCGGTGCCGGCGTCGCTGGCAAAGGTGTTACTGGATTCATCTCCCGCCATTGAGTAATAAAGGCGGCAAAAGCAGCAGGGGGTATGTCAGACATAGTGAATGATGAATAGTGGGAAATATAGATTAAGGAGTAGTTCTGTTTAATAAGGAGGGTTATGATAATAACTGATCACTTACTACTGAGACATTATATCTCTTCCGAGACATTAGGCCGCCAATTAGCAGCACCAACTGGCTTAGTACAAACGTCGAGTATTGGATCTCGACCAGTATCCCAGTGTGCAAACGCTCGTACCCGAAGTGCTTCGTACACCGCTCGATATGGCTGTCGAGGATCCCCAACAAGGTGAGGGTTCGGATCTTCAGGGTTAAACGGTATCCCCGCTAGCTGCTCCGCAATTTCAGTAAGCTGCTGTTGGCACCAAGAGAGTGTAGATGCGGGAAGATATTCATCAGTATCCCATGCCTGTGTGTATTGATGTATTCCTTGGAGAAACTGTGCTTGTTCTGACGCTGGATCTGTGTTTATTATACAGCGAAGATCCTGTACATCGGCATGATAAAAATTCATAAATGGCATCCCGGGTACAAATTCACGCCGGTGAGGTTGGTGTTGAATACGATGATGGTTCCAGTTGAATGTATATGAATGGACTCGGCACCGAATAACTGGCATATAAATAGCAAGGAGGGAGACTTGCTCGGGAATGCAATCTTTTGTAAAGAGGTTATCGCGTTGTAGGCAATGGAAATATTCCTATATTCATTAGCGCAGTAATATGAATGAATAACTTTATATACATGAAAAAGACCAGTGCATGCTCTCGATAACATGCCCCACCATCCCTCGATCCGCTGGTTATCAACACTGCGGCCATAGATATAACAATCGCTCGGCTTTAGCGATGGATCTTGTAGTCTTCGAAGCTCATATTGTGTATCTGCCATAAGTGTAGTCTCTGTGCCTCGGTCAGATCGGATCTTCCTTGGTTGAAATCCCATACTTGTAAAAGTATCAAGAGATTGTCGTAGTACGCTGACTGCAGTACGAGCGCTCACTCCGATATAAACCCACACAATGAATCGGGAATAGCCATCAATAGCAGCATAGATCTCGATACCAAAAGGCTCTAGCTTCATGTGCCCATCAACATGCCATACATCATTCGGACCTGGTGAAACATAATTGATTCTTGCACGCCGTCGGCCAGGTAGGCGGCCCTCGATAACTTCAGGTCGGAGGAGGTGGTATACGATCTCAATTTGAGCCCTAAGGAAGAGGAAATTAATAAAGAAGGGCGAGGGCGAGGCCGAGGACTTACTCAGTGTAAAATAAACCCATAGACTGGAGATGCCGATGAAGAGCACGACGTCCAAAATTTTCAATCTCCCCAATAACATACTCACTAATCAGAATGCCTTCGATTTCATTAAGCTGTTGGACTCGCTCCTCAGGAGAAAGTCGTAATTTGATGCCAAGGTCGGCTCGAAGTCGACGAATAGTCATTTCTGAGGTTGGTGTGCCTTCGTGATCGAGGATTCTAAGAATATCCTTAGTGTTATGTCGTGGTAAGAGCTGTTTAACACGGTCATGAATAGTAGCTTTTGTAGTGCGGAACCGTAAATTTGTGTCTAAATCTAATCGCCATCGTTGAAGGCGCTCATTCAGACTCGTCCGGCTAATCTTGATCTGGTATTTATCTTGAAGAATGGTCCGAATAGCTTCATGTGTGGTTTTTTGATGGAGAAGATCGATGATCTCGGCTTTATGAGGTTCAAGGTCGATGTAGGGTGGCATTTCATGAAAGCGTCGCAGCGATGGGAATCGTTTCAGGATATGGGAATAGCTTCAGGAGATGGATGAAGATGGGAATAGCTTCAGGAGATGGACAGAGATGGGAATAGCTGTATTTACAATATACGGTATGGAGCGGTGAAAAAAGCGGTATAGAATCAGGCATCAACAGGCATCAACTAGGGCATATTAAGGCATCCGGACATTGATCGCTATGCCCCTTCGCAGGCGGTCTGAACGAGAGGCTAATTTTAGAACGATCCAGTCAAATATCTTTCTATGTGGATATATTATCCAGAAAAAGACTCGCTTGTTTGTCGAGGTATAGCTGATTTCGAAAACTACTGTATCACGGATGGAAGATAGAAGCAAAGAGAAGGAGAGAGATCTATCTAACTACTCATCCATGGGAGACTATTCCCATGTGGGATGTCAGGGTCCAGTGGACTGGAAGACTAGTAATCAGACCACTGTCACGACTACCACCACCGAAGCGGAATTGCTGCACTCACCGAGGCCAGCAAGCACCTCCAACGATGGAGAAGGATGCTTAAAAATATCGGATTCAGCATATCACAAAGCATGACCATCGACTTTAACAAGGAGCGTACGGTCGCATTGGTAACCAGGAGAATTTCCGGTTTGAAACGAAGGTCAGGCACATCGATATCCATCACAATTGGGTGCGCTAGGAAGCCAGAGCAGGGAGAGACGCCGTGAGATGGGTGCCGACCGGGAGGGTGGTAGCTGACGGTCTGGCGAAGCTGTTACCGAGACGGAAACATGAAGACTTCGTCAGGTTGCTCAGGATAGCTAACATCAATCACATGACCAGTGACTATTGAATAAGAAACAGAGGCTGTTTCATGAAAATTGCAGGAACAGAGTTTCCAGTGAATGATGGATTCACCAGGCTGCCATCGTGGACAGAGTGCAGAGAGATCTGCCCCCGATGAGGGGGTGTGTCAGGTGAATTTCCAGAAAGTATCCACTGTTCATTTGTATTTCGTTCGTCATGTTTGAATCCCTATAGAATGCTAGAACCGGGATATAAAATAACAGAGTCTTTCGCACATTTTCATTAGCCAGGCCAAAACATCAGACAAACCAGCCATGTATCATCCAATCAGAAGCCAACAATGATCCCGCGAGTGACCATTTGTCAACTCTGAAGTACGTACTAAGCAGGGGAGGTGTAAGTAGCCACTACTTTCATCCTTCCTAGCGTTATGGTCATAATATTACCCCGAAGAAAAATGAACGCTCTTCCCGCCCGGCATGCCATATGAGTGATAGGCTGCTTTTTTTCAGTCCTCAAACCTCGTTAAAATATCGGATTTAGCGCTGCCCTTTTTGTCTCTCCTTTACACAACAAGCTGGCTAACCTCTAGATGCATCTATTAGGTTTCCTTTTTTTCATCAAACAGATCACGTCATTTTAATTTGTTGCCTCACAATTGTTGTTAGGGTGGAGAAGGGTCCCTTATATAAATCGGCTGTGAAATCTCCATCGAAATCTCCTCGCTGTTTACTGTCATTAGCTCTTCGAACTAGTTGAAACTACGAATTCACCTTCTCCATACAACTCTTCAACCATGTCTGGACTTGTGCTTCGTGGGAACCTGTCAGATGGTTCCTCTCTGCCAGCCGCTCGGGCCCGCTTGGAATCGTTTGGCCCTGCTACTTCTATGGGCTACGACTTTACGCTACTTTTTGAAGACACTATCCTCTCTTTGCTACCATCAGCTCTCTTATTATTAAGCCTACCATATCGCATGATAAGCCTCTATGGCCAGCGGCCAAAAGTATCTTCTGGGGGTTTTTTGCGCGAGAGCAAATCAATTTTCTTGGCCATGTTTACCGCAATCCATCTCGCGCTGTTGATCGCCCGCGTTTTGGATTCATCGCTACGCACGTCTGCTACTGCTGCCGAGTCTGCACTGGCTTTTATCGCCAGTCTAGGTCTCTGTCTGCTTTCGCGGCTCGAGCATTTGCGTTCTATCCGCCCATCGCCCATGATCAATGGCTACATCCTCCTCACTTTAATCTTTGACATTGTTCGTGTGCGAACTATGTTCCTAGATTCAAACAAAAGATCCATCGCCGGGATATTCTCCAGCATGATGGTTTTGAAAGTGATGGTTCTGCTTGCTGAAGCAGTCGAAAAGCGAAAGCTGCTCTTGACACCATATCGCGATTTATCGCCGGAAGAAACAAGCGGTATTTACAGCAAATCGTTTTTTTTCTGGTTGAACCAACTCATGACATCTGGATTTCAGCGTGTTCTTCATAGTCACGATTTGTATCCGATCGATAGTAACATGTCCTCCCTGGTACTCCAACAGCGAATAAAACATGCGTGGAGTGCTGCGACACAGGATAAACGAAGAGCTCTTTTCTGGGCAGTCTTGCGTGCAAATTTGAATCCATTACTTCTATGCGTCATTCCACGTTTGGTACAGATAGGCTTTAGATATACTCAGCCTTTCTTGCTCTCGCGGACGATTACTTTTGCAAATGATGAGAGCCAGTCAGACAACATTGGCTGGGGCCTCACAGGCGCTTTTTTCATAATTTTTCTTGGTGTTGCTGTTTCAAATGGCGTTTTCTACCATATGACTTTTCGTTTCGTGACAAGTATCCGTGGCAGTTTGGTCAGCATCATTTATTCAAAGACGGTCGATCTCAGCATCACAGCCCTCGACGAATCAGTTGCAGTGACTCTGATGTCCAGTGATGTTCAATCCATTTGTAATGGTTTCCAATTAATCAATGATCTCTGGGGAGTACCCCTTGAGCTCGTCATTGTTGTCTATCTCTTGACTCGCCAACTTGGCATTGTGGCGCTCGTGCCAGCCATTCTATCATTCATATCTACTGTTGCTATCATTTCTATAGCGAAGTCGATGGGACATGCCCAAAAGATATGGATGAAGAGCATTCAAACACGAGTCGATGTCACGTCCACGATGTTAGGGTCTATGAAGTCCGTTAAGATGCTTGGCTTCACTGACTGGCTCGCGGGTATTGTCCAAGGTCTCAGGGTAAGTGAGCTTCGGGAGGCAAAACTGTTTCGTAGATTGCTTGTTTTGCGTGTCTTCCTTGCAAACAGTCTCAAATTTCTAGCTCCACCCCTGACATTTGCCGTCTTTGCGACTATCCCGCAAAAAGGTCACTCTTTGAATTTAAATTCGGTTTACACCACCCTGTCCCTTATTTCACTGCTGGCTACGCCTATTAACACATTCATCCGAGCCATTCCTGCTATGAATACTGCTTTGGCATCTTTCAATCGCATCCAAGAGTTCCTCCAGTCTGAAGGCAGACATGATCATCGCATGGTTTTGGAAGATTCTCCAGTCTCAACACAACGGATTCAGTCAAGCTTGGAAGAGCTAGAACTATCAGATCTCAGTCCTTTGAGGCAAAATCCAGCATCGGAAGTCATTTCTGCCCGAGATGTGAGCTTCGCATGGGACAAAAACGCAGTTTTCTCTGTCTCGAATGTCAATTTGAGTGTGCAGAAAGGTCAATTTTGTTTTATTATTGGCTCAACAGGCTGTGGCAAGAGCACTCTCATGAAAGGAATTATCGGTGAAACGCCATCGACCAAAGGCTTTCTATACACGAAATACCGAGAGACAGCATTCGTGGACCAGACACCATGGATCCGTAACACGTCGTTCAGGGATAATATTTTAGGCATCTCAAATTACACGGAGACATGGTATCATGAGGTTGTCAGCGCCTGTGGATTGGATCAGGATGTTGCAAATCTCCAAAATGGCCACTGTGAGTTTTTACCTTATAGGTTGCCTGCCCTATTGCTTACCTTTAATCCAATTTTTAGTAACAAAAGTTGGTTCTTCCGGAATCTCTCTTTCCGGGGGACAAAAACAACGGCTTGCGCTGGCTCGTGCTGTTTATGCATGTAAAAGTATTATCATATTGGATGATATCTTGTCGGGCCTTGACGCTGACACTGAGGAACACGTCTTCAAAAGCCTGTTTGCAAGAACGGGATTGTTTCGCCGACTTGGTACGACAGTGCTACTATCTACCCATGCTGTGCACCGACTTTCTTATGCGGATCATATTGTTGCTATAAAAAGTGATGGCTCTATTGCAGAGCAGGGCACTTTAGAGGAGCTTGAGACTAGCGGAGGTTATTTAACCCTCTTGAAAGCACAGTATAAAGACCAGTCGAATGATGAATTTGACCCCCAACGGCATAAGGCTACGAATGCCGCAATCGATGGCTCTGATCAAGGAGCTCGAGTTGATGCTATGGAAGGAGAATTGACCAGGCAAAATGGAGATTTCGCTCTTTACTTATATTATCTTGGGTCTGTGCATTGGGCATCCAGTGCATTTTGGATGACTTTCTTTATACTTGAAGGAGTATCACCGAAGCTAAGCGAATTGTTGGTCAAAATTTGGGTGAGTTCATTGGAAATCAATGGCAGTACTGTCAACTCCTTCTACCTTGGTCTCTATGCCTTGGTGTCAATCACAACGGCCATTGCACTTGTGGGTGGAGCCTACCATTTATTCATATTCTTTGCTCCCCGAAGTGCTGAAACTCTACACGAACGTCTTTTAAAATCGGTTATGCATGCGCCCTTGTCATTCTTCACTTCAGTCGATACTGGCACCACTCTGAACAGGTAAGCTTATCTGGCTCAAGAACTTTTGCGACTTGAATCGTCCTGGATTACCTGACCACCAATTATGATCAGGTTCAGCCAAGACATGACCTTGATTGATCATGATCTACCTTATTCAATCTTTGATTTTGTATTCTCTCTATCGGGCGGATTCATGTCTGCTATCATGATGTGTATATCGGCTCGGTATTTTGCCGCCGTGATAATCCCATTTTTCTTTTTTTTGTGGATGTTGCAGAAGTTCTACCTACGAACATCACGCCAAATGCGCCTTCTAGACCTCGAAGCCAAATCACCACTGTTCTCTCAATTTATTGAGAGCTTATCAGGTCTAGTGACAATCCGTGCCTTCGGCTGGGCGCCTGCATTCGAAGACCAGAATCTGGCCCTACTTGACGCGTCGCAGAAGCCCTTTTATTTGCTTTTCTGTATTCAGCGATGGCTGGAACTAGCACTGGATCTGTCTGTGGCTATTCTAGGTGCTATCTTGATGGTGCTCGTCGTCAAGTTGCGAAGTGAGGTTGGCACTGGATATGTTGGTCTCGCCATTCTTAATGTCATCACTTTCAGCCAGTCGCTTTCGCAGATTCTAAGGAATTGGGCCGAACTTGAGACATCCATGGGAGCAATCGCTCGAATTAAAGATTTTGTTACCCATACAGCCTCCGAGAACAAGCCAGGTGAGAACGAGGGGCTCCAAGCCATGAACGTTGATTTATCCTCCTGGCCATCTCAGGGTGCGATCGAGTTTCAGAATGTGTCTGCATCTTACAAGGCCGGTGGAGATCAATCACTCGTACTTCGCAATTTGAGCCTATCGATTCAGCCTGGTCAAAAGATCGGGATATGTGGCCGCAGTGGTAGCGGTAAAAGCTCCCTTCTGGCTGCCCTGTTCCGACTGCTAGAAATTGAGTCACAAAGTCGGATTCTGATTGATGGCGTGAATATTGCACACATCCCGCGGCAGATTACACGTAAAGCTCTTAACGCTGTTCCACAAGAGCCTTTTCTCACCAACGGCACTGTTCGTACCAACATTGATCCGTCTAATACCAACAGCATTGAAGCGATTGAGCGCGCTCTTCGTCGTGTTGAACTATGGGATGTTGTTCAGACGAAAGGCGGATTCGACGCCCTTTTAGATGCCAATTTTTTCTCTCATGGTCAAAGACAACTCTTTTGTCTTGCACGAGCGCTATTGCGCAAAAGCAAAATCGTGGTTCTCGACGAAATGACTAGCAACGTTGATGTTTTTTCTGACGCGTTGATGCAACGAGTTGTTCGTGAAGCATTTGCGGACTGTACGATCTTGGTTGTTGCTCATCGACTCGAAACCATCCTTGACTTTGAACGCATCGCCGTGATACATGATGGCGAGCTGATTGAATTTGATACGCCGGAGGTACTTCTCAAAACTGATAGTGCATTCAGGGAGCTGTATGAGTCATGAAATGGAACTCCGGCAATTTTTGAGGTGGAACCGTGAGTCGCCATACGTAAAAACAAGATACAGTAGATGATGCGAAATATCAACGTGAAAATAAAAATTGAACTTGCACGGCTTTTCTTTAGTCACCAATAGACTTCTGCACAAGCCAACATAACCCGAACCCAACTCAGACCCATGGCCGGGGACTCAGAAACCCCAGCTTGGATCCAATTTCAATCCAGTTCTGCAGAAATTTAGGTGTTGGCGACCATAAAGTTGCTCAATAATCTAAATAACACACATAATTAGGATGTTTGTAATGTTTGTAACCCAAGTTGTGGCCCCGGACGCCACGTGCGGGGCCTTCATACTGTAGTGGGTAATCTGCAACAGCACTCACAGTGGTGATTTGTCGTCTGTTCTCTTTTCAATATTACATAGCAGTTTTACATTCCACCGCCCCCACCCACCCGCCTTCTGGATGGGGGTGCACCACACCGTAAACCCAAATTTGAAGTTATTCACATTAAATATTGCTTTCAACCTTGAGTATCTATCCAATCCCCTCTCTATCACGCTGCTATCACTGTGTCTGACAAAATAGAATTCTCCCCAGTAGGCAACTTGGGTGGCGGTTGGCTATACAATTTTGTCCACTGCTTATCCAATCTCATCTTCGCTTGTATAGCTTCATTCTCTCTCCTGGCCTTCATTGATCGATTGGCATCTTTTGTACTGAGTATACCAGAGTCTCCGATCCTTGGAATCTCACTTTCGGTGATCTGTCGCCTCCGAGGGGCTTGTATCTCCTTTTTTCAACTGACTGTATCGCTTATCATCGTAATCTCTTCTGCCGTACGTTTATGATGGTAGAACGAACTTTGTAGGCCTCACTAGAGCTTTGGTGTGAGAGCCTTTGTAGTGAATGCTTCAAAAGCTTCTTTTAGTTCTTCTCGAGGTGTTGGGTACTCTTTGGAGGGGTATTTTCCACGCTAGAAGAAGAGAGATTCGGGGGAGGTGTCGATTCACCGTATGCGTGAAGATCGGGTGCGAAGAGGTCTAGTATCGGTGGAAGTGCATCTTGAAGTTTTTGAATAACAGTATCGCCATTCGGATGGTATATACTATGTTCTTTGAAAGAATTTCGAATGATTCGCAGGTTGAAGGACTTGTTTCGTACGCTTACGATATCCTCGAGGAAATCCACTTACCGCGCGAGGATCCCGCTCCCTTGATAAATGAAGTTATTCTGCTTGCGAAAATATTGTTTAGAAGCAAAAGAAAGCTTACCATCAATAGGCTGGCAGATATGAGTCGTATGAGGCCGGAAAAAAAAGGGATAATGTCGTAATCCTCGCAGAGTTGTGGAAGTTCGACGGTCTTATGGGACTTATGACCGTCGAAATCAACATACATTTTTCATTTCTCTTTACCCCGTCTTGATGAAATTTTTGAGACCATCCAACAGCAAGGAAGTCGTTGATAAATCTCATTGGAGTAACAACCATTCAAAAGTGTGGTAGATCAGGGTGATCATACCAACTTTCCATGAACTTCTCGCCTCAGAAAAGGTACAGCGACTCCATGATCCCTCCCATTAGTAGCGATACACTCGATCGCTGTGGTATTTTGAGTATGATCGAACCCAGCGAGCTCAGGGCATCTTTCCTTCCTGCCAACATCCTTCCGAGCCCTTCCCTGGCCGGGTTGGAAGCCGCATTCATCGAATTTATAGATTACGTGTGATGGGAGACCTTTGAGTACGTTCGCAGGCTGATCATACCGGTGCTGTTGGTATGCTACATCATCTGCGTCAAGATGTTTCATATCCTTCATTCTCTGTATCACAGGGCTTAAGATAAGATATGCTGGGAGTCTTCTATCGTAATGATACGCCCACATGTTACTGACTTCCTGATTTGAACCAGCACGTACGAGGACCGGACTCGCCCACTCTGTGAGCATCTCAAGGGTAACGGGGCGATATAAATCACGCATACGAAGGGTCCATTGGACCAGAGCTTTCCCCTGATACTCATCAAGAGCCTTGTTTTTAGGTATGCGGGCGCTACGAGCCTGTTGAGCCCGGCAAATGCGACCGCGCAGTATCTCGTACGAAATATCATATTTCCGTGCGATCTTGGCTAGATTCGGGTTTCTTTCGCACTGGGCGGCTTCGCAGGCCTCGATCACATGAGATCCGTCTATTTTGGGCCCCTTTGGCATGGCGGTTGGGTGGGAACAACGTCAAGAAGATGGATAGCTTCAAAATTGGGTTTACCATGTGAATTACGTTTACGCTGTGGTGCAGTGGACGCTAATTGATAAAGTCAAGTTCTGTGAACTTTTTACGAAGATGCACCGACTCCTGTGCGCGAAGATATATATATTTCTTTAGACATATCCGACCCTTACGCTGATGATAAATTTACTAGCCATGTATATTTCGTATCCCTTGCTTCAAGGCAAAAACACTTTTAGCACGGGTCATTGTAACTGAAAACAGCCTATTCCTAAAAGATTCGGCGGATGACGGGCACCGCGAGCATGATGGTCTTGCAAGCCGTCATCGCGTCCTGGTTGATCTGCAAACGCCCGTCCTGCTGAACCAAGAGACGCACCGCTTCTAAGTGGCCCCTCTCAACCGCTTGGGAAATTGGCGGATCTGCCAGCCCGCTCGCATTGATGTCTACGCCGCCCGTGTTAAGCACCAGTATCGCGTCGACGCGTCCGTGCCCCCAAGCGACGGAACAGGGCAGCTGAGCCGCAACTACGTGAATACCAGGTGAAAATGCGTTGTACCTTGTCTCCACTACCGATTGAGCCTTTGGCTTTAAGTAGAATGATATTGCGAAGCTATTCACCAATTTTATAGACATTATGATCATGAATATCATTCTTCTGGCTCGCTTCGCTTTGTAAACAGATTGAAATCCAGATACTGGTATACCCTATTGATGACAATCCACCCTGGGCGTTGATATCATTCACGGCTGATCAAATCTGGGGGCTTACTTATCATCCAGAAAAGCCCACAAAGCGTAAAAACATGGGATGGTTGTGTTACATTTGTTATTCCCTATAAGCATATGATGTCTCTCATCATGGGGTACAAGAAAAAAGTGAATATTAAGTTCGGCTCATTCTTGTTGTCTTCTGGTCGGGTCAAATACAATTGTTGTACCTGACTGGTGCATTAAAAATTGGCTTTTTAATATCATGATCGTCTCTATCTAGCACAAGGCGGCGCTGAAATTATGTCATAACATTGGGTTACTTGTAACCACCACACATATGACGAGGCCATTGCGATGTTTGAGACGTGGAGCTAGATCGGATGGGAGGTGCAGGACTTTATAGATGCCTGATCTGTCCTTTTGTGTAGGGAGTAGATGATTCTGGGGAGCTTTCCTCTTCTCTCTCTCTCTTTTCTTTCTTCCCCATCTTCAATATCTTATTGAATAAGAACATATTTTCTGATTTGACTCACTGCATCACAGATAGTAGTAGGAACTATATTTAGGCGAATCTCCCCTAATAGTATAGTTAAGCTATCAAGATTGAAGGTCGGAACGAGTATAAAAGTTAGAATGAGCAAAGATATTAGAACGGAGTTGATCGAATTCTAGTACGAATTAACAAAGTAACATTGATATCACATCACAGACACATCTGTTTTGTGCAAATAACATATTACCGATTGTATGCAAGTCCCGTTCAGTAATTTGTATGCACTGACGTGGGCACCACGGTCTCTGTCTTGCGCGAGGTAACTGCGGAATATTGGGTGGTCGGTGTCGATGTGACAGGACATGCAATGAGCGGCTTGACCTTCGTGTCATATGTAATGAGTGCATCCGCATTGCGCCCAAGAACCGACTCGGTGTGTATAGAACAGCTCAAAGATAAGCCATCACAGGAGAACATATCGCCGTCACCAGCACTTGGAGCAGCTGCGTTCGTGTAAATGCACTTCGAGTACTTCTCATCGTAGACCATGAGGACCGAAACGAAGCCGACACCTTCTGGATTATCCGTCCACGCCTTCGGTTTTGGGCTAGCAACACCATAATTGTACCAGTACCCTGCTGTACAAACACTCATTGTTATGAAAGGCTTAGCAAATTTAAGGCAAATTTCTGTTTGGCCGGCCTGATCTCTGCATGCTCGAGCTTAAAATTAGCTGTTCAGTAATATGGCTTAACATAATGACAGCAAGTGCCGAACCACCCTAAAGTGGAAAAGAGTAAGGCTTTTCTCATTGTTCTATGCCTGCAAAGAGGTGATGACAAGATGTACATATCTAGTTTTGATAATGGATTTTAAGAAGGCTGTGTATTGCATTGTAACCATGAAGCTTCTCGAACAGAATCAAACTATGATCTGATCGTCCTTATCAACGGCTTCAAGGAGATCCTGGACTTTCCGAAATTGGATCCCTTGGAAATATCTCTCCCTCTGATCCTGGACCATGGCATCGTCGAAACAAGCTGCTCCCGTGACAGAGAAAAGTTGATATTCAGCGAAAATAGCGCCATCGCCTCCACTCATCGCCTCCTGCTCTATTTCCGCCACATCTTTATAAGATACAGAAAGCGCAGGATACTTCTCGGTGAGGATGCGACTAATTTCTGCCCAGCATGTCTTCTCCCCGGTGATGTAGGTGTATTTGTCCCACTTGGCACTTTCCAACAAAGCGACAAGACTCTTTGCTACATCCCGGGCACATGTGACGTTGAACGGCGCGTGTCCAGTGCCTGGAATGATCATTGTTTGATTGGCGAGGTCAATTGGAAACGCAGGCCCAATGTCCTTGAGATATCGATTCTTGCTTGGGACGACGTAGTCAATCAACCAGCCCACAGAAACTAATGTCCACTCTAACTCGGCTTGCTCACGAAGCATTTTCCGTACAGGCTCGCGCGTATGGAAGTAGAACTCGGGCTGATGGGGGTGTGTTTCAAGGTTGCCCCCAAACTCAGAGGGAATGAAGCGCTTGCAGATGCGGCTCTGCTTGCAAGCCTCTATCAGGGCAAGGTGTACATCTATAAACCCCTCTGAATAGTCGAGAATCGTGGAGATCATGGCTTCGCAATCCGAAATTGCATTGACAATTGACTCCACTGAGTAGTCAATCACCGCCTGTGTCACCTTTGGCAGGCCGCTGAATCGAGATTTCAGGCTGCGGGATAACACCACCACATCATGGCCCTTTGCGGTGAGCTCCTCGACAAGATAACAGGCCAGGTCACCCGAACCTGCAATTGCTAAACGCATGTTGAAAAACTGGTTTCCGGTAGTATAATCAGTATTAAATCAACGTGGGCGGACAGCGAAAGTACTCACAGACCGAATACTTGGTGAAAGAAAACAAAAGGTGAAGATGAGCAAAGAGGACAGGTGGAAGTTTGAGTGACTTTAGCAGGGTGACAGAATAAGTAGGTGCTTGCAGAAAAGAGCATAGAACTGGAAGAGGGTTCAGCAGTTTTTATAGTAATAGATGGAAACATACTACGATCGAGACAAATGGTCAGCCTTAGCCGAAATAGGCAATACAGCGTGGAAATTCTGCATGAAATCGACTTTACTACGAGATTTCCTCTGAAGGATGATTACCAAACGTCATATACAATTATTAATCTTTCTACGCCGGTATTATGAAGCAAAGTTTCAATTTTAAGGAATAGATTAAGAAAGTGGAGAACGATTGGTCATCCCATGGGGTCCGCGGGTTCCGAGATACCAACAACGGACATATGCTTGTGAAGGCCTACAGTGTAGATATCTCAGGCTGCTAAAACAACCATCTCAAGATGGCTCATCTAGCTGAAATGCAGAGTCAAAAATGCAACTAGTATCATAAAGATGTACACAGTACCAGAAATATTTTTGATGTCAGCCTTGAAGCGAGTCTACTGTTTCACGGCCGGCTCTACTTTACGTTGGTCTCTCTTTCAACCAGCTTGTCTATATGCACTCGCCAGCTCGTCCGATCTTCAAGCGTTAAATTGCTGCTATTCAGGCTTTGTACAGCACCTGCAAGCTCGAACATGCACAGAACACCGTTACGTTTCTGTGGAGACGCAATGCACCCGTAAGCTACCGAATTAATCCCATCACGCGTGGCAGACACGATGTAAGCATGGATACGGCTTACATCGCAATGAGCTCAACAGTATTAAGTGATATGTGACAGAAGTGGATAAGCGTGTATTCAACGGTGCCAAATCTCCTGTTGATGTGGCCAACTCCATGATCAGATTCTGCTGGGCTTCGCTGACTACGTCACTATTATTCAACATTTTTCCACCACCATAGCGCATACGATGCGCAAAAATTGAATGAAGCCAACCATGGATCACACCCGATATCTTCTCTTGAAGACACAGAGAGCGTTTTCAAGCCCTTGGTGAAGCAATCATGTAAGACTTCAATTGATGAGGCTTGCCGATGTAGTTTTTTTCTCCCGGTTACAGGGATATTGTTGGGGATAGTTTCCCTTGGAGTAGATAGATAGATCTCTCTCTCTCTCCTTCTGATAGATAGTGGATAACACTACAAGCCCATGGGAATGAAAGAAGAATGATGATAAACTGTCTAAGATGGTGGACTGGATGCTCATTTTGTATGAGCATGCCGGCATGGCAAACATGCTGATAAAGGGAAGGTGCGCACACAATGCATCCATCACCTTCTCTCCTCCGTCCGCAATTCATGTTTCATTCTTCATATTTCATTGCCCATTGTACGATTTCCATGAGATTATGAGCCTCTCTTCTTGATTCCTCTGATTTCTTCTAGCTTGGGCCGCTAGTACCTCGATTTATCTATTTTCAAAATACACTTTTCAACATGGCGCGATCTGATATTCAAGACACGCATCCCCCGCCCCTCCCCACTTGACGATACTGTTGAGCTCACAGGACGCAGGAAGAAACAAAAACAGGATATCGGATTACCCTCAATCGGTCCTGTGGATCTGCCAAAAATCTCGCTGTTGGAGGAAACAAGTACAAATGTTGAAGACTGGCAAGATGAAGTTTACTGCGTTCTCCGTCTTCTGCATCTTCATAAGCTGTTAGACCACAATCGTCCTCAACCTATGAATGGGAATAAAGGTTATGAACAGTGGTCTTACTGGTCTAACACCGTCATGTACGCCAATGTTTTGATGAAGGAGCTCGCTCGTGCGTTGCGTGGCAGCAATGTGATCAGTCAAACAATCCTCGATGGCAAGAGATTCATTCCCCTAAAAGAAACAGTTTCAGCACCATGAACGTCTACATTATTGCCTTCCGGAGATCTCCAGCAATCCTCGAGAAGTGCAAGGTCGCTCTGCCACTCGGAGCGTTTATTCGCATTATTGATCAGCTCGGCAACGAATCACCGAAGATGAATTGTATCATTGAGCAAACCAGCAGGAAACAGTCCATTACTCGCAACAAATTCAATGAGTTCTGTGACGATTATGGCTTGAAGCTAGATCTTGTGTTAGGTGCAGGACTTCATGGAAGCCTGCTATGTCAGATTGTGTAGGGAGCAGATAGTTAGTTCTGGGGAGCCTTCTCTCTCTCTCTCTTTCCGTCTTTTCCCATCTTCATCATCTTATTGAAGGGGACCGATTCTTTTTTGATTTGACTTGCTGCCTCACATGCACTGAGATTTGTTTTGTGGGCTGGCAGGAAGGAAATAGGCTGATTTTCGTACTTTTTTACAAGTCTGCATCTGTTTCCTCTTCAGGCAGTAGATCGATTTCTGGCGTTTGGCTACGAGTTCTTGCTTCCGCTTGGGGGAGCGCCTGCATAGCTATACAGTTTGAGTTAGAGCAGTAGGTCAATTGAAGTTCGACTGATTGATTGATTGACCAATATTTGGTTTTTCGATGGGAGCAACCTCCGAATCCATCTATCTATGCTTTTCGAACCCGTGAGATGTCCAGAAGCATTAGTTCTGTCTCATCCGTATGTTGATCGGACTCCGTCCAGGACGCCTCCTTGTTATTTGACCTTTTTAACCCTTCCAAAGCGTCATTACCCAGCCGTGAGAAACCCTCTCCAACGTTATCGTTGCGAGTATTTCTATGGTAATTGTGGTTAAACAACTGCTTTTTTGATGATTGGGTCACGAGCAGCCTTTGGGGAAGTATTCCGGATATCAATGGCCAGATTGAAGGCAGACAAGCTGCAATGATTAGGATCCCGTCCTCTAGAATGGTGAATATACCAAGCTTCACAGAGAGTCCTTAGCCAACTCCACCTTGTTTGACCACTTCCATTGTCCTTAATTAGCTTTAAGCGCACATAGGAAGTAACGGGCCATGTCGTACAGTAGACATAGAGCCCAGCCTGCCCAAGGCTCGCAAGCTAGCAAAGTATCAGTACTTTTGCGATACATAGATGAATCGACTGACTTACCAGCGCAGGAACAATAAGATAGTCATCAAGTCCAATGGCTATTTTCTGGATGTATTTGGTATAAAATCGCGCACCGACGATTGTGGTCTGGATAATTGCGATCGTTATAGAAACTCCGATCAATTGATCTCCAAAGGAGGCGATTCCATCGCTTTGCCCCATGCTTGTTGAATGCTCTCTATACATCTGAGATTTTGAAAGGTGAAAAATGGAGTTTACGAAGGATTCAATTTTTGTTGGCCTATAGATCTGGGGGCTGGCGACTCATGGTCCGAAGGATTCAGAACGTAAATACCCCGAAACATACTTTTTAGATTGAATCTCGCTTGTAAATATTCAATGAATTATTCGACAGTGTGATGTTTGAGTCAATAGAACGAGATCGGATGGGGTTTGTGTGATTGCATTGATGCCTGATTTATGAGGTTGAGAGGGGTGTCAATGACTAGTTCTGGAGAGCTTTCTCTCTTCCTTTCTTTCCCCATCTTCAGTATTCGTTGAATAGGACCTTATCTTTTTTATTTGACTTGCCGCATCACAGATATTTCTTCTCATGGCTCAGGGAGTAGGAAGAGTTTGCCATTATTCAAAGAATTGTAGTCGCGGCGTGAAAGACCACGCGTCTTTCACACAAATGGATTAGGTGAGGATACCATTCTGTATTTATCCAGCGTCAGCAGTCCAAGCGGTCTCTGGGAGCGAGGTATGACACACCTTTAGTATCACTCGACAATACCTGATAGCCCGGCGGGTCGGGAATCAAAAGCAAGAATGAAACAATGATGGGGAAAATTTGGCTGTGCTTTCGCCCGATGCAATTCCATCAAACTGGAAACTTAATAGATCTTTTTTCTACACGCATCGGCTTCTCACTCGCGAGTCTCGTGGTGAAAGATCTGTGATCTGGATGATAAGTGACCTTGAGTGGCGTGATTAACAAGAACTTACGTGCCAGCAGTCATGGTTATATCATATCTAGATTTTGAATTAGATCACGCGAGAATAGAAGAAGTTATGAAAATCGATTAAGTAGGAACGTCAAAATCGTGGAAAGTCGCTTTGTGAATATATTTAATTTGCTCGGCTTTCTGAGACAACCTTTCCCGTCAGCAAAACTATACACCTGCCTATAGGAAATCGCCGAAAGTGATCACACAAAGTATGTAGACTTTACCGGGCCCTACAGTGCAGGGCTTACACTTCTAGAGTATGGTTTGATGGAAGATATTTATTACTTCTGCTTGGCTGAGGACTAGTGGAAACGTGGAGCTCGGTAATACAAACCCGGGAAAACAGAAAAACTATTGATGCGCGCAAAAAGAATGATATGAACAATATGAATGCGAATATAATTATGCCCTATCTTCGCATTCTTTATTCTTTTCGGGGCCCTAAGCAGAGTGATCTCTAGTAAGACGGCTCAGGAGTAAGGATTATGTTCGATCCGGCTGGGATGCAGATTTTTCCCCAACAGCATAGAAATAGGAGTACCCTTCTGTTTAAGACATCTTCTGTTTAAGGCATGGAAACGGTTAATGTGAAGAAAGCTGTGTGGAACATTAGGCAGCAGTGTCGATCCAACAGCCGGCCCACAGCGTCGACCCATATCCGGGAGCTAATCGGCTCCTCGGCTTAAGCAGGTGCCAAAATTGTTTGTGAATACTACAAGAAGCTCAGACAATCCATCATCTCATTTTTTGCATAGCTTTTCATTAAATGTTCGAGCTCTTACGAACAACCAACCGGTATATTCAGCTAGAAATTTATGAAGTAAGGTGTCTCCTGATTAAAAAAAGGACGATACAGCCTGGAAAGATGAATCAACTAACCCTAGTCAGTCCATCACAGCCTCTAAATTACAGTCGTACTCTGTCTTTTTTCTTTGTCATTTGACACATTACTTGCTAAGGAATTCACACTTCGCTTTGACCAACTACAAGCGTTTCTGGAACGAGGCTATGCTTACACTCTTGGAAAAGACAGGCCGCCTCTAGAAAACCTTGGAACTTCCAATTATTTGCTCTGGAAATTGCCTAATCTTGATGGCTGTGCAAAATGTTTCCAAAAATTGATGGTGGTTCTAGAACTAACCAATGAAAAGCGTACAGACCCGCCCATTCTGGCCCGACCCGTCCAATCCGAATTGACTAGTGGGCTGATGCAAGGTTGGAGTATGTCCCAGCCTACGAGGTGGAAGGCAAACGGCTATGAACAGGGATCATTCATGGGTAGCAAGGCAGCTAGACAAGGTTTGACGCCGGTTGAAATCCACTGAAGACCGAGTGTAACCACTGATCATGGGGTTTGTGAAGTGTCATCAAATGATATGCGAATGCCCTCGGTCATGCCATGTTTTTGTCACAGACCTGCTGACGAGGAAGGCAATTAGAGCCGACTGGCAGGGTGCCACAATAGAACACAGCGCCGCTTTTCTTGGCGGGTTATCATTATCATCATCAATATTATTCTTGATAGTTTTATAATTCCTGATACTGTTATTTTCCTAAGATTTGCATTTATATGGCTCTCTGCGGCTAGAGGCGGGGTGAATTAGACCAAAGAGATCTGAACTTCGCCTGAAAAAATTAAATCACAACACCTTATACGCAATGACCAAGCTACAACTCGTTCATGTGGTTCACGAAACATTGAGGTTGATACTAGGGATTGAAAAAATGGACATTTAGCAGCTGAGCCACTCTGTACATCATAATATGACGTCTCCATTATCTTTGGGGCTGAAACAAGGTACCGCGAGGCGAGCGCTAGACCCCGCAGCTAAATTAGGAGGAGCGGGAGCTTATGCGTAATTAAGCCAATCAGAACGTGTTGAACGTAGCACATCCCCGTGTTCCTCGACTAAGGCAAGGAAGAAGACACTGTCCACAATGTTCAAGCCTTTGTGCAAAAGTATTTGTCATAGACATAACCTACGATGAACCCCGCAGTCTTTGACGCCGTCACGGAGATGATGCACAGTCCTTTCTTATAACTTTAAAGACATCGTTTAGCTCGCGTGTCTACTTGCAGATGCTGCAAATTACATCGAGTTGCAGATTAACTCATGAGGTAGCGCGAGGAAGAATCTGGTTTTGATATGATAATAAAATAAAAGGCTATATCACCTCTGGTCCACTACAAAAACCAAGGCTGTTGTTTAGAGGGGCCACGTTGTATTCTGACATAGGGTAATAATGCGGCTTGCTGAATACTTTATCCAACCCAAAGTCTTGGCGGTGGTTCCAGGGAAGAGTAATTCAATGTATATGATGTAAGTCGATTTCGAGGACGGCTGTACAGAAAGCAGATTGTAGGGACCGCTGAATTCTTGATTTTTCCATATTACGTACGCCAAAAGCATAACCTAGGTCACATTGTATGCGGACTCACGGCAACTCATCCAATCCAAGTTCTTAAACAAAAAGCCACAATCACATCTCGTATGACGACTCCATTCGGAGATCGACAAAAAATATGCACTTGGCTTTCTCTTTTAGACGTGGCAAGTGTCAATGTGACAATAAAGAAGCACGATTTGGCTGTACAAAGGTCACTTTTGTTACATCATAGCCTAATAGTCTCGCAAATTACTGAAGCTACGAAATGGCTTTAGAGCCTAATTATTTTTGTTTCGTGTGCTTTGCAGGCGCGAAAAAGAGTAAATGCTCCTTGTAAAGCACGAAGTCGGTCGGAAACTCAAAAGCCAAATCAGCTCCCGAATCTTGGATAATGGCAGTGCCACAACTTGCAGGCCTTTTTTTACTTTTCGGATACTTCCCCGCAACCGCAGTTCCCCGAGATAAACCAACCGCTTTAAGGTATGAACAACACGCCACATTGATGCTCATTGCTGGATCTAATTCAACACATATAGACGGTGCGCATGTTGCACGTTTAGTATTTCAAATCGGGACGACAGGACACCAGTGAACGACATCTGATACTAAGACAAGCCACCATGTTGGCCACTATAGAAATTTGTCATACCCCGTCATGTATCATGAATAAAGATTCCAGAGTCTTTTCACGAGTGACTCGGGGAGAAAAGTAATGGTGGCCGAAGTATCTCACTAGTCAGCCATTGACTGGTGGATACAATCCCTCGTAGTTGATTCATAAAGGCCACCTCTCTCGATTCGAAGAAAGTCGCGAACGGAAGTCCAGTCTGTCCGAGATAGTTTAGAAGAACTTGGACCAGGCACCATTACAATGTAGCCGCTTTTAGCACTTGAGGGGATGATCTCTTTACATGCTATAGATATCTTTCTGGTCCAAACAACCGAGCCCGTAAAGCCATGTAAGCCGTATTTCTATCTTCCTCAGTTGTAGCTATTTGATCTGGATTCTAGGTGGCGTAGGCCAATCTGGCTAGAAGCTCTTTCTGTCTTTAAGTTCCTTGTTTGAAGACTCGAATATGATGCAGGTATCAGGACCATTGCAACTTAGTCAATGCCACGAGGTCATTTTAGCCGACTGGTCCTCGTTATGGCCAGGCCAGCCTTTTCAGAGGCATGGCTACTTAAATCGCTGGTCATCTCTTCCAAATTTCCATTTTCAAAGTGTTGATAAGAACCTTCGAATTCACTCATCGCTGCAACAGTCAGACCTCCTGCAAGATCTTACTCCTATTCAAACTCAAGATGCATGGTCTATCTTCCGTCGTACTTTTCGCTACCATTTCGATGGTTACTGCCGTCCCAACCGGTGGAACTGGATCCCAGTGCACCACAGAGCAGGCCAATAAATGCTGCACCGGACTTACCCACGGTATTTTGAATATCGGGGTTTTGTCTGGGCTATGTGTTCGTATGTCACATATTACTGAGACTATCAAATGTTACTACAATTGAACACTGCTAATCTTTTCCAGCTCTGATTGGCAATTGCAACAACCAGGCGGCATGCTGTGAAAGCAATGGAATCGTGAGTTATCCATATTTGATGTTTTTACCATTATCTGACTACGCATAGGGTCTTCTAAACTGCCTGACTGTGCAAGTTTGATCTCGGCAAACCTATGGAAAGTTGACCTTCTCTTGAGAAAAGCGATGCCAATTTTCTGGCCGAGATAAGAAGATAGCAATGAGTTACATAGTTAGGTACACTTAGCAGAGATAATATCATTCAACATGGTAGTCATCTACAAATCAGATCCTGCATTTGCTTCATAATAGCGAGCCGTCGCATTCTTACCCCAAGTCTACTTTGATTGCGTCGATTGCCGGAAGATTCTTGGTATGGCGCTTGAATTAGCCTTGTCACTACTATCTGACCAGTATTCAGATTGCTGGCGAAGCCAAGTAAGAAAGGTACTCTTTCATGTCGGCGAGACTGTTAAGCTCGATATATATAAAGACGTGTTGATTTCCTGCATAACAAGGCACTTTATCTCGACCTCTCGCAAAGCTGGATTCTAAACTACAACCCACTACGCTGCGTACGGATTCGAATTTTAGTCTAGCTGGAAGCAGTCAACTCGCAAAGCGACATACAGGATACAGCAACCAAATATACCCTATGTGCATGTGATGTTGTTGGGGATGTCAGGTGACATCCCACATTGGGATAGTCTCCCATGGAGTAGATAGATAAATATCTCTCGCTCTCTCTCTCTCTCTCTCTCTCCTTCTCTCCTCCGTCCGCAATACAATATTCATATCTTCATATTCCATTGCCCCTTTTATGATCTCCATGAGATGTCCCACTTCTTGAAAACGAACTTGAAGCCTCGTCAAGGCCTCCCGTAGCCTATTTGCCGTTCACGTTATTAGGCTGCCCTCATGGCGCGCGTATTTGAACCGTCGTGACGCCTCAGCGAAGTCTAAGACGGCCTTGACCTTCCTAGCCCGCGAAGCGGTAAGTGTGTCGCGCCAATTTTCCAAGCGGTGCTGAGGTTCCTCGAAAATACGGTCTATTGGAAGGCAATTCTAGACCTCAGCGGGTAATTATTCACCAAGCTGTCGAGCAGTGCATGGTTGCTGCAGAAGACATCGAGGATATCTGCCCCTGCTCCCCCATCTAATGTTTTTCTTCCGTCACAATACATTCAAGAAAGGAACGTTTGGCCAGTACGTGCTCGTCCTGATATACAATCACGTACGAGCCATCAAGTCGCGAAACCAGAACCAACAAAACATCACCATCGGGTGGATTCCCGCACACGTTGATGTGGCCGGCAATAAATTTGCCGATGAGGAAGCAAAAAGTGCAGCGCTCCTTGGCGCGGGGATGGAGGTCAAGACACTACGGCTGTACGAAGGGCTGTCGAAACCGCAGCGTGCTACTTGATACAAATGCGCACAATGAGGATCGGACTCAGGCACTTCTTGTACAAGATCAAGGCAACGGACTCGGACCGGTGTAGTTGCGAGACTAGTTCAAAAACACCGAAGCATGTTGTTTTGCAATGTTTGCATTACAACAAGCTTCGCATGCGACTGTGGGGGCGGATCAGCCGTATCGAGGGACTGGAAACTGACTGCGACAAGATCGTGTCTCACCCGCAGGCCACCCGCTACGTGGTCAACTTCATGCACCGAACAGGTCTCCTCCAGCGATTCCAACACCTGGATTGGGAGAACGACGATGTACTAATACATCACTTGAGCCATTCGTCGATATCCTCCAGGTTTTGGGTGTAAGTAGACAACGACGGCAAGTGGCGGCCTGTCGGTGGGACTGTGAAGTCGAGCATCGATCTCCCTTTATCGTTCCCGGAGCTTGCTTCATTTGAATTAAGCATCGTTGTCCTAGAGCTAGATTTAGATCACGAGCAGGTGAGCATGAAAAGAGTCCAAAGAGAGGTAGCGCGCGGTTGGTTTGTTGGCACGGAATCAGTCACACGTCCACGCGTTAGATATGAAACTCTTGGCGTCACTTCTAATTGGTGAGGCGATAGCTAATATAATCGACCTCGGGTTCCGGCCGAGGGGGGTCTAGAAAAGACTTGGCAGGGACTAGAAAAACAAGCTTATGTAATTTCTAGTTCCCCTCCAAGTCGGAATCTAGTTAGTTAGTTAAAAAGGACTGAACATTATGTAAGCTATTTTCCAAATTCCCCCAGGTTTGCTGGCTCATTTAAAGTTGAACCCCCCTATTGGGAACTAAATTCAGCCTCTCCTTCAAGGATTATAGGGTGTAGTGTAGCTTATTTTACTACCTTTATAGTATGTTTTAAAAAATGGACTGTTGAAAAGAGATCTTTATTTTCATACTTCAAATTAATATCAAAGAAAAATGTCAAGATTATTAAATTTATAGTATGGAATTTATATATATATATCTACATTAAGCGTCTCTAAAAAACCATCTTCAAACTATCTTTATATGCGTCAGGAAATATAAATATATATACAATTTAGTTGCGTTCTCTTTCAACGCGAATACTTGATTCTCGTGAGTGAACGTGATCCATTGTTTGTTTATATGTCTATAAATGTTTTCCTGACTTACCTCCTACACCTTCACTTGTTTACAATTTCTTTTTCACACAAGTTTAACGCAACTTTCGCGTATGCTCGATATTTTCATAACTTAAACTATGGCCAGTGTCTGTTTACCCAGGATTGGGTCTGCAAATTTCGGACTTCGTAAATCAACAAGTTCTTTCCACAACTAACCCTGGTGCAACCTTCGGGTTCAGAAGCAAGAGTGCGGTACTCCTTAGTGCAGGGATGGAGGTCGCGACCGGGGACGGAATGGAAAAACTAATTATCCGTCACACCGCAGCCGCCAAGCCGGCAGTTCGACAGCGCATTCAAAGTCAACACTTTTTCCTCTTCAGGCAGTAGATCCATCTCTAGCGTTTGGCTACAAGGTTTTGCTCCCGCTTGGCGAAGCGCATGCATAGCTATACGGTACTGCTTAGAGCAGTAGGTTAATTGAACTTCGATTGATTGATTGATCGACCAGCATTTGGTTCTTCGATGGGAGCGACCTCCATATCCATCTATCTATGCTTTTTGAACCCGTGAGATGTCCAGAGGCATTAGTTCTGTCTCATCCGTATGTTGATCGGACTCCGTCCAGGACGCCTCCTTGTTATTTGACCTTTTTAACCCTTCCAAAGCGTCATTACCCAGCCGTGAGAAACCCTCTCCAACGTTAGCGTTGCGAGTATTTCTATGGTAATCGTGGCGAGACCACTGCTTTTTTGATGATTGGGTCATGAGCAGCCTTTGGGGAAGTATTCTGGATATTAATGGCCAGATTGAAGGCAGACAAGCTGCAATAATTACGATCCCGCCCTCTAGAATGGTCCATATACCAAGCTTCACAGAGACCCCTATATCATGTCAGCTGATGTGTCATCGACTTTTCCAGCTAGATGAAGCATACAAGTTGGGTCTGTTGTCGCATTCTCTTGGAAAAACGTTGTCATGCGTAAAATACTAAACACAGTTCCTCTTCGCGCAAGGTCAGAGCCAAAGAAAAATTATTCAAGGAGAAAAGGACTCACAAACTTCCCAAAAAGAACACGCCTGTTAACGCTAATTTATGCCCCAATGAAGTATGCAATCTCCAGACATAGGGTAAAGGCATTACCAAGATGAGGACATCGGTCAGAATATTCGGTGGGGATACCCATCGATAAAATGACTGCTGGTTAAAACATGTTCCTCCAATTTCTGGATCCCACGTGTGTGCGATTGGTGAGCACTGAAAAATGGCAGCGAATAAGACCCCAATTCCGTGACCCAGAACAATTGCTCCAACAATATATGCAAATATTCGAAAGGTGCGAATACTGAAGATACGGACGTAGAACAATAGAATCGACACCTTTGCAGGAGTCACAGTAAATGGAAAGTCAAGGATCTCATTGGCGTAAAGGCCCTACCGCGATCATGAGGTTTTTAACTTCGAAAGCGACCAAAAAGAAGCTGACCTTTTGCAGTGTAACCAACTTCCGTGGGGTTTGCATCACATATTCAAGATGGTAGCCAACTCCACCTTGTTTGACCACTTCCATTGACCTTAATTAGTATTAAGCGCACATAGGAAGTAACGGGCCATGTCGTACAGTAGATATAGAGCCCAGCTTGCCCAAGACTCGCAAGCTAGCAAAGTATTAGTACTTTTGCGATACATGGATTAATCGACTGACTCACCAGCGCAGGCACAATAAGATAATCATCAAGTCCAATTGCTATTTTCTGGCTGTATCTGGTGTAAAATCGCGCACCGACGATTATTGTTTGGACAATTGCGATCGTTATAGAAACTCCGATCAATTGATCTCCACAGGAGGCGATTCCATCGCTTTGCCCCATGCTTGTTGAATGTTCTCTCTACATCTGAGAATTTGAAAGGTGAAAAAAGGAGCTTACGAAGGATTCAATTTTTGTTGGCTTATAGATCTGGGGGCTGGCGACTCATGGTCCAAAGAAATCATCACGTAAATACGCCGAAAGATGCTTTATAGATTTAATCTCGCTTGAAACTATTTAATGAATTATCCGACATTAATCTGCTTGTCAGTAGCACTTTCTTTGCCTCTAAGCGTGGCTGTCCTATTCTATCCATTGTTCCCAGAGGGTATAACAAAAAATCAAAAATTTATTCACATTACAGTCGAATCAATTTCAATAGCCTGCCGCGTTCTGCCCCACGAAGTCGGGTGCTTCTGTAAACACGGAACTCGATCGCAAATGGCTTGGTCGTGTTTGGCCAAGAACAAGTTGGATATTGACATGGGTGCACGTATGAAGGCCGATTCTGCTACGGGAATACGTCCGAGGCACCCTACTATAGAACCGATGAGAAAATACCCAACAAGAATACAGGAGGGCCAGCACACAGATACCATCCTAAATGTGATTTAAAAAAAGCCTAGATTGCAGATTAAATTGCTTCAAAGTTTCCATTTTTGGTCTAGGCTGGTCCTTGCCATCTTCGTTCTTGTTCATAAAAGAAGCCATAGTTCACGTACAAACATAGGTATGGTGATCGATGTACGCAGCTTGTTCCATCGCTGCCCTTGCAGGACGTTTTGGCCCCCAATTACTAGCGTATACTAGTATGGTTAACTAGTCAGGTAATTGTAAGTGTATGGGCAAGCCAATACTATCGACCGTGTTCCTGGAAATTAAGGACCGGCAATTCCCGCCTCGGTTGTAGCAAAGTCACGAGGTACCACGCAATGGCTTCTAACGCTTCTTAGCAAAACGTTCTAGCGGGATTGAGGTCGTGACATTTAATATTCCTCTCACCCAGTAAACTTTGTGGTCAGAGTATCAATCCCCTAAAACAAAACACAATAATGAGACAAGAACTCGATATCACAAGCCAAATCAATGCTCTGATAGGGACAATCAAGTCCGAGAAACTCGATGAAGTTACCCGGCTACAGGCCCTGAGTGCAACTCGAGGCTTGCTAGAGACCCTGGAGTCACCGGTCGAAAGGATCATTCAAGACGTTGTGATGGTGAGTCACGATTACACCTTGATATTTTGAGAATGCCCATAATCGGGTCACACTTCGCAGTGCTGAGCAGACATGAATCATACATACGAGTCCTAAAAAAGACCACTAGAACCCTCCCATATTGACTTCTATTCGCATGGGTGTCCAACTCGGCATATTCACACAAATCAGCCAGAACCCAGATCATGGAGTAACTGCCCAGGAAATCTCGGAAAGAGCTGGAGCAAGTCCGATCATTGTTGGTAAGAGCCCGAATTTGTACCATAGGACTGATATGTGTCATCGTAGTCCTGATATATCCTGTTAATAAATTCTTGTGAATGCTGCTGACATGTCCTGAACTCGCCCAGACCAGTTTCTCCGACTTCTTGCAGCAACAGGATATGTGGATCAAATTGATGCACAAAAATTTAAGCCTTCAGCTCGAACTATGATTATGGCAAACCCTAATATGGAAGCAACCACACGCGCTTGGTAAGTATTAAGGTCACTAATCTGGCTTCTGGGGTGCTGAGAGAAGACAGCTTCGACATCGGAAATTGCTGTGCGTCAAAAGCTCCGGAATTCTTCCGTCAAAATCAAAACCAGTTCCCTTCATCAGCTAGAGAAACTCCATTTCAGCTTGGGTTGAACACCAATCTCAGCTATTTTGAGTGGCTTGGTCAGAATCCAGCTTTGGCAAAAGACTTCCAGCAATGGATGGCTCTAAATCAAAAAGCTACAGCTAGCTGGACGGATTGGTTTGATATACAAAAGCATATCATTGATGGCTTCGATTTCCAGTCTCCGGACAACGTGCTGCTTGTGGATGTTGGTGGAGGCGAGGGAAAATACATACAGGAGTTTAAAGAGAACCTGAGTTTTTCTACCGCTCCAGGTCAGCTGGTATTGCAGGATCTCCCAAACGTCATTTCAGCAATCGAAAATCCACCTGATGTGGAGTTGATGGCGCATGACTTTTTCACTTCTCAGCCCGTCAAAGGTTAGAACTCCTGAAAATAATCCCCGTACATCTCAATCCTGGCTGCTAATTTGATCAAACAGGCGCTCGGACATACTTCATGCATTGGATTCTTCATGACTGGTCAGACGAGCGATGCCAGTCTATCTTAGCGAATATTGTTGCTGCAATGAAGCCAGGTTATTCACGGCTGATTATTCACGAATCAATCCTCCCAGATAAAAACTGCGACCTATCATCCGCATGTATGAGCATTATGATGATGGTACAAGTTGCAGCTTTTGAACGTTCGGAAGGGCAGTGGCGAGATTTGCTTGATTCGGTCGGGTTGTCGCACGTTAGTTTTCATCAGTGCCCCGGAAATGGAGAGGGTATCATCGAGGCTATTCTGCTATAGACTAAATAAAATATTGGGTTTGCCTCTACTGTAAAGAAATATTGCGATGGATATAGCAGCGTTTGCTTGTTTGCGCATTCGCATGTTTGCCTATCCATTGTTTGTCACACCTCTATACCTATAGATAGCGCGCTTTTTTTCTCAGAGATCTCAAAATATCATACATTCTTCATCCACTATCTCACCTACATAAGAGTTCATATTAAGATATCACCTTGACTTCGGGATGAGGAAAGTCAACTTTCGAGCTATTCAATTCTTTAGCTAAGGCTAATTTCTTCCCATTACGGCTTAACATCTTTCGTTATTCATATTAATTTACCCACAGATAGTCAAAAGAGGCTGAGGGGTTACAAGGCCACCAACTACCTTGTAAGTATGTAATGTAAACTGCGACCGGAGTGATATGATGGTTGTGCAAGTCTATACACATAATCCATGGAACGAGCGGCCTCGTTAAATTACTTCTCAGCCAGCCAGCTAGCCGCTAATGCATATCTTAAATGAGGTGAACGTAATTATTGGAGACTATCTCTGAGATCTCAAAATCACCTCACTATTCGTTGAGTAGGGACATCTCTCCGCTTTCCCCATTCTTCGCGGCGACGAGGACTACCTCGTCAGTGAAGATTTCTAGGTTTATTTGAAGCGTTAGTCAAACCAATTTTCATGGTTTTTGCGCCTTCTATGTTCGATGTTCGGAACGCGCAATCAGAAACCCGCATAGCGCCCCTCATAAGGGGCGCCCAGTGCAAGACAACTTGCCAGGTGTCGGCAAATCTGACGGTATTCTCATATAGCAGCATATATTCTGAGATAGTCAAATTGGGGCGAATAAAAATTTTCAATTTTGGGAAGTCAAAGTCAAGTGGACTCACTATGTTAGTGGATTAGTGATGCAGAATGGTATGATATTGTGAGATCTCTGAGGAAAAACGCTCGCTATCTATAGGTATAGAGGTGTGACAAACAATGGATAGGCAAAAATGCGAATGCGCAAACAAGCAAACGCTGCTATATTCATCAAGAATGGAAAATTCTCTCTCTCGATCAGACACTAAAGGAAATACTGCTGACGGGTCGTGACTTGCTGACAGATCTTTGCTTCTGACAGTAGCTGATTGACGCATGAAATGACTTGTTCTCTGTAGTGCTCATTTCTGACGACCTGGAGACATACCCAAGGAAGCAAAGCCGGTGCAAGATAGTTCCTCTGTATGGAAGGTTAAAATTGTCATAACTTCAAAATAATAGCGTGGCAGGCCGGATTTTGGAAGTTTTGTTACTTTGCTTGGGCGTTCTGTCAGCCTCTCTTGAGGCCGCTATGATCTAACTATGACTTAGCAGGCATTTTTGATTCAAAGAAATTCTACAAAGTTCAGACGATTGAAACCTCGTTTGATGTTGAGTCAATCCATCATATCCGTAACTTCTTGCCTACTCGTAATAGAAATTCCATTATCTCAGCCAATTGGCTATACTTTCCTGATATAGTCCACTTCGGTGTATATCTGGTTGTCTGCAAAGAAAAGAAAAGAAAAATCAATGTTAGCTACCAGCATCTTATCCACTATCGATCAATTGAGAAGGCATACCCCATGCAGGATATTTTGCAGGCTTATCAAACGCTTGATTCTGTATGTATTTGACAGCAGCGTCAAAAGTCCCGTCGGGCAAGTGCATCTCATGTTCAACCCCATCAGCGTCCGTATAAGTCATCTTATTTGGCTGCACCACCTGCTCACACTTCTCTGGGTCGACAAGCTGCACGGTTTTGTTACTACCGGACATGGTTTTGTCTATCTCTCGCTTTAAAGCAGTACCTTCCATCCACTGACCAGCGCAGGTGCTCCCGTTCGCGCTGTCAATATAGGAAGACGTTCCTCCATTAGGATCGACGCAACAAGCATGCTGGTTGCTAGTATAAGCTCTAGTGTAAATATAACGCAGGTTCTTGTTCTCCGCGCAGCCATTACAATGCACTCTCACACAAAAGGGATTAACAGAGTTACAGCAAAGTCCCGATGGAATTTCACTGCACTGAATACTGCCGATATTGAAGTTGTAAGCAGTGCCTGGGAAGAAGACGACGTCGATGGACCGAGTCCTGGGCTGGTCGTAAGACCGCCAATTATTCTGCCATATCAGGTGACCCGGGGAGGGGTAATTCACAAGGATCATATGTATTTAGTTTTTCTCCTTCGCGCAATTGAAAGTTATCATTTGCCACTTATGAGTTCTGTAATTGATAACTCCTCTACACAATCTTCCAACTTTTCTTTATACCAGTTCTGTTTTTCCTGTGAACCATTGGTGGATCAGGGGAAGGTCCCACGGTCGGGAGGTGTCAACTGGTAATAGGGGACGATCATTGGAAACGCATCGATACGACCAGTGGGAGAGATTCGCTGGCGCAGACGTCGTTCGCGAGCATGCGTACAACGTAGAGGGCCGTGGTTGTAATAGAAAAGGCCAGAAATCTAGGCATCTTTTCGTGCGAGAAAAAGTGGGGTTTGACAAGCAGCTGGCATGGGGCAAAATTCTAGATCCCCCAGGTCAGGAAGCTGAAGCGGGCTAAAAATTAGGTAAGTCTTTTCTAGACCCCTCATCTGGAACCCGTTCATCTTTGACACTCAATCTTTTCTCGAATCCTGATTACTAATAAGCACTAGTAGTACGCATTGAGTTTTTCCGTACCTCCCCCCTGGGTCGGCCAAACTATTCACCTGGTCATTGCTCGCCACAACAATCATCTTCCTTGGTATTCCGTACGGGAGATGTTTACAATTAAGCTACTGCCAGAATGGCGCTAAACCTAGTCCCTTCAAAGTATGAGCTTATCTATGACACGATCTGCGGTGGAGAACTATCTATATCGTAGATGGCCGAGACAGCTAGCTACAATAGGAGTAGCATTTAGTACCGCCACAGTTCAAGTATCTCAATTCCATCTTAATCAACGATATCAGACACTACCTATATATATGTCTAAGATGGTATCGTTTTGTCTCGAGTTTCCAAGGCTCGACGAACGCGTCCGGCTTTGGATAATTGATGGAGTAGTCTCTGTAAATGCCGGAAATAGCCCGAGCCGAACCTTGGAAGTCATATGAACCCCAACCAGTCTAGAACCACGAAAAGGTGAAGCATCTCACCAAATGCACATCTAAATTATCATCTTTTATAATGCCATGATCGCCTCAAAGGCTTAGCCTAGACCTCGGATACGATCATGGTGATGAAAAATGATGTCAGGGCACCCGAAGACACCCAGCTGTCCGTTGAGAGAGAGTTATCCCTCAATTGTGCGACTTGATGATAAAGGCGTCTGGCCCAAAACCAATTCAAAGGAATCAAAGAATTACATTCGTAAATCAACTCGACCACAACATTCTCGGTAAAAATACTCAATGTCTACCTCGATCACCACAGATGTCAGCAACTATGAGGCTCATGGATACGGCGACCTCAGCCATACTATGAAAGCCTTGACCTGGCAAGGGAAGAATTCGGTTAAACTCGGTCAGTCATTTGGCCTATGACGACCTTCACTTCACTTTGACCATCTCAAAATATACTCGATTTTGCTGCTTATACAATATGTTTTAGTGGACACAGCTCGCCCGAAAATCATTGATGAAGGAGATGTCATACTCAAGGTGACGGGCAGCACCATTTGTGGGAGTGATCTGCACCTGTTCCACGGTATGTCGTGGCTACATGACAGTCAATAAACAGTTAGTGGATCTTCTGACGCGGTATCTGTTGCCGATTTATAGAGGCTATCCCAGATCTTCAGAAAGGTGATATCCTCGGCCATGAGTTCTGCGGTGTTATCGCAAGCGTCGGGCCGGCAGTCAAGAAGGTTAAAGTAGGTGACCGCGTTGTGGCGAGCTTCCAAATTGCATGCGGGGAGTGTTATTATTGCAAGAAGAAGCTGTCCTCAATGTGTGAGCGGACGAATTCGAGCGAGGCGGCCTCTCAGCTGTATGGGCGTCGAACAGCCGGTATGTTTCCTCTTTAAGTGGCCATTCCAATTTTAGCGTGCTTGCCATACTAAGTCCCGCTTAGGCATGTTTGGATACTCTCACTTCACGGGTGGCTTTGCCGGTGGGCAAGCCGAATTTGTTCGCGTCCCTTACGGTGATGTGAACCTCCTTCAGCTGCCTGACGATGTCCCCGATGAAAAAGGTCTTTACCTTTCCGATGTGCTAGCAACATCTTGGAACGCCGTTGTTGACACAGGGGTTGAGAACGGCGACACTGTGGCCATCTGGGGAGCTGGCCCAGTTGGACAAATGGCAGCTGAATTTAGCTTCTTCAATGGTGCTAATAGGGTCATTCTTATTGACGGCGGCCGGGGAAAATGGCGACTAGACTTTGTCAAGAAGATTCTACCAAAACTTGAGATTCTTGAGTATACGAATCTCTCGAAGGGCGAGTCTGTTGCCTCAACTTTGAAGAAAATGTGCGACGGCCGCGGACCTGATGTAGCGATTGAGTGCGCCGCTGGTGAGTATACGAAAGGGTGGGCTCATTACTATGAGAGGTTACTGGGCATGGAAAATGATACGTCTGAGCTCCTCAACGAGATGATTACCTCTGTCCGTGGGTTCGGTCGTTGTGGTGTCACGGGCGTATACACTGGTTATGTGAGTGGTACATTTCCTATGGCAAAGCAATTCCGCTGACATGGCAATGCAGTGCAATCACTTCAACATCGGATCCCTGATGGAGACCGGGATCCATCTCGCTGGCAATGGACAAGCTCCCGTGCAAAAGTACTGGAATGACCTCTTGAAGCTCATTCAGCAGGAGCAGATTCACCCTTTGCATATGGTTACCCACCGTTTCAAGCTCGAGGACATGGAGACGGTTTATGATTTATTTAATAAGCGTGAACCGTCTATGCAAAAGGTTTTCGTTCAAACGCAATTTTCCGCGCCTCCAGCACCAGGAGCTCCTACACTAACAGTTTTATAAGCTTCATTCTGCTGAGTAAAAGTTTTCCTAGCAAGTTCAAATTGTCTAACATAGTCTTCAGGAATATTTAAAATGTCTTTTTATTTTTATCTCTCAACAATAAATTGTGAAAATTTTACCATGGAAAAGCATCGGTATGTTTTGGAACATGCACATCTGGTATCGAATGAGCATGCCACCAAGGCTATTCTGTTTCTTATGAAACGAAAGGAACAGTCGGCATGCATTAGCCTTCCCGTACTATGCTGCTTGCACTCAGAAGCTTATGCAAGGCTGACTAAGGCGGAGAGGGCGAGCTAATTGATGGTAGAAGCACTGCGATCATATGGTTGCACTCGTATATAGATAACTCCTAAAACTTTTAGAACAGATCGAGTAGATGGAAAATAGCCAGCTTCATCCCATGTGGTTCACGCGAGGTACCACTGCAATGTTAAGCCTCATGCAGAGATAGATTCAAATCCTGGCCGACAACCTTTCCACTTCCTAGTTGCACCTGCTCAATAGGTTGAAACACAAAGAAGACACGTAAAACACCAGCATTGTCAGATTTCTCAGTCACATTCCGCCAAGAATGGGCTGTACCTCGTTGAACAAATACATCACCCTTTCTCATTAACCTTTTGTCACCAGAATCGAGGACCAATTCTGTAGTGCCATCGATTATGACACCATAGTCGAGGGTCGCTGTTCGGTGCATTGGTATAACTGAACCTGGAGGTGCCTCAATAATCGTGCAGGAGGTGCCATTTGGCGGATTCAAAGGTGATGGATCCGAGAGCTGGGAGTGATAGTGCTTAATGTCGACGTTGGCTTTGGACTCCGGGGTTGCAGAACTCGGAGGCGAAAGGCCTTTTACAGGAAATGTACTCGTGTTGTAGGCCAAAGCATAGTCTGATGTTGTGGGTTTACCGGGTGGAACCGGGAACCCAGTGAACGATACCTGCTCGCCAACCGCGTCGCAAAAAATTGCTCGACCGCTTGTAGCATCATGAGATGTTATGATCCGACGAAGCGGCTCGGGCTTCTTTTGTCCGACTGACATATTCAGACCAATATCAAGAAATAAGGGGCAGGATATCTACGAGGAAGATGCACGTTTGCCGAAGGCTGGAGAATATCCCAACACCCTAGCAACGCTCGATAGTTATATTATCAGCTCCGTGGCGTAAATGACTAACATATTAGATCATTGTAAAACTGATAGGTCGATTATGAATCTTTGTTCTCGTCATAGGATGAGGATGTCATTATGACTCTCAATTCACCATTGTTCGCTTTACTCTGGGGACCCATGGAATGCCTTTCCACCTGCGGTAGAAATGTTCTTACTGAAAGGACTAATGTCAACTTAAGCTCATCGTGTCATCATTCGTCATTGGCACTTACCGTACTGTGTCACTTGAATACTGGGAGTGGAAAGAGGCCCTTCTAGGCTCTGGGGCTTGGCTTGCATTAATTACTATATTAAGACTCTTGTTTCTCAACTTGACAGTTCAGATATGAGACATAGCTTACTTAGGATATCAAAGTAAATTGCAATGATATATTGATACGGCAATATTAATATTCCGGGTCTATCCCTTACATAGACTAGTAAGTCATGGCCCTAGGGTTGGAGAATCAAGAGAAGAGTGTAGGTTGTTGTACCAGTCTCGTGAAGAACTGTATCATTGTGTTTATGGTAGGAAAGACCATTGATCTAGGCGTCACAGGAGCATACCTCTTAGCTAGACCGAACCCTTAGAACCTTAAAGTTATCAAAATATGTCGAGACGCTGGGCCATCGTAAATCATGACACACTATCAAGGCCGTTATTCATATAGTCGAATGATGAATACGTCCGAGTGACGCACTGATAGAATATTGACCGTGGAAGCATCCCTTCTATCGTGATGGTAACGGACACCGAAACCCTCGCTGCGGAAAATATTCGCCTCACTAATGAATCTCATAGCCGAGACCTGTGGCAAGTCTAATCGTGGAACAGTGACACTAAAAAGCCTGTCAGGACTTGGCATGAGCGATGTTTCACCATGTCGGCCCCTCCTATCCATTTCCTTGACCACCCCGACTTTGGTGAAGTCGTTCAAATGTACCGCCCTCGGGTGTCACAACCCGATCGCTCTTCTACGCGGACGTTGCGACATTAACTTAATTACCTTGTGAAAAAATGCAACCAGACTTCTTGCGGAATTTTCCTCCTTATCCGAAGCTTTATCGCGTTAGATTGCTGGACGTTGCCATTTCAGCAAGTTCTTATGGCAGTCACCGGCTACCTCTTGGACCGGGATTAAATTTATACAGATTCTTGGGTTTGAACTAATCTTCGAATTTTACTAAGCACATGGCCAGGAAATCATACTCCGATTGTTCACCTACCTTGCCTTGCTCATATCCTATAATTGATCTTGAAGCAGTTGTGATGTTTAAGGCGTGGAGATAAGATCGGATGGGGGGATGCTTGGTTTGTCAGGTGTGCAGGATGTAGATAGTTCTGGGGAGCTCTCTTCTCCTCTCTCCCTCTCTCCTTTCTCTCCCATCTGCAGTATTCTTGTCGAATAAGACCATCTCTTCTCAAAAAACTCAGATGGGAATATTTCTGGCCGCATGATCGTGCGCGCGGACGATGCCCTACATGTCATGTTGAACGCTGCCAAATTCCAAGAACATGCACCATGGAGACACGCTGGGTTATATTTGACTTGCCTTATCTCAGTATTTAATTGCAAGCATGAAAGTGAACCTAAGAAATGAAGCAGCAGAGACCGTAAAGTCAGACAATCACACAATTAAGCCTCCAGTGAGACATCATGAGCTAGACATCGTCGGCACTTAAAAAGTATTACTCCGCACTTGAATTCGATCGGCCAGATCCGCAACTTTGTAATCCTCGCCATTAAAAGCCCTCAACATCGGGAAAGCTCTTGCAATCTTCAACTGAAGGCCAGAGGCTCGTATCAATTCAACACGATTCTAGTCGATGTAACTCAGCATAATTGATGTTCTGCCCAGCCATAAGGTTAAATTGAACCTTCAATAGCCTTTGCGTGCAAGATAAGTCCTAGCCTGACGCTGGACTTTTGAAAGTGGCGTCAAATTGACTTTCTTCATATAATCTTCTAGCCCTTCTTCCACCTTGAGAGTAAAGCCTTTAAAATTCAAGACATGACAGTTCATGGGATTTTGGGTATCTACGATTGGTAATCTTGCTATCTTGCGGTATCCATTAGATGGCTTCGGTATACAAGGTTCAAGTGGACACAAACGAGGATGAAGGAACACTAGGCAACGGAGACCAAGCGTCGATAGTTTCATGCCATGATAAATGATATTAAAGATGACATTTGCCATTGAGCCTCTTCTTGTGCCCGGTATAAGCTACAATTTTTCTCGGCGAAAGCTTGAAAAGACCCCGAGGTTGACTATCGTGCAAATTACTGAAAGAGTCTGATAAAATACCTTCAACCATATTAATATTACGCAGTCCGTCTCACAGGATCTTTTGTCGGTAAACCCAGAATCCGATTCTGCGAAACTCCTACTCTCACAAGCATTGCTCGTGGTGTCCTCTCGATCTCGACAACTGGTGCCGGCGTTCAGCATCAGTTCAACTCTGCCTGAATTACCATAATTTCCGGCGACGCTTACTTCAAGCTACTGTAAGCTCACAACTGGGGATATTGCATGCGTTTCAGAGTTCGAGATTGAAGACATGGGGGTAAGTTGCTGGAAGACTACATCATCAATAAAGAAAGGCATTGTGCGGAAGGAAATAAAAACCGAGAGCAAGGTTTAGAAGACCTCGAGGCAATCAGTGACGATGAAGATAATATATTTCCTGTGAAGCCTCAACTTGTCCCCAAAGGAGGCCGGCCCATGGGGGCGCCAAGGTCTATATGTAAGCCTTGTTTCCCTTCCTAGGCAGCAACCACGCTTTCCCGCCGTTTACGAGGGTATCAATCCTTTCCATGAATATCAAGCATAGGACATATAATTCTCCATAGCGTCGATTTAGCGATTTTTCGAAAGGGCTATCACATATGATAGCTCTCACACATGTCTCCACCATATTTTTTCTTCCCGTTCCGCCATCGCAGGCTCGATCTCAATCCCAAGCCAGCCCACTGAGCCGTCAGGGCCAATCAAAAACTCCACGCGGGCGGCACTAGGAACACCCCATCGTAATGCTATTTGGATCCAGTGCGTGCCGGAAACATGAAAAAGGTCTATCCCTAAGTCTTTGGAATAGTCATTGTATCTTGCAAGCGAGGCGCACAAATCAGGGGTTGTTCGATTCAGTCCCCGATAAGCTCGGTCACCTCCGCTACAATCACTGGTAATTCTCAACTCTGGGTAAGCTGGGTGTGTATAGGCTCCCTCATATAAAGAGAAGTTGAGAGGGCTTGGCAAAGGAGGATCAGGGATTTTTGGGTACAATTCTGATAATATGTTTTCGGAAAGGTACGTGTCGTTGATCATTGCATCGCCTCTAGTTTCCATTCAATTAGAAAAATGCACCGAGAGGTAAGGCAACACAGAGATACTAAAAGAAGTTAGATGCTTTTGCATACCTTGCAACCCAGTCAAACTGATTCTCAGGTGGAACCCCCAATTTTTCATCAATCAGATGATAAGCAAGTACTTTCGCGGCCGCGTTAACCCCATTCATATTATTGCCTAACAACACGAGCCCAAAATTCCGCTGTGGTAGAAACATGACGCATGCACCATATCCGAACTGGGATCCTTCATGAAACAATATCATTTCGCCATGATATACTTGTGACATCCATCCTAGTCCATAGAGTGTAGGAGATTGAAACGGCTCAACCGGATTCGGGGATACGATAGAGTGACCACCAAACAATTTGGCGTAAGCTGTTTGAGAAAAGGGTGCCCCCCGATTCAGCATGGTCGAAATCCATTTGGCGTAATCTGATACAGATGACAATATATTGCCCGCGCCTCGAATGGTGTCAATGAAAACTTGGTTAGTGGAGACTAATTCACCGTCCAGATTCACGTAAAAGCCTTGGGAAATATCTCGGTTTGCATTTCGCGCCTCAGAGAGGGAAATGTAAGTTTCAGTCATATTCAGGGGCAACCAGATATTTTCCGTCAAAAAAGTTTCCAAGGACTTGTTCGTCACGGTCTCGATAAGATGGGATGCTACACAATACATAAGGTTGCAATATTGATATTGTGTCCGCGGAGAGGCCGTGAAGGGAAGATCCCTCATTGATTGCACAGCACCTTGAAGCGTTATGTTAGCAAGCCAAACCCAGTCGTGGCGTGGCAGGCCAGAACGATGAGACAGGATGTCAATAATCGTCATTTGCGATGTAGCCCAAGGATCATTGAGTACAAAATCCGCTGGGAGAATAGTGTGGACCAAGGTGTTCCAGCGAATGGCTGGGAAATTGATGCTATCATCAACGAGAAGAGAGATAGCTGCTGAAGTGAAGGCCTTAGTCGTGCTTCCAGTGAAAAACAGAGTATGCTCTGTCACTGGTTGAGATGTGAGGGTATCTGAAATACCGTAACCCTTTGTGATTTTTTGTCAATCCAAGCAGACGAACAGGGCTTCGAAGCTATTCTCGACAAACGAAATCACTCACTTTCGAAAAGATTTCGCCGTCAGAGACTGCGACAGCAAGACCAGGAATCTTGAAATGTTTAAGCGCCCACTCGACCTTCTGATCAAAATCTGCATTAAAGGGCGACTTGTAGTGGCTTGCTTGTTCTTTAAGTGGATTTTGGAAGGTCGCAGAGCCAGCTAGGACAAAGCAAGGAAATATGAAGACGAATGCCGACCACATTTCAGAAGAAGAACAGAGCGTTTTGTAACAAAAGCTGCAGATGGTCAACAGATAAGCTGTGCACAGCTCTTGCTAATGTGAGATGTGAGAGAGAGTGGGAAAAGAGACATGTCCCAAGGCATGTGACTATGATTTATCATTGGCGAAAAGGACCCCCGCCTACAGCAGTCTAGCAAGGCCAGCGCGCCACATCGCATTTTGCCGGCAGTACATTTCATGAAATCAGTAATTTATATCATGGAATAATACAAGCCTCAGCGCAGATCAATCATTGAGCCTGTCGCTTTAATTGAGGAACACCGTAAGATGTCCTGAGCATGGTATTGTATCTTGCTCGTAAATTACACAATGTGTACGAGAACTCAATGCAATACCATGGAAGCCGATAATGGCCCTGGAAATCATTCCGGGGTGCGCCTTGGTCTAGAAAAGGTCCCCAATACACACTGACAGGCCCCCCGACTGATCTTCCTGCTCTCATGAGTGTCTCTTATTCATAACATTCTATTCAGCGCCATTTTTCAACTGAGTTTTTCCGGGTGCGCTTAATGCTTGGGTGGGTTTCCACTTGGGCAAAAATGAACAGCCCCTTGTGGTAGGCGCATGGTCAATGGATCGGGCAAGCGCCAATCCGTGTCCAATTTTGCCCTTAGTCTCACTTTGACGCCACCCCTCTTTGAGTGGCATAAGCTCCAGCTTTGTCTGTCAACCTTTGAGGAATATTCCGTTTTACTTCTGATATCATGTTTTTTATATTTTTTTTACTGCATCGTCACTTTAGATCACCTTCGCCTGCAGAAACAGGATTCTTTCGCCGGTCACTCCCAATTGAATGTACAGTGGTGTATTATAAGTATTTGACCTCCGGTACTTCAGACTAGGGCCCACTTCTGTAATATTGCGCGGCAGAAACCCGGGAACTTCAATTCCAATTAATAGCTAGTTATGCCATCCTTCATATTTCAAAGCATGAGCCAATTTCTAAGGCATACTCTCAGATAGATGTTTTAATATGTCAGTATCTAGGCCCTCCTATGATTTCTGTGTAGACTTAAGTAGTAGCTCTATTGCCTGATTTAGTAGGCGGTCTGACTAGCGGTCAGGCCCCGAATTACCGGAGGTCAAGTACTTATGATACTTTATGCCGAGTAAGTAGAATTGTGGGGAAACGCAGGGTCCCAAGCATGGCTCGCTATAAATCTGTACAACGTGCGCGCGATACATCGTATCGAGGACCTTTCGTGATTTTGAAGAATGAACGTTCAAAATGAAATGCCCGTGTCGGAGCTGTGAGCTTCTGTATCGCCGATACATACTTTCAATAAAAAATGGCTGGCAGTATCAACTCTTATCTCTACAGTCGTAAATATTTGTTCGGCTTCATTATTGTAGAAACAAAAAAAAAAAACAAGATAAAAGGAATTTCGGAGCTGAGATAGGCCCAAGCAAACAAATAAGTGGCACGATGTCCTCGTTGTGAGTCTTTGATTGCGGCCATACTAAAAGGAATCATGCCCAGCACAGACAATCCTTTGAGGGTGTGACGTTTCCACTGACCAGGTCTTCCTTGCCTGATCGCTTGGAAAATTTCCTCTGTCAGTTACCCCCCATGTGTTGCATTCTTCTCATTCGTGAGTTTGGTCGTTGAACCAGGTTCACATCTCAACAAACACATGTAAAAAATAAAAGATGACCAGCAGATCAAGTCAGATATAGTCCGGTGTGAAAGCATGGTGTATTTCCACCCTCAGGTCTATCGTAGTCAGAATGACCACCTCCTGCAAGATATCCATGATAGACGGTTGGACAATGGTGATACTGGCCGGAGGTTAACCACGATATCCAACAATCGGATGAAAAGGAATTGATAATTGAATTTCCTGATAAAAAGATAGTTCGTTAGATCTCGACTCTGTCGCTCGGCCGAGTGAATCCTTCGCATATATAAAGAAGCACTGTTCCAGCTCTGATAAATTATTATTCGTCAAGAATCAAAAATCAATATACCAGACGTTGCAATCTATCTTGGTAAGGCTCTTTGGAGCTGTCCCATGAGCAGGAACCCTGCTAACAGCGATAGACACATTATTACCACACAATGCAGTCAATCAGTCTTTTATTGTTCTTCAGCATGGGTTTTGCCGCCCTGGCAAGCCCTGTTGCACAGTGTAAGTCATCATAATACAAAGCCACCGGTGTAGCACCTTCTGACCAACATGAAGTGGATAATGGTGGATGGAAAGGGAATATCGAAAGCCGTAACGTGGCTGCCACAGATGTTGCAGCTGGTACGGACGACGGCGGCCCTGGTTGGGATGGTGGAAAGGGTGGTCATGGAGGTGGTGGAGGCTATGGAGGTGGATGGGATGGTGGTCATGGAGGTGGTGGAGGCTATGGAGGTGGATGGGATGGTGGTCATGGAGGTGGTGGAGGCTATGGAGGTGGATGGGATGGTGGTCATGGAGGTGGTGGAGGTGGATGGGATGGTGGGAAAGGTGGTGGTGGAGGCTATGGAGGTGGATGGGATGGTGGAAAGGGTGGTCATGGAGGTGGATGGTAAGGAATAATTACGCTCTGTTTCTTGTTACGTTACTCAGTACTCAGCGGAGCTCGGCCTGGGAACTCAATACTATGTCCAATTCCATAGTCATTATGTTCAGTAATAGTTCTTTAAAATTAGGAGACTGAAGTTGGGTCGTTCTTGTAGTTATGATGTGTTCGAACTCTGGGAGTCCGGCGACAGACTCTAAAATACGGAAAGGTCGACCTCCATATATATGTAGTAGAACGTACATGTAAAGAATTCCTCTTCCTGAAACCGAACTTAGAGCCTCGTCAAAGCCTGCCGTGGGCTAATTGCCATTCGCATTGTTAGACTGCCCTCGTGGCACGCGACTTCGAAAACGTTGTGACGCCTCAGCGAAGTCCAGCACAGCCTCGACCGTCCTGGCACCTTAGAATTGGATATTTACGGCGCTAAGATGGTTGTTGACTTGAAGCTCATAAGCCTCCTGATATTTCCAGGACCTAGAGACGCAGATATCAAAGAAGACGGGTAATGACAGGGAGTAAATGCCACCAATGACACCCTTAAAGCTGCATGATCGAATATGGCCTTGATCATAAGCAGGGCTACAAGATTGAAGACCCAGGATGTCTTACCGGAAAGGGAATCAATATTGGTATTGCTCTACATTTTTGAGGTGTCGGGTGTTTCAAATTTGCAGACGAACAATAACCAGAGAGAATAATGTGCATCGGCTTCGCGCTGCTCGACGAGGCTCATGGAAGAGCGCTTGGATGTACGCCATGAATTCATCCATCTCATACGTATGCGTGTCAATGCCCCCTTGAAGATGATTGATTCCGTGCTTTCGTACCATTTTCAAAGGCGTGGAATGAGGAGATGAGCTGAGCTGTCTAGAGGCCATACGGCTAAGGAACCATTTAGGGGCGTAATCGCGAACAAATTGACGGAGATAGGGAATGGAGCCACATATGATGATGAAATTGGCTTGGATGTTACTGCCACAGAATCTATTCCACATCAGTCATCTGTTATCAAAAGAATAGCTGTTTTATGTGAGCTTACATGAACACACTGGCGAGGGCGATCTTGTATGGTACATCCATCGATGTCACTAGAGGCCATAAGGTTGCCAGTCGAAGGATACTCGTGATAATGGTTCTATATCATAATTAAAAACAAATAGCTATACTTAACAGTCGGGTGTACAGAATTCAAGACAGACAGAACGGAATTTCTTACAGACACCTAATACCAAAAATAATAATCACCCTTAGTTTCTGAATCAGAGGCATCCGGAGTCTCCAAACCACCCGGGTTGGAATCAGGATTAATATAAGATCGCTGACAGTATTTGTGATAGCTATTGTAAGGTAAACGCCGGGTCTGTTGATGTAAGAACCCTGTGTGATTGAGGAGTTCTAGCCTTTCTGGATAGGGCTAAATACGAAGATAAGAGCTAGTGTTAGAGCGGTGCTATATCCGGTAATGATAAAGGCGACGAGGTAGATGGTTTATTGCCAGTTTCGGAAAGTGCTGAGTAGCCTGTAGTACAACATAAGTAAGGCGAGTTTGGCGAATGCGAGATAAGGGATGTAAATAAACGCTGCAGTTAGAACGACTTATGCGGCCGTAAGTGTAAGTATTAGCTTTTAAATTCTGTAAAGGCCGATGAAAATTTCGAATATCTACTTTTTTATAGTTGCTTATAGTTGATAGGGGCAAATGCTGATGTGAAGTCCAACCCCGGCGTGGATGTATCCATCTAAGAAAGGGTTTCAATTAGCTAGGTTCTTTGCTCTTGGCATCCTAGCAGAGGAGAAGCGAGACTTACATAGGATCGTTGCTTGAGTGCTAACGGAAAACATCTATATTATTCGAAGGACGATTCAGTGTTACTCATTGTAATTGCCGCGGTTACACTTACCTAGGCAATGATAATAAATGCCACTGCGTGATCTTATGTTGTTTCTCGGTCCGAAAAGGTGTATGAGTCTATGAAAAAGGCATCACCTACTGTCATCCTACCAGAAACTGCTTATTACTCGTGTGTTAGTATAGATCCGCATTATAAGGGAGCTAGTGCTCAATGTTAGTCCGACCGCGACCAAGACTCGATTTGCCGTTTGCAACTATGGCGTTGGATTGCCGTAATTTGCCACTTTAATAGCTGCTGGAGAAGACAATTCTCCAGCGACCTCGGCCATCCTTAAAGGAAGAAAGTTGATAGTGTTAAAGGCGGGGCATCTTTCACGAAGATCGACCGGGGGATCGAGATCGTTAAGTTTCCAAGGCTGAGAAAACGTTCTAGCTCCGCTGTAGACGTGAAACGCATGAAGTAAAGACTTTAGCCGCACTAAGTCAAAACTCAATAGCTTTACAATGACGAATCGAAATTGGATTAAAGGTTCTAATATCTTGATACTCATCTCATTCTTGATCCTCTTCTCTAGGTACCTTGACATTAAGAAAACCTAAGATCTTGGAAACAAAAATGATCGATGTCTTCCCTGTTCAAAAAAATGCCCCGAATACAACACTGTCGTTCCTGTTTTTGGCCTAACTCACAGCGCTCCTCAACCCCAGATCGAGAAGCGAGATTGCGAGATACAAACTTCCCTCCATCCGACGTAATACGCCGCCTGAATGTCACACCTAGATTGGATGTAAAGGGCGCCTAGGTTGGTGTGGAGATATAAACCACTATGGGAAAATTCGAGCGTAGACACTTCTTCTCCAACTTCGAGGGTCTGGATGAGCGCGCCCGTCGCCGGGTCCCACAGCCACACTGTCTTATCATAAGAGCCGGACGCCAGTAGGTGGCCGTTAGGCGAGAAGGCCACCGATCGAACCAAATGTGAATGGCCTTCGATTATCTGGGTGAGCGCGCCCGTCGCCGGGTCCCAGAGCCGTACTGTATAATCATCGGAGCCGGACGCCAGCAGGCGGCCGTTAGGCGAGAAGGTCACAGATTGAACCCAACGTAAATGGTCTTCGAGGGTCTGGGTGAGAGCGCCCGTCACCGGGTCCCAGAGCCGCACTGAACTATCAGCAGAGCCGGACGCCAGTAGGCGGCCGTCAGGCGAGAAGGCCACCGACTGAACCGAACCTAAGTGGCCTTCGAGGGTCTGGGTGAGCGCGCCCGTCGCCGGGTCCCACAGCCGCACTGTATAATCATCAGAGCCGGACGCCAGCAGGCGGCCGTCGGGCGCGAAGGCCACAGATTGAACCGAATCCGAATGGCCTTCGAGGGTCTGGATGAGCGCGCTCCATCCTTCCTCAACTTGTGGTAACTGACATATTCAAGTAGGAAGCGACCGCTTGAATTCTCTACGGATCATCCCTGTTCGGGGTGCAAAGAACAAAGGGACGGCCCTATCAACCAATATCTTGGTAGCTGCGGCTCCAGGCCAGTCTAGTGGAAACGAGCGCCTCTGTTTTAGGCGTAAGAACTGATCCTCAAAATACAAGGATATGTCGTGCTCTATCACTGGCTCTTCGATCTCATGGAGGACCAAATCCTGGTGGGTATCGGTGATCCCTTCGAAGCCCAGCCTGATCGGCAACTCAGGTCTGCTTGTCAATAAAAACCGTAGTTGCACAGAAGTTGACTTTCGAACTTGTGGCAAGAGCCGGAGAATAATCCCTATATCATCTTCTGAATCGCATTCATCTAGAGCATCAATCACGATCACTCTTCTTATGGTCTCTTCGCGCTGCTTAATATCAAACAGTGGATCCAGTAGAATCTTTTCAAATTGTTCTCTCAACACCTTTTCCTAAATATTAGGGCCATCGTCAATTGCCTTTTGAACTCGAGGCAGCATTTGAGGTACTCTCTTGACCATTTGCTCGGTCAATGTTGGGAAAAGCTTTTTTGCTGTCCCTCTGTCCTCTTCGCCTCTCCGAAAGAAGAAGCTGGCCCCGAGAAGCTGCTGCTCCTAAAGACGGCTTGCAACTGTTTGGGAGATTGTTGATTTCCCTGTCCCTGCCATGCCGTTCAACCAAAATATGCATTTTCCGTGTGGCGATTTTGCCCACTCTTCGATTTCTCGAAGCAGGTCAATCCGGGTCCGCGGGAGACATTCACTGTGTTGATTGTCGTGTCACGAAGAATTCAGGATCAATGATCCTGAACCGATTCTGCCGTGTTCCACCGCCTTTCGTAGTTCGTGTTTTACATTGTTTGATTGGAGGCCTCAGGCATCACTGCCTTAATTGTTTCAGTGTTGTTTCTTTCTTCCTTCTTTCTTTCTTTCCCTATGTTTAGTATTCTAGTTGAATGCACTCTTTTTCATCAAGATTTGGCTCGTAACATGTCGTAGGAGTCGAATGCTGCTTGTTTTGCGGTCTGTAGTCTGCTAAGGTCTATCTTTTTGTGGATCAAATTGGTAGATCTCCTAAGTCAGCATCAGAGTTGGCCCTTGGTATGAATAATTAAGAGATTGGATAATGGTCCGGAGCCTACGTTTGATCAACCTGCAAGGACAAAGCAAATGTTGTTTTGTACGACTCAAGCTCCATGATAGCAAAATCTACCTCCGATCGTGCCAGTGGCCATTTTAAGGCTCGAAGGCCCCATTTCCTCATCTGTTTCTGCGTCGTTTCCGGATTGATTCTCTCTTTTAAATTTGTAAGTGCTGAGGAGCATTTGGCAATATTGTCGACCAGGTCTTGCGTAGCAGTAAGTTTGTTGCCATCAGATACACGGATCAGCTCATCGAGAGAGTGAAGGACTTGTGAAAGGGTGGCGACCTTCTCTTGGAAACGCTGAATATCCTGCTTCGCGCTCTTGACGTTATTGAGATATTTTCCACATATTTGTAAGATAACTCCGGTTAACTGGATAACTGCGATAACACTTGCTGCACCCGAAAGTGGATCCATGGTTAACAAGCCTTCCACGGTATTAATGATATCAAAAGTAAAAGTAAGATGTCGCGAAGGATCCAAAAATGGAGCTTACGCCCCTCAAAGAGGGGTAAGCATCGAAGTGAGGCTAAGGGCAAAAGTGGACCCTGATTGGCGCTTGTCCGATCGGTTAAGCCACGCAACTACCACAAGGGGTCGTTCGTTTCTGTCCAAGTGGAAACTCTTGCAACCATTGGCTGCGCCCAGCACAACTGGGTTCGAAATGGCATCAATAGGATGTTACGAATAATGGACACTTGGGAGAGTGAGAAGATCGGTCGAGGAGCCTGTGAGTGTGTATTTGTTGGGGATATCAGGTGACATCCCACATTTGGATAGCTCCCATGGAGTAGATAGATAGATATCTCTCGCTCTCTCTCTATTTCCCCTTCTCTCCTCCGTCCGCAATACAATATTCATCTCTTCATATTCCATTGCCCCTTGTATGATCTCCATGAGAATTCGAACCTGCCGACGACGAAGTGAGGTTATTTCCGGAACTAGGAATTCGTGCTCGGTTGCCAGATCGGGATTTTTGCTGGACGTTGATGTCGTGGGACAGGCTGATGCAGATTTGGACAAACTCATCGAAAGATACTGTACTCTGGTTCTTCTGGAGCATCACCTGGGTTTGGAGCAGGTATGGAAGCATAAAATAAAGATCTTGCTTGCGGTTTTCAATTGGAATGCATGCTTCTTCGGCGAGCTGCATGAAGCTAGCCAGAAAATCGGTAAAGTTCTCCTTTGGTTTCATTTTCAATTTGTGGAATTGAGTGTATGCCTCGGCCTTCCTGTTTGGGTTGGCAAACACTGTTTTCAGGTGCATGAGGATATCTTCTGCATCGGTGTAGGGAGTAGCTGATTCGGGATCCATTCGTGGTGCAATGTGTAGTTGTGCCTTTCCTTCGCAGCGGCTTTGGACATAAATCATTCTGTGGATTGGATTGGGATAATGATCTGCATTAGCAAGTAGCTTCTGTCGGATCACTGTCTGCCAGGTTTCAAAGCGAACTTCCTTGCCATCACTTAGCATGGGAGCATCAGGCATCTTGGTCGTTTTCTGAACACGAGGGGTTATAGCTACAGCCTCCACAATCGGTGCGCTGCGCTGATGGTTTCCTGATTGTAGTAACTGGTATGCCATCTCATTCCTAGCATCCACTGCTATCTTTTCTTTGTCCTTTGCGATCATCAGGTGAGCGATAGCTTCATCGCGTTCTTCAGCAGCTTGCTCTCGGAGCATGTTACTTTCCTCGAGCTCTTTGCTAACAGCATTCTCTCTGGTTTCTAACTCGTTGAATTTGGCTTCAAGCTCTTTGTACTTCTTGACCATTGTTTCGAAGCGCTGTCGTGCATCCTGCCGAGCGAGAGTGTCGCGTACTGCTGGTGAGTTTAGATACGAATGAGCTAGACTGAAACCGGTGCTTTGGCTTCGTCCTCGTATTGGTGACGAAAGGTCGGAGGAAGGGAGTTCAATCGAAGTCGGATCATGTGTGGACGTTTCTTCTTGATCATCGCTGTCAGCGAGTCTCGTTTGCTGGCTCCGAGTCATGCGGGGAGTCTTCTTCTTCGAATCAGCCATTCTTGCTGCTGATTGGTCGGTTCTGTCGATCTTTCGGTTCGGTTCGGAGGTCTTGGCTCTACGATGCCAAGGAACGGGAAGTGGGGCTAAGCAGGATTGAAACCAATCACAATGATGGTTTGTACAGTCGTGCTGCTCAGTAAAGTGTTTTGGTGATGTTTAGTATTATGTTACGAGCCAAGTCTTGATGAAAAATGGTGCATTCAACTAGATTACTAAACATGGGGAAAGAAAGAAAGAAAGAAAGAAAGAAGAAAGAAACAACACGCTGAAACAATTAAGGTAATCATGCCTGAGGCATCAAGCAAACAAACAGTGCAAACTCCATTCTAGAAAGTCGGTGGGAGATGGCAGAACCGGTTCCAGATCCATGATCGTGAATTCTTCGTGACAAAGACCCTGATACCAAAAGGGTTTGAGTGTTTTAAGTAAAAAGATCCGGTCAATGCTTATGTAACTGCTCTTCTGAGTCTTAGAGAACACCGAAAAGTTCCCAATTTTGAGAGTTTATAACTCAGCCAACATGCTAATTAGGAAATCTGATTCGAGATAACGAATCTGCTAATTGTATTGACGTAGCTTACCATCCTTGTTAGTTCCACAACGCTTATGTTGCTAAACATCCCCTTCCAGCAATCGCTGATGGTGGTTAGACAATTTTGTGCCTCAGAGATCCAACCTCAGAACGGTCGAGAAGAAAATAAAACTGATCATTTCGTTCAATTTCTTTTTAAACAGTGGAAGAAAAAGGGTGCTCATCGTTTATAGTTGGGCAACGAAACTCTCCTCCCAGAATCACGCGCATCTCCTGATACCCAGACACCCCCCAAGTGTGCTGCAAATCTTTCTCACCCTGCCCAGGATTGTTCCAAGTAACCGCTGCATTTTATCGTTCATCAACATCAACTCATCGTTTTGTTGCTTTACAGACAGTGGCGCGGTACAACAGAGCGCCATCTGTATTGATTGACCAGCCATCCCTTAGAACCTTCTCTGGGACTTCCTTAGTTTAGCCATTGGGTCGTGGTTGTAGCCGAAGAAATTTATACTGAGGTACAAGTTATTGTATTGAGATTCTTGAAGGATTCTTCCCATCATCGATCATCAGAGGGAAGCAGAAGGAATGCGAATTTTTGATGTGGCCTGTTGGGCAAGAGTTGGCCACTGGAAGACGTCAGCTACGGTAAGGGCTAGCCCGCGTTTGCGGGTGACGCTGATGAGCTTCATCGCTGAGATCGAGTCACCACCAAGATGGAAGAAGTTGTCATCCGCGCCAATAGTATGGGGCGCGATATTCAATACCTGCGCCCATAGCTGCTGCAGTGTCTGCTCCATTTGAGTGGCAGGGGCGCGCTTGGCTACTACAAGGCTGTGGTATGCCTCAATCTCGGCTCGAGACAGGCCGGCGGCCCGGTTTCGCAGCCGGCGACGATCAGTTTTGCCGGTAGCTGTCAGCGGCACGGCTGCCAAGGGAAGAAAAAGCTCCGGCACTATGTAGGCTGGCACGGCATTATAGAGATGAGCCTTGGCAATAGGGATATCCGCGCGGAAGGAATTGGTAGGCGCAGCTAGGATATCTTCTGTATCACTGTTTGAGGTGGCATTGCCTGGCGGTTCTTGATGTAGCCTGTCTGCCCAGACAAAGGCCACTAGCAGCGGCGGGCGCCCGACCTCCGTCGGCGTGACTACCTCGGCCACCACGTCGCGCGCCTGCGGGAAGCACCGCTGCACGTGGTGTTCCACTTCACCTAACTCGATGCGCTGGCCGCGGAGCTTGACCTGTGTGTCCTTGCGCCCAACAAAGCGCAGTGACCCGTCCTCTGCGTACTGCACTAGATCGCCTGTCTTATACAACCGTCCGCCAACGTTCCTCCCACGGAACTGGCGCATCCAGGCCGGCGGGTCGATGAAAACCGCCTTTGTTCGCTCTGGGTCGTTGAGGTAGCCACGCCCGATAATTGGTCCCTCAATCAGCAGCTCACCCACGGCTCCGATCGGTGCCAATCTCTCATGGCTCTCGCAATCCACAACCCAGCATACGCATCCTATCGCATGGCCGATATTCCCCCGATCTGAGCGTTCATTCATCCTTGTCTGAACAGCGGCTGATACAGAGCATTCTGCAGGCCCATAGGCATTTATCAGTCGAACATGTGGGCTGCAGCTTTTCACTGCAGCAGTGGAGACAGTTTCACCTCCAACAGCCACTATGTGTAATATCCGAAGGCTCTCGTGCGTCAACATGCTCAACAAGGATGGAGTAATGTTAGCACAACTGATCTGGTATGTCCCTATGGCCGCATTTATATCAGTCTGCTGGGAGGATTCAAAAGGAATGCAGACGCATGCGCCAACTGTAAGTGACATGAAGACATCCAGAATGCTAATATCAAAGGCGTATGACGAGAACTGGAGGACACGCGATTGACCTGTAAGGCGGAGAGCGCCTGTATATGGTAGCATGCTGGAGCAAAAGCTAGCATGCAGGATAACAACTCCTTTAGGAGTACCAGTGGAGCCAGAGGTAAACACGGCATACAACGCGCTCTCTGGGCTAACGGAGGATGGAACAATCAGGCTGCTCCTGTCTTGCCATGTAGTGTCATTAGTCCCGACAGACACCACAGTTACTGGACGGTCAGCCACTAGATGCGCCGCCATTGCCTTGTTGTGCGCCGATGCCACGATTAGCTCAGCCGAAACATCCCGGCAGATCGCCTGCAGCCGCGCCAGCGGATGTGATGGGTCTAGCAGCACAAATGCTCCGCCAGCCTTTACCACCCCAAGCATTGCCACTGTCGTCCACCGCGACTTTTCAAAACATAGCGGCACGAACACCTCGGGTCTTACCCCGTGCTCGACTAAATGCGCTGCCAACGCTGAAGACAGTGCATCCAGCTCGCCATATGTCAAGTCACCATCCCACGCGCACACTGCCAGCGCCGCCGGCCGGGCTCGGCACTGTTCCTCAATCAGCTCGTGCACGCACCGCTCCGTCCGCTCTGGTACCTCTCCATTCCACTCCTTCAGTTGCCTCCAATCCTCGCGGCTTACCCTACTCAGGTCTCCGATCAACTTATTCGGTTGCTGATAAATCTGTCCCATCATATGCGCCAGTTGGTAAAGTATTCGCTGCACTTCTGTGGGCGCAATCATCTGCGGATCATATGTCGCCTGTACGCTCACCGAGCCGCTCTCGTATTCACACAGCATAGTAAGTGCGTAGGTCGTGAATGCGTCTTGCTCAGCGAGGACATCCGGTTCCGTAAACAGGTCTGGTATGTGATCTCTTTGGCGCTGTAGGATAACCAGCAGGTTTTGGAACCGGCATGCGTCCGCCGCCTCGTCGCTTAGACGGCGAATATTCTGCAGGCCAGTCTGCTCAAACGCCAGCATCTCGATTGATTGATCCTGGACTCGCTGGAGGGCCTGGGTTACTGTGGCATTCCGGTCCAGCCGGACGCGAAGAGGGACGGTAGCGATGGTCGGTCCGGTCATCTGCCCAATGCCCGTCACCGGCGCCCCACGCCCCGTGACAGTCAGTCCAAAAACGACGTCGCTGGTGTTGGAATATTGGGAAAGGGTCAAAGCCCAGGCCAGCCGGAGCTTGGTGGTCACTGTAAAACCGTCCACCGGGCCGTTTGGCAAGCTTATCGTATGCGTGGCGGACATGGTTGGATTCGGATTGTACGCCGGCGTCGGCAGCGGTGGGAAACACGAAACTTCCAGCTCGGTAAATTGTGACCGCCAGAATCCCTCCGCATCAGACGTTGAGTCGCAGAGGTACGCTATAAACGGGCTAAAAGGTCGCGATTTCAACAGCTCGCCCTGGATGGCCGCTGCAGCCTGCACCAGAAGAAGCGGCAGAGACCAGGCATCGTACAACCCGTGATGCATCGTGAGTATGAACCGTGGTCCCTTCTTCGAGCTTTGGCTCATGACGACGGCCGCCCGGACTAGGGGTTTGCCTAGCCCCAATGATGGCGTGGCTTTTGCCATATATGCTTCCTCATCGTCGTAGAGCACCCACGGAAGCTCGCCCGGTACAACTACCTGGAAGCTTCCCAGTGGGTCGCGCGAGATGATCCTCGTACTGAGAATGGGATTGGCAATAGCGACCGCGTTCCATGAAGCTCGGAAGTGAACCAGCTCGGTATCAGTCGGGATGCGATAAGAGAAGTGGGCAATATAGGCTCTTGCTGTCTTGGCTGTGAGGGCAATGAGACCCTCCTGCAGGGCGGTGCAGGGGTAAATGTCGGTAATTTGGTCTTGGCATACCTGGCATTGGTTGATGGCCAGTTGAACGACAGCATCGTGCACGGCACCGTGTTCGAGTAAAGAGAACGGGGACGGAAGATTGGAGACGTGCGAAGGCGTGCCCGACGTTGACTGGGCAATACGTGTCAAATCCGACAGCCTCGGCTGGTAAAACACATCGGCCACGGTAAGTGAGAGACCTCCTTCGCGGACAACGCTAACAAGCTTCATCGCCGAGATCGAGTCACCACCAAGATGGAAGAAGTTGTCATCCGTGCCAATAGTATGGGGCGCGATATTCAATACCTGCGCCCATAGCTGCTGCAGTGTCTGCTCCATTTGAGTGGCAGGGGCGCGCTTGGCTACTACAAGGCTGTGGTATGCCTCAATCTCGGCTCGAGACAGGCTGGCGGCTCGGTTTCGCAGCCGGCGACGATCAGTTTTGCCGGTAGCTGTCAGCGGCACGGCTGCCAAGGGAAGAAAAAGCTCCGGCACTATATAGGCTGGCACGGCATTATAGAGATGAGCCTTGGCAATAGGGATATCCGCGCGGAAGGAATTGGTAGGCGCAGCTAGGATATCTTCTGTATCACTGTTTGAGGTGGTATTGCCTGGCGGTTCTTGATGTAGCCTGTCTGCCCAGACAAAGGCCACTAGCAGCGGCGGGCGCCCGACCTCCGTCGGCGTGACTACCTCGGCCACCACGTCGCGCGCCTGCGGGAAGCACCGCTGCACGTGGTGCTCCACTTCACCTAACTCGATGCGCTGGCCGCGGAGCTTGACCTGTGTGTCCTTGCGCCCGACAAAGCGCAGTGACCCGTCCTCTGCGTACTGCACTAGATCGCCTGTCTTATACAACCGTCCGCCAACGTTCCTCCCACGGAACTGGCGCATCCAGGCCGGCGGGTCGATGAAAACCGCCTTTGTCCGCTCTGGGTCGTTGATGTAGCCACGCCCAACAATCGGGCCCTCAATCAGCAGCTCGCCCACTACTCCGACCGGGACTAATCTCTCATGGCTTTGCATGTCTACTACCCATGGCACACAGCCTGTTGCGTACCCGATATTCCGAGGGTCCGTACCCGGCTTCATGCTTGATAATGCAGTACAGACAACACTGCACTCTGCCGGCCCGTAGGAATTTATTAGCTGTACCTGGGAAGCCCAAACCTCAACGTCTGCCTTCGACATCTGCTCCCCTATCAGAGCCAGGGTTTGTAAGCTCGGCACAGTTTCTGGCTCTAGAACCTTGATCAGTGAAGGGGTAAGATGCGCCCAGTTCACCTGGTAGTTCGTGATTATCAGGGCCAAGTCATTTCTTCGTTCTGTGTCAGAGGGAACACAAACTGACGCGCCAAATATTAAGGTGGTTAGCGAGTCAGCAATGCTGACATCAAATCCGTACGAAACAAACTGAAGTACTCTTGACCGGCTGGACAGGGACAGATGTTGACCGTGGAACAGAGCACTTGTGGAGTAAGCACTATGGGAAATGACGACTCCTTTGGGAGAGCCAGTGGAGCCAGAGGTAAATACGGCGTAAAGCGCATTGTCGGGCACCACTGTAGAGCCTGCCCAGCTGGTGGTCTCCTTCCGCCATGCTGTCTCGTGGTCGCCTACCACTACCACCTGCGCTGCCAGCTCGGCTACCAATTCCACCGCTATAGCCTTGCTGTGCGCTGATGCCACAACTAGCTCAGCCGACACGTCTCGGCAGATCGTCTGTAGTCGCACCTGCGGATGCGATGGGTCCAACAACACAAACGCACCGCCCGCCTTTACCACCCCAAGTATTGCCACTGTCGTCCACCTCGACTTTTCAAAACATAGCGGCACGAACACCTCGGGTCTTACCCCGTGCTCTACTAAATGCGCTGCCAGCGCCGAAGACAGTGCGTCCAGCTCGCCATATGTCAAGTCACCATCCCACGCGCACACTGCCGGCGCCGCCGGCTGAGCTCGGCACTGTTCCTCAATCAGCTCGTGCACGCACCGCTCCGTCCGCTCTGGCACCTCTCCATTCCACTGTCTTAGCTGCTTTTTGTCTAGTTCGCTTAACAGTGATACTCTGCCAATTTCTTCGCCTTCTATAATGCCATTCACCGCTTGGTACAAAGTGTGTGCTATTCCCGTAGCTTGTCTCTCGGATAGAGCCGCCATCCTATAACGCAGCGCCGCGGTCAGACGACGGCCTTTCATCCTACAATCGATCATGACATCGTACTATTAAAATATTAGCTTATGTGATTTTGGGGTGATACTCCTCGTGACGCCTGTTGCCCGCAGGATCACTGGTGAAAGATCCCTCACCTCGCTCGGCAGATAAGATTCCATCTCTTGAATCACTAAACTCCCTTCTCCCAAATCTTTGTCTTCACGTTCCTCCGAGGAGAAAGTCATACATGTGTTGAACATCGACCTTTCTGCGAGGCCCATTGAGTGAAAAAGGTCGGATAAAGAGAAATGGTGGTGAGTCAGCCCCGCTGCACAATCCACTTGGAGCTTACTCAGTATCTGCGAGGGTGTCTTGAACCCATTGAAATCCAACCGACAGATTAGCATGTTTATGTATGGGCCCACGGCGTCTTCTATTCCAGATACCGGAGCTCCTCGCCCCGACGCTAGGTAACCAAAGCACACCGAGTCCAGCCCTGTGTAAGCTCGCAGTACTAGTCCCCAAGCAAGGTGAAGGACATTCGATATTGTGAACCCTGTATCGGCACAGAATTCATAGATCTTAGGTATGTCTCTCAGTGTCACATGAGTCTGTTGCAGTTCTGTGGCGTCCCCGGGAGATAATGAGGTGTCGCGCAGCCGCGGAAATATGCAGGGGCCACAGCCACCTAGATACTTCCTCCAATACTCGATAGTAGGAGCTTCACATGCACTTTGCAGAAATGCGATGTAGTCTCCATAGCTTTCTCTCCCACCGATAGGCAGCTGGTCGCCGTATGCGAGAGTCAGGTCACGTTGCAAAATGGCCATCGAGGTGGCATCAGTCAGCACGTGGCTAATTTCCAGAGCACACAAGACTCTGTCGCTGTCCGTCTCACAGACTGTGAATCGTGGCAGCGACTCTCGGCCCTGTTTTCGGATCAGCCGGTTTGCGTAGAGGAAATCACACGCATCAGCACCAGCACATCTTGTTAGTACTGTTTGCACTAAGCCAGCATTCAATACCACCTGTATGAATGAGTATTTTGAAACACCTTCCACAAAGATTGACCTCAGGACGGAATGGCGATAGGTCAGCTGTACCCAGGCAGCCTGGAGCCTATCAATATTGATTTTGTGAGTGTCACCAGCAGCAGTGACCTCCCAAATGAAGAATAATTGATAGGACTGAGGCTGGCGTGTCTGGCTTAGCAGCATTCCTTGCTGAATGGGCGAACATGGATATGCCGTTTCCAGATCTTTCTGGTCAATACCGATTTCTGGCAGGCGGCGATTCAGGAGGTAGTCAAGGTCAGCGACGCTTATTTCAAGCAGCGGAAAATCTCTGGGAAGGAAAATAGGGTTCCCTTGCTGTAGCAGTTCCACAAGCTCGTTCACAGATTGTTCGAATTCATGGGCCCAGTGCTGAAGTTCTGTATCAGATAGTATGTCGCTGCGACTGAAAGAGACTTTCAGCAAATCATTGATGAGGGAAACATTTACAGCCATGAATGCAGGAGGCAGGATGTTCTGTATATATCCTGGCCACTCTCGAGCCTGGAAAGACACCTGCTGCCACAGAGTACTGTCACGCGCCCCCCACCGCTGTGCAGCTGTGGCAAAAGTGAAGAGGATTATTGGCTTTTTTCTCAATACCGCATCCTGGTTGACCGAAGGCGGTGTGTCCCCTCCGCTGTGGCATTGTCGGCAGCTGTCCTTCGTCTGGCGTAGAAGGTCTAGAAGATCCGGCTGCCGATGAGAGGGAGAGGGCACTTGTACCTGCAGAAGCGTATTAAAATGACCCACAGTCCATGAGTAATCACCACCAGAGCAGTGGTACAACTCGCGTCCATCTATTTGAGCTATTATCATAGGCAGCTCTCGACTTTCAAGAGTCCGTGCGAAGGAATCGAGTATCAAAGCTTGGAAGATTTCAAAGGGCTCGACCCGGAGAATTCCGCTCGCTTTGGTAAGAATCGAGTGCGAAACAAGTGGTGGTATCACGAAGTCGATCTCATTCGCGCGGGACCTGTGAGTGGCCAGGGCATCGTCCACCGCTGAATCTGCTACTTTGTATAACATAGCCTGGTGGGAAACAACGCGATGAGCACGATTTTTTTGCAACTCCGTACAGCACCATTCCCGAAAATGCTGTGCTTTTGGTCCATCTGACAGCATGCCTCCGCTCAGAAGGTGTTCAATATCGGCCAGAATGATCTTCCATGAAGTTTGGTCCACCACTAATTCATGAGCGGAAAGCGCCAGAAATTGACTGCCTCCGTCAGCGCGAATATATGAAGCAGCAAAAATAGGACCCTTTTCAATATCTAGAACTTGCTGAGCGGAGGCCATGATGTCAGACACGGCTTCCTTGCTGGTTACAATGCGGTTGCTGTGCCCATATGCTCCTCGAGTCTCATGAACAACTCTCTGAGTCCAGAAACCCTTATGATCCTGGGCAAAACGGGCGCGCAGCATTGGGTGACAACGGACAACCTCGTAGATTGTGGTCTCCATGAACTCAGGAGAAATATGCCTCTCCAGTTGAAGACGAATTGTCTGAATAGATTGATTTTGACCTCTGGATACTCCATAAATTATGTTCTGCTGGACTGGTGATAGAAGGAACGCTGTCTCAGTACCACCATTGGACTGTTCTGGCGTTTTTGTCTCATCCATCTTTGCGCACAGGGAAAGACGGGCTATGGTTTTCTCACGAAAAATATCTTGCACAGTGATTGATATATTCTTAGCTCGGCATCGAGCCGCCAAATGCATCGCCTTGATGGAGTCGCCTCCGAGTCGGAAGAAGCTCTCATTCACGCCAAAACGATCGGATCGCAGACTGAGAGTCTGTGAGACCAGGTGATGGAGAAGCTTTTCAATACCCGAGCCTGGTTTCACTTTCTTGATCCTGGTGTCGGTAAATGAGATCAAATCTTCATACGACAGTCTACCTGCAGCTTCCCTCAGCGTGCGGCGGCTAACTTTACCGGATACTGTCAACGGCACATATTTCAGGGGGATATATGCCTGCGGGACCATATAATCAGGTAAGAGACTACGGATGGCTGAATCAGTCATCGCAGCATATTGTCGGAATGCCTGATCAGAATCATCGAGGATTAGACCAGAGTCAGAATCTTTGAGAGTCTGCTGACGCTCGCGGGCTTTCCCTTCTCTAGAATCAATGAACGCCACCAAGGTTTGACACCCAGCCCCTCCCGCTGGAATCACCACCTCGGCAATGACCTTGGCGGCATCGTGGAAGTGGCGGCGAACGTGGTATTCCACCTCTCCGAACTCAATCCGCTGGCCTCGGATCTTGGTCTGCAGACCCTTGCGTTCGACGTAGTTAATAGTCCCGTCAGGACCATACCGAACGAGGTCACCTGTACGATAGAGTGTAGACGGCCAGTTATGTCGGGAAGAATGCAGCCACGGCGGATCCTTGATGAACGCTGTAGCTGTTCGCTCTGCATCACCAAGGTAACCCCGTGCCAGACAGGGGCCTTCGATGAGCAGCTCAGCAATTGCTCCGATTGGAGCGAGCAGTTCATAATTGTCAGGATTGACCAGCCAGAGGTTTGCACTGGGCGATGAGCCGATGTTCTTGACGTTCATGGTCCGTGTCATCTGCGGCTGGACTGTACATATTCCAGCCCATTCAGTCATTCCATACACCGACACTAGACGGACAATTCCCGCCCAACTCTCGACAATGCGCTTGTTCAAAGGCTCGCCGGCAATCGCCAACGTTCTAAGCGTGGGCACACTGTTAGGATTGAGGAAATTGACTACGGAAGGAGTCAGTACAGCCCAGTCGACTGACATCCGACACATTGCTCCCGAAGGGTCATTGATACGCTCAGTTTCGGAAGGAATGCAAACCACCCCTCCCACAATCAGTGTGCAGAATATTTCGACCAAAGAAACGCCGAAGCTATACGACGCAAATTGTAGCACCCGACACTCAGAGCTGATCTGCAATGCCTTTCCGTGACTTGCGATGGCGGCTAATGCCTGATGCTTGACTACACATCCTTTCGGGCTCCCAGTGCTGCCCGATGTAAATTGCACATATGCTGTATGGTGCGGTTGCGCGTGGGTATGTGCAAGTGGGCCGGTATCCTGCAGTTGCCCCATGAGGAAACCAGAGACTGTGATTATGTGGTCTGCGGCCCCTGTAAGCAACGTTGTGTATTGTTCCGATACTAAGATAAATGTCGCATGCGTCTGCGAAATGATTTGTTGCAGACGCGCCACCGGGTAGGAGGCTTCCATTGGAACAAATGCTGCTCCCGCCTTTAGCACAGCCAGTGTTGCGACAATCGCCCAAATAGATTTCTCGAAGCAAAGAGGCACCATCACATCAACTTTAATTCCCATTTTTTGCAGATGCACTGCCAATTTGGTGGAAAACTTCTCCAGCTGAGAGTATGTCATCTGGCCGTCCCAGGAGCAAATAGCCTGTGCGTCCGGCTGAGCACGCGACCTTCCATCGATTATTTCCGTCATTGAGCGATGATAGGAAGTGGCCATGTTTCGACTGTTCCATTTCAATATGTCATGCCGACTCTGCTGATCGACCAAGTCGACGTTCCGTACTATTTGACTTGGATCCCGGAAAAAGCACTGAATGGCCTCTGCCACACAGCCCGCTATGCTTCTTCCCTGCCTGTGGGAGAGGGCTGAAGTGTTGTATTCTAGCTGCATATGTACCTTCTCGCCACATAATTCCATGATAAGCAACACGTCATACCGCTGGGCCTTGCAATCTGTTAGTCTATTGCCGTCACCTTGAGTCTAGGCTAAAACTGACCTCACCATCTATAACGCTGACTTTTTCATCAAGTTTCAGCTGCAGTGGGCTCTCCGTATTGTTCTTTCGAAATTCAACACCGGTGTTGAATTGAACGCGGCTCGCATCAAGACCCGGAGCATGTACACTGCTGTTGCATTGAAGTAACTCTCTGATGGGGGAGTCGGGGTTCACTGTCACCGCAAGCAATTGCACGCTGTCAGGAACACAAGTGGTCATGCCAATTGTCGCACCGTCCAAATAAAGACCGAAGTAAAGCACATCCGATTCGGAAAATCGGTGGAGAACAATAGACCACGCAGCGATGAGTAGAGAAGTCATGTCGCTCCCATTACTGTCGCAGAAAGCTCTGACCGTTTGCAGGCTGTAGATAGCGATATCCTGCGACACGGCGTGCGGCTCATTTGACGTGTCACTATCGAGTACTGGGAAGATACATGACTTGCATTCGTCCTTTGCACTCCGGGAACACTCCATGTTTTGCTGAGGGGATGGGTAAGTATCCTGATGCGATCCACTCTACATTTCTTGCTTTTGACTCGATATACTGTTCACCACGTTGAACCTTTCTGTCCTTTCTGATTTTTTGTTTTCTGATTCAAAGCTCCACGTATTAAGCAAATAGAATAAAGAAACAAGTATGTGATTGCTAAGCCGACCAGGAAGATAGTGTTATACACGTTGGTATGGGCATTGCAATCAGGCGAAAGATTCAGAAGGCTATAAAAAGATAGGAGAATAGCCAAAAGCAACGTATGCAACATTTCTTAGACCCACCAGCCACTAGTTGCGATAGAGCCTTGCAAAATGTACATGAGGAGTAAGCGAAACCATTGATTCATCCGAATGTAATTTCACACGGTACCATGTTAGCGTTCATGAGATTATTTCCGCGGGAATTAAGCTATTACCCAATCCTGGGCCTTCCAGCAGTTCCGAGAGGTGTCATCAGCCCTCTGCTACTCTACCATGTATGACACAAACCTGCCCTTGAGAAGTCTGAGCAAAAATATTAGGAGAAATGGATGGATAATTTCCCCCTGGCAATAGCTTTCACAGACTGTAAATTACGAGTTCCTTCCAGTAGTGGTGCAATATTCACACTTCTTTTATCATTGCCAGGAGAGTTTCTAATATGGCAATCTATGTCTGGTCTGTCAAACAACGGTTGCCGTGACTAGAGATCTAGATTTGACAATAGTAAGCGCTTACTTCCTGTACTACGCGATGCATCATCAGAGTAGGTTGATTTGTTTCGTTCGCATTATTGTCGGTAATAGATTCCTAGGCGCACACAGACAGCCAGCTAAGACTCGGAGTCGAGTGGCTCATGTCTGTCAGACACTCCTCATGTAGCGATTCGGTATGAAGTAATCATTGTCAGCAACGTTACCTAGAGTCTCATGTATATTGATGTTTCCGGCAATTAGTACCTCAACGAACGCTCCAAAATTTGTTCTCTGTTCTGGCTAATGGGATGACGTTATAAATGTGTCGCGCAGGTAATGGTAACTTTGATCAAGTTCTACTTTGTAATCCTTGCTCAAGCGATCAGTGGATTAGATACGGGATGCCCCAAGTATGTGTCTATGGTCGAATCTTAATTTATTCTCATAACGTAAATCAAATAGTATAAGCTTTTACAAGTCCGGCGTATGGCCGAAGGGAGAATCACGGTATAGGATGATTCGATTGAACTATTTTCGTACAGCCACACTACAACGTCTTGAGGAAGGATATCGACTAGGATGTATGCTGACTGGACTGTCGCTTACGTGTTGATAAATTAGTTGATGAGCAGAGTGATGTACTGAAGTAAGTAAGAGCCTAGTGGTTGATCTTCACTTCGTTTTCCCTCTGTGTCAAGTAGTCAAGCGACTGCTGGATGCTGATACGCTGACTTGACCTGGATTTCTGCGGGGAATAGCTCAAGGTTTAATATGTGAGCATACACAAAACCTTATTCTATTTCTCGGCCTCATTCAGGCTTATCTTTGGGCTAGTAGGTGGATGAAGTCTTTGTGCAACAGTGATTTGAGACTGTACGCGAAGAGATCAGGAAATAGGTACACATGGATAAGATCTGGAACTTTGGCAGATTGTCTTGGAAATAGGTCTCCGTGCAACTTGGCATAATGATTAGGCAACATAATGTATCACAATATTTTCATGTTTTAGGTTTCAGAACTCAGTATCTTCCTTAGGTTTAGCTAGAGCCCTGGCCAGCTGGTTACAATAGTAGTTGGTGGCAAGCTACATACGCAGATTATGTAGGATAGTGTTGCTACACCCCTGCACCTAGGCCTCGGCAGGTGCTGCAGCACCAATGAAACCTGAATGAAATCTAGTACTATTGTGCTGCGACCATATTTAAGTTAAAGAATTATTTCGACAGGAAGGTGGTCGAAAGCTTTACGCCAAGGCAGCACTGAAACTGGCGGCTGGGCTCTCACTTGGTGCCAAGGCAGTACCATTTTGGTGCTGCTTGAGAGGCATACCTACACCTGAAACATAAGAGCAGTCTACTGCATCGTCCCAAATGTTTATTGTCATGTCGAAGACTTTCTTTTTGGATTACCTGCTTGATATTAAGTCCTTCAAAGTCGTTACATCACACGATTTGAGATAAATCTAGTATACGTCCCTCTGACGCAATTACCCACCGAATGGCGATGCAGACGGCAATTAATACCACCCAGGAAATATCATCCGAAGTCATTACCTGCGATGTCTGCATCATTGGAGGTGGGGCCGCAGGAACTTACGCTGCCATCCGTTTGCGCCAGATGAATAAGGATGTCATCGTTGTTGAGAAAGAGCATTGCCTCGGTGGACACACCATGACTTGCTTTGACCCTCAATTCGGTGGGAGAGCAGTTAATTACGGCGTCAGATATTTTCAGAACCTGCCTACGGTACAAAAGTTCTTTGCATATTTTGGGATCCCTCTTGAACGGGTACCGTTCGGTAACGATCGGAAAATGTTCGACTTTCGAACAGGCAAGGAAATTCACCCAATCCCCCAACCGGATGCAGATGCCGCAACAGAAAGATACATTTCTCAGTTAAACAGGTATCCTTACCTTAGGGGAGGGTTTGAACTACCCGAGCCCGTCCCAGAGGATTTGCTGTTGCCATTTGGGCAATTTATGGTGAAGCAAAACTTATGGGACTCTATAGACGGGCTAGGCGCGTTCATTAACCCACTAGGCGACTGGCCACATCAACCGACTCTCTACATTATGAAATACGCCAACTTGAACGTCCTGGAGGGTATGAGAGCCGGCTTCGTTCGACCAGGTACTGGCAACAATAGCGCTATCTACAATGCAGCGCAGAGGGAATTAGGGGAGGATGCTCTATTGAGTAGTAGTGTGGTGGCGGTAGACCGGGACCGCAATGATGGTTGGAACTTTGTCACCGTGCGAAAAGCTGAAAATCGGAAATTTAAGCTAATTCGTGCGAGGAGAATAATTGTGGCCATTCCTCCTAGGCTGGAGAACATGGGTTGTTTCGACCTGGGAAGCGATGAGTGTCGAATTTTTGGCCAGTTCCAGAACACGTACCTGTACACGGCGGTAGTAAGGATTAAGGGTCTTCCGGCTAAGGATTACGTGAACCGAGGGGCGGACGATCCGTTTAAACAACCTCAACTCCCTGGCATTTTGTTTTTGGCATCAACCGACGTCCCGGATCTCAAGACGGTTCAGGTTGGAAGCGCAATGTCCCTTTCAGAGGAGGAGCTCAAATATGTGATCTTTGAGGACATCCTTCGGCTTAGGCAATGTCTTGAGATTGACTTCTCTAAGCCCGAGTTTCTGGCAACTGCAGATCATAGCCCTTATCAGTTGACCGTTTCAGCCGACGCTATAAAGAAGGGTTTTTATCGCGAGCTAAATAATCTTCAAGGCAGTCGACACACCTTTTATACAGGAGCAGCATTTGAGTCTCATAACACACCGCAAATTTGGGATTTTACGGAGGCGTTATTGCAGAGATTTGTTCTCCCGTCTTTCGAGCAGACTGTTGGGATATAATCGAGCTCCTCATATTGAATTGAGACTGTGTCAGGAAGTCACGGATGCACCGTAGAAGTGTCGTAGATTTTATTACTCATTGTACTCAACTAAGTAACCAGGCGGTGCTTTGCTGGATTTCCATTGATGTTGAGATTTTCGAGTCCTCCAGCAATGACCCCATGGCGGCTCTTGAGAAGCATCCGAAGGCCGCGGGCTGGGATGGAAACCCCCCATCACCTGCTTCTGTGCGCCAGGCTGACGGAGACGCTCTGAACCCCCAAGATCAGCCTCGAAAAATACAAAATAAAAACACATAATTCCTCTGAACTATAACACATACAACTGTTGAAATATTTATCATGCTGCTTTTTCAATACTAAGCTGCCAAACCCTCCGTTTGTAGTAACACCCAACAACACTAATTCATGAAAATAGTTATGATCTTTGCTCGGTGATCACGATGTAGTGCGCATGCCATCGAACCGCTGGTAGTATGGACGTTCTGCTCATCGGTATCTCAGCTTCCTGGCTACACAGACACGTACATAGTCCCAAATCTGCGATGACGATCGAGTTTCTTCACATGGCGGAGTAATGGCATCGCGCAGCCTGTGATGCGTGATGCATGTTCAGCTTGTAATAAATGGTTGGTAAAGATCAGTTCTCACCTGGTCTCGAACCTTTCGTCTTTGTTGACACAACGCTGTCGATATAGCTAGGCTCGGTCCTTAGGACTGTTTAAAGTAATTTACCATATCACTTTGCGCAGGCCTTCTGTTCGGGTGAGTCGCTAATGAAGCTTTACGGCCGACGGAGCGAAGAATGGCTCCTGCTCGATTACGGTAGGCTAGGAGCTTAGGCGATCTAAAAACAGTGCGACGGTGCTTACGTAGATTATAGTACTTTTTCCCTCGCAGAGACTCAACGCTTCGGTCAATCTGATATTGCTCATGATATGCGCGAGAGCGGGCTTTCCACGGCAGCGCCCGATGAGCGTCCAGCCATAAGAGAAGGTTCTTCTCTTCCCATTTCGACCAGATTACCTCGCTTCGAGGATACATAGCGCTCACATGGACTAGCAGCAACCAGAAACAATTTTTTAGTCTATGGCATGACTTGAACTCAGCATGGATGGGAAAGATGAGCCTAAATCCCTTCTACGGCCAGTGAACAATTGAGATAATACCACATCAAGCTGAGTAAATCTCGGGGAAGCTTTGGCTCAAGTCATAAGGTGCGGGGCCGATGAGACAGCCAATCAAATATTCACTTGACTACTAGAATCTTGACACAGGGTGCCAAGTGTGATCCCCACGGTTTCGAGGTCCTGCTATGTCAGCAGAACTTGAGGCAGGAAGTGGGCCGGAGGCATGCTGATGCCTCAGGCACTACTTTCCACAAGTAATACCAGGTTTCCTCAAGAAGCGATGTCTTGGCATTATTATGTAATTAGTGATTACTATAACGTGATTCCCGGCTACGCGGTCACCCCATCAAAAATTCAGATCTTCTATATTTTTTAAACTCCAATTAAACATCCAAAATACCATTAAATTGACAATTTAAACCTTCTGCTGGCATGTAGTAAACCTATGCCCTTTTCCTCCGCATTTAGAACATGTATTTTGCCGGCGTACAGAGGGCAAAACAGGAAGTGTAGGTTCACCCTGGGGTTGTAGAGCAGGTGTAAGGTTAGATATATATTCACCTACACAACCTCTTTCTCCACCAACAGGATTCATGATATCCAAAACTTCGGTTAAACTGCCTTCATGAGTAATTTGCCTCCTAGATCTAGCTCTTTTATTCACCTGTTTTTTGTTTGCCTCCCGTAAACGCTTGATTTCGTCCTTCATTAAAATCTGCGAATAAAGCATCTTGACAGTCATATTATAATACTGTTGAAGATCTCGTTTTGTAGGCGAAGAGATCTTATCTGTGGCTGAACTTAGACCAGAATCGAGCCTAGATTTCCGTTTTTTAAGTTGCTTGATTGTCCGAGGGATACCGGTTGAAATATTGCTATTAGAAGTTGAACCTTGTGAGGTTAGTCGATTCGGGAGGGGTGGGGATTGAAGACGAATATTGAGCTTTTCTAGCACACGACTCGGGTCTAGAGGGACTAAACCAGTAGCTGCGAAGACATTCTGAATAGTAGTCTCCTTAAAAGCGTGCCCTCGTGTTTGTAGAAAGATCTCTAGGAAGTCTTCTTTCTTAATAGAATCGATGCCTAATCTTATATACTCCGCAACTTCTGTGCCGTAAATCTTCTTTAAAACAGCAAAACAGCTAACATCTAAAGGCTGTAAAAGATGAGAGGCATGCGAAGGCATACAAATTGGAATAATGTTGTTTTCTTTGCAGATCTGGTCGAATCTAGCAGTAAGGTGGCTGTCATAGCCATCAAGGACTAGAAGTCTAAACTTCCCCTTTGTCTGGCTTGTTGTATGCGGAATAAAGTGTTTTTGAAGCTAATCTAATCAATTTCATTGCTAGTCCAGCCTTTAGGACTAACATTAAGAGCCTACTGCTTTGGAAGGTTATCGAACCATCTAGCCATAAAGTTTTTGCCCTTAAAGATGATGTATAGTGGAAGGGCCCTCCCAGACGCGCAGATAGATTCGATAACAGTGACCTATTCACGATTCATAGCCTGTAAAACACCTCTCCGACCATGGAAAAATGCCTGCGTAATAACCCTTGTAGTTGTATTGATCCCTATAGCGAAGCTAGATTCATTAAAGTTATAGATATCATCCGAAATAATGCCATTTTCTCGGATTGTTTTCTCAACCAATTTAAACCACTCAAGTATTATGGCTGGGTTCTCATTCTCGGCCCTCTTATAGTCATATTTGCGTGAGAAACGAGTAGTAAGGCCTGGATGCCTCTTAATGAACTCCGTTGGCCAATTTTTACCCACAGTTGGAGGGTTAGAAGAGGAGCTCGAATCGCGGGATTGTAGTAGTAGACAAGCCATATCTCTTAATATAGAAATTGTAAGAGCTGCACCTCTCTGATCCATAGATATTAACCAATCCTGGATAGATTCCTCTTCAAGCTGAGTAAATTTATACAGAGCTGAGCGAGTATCGGACTGATTTGTTCGCCCTTTGATTCTAGCGCTCAGAGTCGTACGTGGAACATCAAAAGACCGAGCAGCAGCAGCGACCGATGTAAATCTGCCATTTTGAATAGCTTTTATAGCTAATAGGATACGGCCCTCCTGTTCAATGATTTTTTGTGCTTTTTGCGAGCGTTTTGGAGGCATGGTGATTGTTTAAAAACAGAGAGTTACTACGGAGACGGAATTTTTGAGGGGGTGACCGCGTAGCCGGGATGACCGCGTAGCCGGGAATCACGTTATGTCGCATAGAAAAAAACGCCGTTTTCGTGACCGCTAGGCCAAAAAGGTGCACACCTCCTTAGATAGGCTTAAGTACGGTCTATTATGCGTATTCATGCTTTGACACTATATACTCAGTGCCTTGGGCATCCAATAGAAACCATCTGATCCTTAGAGTATCACACAAGCTGATTGTCGTTATCACGTGACCTAAACAAAGCTATCCCTAATGGAGCAACGACGTAGATAAGAGACAACAAATTAGAGTGCCAAAAATCATTTTTACCTCAATCTTGGCATTGCCAAGAACCCATTACACCATTGTTTAAAAAATATTATGCACAAATGTATAGGTAATACTAATTAGCACAGTCGCATTTTGGTCATTTTTATACATGAAAGTGGGTTATACAATTTTCGAATGAGGGGTTTTTGGGGTGAGGTGTTAGGCCCAATTACAGTTTTTGTCAAAGTCTACAATGAACTACTTTTCTCACTTATTTTCATGCCTATCATACACTTTTGGATTACAATGTATTCTTTGGCATACCCAACAATAGCAGTGCATAAGTGAGATCAACAATTTAGAGAAATAGATGCCAATTGATGATTACTATATGACCACATAGAACAGATTGTATTTTGTCGCAGTGCGCTGCCCCCAAAGGGAGGCAGCTATTAGTTCACTACAAGACCACCCCATACTCTTGTATCAGGCTCTATCCCCATTATCCATGTGTTCCTCCCAAGACCCATTGGTGTCTCACAGTTCCTCGGTGCACTTTCCTTTGTATCTCTTGTTCTGTGCTTCTGTTTAAGCTTTCTTTGTTCTTTTTACACGATTATATTCTTTTTGAACTTATCCGGAGCTCGCAACGAAAGCTCATTTAGAGGTCGCGGTTGCCGGTTTACAACTACTTTTATCCGCTGTCCGAAGGCTCGACAACGCCCCTCCCCATAGCAGCTATTTCCTAGGATAAGCTGAATCCTGCAAAGAACATTGTCACAATCAACTGTGCTCGAAACAGATGCTACTAAAGTATACAAGTAGTCACTGCGTTTCACGGCTAGGAAAAGGTTTTAGAAAGAGTTTTCGAATTCCCCGAGACTTGTGTCACTCGAAACATTCATTCAAATAAGTCAACTTGATGTTGACACCGGAGCGTGTTTCCCCACCTATATCACCCTTTAGAAGTGCAAAAGTAATTTAGATCCTTGTTGTATCTCACACGAAGAGTACGGTCGTCAGACAAAGAGCAGTAAGGTTTACAAACTCTCAGACGAACCTCCAACATTCAGTATATCTCGGCTGAGAGTGACCTATTTGGGTTGACCCCTACGTACAAGCAATCAATTATTATGCTCTTAGCCTAAATCACCTCGGAACACCCAAGTAAGCCGAACTTGGGACGAAAGTCGCATACAACATCGTATGTCGGTGCTTGGCTGTGCAACATACTATTGGTATAATCTTACACCAGATGGATAGAACGCCGAGTAATTCAGTTCTATACCTGGTCGCTTATCAACGAGGCAGGTGGAAGAAGAAGAAATGTCAGGCATCTGCCCGAAGTGACTGGGACTGCTTGGATATTGTAATCGGGGTTGGCAATAATGTTGGAATAGCTTTCGGTATAAAATAACGCATTGTCAAGGGTATCTCATATCAGGGGAAAGATGTCGTAGCACAGCATGATCAATGCTCGCAATATATAATAGCTCTGAAAATGTTATAATCGATTTTCTCTCCTCACAGAAATCGCGGGAATCCAACAAATTATACAAAGCTATCGCGATAAAAAACATCCCATAATGAACAGAAAAACTCGTGTTGAGTCTAAAATTGATGTGTAAGACCCCCCATCTGTGTCGATCGACTTAGGTTCATTGTCTGCAGGCTCATCATTGGAGCGGGCCCATCGGGCCTCATGGCCGCATACTGGATGGCTCGCTGTGGTATCAACGCACGTATAATCGACAAACGCAGCACGAAAGTCTTCGTAGGCCATGCAGATGGTCTTCGCCCTCGCACCCTGGAGCTATTCGATAGCATGGGATTTCAGCATCGTGTTTTACACGAGGCATCTTCATCCACAGAAATCAACATTTGGGTACGGAAGTTTAATGTTTATTTTTCCGTGAAACGACAAGCCTTGAATGATGACACCATGAACAACAGGGCCCAGGCGGCGAAGGAAATCTCATCCGACAATCGCTTTGGGATATGACCAAGCCGGATGAATCACCCTATCAGAATACTCGTCTAAGCCAAGGCCGCATTGAAAGATTTATCCTTGACAGTATTCATGAGCACTCGGATTTGAGAGTGGAACGGGGTATTATCACCGAGTCGTTAGAGTATGATGAGAAACTGGCAGATGATGCTGATGCATATCCAATCACTGTGAAGCTTCGAACTCTCAGTCCAGAAGACTTGAATACACCAAAGTCTGGCCAGGAAGAAACTAAGAGCGAGTTGAAATGCGAAGATCTCCTTCCTGATGACTGGGAAGATCTGACCCAGCGTGAAAAGCAGGAGGAAAAATTCGAGAATGTCAAAGCCAAGTACCTGATCGGGTGCGATGGTGCTCACAGCTGGACTAGAAAACAGTTGGGTATCCCTGTTGAAGGCTCTAATACCGATCATGTTTGGTTAGTACCACCGAATCATACCCACTGATTCATTAAGCCACAGAAGCTGAGAGACACTTATCATAGGGGAGTGGTAGATGTGATACCTATCAGCAACTTCCGTGAGTATAACTGAACCCCTTCCATTCAAAACTCTACTAAACACCTATCAGCGGACATTCGACGTGTCGGCGTAGTTTTCAACGCAGCAGGAACAATCTTAGTAATTCCGCGAGAGCGCGGACTGGTCCGTTTTTATGTCCCAGTACACGTCTGTGAAGCGAACACAGGCGATCGCTTCGACCGATCAATCATAACGCTAACGCTAATCCGATCGCGGATACAAGAAATTCTTTCCCCGTTTACCTTCAACTTCACGGACTGCGATTGGTGGACAGTGTACCAGGTGGGACAAAGGATCGCAACACAGTTCACGAAGGGAGACAGGGTGTTCCTTGCTGGTGATGCTGTACATACGCACTCGCCGAAGATGGGGCTTGGTATGAATATGAGTCTGCAGGATGGGTTTAATCTTGGCTGGAAAGTTGCACTCGCAGTGGCGGGCACTGCAAAGCTGGAGATACTGAAGACTTATGATTTGGAAAGACACCCGCTGGCTGAAATGCTCATCGATTTTGATCGCAATTGGGTGACGATGTTTCTTAAGGAGCAGACTGGAGAGGGCGATGCAAAGACCAAATCATTAACTAGAATGGCGAAGAATTTTGAAGATTTCGCCGATGGGTGGAAGGTGTTTTACCCTGCTAGTAACATCGTCTGGAAGTCTCCAGATGATGTTGGATTTGCATTTGCTAAAAACATGATTCCTGGGGAGAGGGTTCGACCTGTCAAACTCCGCAACCAGGCTGATGGGGCCCCGCAGTGGACAACAAGATTGCTGAAAAGCGACGGCCGCTTTCGCGTTCTCGTGCTGGCTGGCGATGTGCATCACCCAATTCAAAAGCAACGCGTCGAGACATTGAGCCAGGCCTTGAGCAGGCAGCCTGAATCGAGCGTTCCACTTTTGGATCGCTATGCTGCAATTACGGGACGATTTGTGAGTCCCATCGATGTATTCACCATCCACTGCGCTCCATGGAAAGAAGTTGGATTCTTCGACTTTCCAGATTGCCTACGTCCGTTCAGCACGACAACAGGCTATGCATACGAAAAGATCTGGTGTGATGATACGTGTATATTTGATAGATATTGTGACGGGACAGCTTATGAAAAGTGGGGAGTTGACCGAAACCTCGGCGCACTGGTAGTAATTCGCCCTGATCAATATATCGGATGGGTAGGTCGACTGGAAGATGTCCGGGGAATGACGCGGTATTTTGATGACGTTCTTGTGACTAAAACAACTGGGAATGGCATTGAGGCATCGATTTAATATAAGCGCGCAATAAATAAGATGAGAAATCGAGGATAAAATGAACAAAATATCAATCGCTTGACTGGAATATATTAATATAACAATAAAAATGTGAGACTGGAGTAAAATGGACGAGCAAGGAGACTCAATTACAGGTACACGACAAAACGACAAAATTAAAGCTGAAAATTATTCGACGAAAATGTTAGATAATAAAAACAATATTAAATTTTTATATGCTGAGTAAAAATATCAATTCCAAATATTTAGATGATATATAATTTATTCTCCCGTGCTATCAGCGGATGCCAATATCTCTTTGCTTTCACCTGTCCGAAAATTGTCACCAGTGCAATTCGATTCTCGTTAGCGGCGTATCTATCCTCCTTCTCGCACAGGAGTGCTACAGTACCGCCCGCATTTACAGTGGGAGAGGAGATGGTACCTCTCAACCCGCGGCATCGCCAATCATAGTAGTATTCATCTGTTCAAGGAGATCCAGTCCAACTTATTATGGGACATAGGTAGCATGATGAGGCTGTATATGTGGATTGATCAGATTTAGGGTCTTTGGCAACTAATGAAACATAGTAAGAATCCTTGAAAAGGTCCAGAGAATCGTCGCCGAACGATCCATCCAACTCGAGCTCCGCGAGCTGAAAGTAATGCATTAAGTTCGTCATCGGTGTCATCGTATATTGACCCTCCGTAGCCTGTGATAGGCGCACCAGTCCTCCGAACCATGTGACATTCTTGGGGCGATGAGCATTCTGCCCAGGGAGTGCAGTTTATGGTTGACGAGGAATAGATGCACCGATCTTGTTATCAGGATTATGAAGAGTTCTATCTGTATCAGCTTGTCCGACAACTGCAAAAGACAGATCATCGTCACAGTTCTCCCTAAACGCAACATTCCCCACTTTGAGGTTCTGGACTGGGCCAGGAACAGTTTCGACAACGTAGTGGGAACTTCGAAGACGAGCATCCCTAACAACAAAGCGAGTGTGCCCATTACCCATGGCTTCCAACCAGATGAGCTGTCAGGTGACATCCCACATTGGGATAGTCCCCCATGGAGTAGATAGATAGATATCTCTCGCTCTATCTCTCTCTTTCTCCTTTTCTCCTCCGTCCGCAATACAATATTCACATCGTCATATTCTATTGCCCTTGTATGATCTCCATGAGAAGCTTTGAGCATTTAGAACCCTTAAGAACGACGCATTATGGCGCTGTTCGCTGATTGCCACTATATTCAGAACGCTTGCACAAAACCAAGGTGTTTTTTGTTTGCTTGCTTTTGGTTTCGAAAGCTTGCCTGCTGTTGCCCATGATAATAGTCTATCCTTGGGACAGAACTTGATGTAACCACAGCGATCCAATCGCCTTCTTGCGGTTATAGACACGTTTTACCTCGTACCATTCCAGATGGACTTGATGGAGATGCCTTTTCTTCCTAAGGGCAGACCTCCCTCTGCCAACATCATTCGTGACGAAGAATGTATCAAACCCACCGAGCAACTGCCGCTGTACCATTCCGACCGACGCCACAGCCGATGCTTGAGTGCGGCAACCCGAATTACAACAGTTCTCCTAGCTTCTTGGGGATTCATGTCCATCTGCCTTCAAGCTTTTCACCTGATTGGACTGCCTTCACCCAAACCTGACGTATACAGACCCGAAACCCTGGGGTCTACAATGAACCTGTGTGACTGTGGGAGCAGCGTCCAAGAAGCCCTTTCGGAGCAATGTGTGTACGATTCACTGGCTACAGCTTGGCTGGCCCCTCACTGCCGGGACGATGAACTGACGGCGGAGTTCGACCGATCGGGTCCGAACTCCGATGGGTCCGGGCCCTACTACGCAGATGCAAACGGAACCACCCCGATTGGAAAGGCACAGGTTGCACTTCTTGGAGACAGCAAAAGTAGCTTCTGGAGCCTGAGAGACTGGCATATTGCATACTGCATGTTCTACGGGGAAAAGTATATACGAATGAGGGAAATGGGGGTGGTAATGGAACGGAGGTTCGGTAGTGTCGCTCATGCCCGACATTGCAGGCGGCTGATTATGATACCGACGATGTTTCACAAACAGCTTTTGGAGGTGCCCGTGATGATTAGTTCAGGAATTAATGAAGTCGAAGATGGACATGAGCACGAACATCATCACGAGCAAGGGCAGACTTCGTAAGCATTAGGAGGCTGAAAATTTTCTATAATTTTTTCTCTGATCTCTTCCGCCGCGCGGTGAGCATTACTATTCATGCGGATTTTGTGGGGAAATAATCCTGTATATACTGCGTGCCTTTTTCCGAATTCCTTGATCATTGTGTAGATAGCTGTATATGGTAGAAGGGTCGCTGTGAATATCGACATCGCCAACTTCTCTGACACAACCATGCTGTGAACCTCCCGATTTAGTGTGCATACTACATACAAGAAATCTCGGAGAAAACATAGTCGCTGAATATAGGCTTTGACAAAATCTGCAAACAGGAAAGGTGCTATGTAAACCTCAACCCGCGACCTGTTGGCGAGGTCTAGACTCAAAAGACCTTATCTTAGGCAAACCCATTACATCGATAAAAGTATTTGATCGGAATAAAGAGGGTATGCATCTTTCGGAGTTCAACAACAGATATTTCCTAAACAGGCAACTGATTGCGGTTGCTCCGAGTCAGTCCTAGAGGTAGCTATCTATCTTGGTATTAATAAATCGGCGCTGTATCCCATGGAATCAAGTAATTTTCCTCGAATGCAATCAAATTTACTCGGACACACAACATACCTCGGAAAATATTAATGGCAACCAGCTTGTGCTTGTTCGACAATCGCCTCGGCCCTCGCGTCAGCATCGATTGTCGTACCTTTGACTTTACGCTCTTATTTGAAGACATATTTTTCACATCTCTGCCAGCCGCAGTTTTTTTGATACTTTTACCCATACGACTTTGGGTTCTTCGGCACGAACCGGTCAAAATCACCTCATACAAATTAGCGGTCTGCAAGCTAGTAAAGGTCCCTCCTTAAACCTTTCCCGACTATGGCTAATCTCAAGCAGTGCCTTATCACCGTGTTATTTGTTCTCCAGGTTCTGTTTGCGGCTTTTCAAGTCCGGAAATCGGCCCTTCATACCCAGGCTTCCTTGCTAGCAGTCATACTCAACATCATAGCAACATTTGCAGCGTCATATGCCTCCTTCGTAGAGGACCAGAGATCTGTGAGACCCTCAAATCTCCTCGTCCTCTATTTCTCGGCGTCTAGCATTTGCAGACTGCCTCAGCTGCGCTCACTATGGCAAATCCCATCCGTTGAAGTCTGTCGATATCTCTCGCTAGCCGGTTTCTTTTTGACTGTGGCAATTGTAGCCCTTGAGTCCGTTCCAAAAATCAATATTCTGGACTCTCACCACTATAGCAGTACCGATGAAGGAAAGGTCGGGTTTTGGAGCCGATGCTTCTTTATCTGGGTACTGCCATTCCTCCAGAAAGGGTATAAAGAAGCTCTCGAGCTCGAGAATGTTCCGGAAATTGACACGAATCTTCAAGGGAAATGCTCTGGCGGTAAACTTCGACAGTCTTGGGACTTTGCAAGCCAAAACGGTCATTATCGCTTAGTCAAAGCTATGTTTTGTGCATACGGATGGGCTTATGTCTCCTCGATCCCCTCACGCCTGGCCTATAGTTGCTTTACCTTTGCACAGCCTTTTCTAATTACAGCAACTCTGAAATATATCGGAGACTCATCAGCGTCAGAGCCTAAGTTTTACGGAACTGGACTCATAGGCGCATATATTCTAGTATATCTGGGGTTGGCGGTAGGTATGCATTCAGCACTGCGAATATAGCATGTCTCGCTAACGGTCGCAAGAAGATCTCTAAAGCCGTATACTGGCGCCAGACATACCGTTTACTCACCATGATGCGATCTGGTCTTATATCTATGATCTATGACCAGACTATCGAGATGACTGAGGCTGATTTGACTGATTCCGCAGCTATTACATTGATGGGTACCGATGTTGAATGGATAGTGGCTAACTTGAAAAATTTACATGAGGCATGGGCGACTATCATGGAGGTGGGGATCGCGATTTGGTTATTAAAGCGCGAGATCGGGGTTGCCTGCTTTATACCTCTTGTCATCTCACTGGGTAACAATTCCTCATCTCATTTTGACAGATATATCGGTTCAAGAGAAACTGCTAAGAAGCTTTATCTGCAGGATCCGTGGCGGTAATGGTACCAGTGTCAAACCTTTCTGGACAGGCGCAAAAACAATGGATCGAGCGAGTACAAAAGCGACTGGAAGTGACAGCAAACACTTTAGGCAGTATGAAGGCTGTACAAATGCTCGGGCTTGGCGATATCATTTTACCTCTAGTGTCACGTCTGCGTGAAATCGAAGTGACAACTTCAGTCACTTTCCGGAAGTTGTTGATATGGCAGGTTGCGCTCTGTGAGTACCCGAAACGCATGAGAGGGTCACTTGGACATGAACTGACGTTGAATTCAGCCAACGTGCCTGTTATCTTCGCTCCCTTCGCTACGTTCACAATCTACGCAATAATATCTGTTGTGCGACACGATGGGTCAATTCTCTCTGCTCAGGCATTCACATCCCTCGCTTTGATTTCTCTTCTCACAAATCCCCTACTCATATTTTGCCAAGTGATGCCCGCACTATGGCAAGCTATCGCTTGCTTTGACCGGATTGAAGCATATTGTGCAAAATGCACCTCTTCGTCCGCAAAATGCGAAGATGAGACTCAGCCTGTCCCGTCATCTGAAAAGTTCTGTCCATTTTTGATCTCATTCCAAGATGCAAACATAGCATGGTCCTCGGACAAAGATCCCGTGCTTCGCCATTTGAATCTCAATATTCATCAGGGCATTACGATGATCGTCGGTCCTGTTGGATGTGGGAAGTCAACTCTGGTTGAGAGCATCCTCAGTCAGCACATGGTTGAAGATGGTTCCAGAACAGCCTCATTCTCAAGAGCGGCCTATTGTCCACAGATTCCGTGGATCACGAATAATACCATCCGGGCCAATATCATCGGATTCCTGGAATTTGACCAAGCATGGTATAACTTCACATGCGAGGCGTGTGGCCTGCAACAGGAACTCGGGGCTCTTGTGGAAGGTGACATGCATCTAGCTGGAAGCGGCGGCATCTCACTTAGTGGAGGCCAAAAGCAGCGAATTGTGAGTCAATCTGCATAACATGCAACTATCTTTGCACGTACTGATGAGTCCTCTCTTCTTATCTCTAGGCGCTAGCCCGGGCAGTCTACTCTAGGCTTGACGTTGTGATCCTGGACAATGTGTTCAGCGGGCTCGACCCAACGAGTATTGCTTTCATCTCGAACCGGCTTTTAGGCAAAGACGGCCACTTTAAAAAAGCGGGGATATCGGTCATTCTCGCTATGAGTACAGGTATATCTTGAGATGCCCTGAGGGCAGGTAATCCCTGTTGCAACGCGATCAAGAACCAGCTCTAAGAGAACTTATAGATCAGTTGCTACTCCATGCAGATGAAATCGTGATTATGGACGCGAGAAAGATCACAGCTTCGGGGTCATACAGTGAGATACAATCTAGGAAACCAGCGGCGAATCCTCCCCTTGCGACGGTTGAGAAGTCAAACTTCCGCCTCACGGTTGTTGAAAACAAAGATCACACCAGCAGTGCTGTGCAAACAGCCGAGGATAAAAAGGCTATGCGTGTTAAATGGAACGGAAATTGGCCCGTGTACACATACTACTTTCGGAGCGCGGGATACGGAATTTTGGTCTCCTTTTTGGCCTTCACTATTATTGAGGCGTTCTGCTCCAGCTTTCAAAGTCTGTCTGGTTTGAATCATATTGGTTAGAAGAAAGAAAATCTAACTTCTTCTAGCATTATGGATTCAATGGTGGGTTGAGGCAAATGAAGAGCAACCTAACAAGCAGCTGGGGATGTATCTCGGTGTTTACGGATTGATATTTGGGTTGGCATTTCTGAGTCTCGTAACTGGCTGCTGGTACGTGTCTTAGATGCGATTCGTTTTCAGAGCTGACCGGAGATCGCAGGTTGCTTTTTGTTCCAGCCCTTAACAATACTTCGCTGAATTTGCATTCCGATCTTCTCAAGACAGCGCTTAGGTGAGCTACCATAGTCCAACATCCATATATTGTTCATACTTATATTTACTACCGCAGGGCATCGATTAGCTTCTACCAAAGTGTGGACATTGGTTCAATAACGAATAGGTATTGTTAATTTTACAATCTTCTGCGTCCGTTGTTTCTGATACATCTGAGACAGGTTCAGTCAAGATTTGGAACTTATTGATATGATGCTACCGATATATGCTGTTAACTGCGTGACTAGTATTAACCCTTCCCCGATATAAAGATGCTGGGGCTCACTCACTCGGCAGATGTCGTTTATGTTTTTATCAACATTATTATCATCTGTGCCATTGGTAGATACCTGGCAGCCTCGATCCCACTCTTGGGTGTGGTTCTATTCTTCATTCAGTCATATTATCTGCGCACATCCCGACAGGTCCGATTGCTAGACATTGAGGCCAAAGCACCTCTCTACACACACTTTCTCGAGACTATCCACGGCATATCAAGCATCCGAGCTTTCAACTGGGGGCACCAGCTGCGAGAGAAAAGCCACTCCCTATTGAACCGATCGCAGCGACCGGTATACATGCTTTACAGTATCCAGCAATGGCTGATTCTGGTTTTGGATTTGACTGTTGGGGCAATCGCAGTCATTCTGATCGCCATGGTCACATCCCTGAAAGATCTATTCAATGCAGCATCCATTGGGGTTGCACTTAACATTTTACTGACACTAAATCAAACCTTGGCAAATGCCCTCAAGATGTGGACCATGACTGAAACCTCTATCGGGGCCGTCACGCGCGTCCAGCGCTTTATAGAAGATATCCCCTCGGAAGAACGCCGTGTAGCATCTTCAATTGCTCCTCAACTGCCGCTTGACTGGCCTTGCCATGGTGAGGTAAATTTCACAGACATGACCGCTGGATATGAGTATGTATCATCTCGCTTTTGTGGGGGCTATCTTTGTTATATGTACAAAAGCTAAGCCAGGCAGCCATTCAACTACTCCGATCCTTAAAAGTCTTACCATGACCATCAAGCCGGGGGAGAAAATCGCCATTTGCGGACCATCTGGTAGTGGAAAAACATCACTTATCATGGCGATGCTCCAGATGCTTGATCTTCAGTCCGGACGGATCGAAATAGACGGCAGGAACCTCGCCGAGATCCCGAGAAGCACCATCCGCTCGCGCATCAACGTTGTCCCCCAAGACCCATTTTTTACGCCAGGAACCCTCCGCTTCAATCTCGATCCTCACCAGTGCGTGAGCGATGCGGAACTGGTCCGTGCCATTGAGAAGGTGGGCCTCTGGGATCAAGTTCGCGCCAAACGGGGCTTGGACATGGAGTTCTCTACTGCGGACTGGTCGGTCGGACAGAGGCAATTGCTTGCCTTGTCTCGGGCCCTTGTGAAGAAAAGTTCTCTGTTGATCTTGGATGAGGCTACAAGCAGGTATGTGCTAATATCGTTCTATTATATTATGGATCTCTGGATTTTCATTGAGGTAGAAACTAATGATTTTCTTGTGTCAGCGTCGATTGGGAAACGGAGGCGATCATGCAGGACATTATTGAAAAGGAATTCTCTCAGCAAACTATCATATCGGTGGTACATCGGCAACGTTTTATTCATTGGTTCGACCGGGTGATTTTGCTCAAGCATGGGGAACTTGTGGAGTGCGATAAAGCTGAAGTGTTGCTGCAGAGGTATTCGGACCTACAGAAGCTATATTTGGCTTTCCAAGAGCCATCTACTAGTAGATGATCTTTAGTTTACAAGATCCATTTTTCAGACTATGTATCTATCAATGGTATTTACTAGCAGCAAGCAAGCTCTGGAGAAAGGTCTCTGTTTTTCGTTACACAAGGATCGAGTTGAATTAACAATGAGCAAATCGGTAAGGTCTTGTATGGAGAATACGGCTGATCATCAAGTAGCTATCTGAATGCGAATCTTTCTTCTCTCTGCTCTTCCCAAATTCAAAGGGTTGTTTCTCAGTAAGATCTTCCGAGTAGACCCTATCCGAAATGGGATCTAGTGGCAATCTTCGTTGTTTACGGTCCAAGGTAGGCTATGAGTATTTCATTATGGCGTGTTCTAATACGAGATGTCTGCCAACCCTGGCTTAGAGAAAGCGGGGCATCCGAGAGTCTATATCAACAGAATGTTCGCCGGCTCTGCGATCACTGGGTTTGTGAAATCATTTGTGCAGAGTGGTCCGATGCCAGGTGTATAGTCGCCCGATATTTCCGCGCGAACAATCAAATCACTGACTTCTGAGCATAATCGGGTCGTCGAACCCACACTCTGTATTATAACCTCGGTAAATTTCAGATCCATCGGAGGTCTGTAGCCCTCGGCAGTGGGGGTCCGAAGTTTACCTGAAGTCAGGATGCGACCCGCTTATCTTATCGTGGTGACCGAGTGGCTGCATCAGGCCTCAGTCGCAGCTCCAGATTACCGCACCCCATCAAAACATCTCGAAAAACCTGGCATTTTCAATCAGCATTTTCTCGACAATTTGAGGGCTGTGCAAGCTCCGATGCAAATGGGGACAAATTCATATATTCCATTTTAACTTCCCAAATTTTCAGAGCGATCTGAGGCCTCTAGACCTTGCCAGTCTAACAACGAAAAGAATCTGCAGTGTAACGACGGACCCACCGTTCCTCCCATAGTAAAGGGAAAACCCTAACCTGCAGTCTACTAGACTGCAGGTACCCCCGTGGGATAACAACAGCGGCAGCCGGATTTCCTTAGTCGCCAAATACACCAGCTTCCTCCTCGTCTCAATCATTCCTCTGATTAGCGATGCCATCTCACCCATCGACAATGAAGCTCGGAGATTCTGGTCAGCAGTCTTTTACGCCCTGCACACTATGCTGGTTTACCCGATTCTTACGGCTCGAGGCGTTTGGGGAATCTATCGTCAAGCTCGTGAGATTTTGGCTGTACCTTTTCCAAATGCGCTGAGCTTTCAGGGTCTGACCATGCAAGCTATTGTTTTCACGCTAGTTTCGGTGACATGGATATATAGTCTCCATTTCCATATGAGGACTTTGACGGTCAACGGGATCTTAATTGGACCACCTTTTCTATTTGAAACGGGGCTATCGGTTGGATTATCATTGATAGCTTTGTCTTCGCCCTTGGCCAGGCGGTGCTACTGTTATTGGCCTTGCATCGCTCGTCTTCGAGCAAAGCCACTACACAACGAGAAAGCGAGACGGAGCCGCTCTTAGGGCATCCGGCACAGGAAGATACGTCCAGCTATCATTAGACGTTTCAATCCGCAATTTATCTGTATCTCTATCTCATTTAATTAGTGTAAACTCGATCCAGTTACTAGCCGGCACCACAAGTTCAGGCCGGCGTCCATTATCTGTCGGAAGAGAGACACTGCCATTGACCCACACCACAGTATCTTGATGATCATGAAGATTTCCCCAATCCCACCAGTCAATTGAAGCTCCCTTGAACCCGTACCGGAATTTATCACCGGGCGTAATATTTTTCGGGAAGTCACTCACCTCCCGCGTAAATGACCACGAATCACCAGGCATCAGGGCCACGAAATCATCCCCGTCGTTATGGCCAACATTTCTCGGAGTGGTAGTAGAGAATCTGTACATGTGGTGCGTAAAAAGCCCCCCAAGTTCATATGGCCTCCAGTCGTCCTTGTCTTTTTCTCGAAAGTAGAGCCGGAACCCGTCTTGGCGGCGATCATAACCTTTGAATATGAACGTATGAAATGTAATCGGCTTTCCCTCAAAGGTATCCGGAGCTGTGTCATACGAGAGTGTGGCTGTGACAGGATAACGCAGTCTACCCCCTGGAGTGCAATCTTTCATCGATTGCGTAGTAGGTCCGGAAATACTAAGGCTAAAGATTGGGGCGCCTCTCATCCTAGCAGGTGGCAAAATAGGTTCAGGCGAAGGTGACAATGGGCCCACATCGTCTATATCGCTTTCCTCAGCGGTAATGGCCAATGACTGTGCTGACCCGCCGGGTAGTACCACTGCAGAGGACTTAGGGCCGAGTGTGCGGTTACTGTGCTCCGCTAATGTACCCCAGTCCCATAAAAAAAATTTGGCCGCCTGACCAAAATATATCGTAAAACTCTCCTGTTTGGAACAAATCGAAGTAGACAGATGGTAAGGCCACCTCCCAGAAGACGCTGATGCCTGGGCTCAATTGTTTAAAGCACGGATCTGACGTGTTCACTTCTCGTGGGTGAAAGGAGTTTGCCCGTAACTGCTCCAGGTTGACTTGAAGGGATTGCAGTTTTTTCGTGTAAAGAAAATTGGAACGGAGTAGTAGCATTATACCCGGCTGGCCAAATCCATCCTCGATAGGGTCCCAGTGGATGATACATGGTTGTCTTTGAGGATCATCTGCATCTCGCGTGATTGTGATAGTGATGAAGCACTGCGTCTCGACCTCGATATCTAGACTCTGTTTCGCTTCGAGGGTGAGAATGAGGCAGGGAGATCCAGATCTATTTGGCTTAGTAATTGGTCTTATTGTAAGGTAGCTTGTCAGGGAGCATCGTACGGTCTGTCCGCGTCAGAATATCTAACGAAGGGTGAATATTCACCCATTCCGGAGTCATATGTGTCGAGGTGGGAAGTTGTTAAGTGGAAAACATGAGGGCAACAGGCAGGCAAAATTACGGTGAGACAACCAATTCATTGGCTGTAATTGGTTGTCTCGGCAATCCGATTATAGCATGGTCGAAAAGAACAAATGAATTTAATTTCCATATATTTACGTCGAATCTTTTTGTGTTTTTTTTTATTTAAGTGTACTTCCCAAAGCGAGCTTTCTCATCATAAATTAAGTTGCGAGCACTACTCGAGATGAACTGATCTTGCCACTTAGTGAACATCCCTGCCAAAATATTGTAGACAAGCAGGAGGAAAGTCTTCGACTAAGGGCCTGCGAAATACTAGTATTTGTGGCTAAATTTGTGCAACTACCACTCGTTGTAGTAATAGCCAAAGAAAGTATTGCCTCTTCGAATGAACGAGGAGCCTGAGATCTAATCTGGTGGGTCCTTGCTCGCGTAGCTTGATAGGTCACCTGGTGGCGGGGTACTTTGGCGACTCACCCGTGCGTTCATCACTACTCACTCCCAGAATGGCCTGACTGCAACCATGGCATCTACGATATCATATACTGGTCAGAACTCTGGAATCCAAGTGGGGCAGAACAATGGTCATATCACTGCTCAGTTCCGTAAGTGGGAAAAGATAATTCTAATGGCACGTGCCTGATTCGTGTGACTGCCTTAGTACAATTGGAATCATCATTAAATCAAGCGTGCCTGCGGGATCTGCGAGTAACTAATCCCCACGACGATAAAGACCGTATCAAGAACACCAACGGAGGATTGCTCAAGGACTCATACTGCTGGATTCTAGACAACGAGGAGTATAAGCAATGGCAAGCCAATCAAAGCAGCCGTCTCCTTTGGATCAGAGGTGATCCCGGAAAAGGCAAGACAATGCTTATGTGCGGTATCATTGAGGAGCTGACACGATCAATTGGGGCCATTGTGAATATCTCGTTTTTCTTCTGTCAAGCTACCGACGCACGACTCGATAATGCCACGGCTGTTCTCCGAGGCTTGATATATTCACTTGTCCAGGAGCAGCCATCTCTTCTCGCCCATGTACGGAATAGATACGACCAAGCGGGAAAAGCCCTCTTTGAGGATATCAACGCATGGAACGCCCTCTGGAGGATTTTTACGGATATCCTAGGAGACCCAACCTTAATGGATACCTACTTAATGATCGATGCGCTGGATGAATGTACAGCAGATCTCCCTGTTCTTCTGGACTTGATTGTCCAGATTATCCAAGAGTCAACCGTCTACCCACACGTGAAGTGGATTGTCTCGAGCCGTAACTGGCCTGATATCGAAGAGCGTCTCGGCACAGCGACCCAGACGGTCCCGATTTCATTGGAACTAAATGAGACATTTGTCTCCGAAGCAGTGAACAAATTCATTTGGCACAAAGCTCACCATCTAGCGAACGTGAAAAAGCATGGAGATGAAGTACGCGATACGATATTACGTCACTTGGCGTCAAATTCGCAAGGCACCTTCCTATGGGTAGCCTTGGTCTGCCAAGAGCTTCTTAGAACACCGCGGTGGCATGCACTTGAAAAGCTAAAAGCTTTGCCTGTTGGACTCAATGCCCTGTACGTTCGGATGCTCGATCAGGTTTGCAAGTCGGAAGATGCCGAGATCTGTAAGCAAATACTGGCCGTTATGTCAACAGTGTATCGACCTATTGCGCTCAATGAACTTATCTCCTTGATTGAGTTACCTGATAATATCACTGGTGATCCCGAAGCCCTATCAGCCATTATAGATATGTGTGGCTCGTTCCTGACTTTGCGCGAAGACACGATTGTTTTCGTTCACCAGTCTGCACAGGAATTTTTGCTCAGAGAGGCACGAAATGAGATCTTTCCTAGAGGCAAGGAAGCTAGACACTATGAAATCTTCTCGCATTCTCTGAGAACCATGTCTAGGACGCTTAGATGCGATATATTTGACCTGAAATTTCCGGGACTTTCTATCGAGAAAGTCACGAAACCTTTTCCAGATCCATTAGCAGCTGCGCGATACGCCTGTGTCTATTGGGTTGACCATTTTCAGGACAGTGGAGATGATAAATACTGCGATATCGGCTGTGAGGGAGGATGGGTGGATGCCTTTTTGCAGCAGAAATATCTTCACTGGCTCGAAGCCCTTAGCATCCTGGGAAACATATCTCAAGGCATATCGGCTTTATTTAAGCTTGATGGCTTGCTTCAGGTAAGTGATTGCTCAACTTGAATGTATTGCCGCGTCTGACAATCCGTTGAATGTAATAGAAAAGGAGTGAGCCACAAGCCGTTTTAGATCGAGTAATAGACGCCTCACGGTTCATTAGATACCACAGGCTAGCAATTGAAATCAGCCCCCTTCAAGTATATAGTTCATCTCTCGTCTTCAGCCCAGCACAGAGCCTCACAAGAATATGTTATCAAAAGGCAAGAGCTGACTGGATTTTGAACGACCCAGTGATAGAGAAGGATTGGAGTTCATGTCTTCAAACCCTTGAGGGGCATAACAACGGGGTTTCTTCAATCGTCTGGTCACAAGATGGAAGCCTACTCGCATCAGTGTCACATGATAATACTGTCAGGATCTGGGATCCGGTCACTGGTCAGTGCACATCAGCCCTTGAGGGGCATAGTCAATCGATCAACTCGATCGCCTGGTCGCCAGATGGAAGCCGACTCGCATCAGCGTCCCATGACAGAACCATCAAGATCTGGGATCCAGCAACCGGCCAGTGCACGTCAACCCTCAAGGGGCACAGCGGCTCAGTTAATTCAATTTGCTGGTCACCAGATAGGAGCCGACTTGCATCATCGTCTCTTGATAACACCGTTAGGATCTGGGATCCTGTCACTAGCCAATGCACATCAACCCTCGAGGGGCATAGCGGCTCAGTCAATTTGATTGCCTGGTCGCCAGATAGAAGCCGACTCGCATCAGCGTCCCATGACAGAACCATCAAGATCTGGGATCCAGCAACCGGCCAGTGCACATCAACCCTTGAGGGGCACAGCGAACCAATTAGCTCAATTTCTTGGTCGCAAGGTGGAAGCCGACTGGCCTCAGCGTCCCATGACAAAACCGTCAGGATCTGGGATCCAGCCACCGGCCAGTGCGCATCAACCCTCGAGGGACATATTCACCGTATCACCTCGATTGCCTGGTCGAAAGATGGAAGCCGACTCGCATCAGCTTCCTGGGATAATACCGTTAGGGTCTGGGATCCAGCCACAGGCCAGTACGTGTCAATCCTCCAAGGGCATGATTACTCGATCAACTCAATTTCCTGGTCGCTAGTGGAAAGCCGACTGGCCTCTGCGTCAAATGACAAAACCATCAGGGTCTGGGATCCGGCCACTGGCCAGTGTACGTCAATCCTCAAGGGGCATAGTAGCTCGGTCAATTTGATTGCCTGGTCACCAGATGGAAGCCGACTTGCCTCAGGGTCCGATGATAGCACCATTAAGATCTGGGATCCGACTACTGACAAGTGCGTATCAATTCTCAAGGGGCATAGTGGCTCAGTCAGTTTGATTGCCTGGTCGCCAGATAGACGCCGACTCGCATCAGCAGCGTCTCTTGATAACACCGTTAGGGTCTGGGATCCGGTCACTGGTCAGTGCACGTCTACCCTCGAAGGGCATAGTCGCTCAGTCAATACGATTACCTGGTCGCCAGATGGAAGCCGACTCGCATCAGCGTCCTTTGATAATACTGTTAGGATCTGGGATCCGGTCACTGACCAATGCACGTCAGCCCTTAAGGGGCATAGAAGCTCAGTCAATTCGATTGCCTGGTCGCCAGATGGAAGCCGACTCGCATCAGCATCTCTTGATAACACCGTGAGGATCTGGGATCCGGTCACTAGCCAGTGCATGTCAACCCTCGAGGGGCATAGCGACTCGATTGGCTCGATTGCCTGGTCACCAGATGCAAGCCGACTCGCATCAGCATCCTTTGATAGCACCGTCAGATTCTGGGATCTATCCACCGGGCAATACGTGTCAACCCTTGAGGGGAATAGTGGCTGGGCCAACTCGATTGCCTGGTCGCAAGATGGAAGACGACTCGCATCAGTGTCCCGGGATAAGACCGTGAGGATCTGTGATCCGGCCACCGGCCAGTACGTGTCAATCCTCAAAGGGCATACTGAACCGGTCTTCTCGATTGCCTGGTCGTCAGATGGAAGCCGACTCGCATCCGGGGCCGCTGGTAACACCGTCAAGATCTGGGATCTAGTCACCGGCCAGTGCGCTTCAACGCTCTGTATCAACTCCCCTGGCTTCCTTGAATTTGATAAGGACAATCTCAACCATATACACACATTATTCGGTACATTCAACACATTATCCACTGGCTCTGTCCCATCCACTTCTCACTCTTCGCCGTCCTCGCCAGAACAATATGGGTATGGCCTAAATCATGACTATTCCTGGATAACCTATAACGGGCTCAACCTCATGTGGTTGCCTGCTGAATATCGACCGGCCCATCCCTCTCTTTTTGCTATTTCTGCAACGACTGTGGCGGTCGGCTGTTCATCAGGTCGTGTCATATTTCTTGCGCTCTCGGAGCGCAATCCTGTCTCGGGTTTTTGATTAGCATTGATATTACCGAACTTTTTGCCGAGGTTTCTTTCTTGCAGCGCGTCATGTATTCGACATGTGTAAACTGTCTTCTATAATCGTCTTCAGAAGTCAGAATCATTAATATTCAGAAAAGTTCAGCCTACAGATCCCTAAATCAAGAGAGACTTTAGATTTACCAAGCCTCATGAAAGTCAACCTAATAATACTCCCGAGTCCACCGAACGTTCAACCATTGGTAGGGCTACACACGAATACGGATGAACTCGGTTTATTCGTATAATTATTTGCTACCCTCTGGAGGCCCATTAAGTCGCGAATTTTGGTTGAAATCTATTTTTTGGCGGCAGTTCCTATCACTTCTCACTTAACACACCTAACTGACACCATCAAAGTCGAGCGGACACCAGCTAACATTCAGAAATCCTATGCCTTCTTTGGGTATTCACGAATGCGAATAAGCAAAATCATTATTCGTGTGAAGCCCAAACTATTGGGGAGAAATTCCACGCATTATACTCTAACAATGACTTTTGTCGTGGTTGACACGAATGAAGGCCCCCCTCACGAGACTGAACACGCAACAAATGGACTGCCGTAAGCAATGCCACTATTGTATTAGTCAAGTGCCCGGCTCTTTCTCTAGATAAGCAACAAAATTGCGGGTTCCAGCTGAGGGGGTCTAGAAAAGATTTGACGGGGACTAGAAAAAAGCTTACATAATTTCTAGTCCCCCAAGATTGTTCCGGTCGGAATATTTCAAGTTGAACCCCCTATTGAAAACTATATTCAGACTCTCTTTCAAGGATAACAGGGCGGATTATAGCTATCTCTACCACCATAATAGTATGTTTCATGACAAAAACAATTTAAAAGAGATCGAATCTTTTTAATGCTAAGTTAATGTCAGAAAAAAAGGTCAAAATCAATAAATTCCTAGTACTACATTTTATATGGAATCCTGATATGTATATATCCATATAAAGCACCTCAATAACACTATCTTCAAAACATCTTTATACACGTCAGAAGATCCATAGATATCTCAATTTAGTTACGATATCTTTCAACGTGAGCCTTGGAATATTTAATTTTACGTGATTAAAAATGATCTAATGTTTGTTTACATGTCTAGAAATGTTTCCTGACTTACTTCCTACTACACCTTCACTTTCTTTTTACTTTTTTTACATCTCTTCTCATCGCAAGTTTAACGCAACTTTTGCCTATGCTCAGTCTCTTCTTAACTAAAAATATGGGCCAACCTGCCTGTTTACCCAGGATTGAGTCTGCAGATCGCGGACTATGTGAATTTACAAGTCCAAATTGCAGCCAACCCTGATGCAACGTTCAGATACGCACATGCTAAGTGCATACACGAAGAACTCTAAACATATGCTGAGCATATCTGGGGGGCGGTCAATGATCCGAACGCTGGTTGGAAGCCCGCTGCACATGTCAACGCTATTGCTGCTGGGCAACGTCGTTATGATATCAAAGCCCCGGATATCGCGGGAGTTGATGGTCCACCAGTGCCGCCAAACTGCATGACCAAATGGATTGGAGAAGTGTACGTTTTATGCTGAGAGTACGTCATGCATGATCATGGAGATCGTACAGCAGGGCAATGGAATATGAGGATATGAATATTGTATTGCGGACGGAAGAGAGAGAGAGAGAGAGAGAGAGAGAGAGAGAGGCGAGAGAGATCTATCTATCTACTCATCCATGGAAGACTATCTCCATATGGGATGTGACCTGAAATCCCCAACACATGTGGTAGAAACATAGATGCTGGATTGCGGTGAATGGGCAGCAAATGTGCGGCATGCTGTTCATCAAGGGCCTGCTCTCCGTCGCTTTATCCGTAACGCGCACTCTGGTGCCTGTAAGTGCCTGCTGATCAAACGCCAACCATATGCTAACAGTCTTAGTGGTTACCCTTGACTGCTCTACGGTCTCCCAGTCAGAGCGCATCGTCGCGGAGCATGCGATGAAGAAATACGTGCTGACCTGCGGATTGCGCAATGCCACGTTCCTGAACGAGCCCGGCCATGGTCCCTCTCAGGGCGTCATCGGCCATTACTGCAATGCGCTGGGGAAAATTCCGTAAGGGTATGCTTAAAATATGTATGATTCAGGCTAAACATATATCTAGTCGTGAAGATACAAACTTCAAGGATACTTACGGAGACCGTTTCCACCGTTACTAGGGGCCACCCACCCCTGGTTCGGCGCACCGTAGCCGCCGTGTGAGTACCCCATGCACATACGCTCAACGTATGCTAATATGAAGTAGGTTCCCTCATCGTCCCCGCTAATCTCATCCCCTTCCCTGGTTATGGAGCTGTTACTAGTACCCAAGGTGTAGATGACGGCGACGCATGATTTTGAGAACACATATGCTAACTGTATGCTCTACTAGGACGGTTCTGAAGAGGCGACTGAAGAGGAGGACACTGATGCTGAGGATGAGCCCGTGGATGAGGATAAGTGAACATCTTGAAGCTTGAACTGGTGGTTGGAAACTGGATTTTGAATTGTATGTAGGATACTGGAACTTTCTACTAACTTTTTGCTACTTTGACATACGTAAGACAGAACTAAAAGTATGCTTTTGATATGCTTAACATATGTTAGATGCATCTATAGATCCCCAAGCTCTAGAGCTAGCTGTCTTCTCTGCTCAATCAAGTCCCGTATACGTTTTTTTCTCTGAAGAGCCACAATATCTGCAAGTAGTCTAACTTCCTCATCTCCATCATCGCTTGCCACAGGAGCCTGGGAAACACTATCATCTGGTCCAAGTTGCGAGGACATTAATCCTTGAATATGTTGAGTTCTTGGCGTAGATGGCAGCCGAGTAGACTGACGCCTACTACGGGATCCTGTAGTTATTGCGCTTGTACCAGACGTCGAAGTTGTATCTGATAGTGTGTCCGGGGGCTGCATTGCTTGTTCAGGGCGGTCGTATGGATTAGTCGCGTTCCATGGTAGATCAGACTTTTCAAAGCGACGATTTGCATAAGCTCGGTGCCGTTCATCTATATATTGAAGATAGGGTGAGCATATGTTGAACATATGTTAGAGGTATATTACCTTTCTTCCTGACCTGCTTTTCAATGCGGTAACTTCGATCCAAAGAACGCCATGAAAGGCGGATGCCCCCCTGCTCTGCTCGCCGGTTCTTTGCGATCATCTCATGAGCATGGTGTTTACATCTATAATTTTTAGTTATATATACCCTTTATATGTTAAATGTACATACCGAATGATTGTAGTGAGTAGTGCTTGCTTCCGGCAAACTGCCTCATTATCGCGGTATTGGCTACTCTCGCTAATCCCTTTATGGTGTGGCGCAAGGTTCCACCAATGTATTGGGACTTTTGACATTTCAGAAATGATACCAGTCAAAACCCAGCTAGTCATATTGTTCTGAAACCAATGCTTTGTTTCAGGCCATTTCGCAGATGTGTGATCCATAATCGCTAGAACTTCAGCCTTTGAACGGGCACTAAAGATCAGAGGAATCACTGCAGTGGCTTCGTGGTTGTTGAACTTCTTTTCAAACGCACGCTGAACATGGGTTTCGCAGAGAACAAGCACAAATGGAAGGTGTTCTGACCATGACATACGAGGGTCTAATGTTGCAAGGTAATCACCAAGTCCTGGTCGGGTTTGTATAGATTTACATATGCTGAGCAGAGGCATATGCATCACCTACCTGAAACCTGCTTTGTGCACATGTCATGGAGATCATACAAGGGCAATAGAATATGAAGATGTGAATATTGTATTGCGGACGGAGGAGAGAAGGAGAGAGAGAGAGAGAGAGAGAGCAAGAGATATCTATCTATCTACTCCATGGGAGACTATCCCAATGTGGGATGTCACCTGACATCCCCAACATCCCCCTCATAGGCTCTCATGCCTCCGCATCCTCCACAGTTGACCAGGCAAAACAAGCGATCTTCTTTTCAATTCAATAACAAATGCACTCTGAAATCCTGTGGGTTTTCAACCAATAGGAGGGCTCCATTCAGAATGGAAATCCTATCATGTTGTCCACTTCATTTCTTCCCTTTCGCTCCACCCTGTTCTCACATCCCTAGCTGTGTGATGAATCCGGGGAACGCTTCTTCTCCGAGTGGCTTCGTGAATCCATCCGCCACGTTGGCCTTGCTCTCAACCCTTTCGAGGTCAATGTAGCCCTTGGCAGCAGCATCTTTCACAAAGAAATATCGCATGTTAAGCCATCTTGTCGAGTTGCGACCAGTCTTCTTGTTCAAGAGTAGCTGAGTGTTGATGTTATCTGTGTAGATCACCAACGGATCGCTTGCTCTGGGAAAACTAAAGGCTACGGCAAGTTTGCGAAGCCACATGCCGTCCCGTGCAGGCTGATCAAGTGCGCACCATTCGGCGGCCGTGGTTGACGGGGCCATAATAGTCTGTTTCCTGGTTGACCATTGGATTGGACTACCTCCAAAGAACCAGACTGCGCCCTCAGTTGACTTGTAGTTCAGGTTGTCTCCGTGTGAAGCGTCGGCATAGGCATAGAACTGTAACTCCTTCTTCTTTCCGAGTGTGATCGCACGATCTGGATGCTCTCGGAGGTAACGAAGGACCTGCACCATGGCTTCTTGGTCGTGAATAGTGGTATTCGCAGATTTGTGTTGTAGCTTAGTAACATAGAACCTGATATCGGGGCGCGTACGCATTGCCAACCAGTTCAGACTTCCCACAACTGATAAGTAGTCGTCATTATCTTCGAGGGTCGACGTTGCATCCTCGTGGCCTTCGGACCAGTTCCATGTTGCCGGTAATGGGATACTCCTTCCTTTGCAGTGCAACATGTCTGCTTTGTGCAGGATCTTTTGGACATAGGCTTTCTGGGACATCCGAATAGTCCCGGCGTCGTAGTCTCGCTCCAGCAAGCAGCCAAGGTACTGTTTCGGTTCACCGAGGTCTTTCAGGGGGTAATGCTTGCTTAGTTGAGCGATCAGGGCGTCAATCTCTTCATCAGAAGGAGCAGCAACAATGAAATCATCAACATGAAGCATTAGAATGGTCATCTTTGCTCCGACACCTTTCTTGTAAACACAGGGGTCATCTTCCATTGGTTGGAAACCCATACCACAAAGGGTCTTGTCTAGCTCTTCGTTCCATAAGAATGCAGAATCCCTAAGACCATACAAAGCTTGGTCTAGGGAGCACACCCAGGACTTGATCCCTCCTTCGTCGTCATGATACTCGAAACCAGAGGGCTGCTGCATATACACAACCTCTCTGTGAGCACGGGAAGCATTCAAATATGCTGCAGTGAAGTCAACCTGCCTCTATTTCAGATTGTAGATAGCAATGAGGCTTAGCACGATCTTGATCAGTGCTTCGGAGACCACAGGGGCATAGCAATCTTCCCGGTCATCTTTCTTTTGCTGGAAATTTCCACACACAACCCAGCGTGCTTTGAAGGTATTAACAAATCCGTAGGTGTTTGTTTTCACAGTGTACACCCACTTGCCAGGTAGAATGCTCGCACGTTTTGGTTTGAGTACCAGAGTGTATGTCTTTTGTGCGTTCAGATCCTCGATTTGTTGAGCCATAGCAGCGTGCCAGAATTCCCAGTGAGGGGATTTCTGTGCTTGTTTGTATGTAGTGGGAATAATGACATCCTTTCCATGAAGGGGCTTATCATTGAACATGATGATTGGTTTGACAGGAGCAGTGACAGCGAGGGCTGCTGGTCCCTCGGAATCAGTTCTCGAGGAAGCAGGCGCGGCTTCAGCATCATCAACAGATCCCGCAGATCTCTGTCCAACACCCTCCTCCCCGTTGTTACCACCTTCCTCCGCACTTGTTTTCTCGTGACGATCGAGTCGTGGTCGCTTCTTCTGCATTCTGGCAATCGATGCACGCTCGACGGAAAGGAGGGGTCGATTCGGGTCGGAGTACCGCTCCGGAGGGCATCCCTTGGTTCGGCGATGTGATACTCGTCGTGAAGGGGGTGGGAGGGTTGGATCTGGTGTAGAACTGACTGAGATAACTTCTTTGGTAACAGAAGCAACTTGATCATGCGATGATGATGATGGTGAGACTGGTGCTGGCACTGGAGATGAGTCTTTCTCAATAGACATGTGGATCACCGTCTGCTGATTCGCTCGCTGATCTGTCTGCTCGCTCACCTGCTCACTCTCTTCCCTATAAAGGCGTAACTGATCTGGTGATAGGAATGGGAATCGGTATTCCTGAGGAGAGCGAGGCCTATCTGGCGTGTGGTGTGAGGCAGGAGCAGTAGCAACAGTAGGGGTAGGAGTAGGTTCAATAGATGTAGATCTGTTTGAAATCCTTTCCTCAATGCGCTCAGTTTCTTGGCGTATATCCTGCCATTCATTGCTCATGGTCTCGATATCTTCCTGTAGTCGATGTAGGCGTTCATTCAGTATAGCTCTTCGTTGCTCGTCGCCACTGTCTTCTGTAGCGCGCATCCGCTGAGGTTGAATAACCTCCTCGGTAATTCTCTGCAAAGGTGCATGCGCACGTAGCAAAGTGGGTCGAGTCCGGGGACGAGAAGCAGCTGTGGACCTGTCGAATAGGTGTGTGCTCGAGGGTATGTGTAAAGACGGTGCTTGTTCAATTTGTCGAATCTCTCTTCGGGGAATGATCCCGGGAGTCGTCTTGTAACTGGAGATGCTGTCTGGCAGAATGGTCTGTGAAGGCTGTGCCGGAGTAGCTTCTCGGACCTGTGGTCGGTCTTGCTGAATTGTTGACTGTGGTTTTGCTTGCTCGCCCGAGCCAATGAATGAAGTTTGATAAATTCCTGCATTTCCAGGATTGTTGGGAGCCTTCGGAGGGCCAGGGGGAGTGATACAGCCCCTGTTTCACCGTCGTCATGCTCATCACTAGGTTTGTGGAAAGCAACATCACGAGATCTCTTCATCTCCTGGTTCACGGGATCCCAGATCTGGTAAACATGACCGCCATCCCCCTCATAGCCGATAAGGTAGCCCTTCCAGGCGCGGGGTGCGGCCTTCCGAGATTGCACTCGCTTATCTTTCGGAATGTGCACATAGGCAGTGGATCCCCATGGCCGTAGATGCTTGAGAGTTGGCTTGGTATTTTGAATGTGAAGAAGCTCACGCCAGAGGGTGATTGGTGATTTACCGGTCTCGCTGTTTGCAAGACGATTCACAATGTAAATAGCAGCTTGGTGAGCAAATGGCCAGAGCGTTTCATCGAGTCCTGAGTCAACGATCATGGTCCTTCCAATCTCATTGATATAGCCACCATACCATTCGGCTGTGCCGTTTGGTTCTGCAGTGTACGGAGGAGTGAGCTCAAAGACGAACCCACGTTTCTTTCCCCACGTAATGAATCTTTTGAATTCGGTGCCGTTGTCGAGGCGCCAAATACCGGGGTATCTACCTATCAGCAGCTTCATTTCCTCGCAGAATTCGATCATGCGGGTAGATATCTCTTCCTTTGTCTTTGTGCAGATGCCTCTGCCCATCCTGGTAGCATCGTCAACGATTGGAACCCAGTACTTCTCTCCATTTGGGCCAGGTGGAGACTTGGTTTGTGTATCGATGTGGAACTTCCAAGCGGCATCCTGGACTCGAACCTGGGGTTCTCGGGAGACCTTCCTTCTCGATTTGGCAAGCAGGCAGGCTTCGCAGTCGATATCTAAACAACTTGGCATTTCAAGGTCTTCAACCATAATAGCATCCTTGATTGTTGCAGACATCTTAGCCTTACCGACGTGTCCGAGACGGCGGTGAATTTCCATTGCGGAGAGCGCTCGGAATGCAATTCCATCATTATCATTAGTGTCTTCTTCGTCACTGGACTCTGTGTCACAAAGTGAGGATTCGTAACCTTCGTCACTGCTAGGGGGTCTTCGTTTTCTGTTGGTTGGCGTCCTCTATCGTCGTTTAATGGGCCAATAAGGTAAGGGACTCCTGGCGTAGTGTCTGTAAGACCGAATAAAGTGCCGTCTTCTTCTTCGAGGCATTCATGTCTTAGGTTGTGAAACAAATTCCAGTCTTTCCTTAGACGTTCTGTGGATAGTATCCTACCATCCATTGTGGGGCTGTACCAGCCTGCAACAAGCACACTTTTGATAATGCCGTTACGATCTTTGGCTTGGACGAGGATCATGCCTTTACCCTTTGTGATGACACGCTCGCCAGTAACAGCACGATATGCATATGCATGTGTGGCGGGGACAGGGTCATAAGTGAAGAAATCGCCATAATGGCTAGTCATTGTTTCTCTGGAACCTGAGTCCAGAAGCCATCTTTGGTCGACGTTGCCAGTAGCCATCGCTGTGATAGCCATTCCACAAGAGCCGTCTTGCTTCTTCTTCGCAAGAGTATATGCCCACACACCCCTGTGAAACTTCCAGTCTCCAACAATGTTGTCGGCAAGGTGGTAACAGTTCTTGGCATTGTGGGGACCGAGTCCACAGAAACTGCAGTTGCCGTTGTCATCCACTTGCTTCTCTGCTTCACGCTTTTCCTTCGCGTATTGGTGAATGTCTTTGCCCTTCGGGGGTGCTCCACGGAACTTCTTTCCGGAGCCATTGTTGTCAGACTGTTTCTTGTGATCGTCCTCGGAGGCACGAGGGGTTTGGCTTTGTGGTTTGTCATCTTCCTGTTTAGCAGTTGTCGAGGGTCGCTTCTTCTTATTGTTGTTACGGCTTCCTCGGGCAGCAGCTGCTTCGCCGGATTCGCGAGTGTCAGATTCAACTTGCAGGTCTTTGCAGAACTCATCGAATTCGGCGCGAGTAATGGTCTGCTTCCTGCTGATTTGTTCAATAATAAAGTTCAACTTCGGTGATTCGTTGCCGAGCTGATCAATGATATGAATAAATGCTCCAAGTGGTGGCGGAGCAATCTTGCGCTTCTCGAGGATCGCTAGATGTCTCCGGAAGGCAGTGATGTAGTCTTTAACGGTGCCGAAACTGTTTCTTTTCAAGTGAAGGAACCTCTTTCCATCGAGGATTGTTTGGTTGATTAGATTGCCGCCACGCAACGCACGAGTGATCTCCTTCATCAAAACATCGGCGTACATGTCGTGCTCTTCATCTTCTTCTTCTTCACTGTCTGACAGTTCAGCGTAACCATGTGTACCCATACCGAGTGTAGGGCGTAACAGGTCTTTCAGATTTGAGTGTAAATGGGTGAAAATCCACCCGGAGACGGTGGTAGACCAGTAAGACCACTGTTCATAACCTTTGTCTCCCTTCTTGGGTCGTGGACGTTTGTGGTCCAACAGCTTGTGAAGACGCAGAGGACGGAGAATACAGTAAACTTCGTCATGCCAGTCTTCAACATTTGTACTTGTCTCCTCCAGCACTGAGATCTTCGTCAGAGTTACAGGACCGATGGCGGGTAATCCGACATCCTGTGATTGTTTCTTCCTGCGTTCTGTGAGCTCAATAGTGTTGTCAAGTGGAGGAGGTGGCGGGCGCGCGTCTTGGGTATCAGATCCCGCCATCTTGATAAAAGTAAGTGTTCTGTAAACAGATAAAACAAAGTGCTAGTGGTCCAGACTAGCAGGATCTCAGAGGAAACGAAAAGAGAGGCTCATAACCTCATGGAGATCATACAAGGGCAATAGAATATGAAGATGTGAATATTGTATTGCGGACGGAGGAGAGAAGGAGAGAGAGAGAGAGAGAGAGAGCAAGAGATATCTATCTATCTACTCCATGGGAGACTATCCCAATGTGGGATGTCACCTGACATCCCCAACAACATGTCTACCGTGGTAGTTCGGATACCTTCACATGAATCGTCGTTCCATAGTTGGTAAGGCCGATTGATAGGCTCGTGACCTACGTCTCCAACAACCTTCAAGGCCTTTTCAAAGATGTCCTTATAGGAAACGCGGGTCTCTAGGTTCATAAATGCATAGAGGTATGTGTTGAGCTCTATTGATAGATTAGTGTACTGTAGATATAAACAAGAGGTAGAAGTCTTGTCTTACGGCCTGCACGCTCATTCCACCCTGACATTGTGAAGACATTGGTTTTGCCTTGGACCATTTTGAAAGCGAGAGCCATTTCAATATGCCGTACACCTTGAATGAGCTTAGCCTGTTCATATGTACAACATATGATCAGGTAATGCTGATGATCCTCGTCAAAGAAATGGACCTCACGAATCCATTGTTGGTCAGACTCCTTTGTTCGATCAATCTGAAATTGCTGCCACACGCCGGCAATACTCGTCCCCTGAGGGTAAGAAAGGAGCCTTTGCTTATGGATCAAAGCAGTCACCGGATCCTCAATATTCAAACTCCTGTGGACATACCCAAGCGCAGTATCGCCGTGCGTCCGTACGATGTTTGCAAATGTAGGCGAGATCATTGACTTTTGGGCAGTTGAGCCGAGGATATCTTGTGCGTTAATGGCCTCTGCAATCTGCTGCCCAATATCATATGGTAGCTTTGTTGGTGGCGGTGGCGCATGTGAGTGAGATCCCCAACTAACTAGCATATAAAATGAAATCGATATGTGCAGAGCTCCGTGAGATATGGGTAGATTTATGCCAACGCTGCTCATCACATAAATTCGGACATCCTAGATAGATCAACTAGATATAGTATTAGTAGATATTGAACCCATGTCAAACGTATGCTAACGCACAGATGCTCGCTCGAAGACCACAGGCTGTTGGCCTTCGCATGTAAATTGGCCCTAGGTGTATTCACATGGCCCATCTAACGACCAAGTCCGCATAAAGGCAATATAGAAGCTAGATCTTGTTTCGTACGTATATATATATATATTTATGTAGATATATAACTGACTTTTGTGTAGAGGCCATAAAATCCATTGAAATTTTATCGTGGGTAGGCGCTGCACCCTGCGCTTGAAAATAGCGGAAAATTGATGGGGTCACTTGATCGAATCGTGGTGAGGGTGTAATAATTTCTGGATGAGCCTCCTGGCAATGCTGGATACCTGTACACTTGAACGCTCGATGCCATGATGATGCGTTTTCATCTTTAGCGTGCTTTTTTAGATGACCTGGCTTCATCTTAGCTGCACCATTTAACTTTTGTGTACAGAATTGAATCCAAACATATGTTTAGCATGTGTCGAGCATCTGATATTGGGACATAAAACATACCGACGACATGATTTGCGTAGAAATTTCGTTTACCTCGGACGTTGTGGCTGTCCTTTTCCTGCTAAGGGATTCTTTGGTGTGTGAATAATATGCAAGATACCACGATCGTTGGTTTTAGGATACCCTGGGAGTAGGATATGTTCATCCACCTGATGGGCAATAACAGAGGCCTTGCCATTACTACTGATCGGGATCCCATCATCGCGAACGTAGCTTACTTTTCGACTTGAAGCATCGTTCGAAGAGCTGACCTCGATATCGTTGGCGTCGGAGCTAGCGACTGAGGAATTATCAAGAATATCTCGGTAGAAGAATGAGTCTGAGGTTGGAGTGAGGTTTTTGTGTGGCTTTATAGAGTTAGCATATGTTGATCATATGATGAGCATATGTAAAATACCGTTGGAATATGATACAAAATCGCGTTAATCTCAGCTTGAAGTTGCGCTTCTACTAAGGATTCAATAGGGTCGATAGGAGAATCGATAACTGCTGGATTCTGAATCGATGGATCGCCCATTGAAGTACGATCGAGGCTGTCAGCCTGTATAGAGAAAGGATCCATGGTTGAATTAAGGCTGGAAGTATGTTAAATAGTATTAGGATAATAGGAATTTAAACAATCAACAAAGGGGGAATATTATTATATAATCATGAAATACAAAACCCCCCAAGCTTCTGAGCTGAGGGGGTGTAGGAGTCAGGCAAAAAGTTTTTCTAGACCCTGCCCAGTCTTTTCTACACCCCGTCAGCTGGGCACCCGCCACAGGTCCGTCACTCATAGAAACACCACGTGTCGATAATATGCGGGAATATTAATATTCCGGTGGGTATCCTAATACAAAATAAAACCCCTCACTATACAAACTAACCAGACTAAACAGATTAGTAGGCAAGAAATTCGCTTCGTTGTCTGGCTACCCTGCATCCCATATACCCCGCCTTCGCTCAACCGCCCTCATTCACACTCTACTGAACAGTGTCGCTCAGAGTAATTATACTGAGATATAAACTGGTGGGTTAAAGTTTCTTTGCGAGTCCGCTCATACGTATCGGTTCCACAATTGCACCACGACCACCGTTACATGGCCACAATTTTGTTTTGAGCCCCTAAGCGATAGTGATCGCCTCCATGCTCCCGGCTGATGTCATGTTAGAATTACTTGGTGTTGGATTCAATCTGACGCATCTCACCAGCTTGCCATTTCTCTAGAGAACAGATGGATCCCTTTAGTATTACCGTCGGTGCTCTTGGCATCACGCAATTTGCTTTATCTAGCATCGGTAACCTTCGTGATCTTATCAATGGCCTTGACGAAGCAAAAGATGTGATACAAGATGTGGCATCTGACTTGGAAGCCATACAGCTTCCGCTCTCTGCGCTCAAGAGTCTCCAGATCTCTGATGATAAGACATATGTTGCAGCGAAAGAGGATCTGGAGAACACTGGTGTTGCTGAAGCCGTGAACAAATGTGGGCAGGCATGTGCAGATTTTTCTAAGAAGCTTGAGCAGTGGACAAAACATTCTACTACTACGAAACTTTCCCTCAGAGATCGATTGTCGGTAGGCTTATGGAATAAAGAGAAGATTCGGACCTTTAGGACACAGGTCCATTCTTGTCAAGCTATCGTTCAGTTTGCAATTGACAGCACTCAGTTGTAAGTGATACGTCTTTGTGCTAGAGAAAAAGTGCTAACTAAGAGCTTAAAGGATTGTCCTGGTCCGGTCCGAAAATGCGTCTAAAACTGCACGCCACAAGACAGAGAAACAACTGCGATATCTCGAGCATGCTATCCAGGAGCACATCAAAGTTACAAAGAGAAAGCAAGACGAAGCTCTTCAGCGTAAAAACGCACTTGAAAACCCAGAGGATGAAGATGAAGACGACGACAGCGGAGCTCAGCGAGCTCTGGCTATCCAAGAGACCAGCAAGCAGGCACGTTTACTGGAAGATAACCAAACTGCCTCTGGAATTGTTTCCCAAATACTCTCGAGATTGTCCATCCCGGAGGTCAGCAATACATATGAGGTTACTTTTTCAGGTAGTCATAATAGCGGTATGCAGATCGGCCATAGTACGGGTACTATCAATTGGAACGGCGGTCGCACGTAAAGGAGGGCCACCTATCGGATATGTCTACAGGATGTGAATCGAAATGCCATCATAGGAACCTTCTCAGCGTCGGGCGTTCGCTTGTGACTTATTTTGTGTTCAATACGCTTTGAATCTTCCTTCATGAATTTCTAGAAGTTGTGTTTCATAGCTATAATGTTGTCTACAGTGTCATGCAGTATACTTAAACTTGCAATTATGTCCTTTGATCTGTGTCGAACCGCCTCTTTCACTCGCTCGCTGATATAAGTAAGAAACTACTTGAGACTCGAATTTGTCAACCAAAGATGGGACTCGTTTCATAAGACAATGTCCCACAAGAGAAGAGCCATCTGACTCTGTTGGCTTCTAGGGTGATGCTTCATCGATATTTGACACGAATAGGAGGCATAATTGACGACGACCCCTGGACCTGCACTACTTGGATAGCTAGTCCAGAGGAGCCTATGGCTGAAAATCTCGAGACCCGGTCTCAGAAGAGATAATGTTCCGAGTTTCACAATTAACAACCCAAACGTATCAGTTATACTATGACCATAATGTAACTATCTAATCACTTAAATGTCCGTAGAAATATTTTCGAGATCTACTAAGTGTTGTGAGGCCCCGGATTCTACCCCTGCAGGGTGGTTCTAAGGCTTAGATCTCTGTCTCACTCTCTCTCTGTGTGTGTGGGTGTGTCTCCAGGCCGTCTCCACATTGATCAACCCGTGGATAATTTGATGAGTCTCAGTATTAGAATTATTATGCATCGCGTCACAGCCTCAATTTTTACTATGTCCATATGCTGTCAGGTGATTCCACCATGTTGATTAAATTTGGATCCTTTTGTTTGTCTGACAGCGTCTCCAGGTGCACGGTCGTATTCGACAATATGGTCGCCCAGGGTAAGATCAAGCGGGGCGAGAAGCCGACCCAAGAGGAGTTGTTTAATATCAAGCGTGAGCCATCCCCGAAGGAGCCCCGTTTCTGTGCATGCTGCCAACAAGCCGTCCACGCAGGCATCGAGATTGCGGAGGATGAACCCAACCCGTGCATGAAATATTTGTTCCATTTGACGATGCAAAGCCAACTCTGGCGCTTCGGAGTATCGGGAAGTATCGAAGACACCGCGCCCATGATCACTATTTGGCCAGATTTCTGTTGTTTATGTACAATAGAGCAGGTTGATATATGAGCTTCTAGGAATTTACGACTAATAGCTACTCCCACCCATACCCTTTCCCCAGGTAAAACTCCACGTCTTCAGCCTCATCATCCACAATCTCCGACAAAGGCTCGCCCTCAAACCAATTCACCGCAATCTGCGCCGCCTCCGTGGCCCGCTCACGCACCCTAACCGGAAGGATCTCTCCCCGGTCATTCACCGCCAGGGCCAGCACCCAACCCTCCTCACAGGCCTTCCGATCTGCAACAAGAACCAGCGCCTTCTGTGTCCGATCATTCTCCGCTAGCTCCTCAGCCCGCTCCTCCCTCTCGAAATGCCGCCAGTCGCCATCCGACATCCCCTCAAACAGCTCAGGGCAGTGCATCAGCGCCGCAAGTAGATAATCCGGTACGGAACCCGGACTGCCTGTCGCAATGCCTTCAATCACATCCTGGTCCCGCTGGGCATCTGCAGTCAGTTCCTCCCGATCCTCGAAGACGAACTCCTGAGGGATGCAGAAGACGTGGTTATTCTCGCAGCCCTGTTGTAGGACTTCCTTCCGTAGTCCGGCGTACGCCGTGTCTGCGGCTTCTTGGCTTGTTTTATCTGTAGGATCGCCGAACCAGGTCCGGATCCATAGGACTGTCGAGAGCAGGGTGCTGATTGCGCAGTCTTCCTCTGAGAGGAGGTCTTGTGGTACCCCCTCCGGAATCTGATCGATGATTGGGTCATCGAATATGGGGAGGGCCCAGTCTTGGGAGTTTGGTCAGTGGGTGGTGATCATTGAATGAATGGGTCAGTGGGTAGATATATACGTTTCGCCCATATTTTCCTAGCGCGATCCATTTCTCAACAAGGAATTTTTTTTGCTCGTACTTAGAGAGCGGGGATGTCGTGTCCCAGTTTGCCTGGGCAAACAAAGGGCTTAGCATGGACTTGCTCTCGCAGATATGTATTGAGGAACGGGGGGCGCCTACTACGACGAAATGGTCGAATGAGAGATACCCGAATTCGGGGAGGTCGAGGTCTTCTCTCATTGTTGTTGTTCTTGGCGGTAGCGATGGGAGTGAATGAGGTCGCAGTAATTGGGGGGATGAGGGGGGGCATGGCTGGGTTATATACCACGCCCAGGTGTACTTCCAAGATTATGTACCTTGTCAGAACTAAAAGTTCCCCACCTTTTCCACTTGGCTCTAGTGCCACTGCTGTAGTGAGGAGAGGATCCCTCAATAAATTGTCCCCCTTATTCAGTTCTCGCCGCGGTGTTCTCGCACTGTTTAGCATAACGATATTACACTATCATTTCAGCATAGGCATACTTAAAACTTCCGCAAAGCCCACCAATGCACCCGGGGTCTGGGCCCAAAGCGCTGGGCTTTAGGCTTTGGGCTTCATGGGCCGGTGCGGATGTCTAATATGCTCTGAATGGGGAAATATTGACCAGAAGTTCCGTGTTCAGTACTTCCCTTGACATGCTGCTTACAGTCCCTCTGCCTCGAGAAGTTGAGCAAGCTCGAAGGGCTCGAAATTCGGACCTTTCTGCGTACTTTGAGAAGCTATTTCGGGAACTTCCAAGGAGAGTATTGATATCCAAAGCCACAGATATACAGAATGAGATGTTTCGAAATACAGCCCAAGACAAAAGACTCCACATAAATACTTTGCAAGGGGATCTATGTGGGTGAGGTACGGCCTTTTTCACCGCCACGAAGAGAATGAAAAGAACTAAGCACAGCGTTTCTGCCCTTCGCATATCTCAGACTCCGACACCACATCGACTCGACTTGTGTGTCGTGAATAGTTGGCAGAGGCCATCATCTCTGTACCGTCAAATCAGTTGGTGACGGAATGGCAATTAAATATGAAGCCCGACGGCTAAGAATTGCTGGTTTAGAGGAACATAGATCGACCACGCAATCCGTGTTGGGGATGTCACCTGACATCCCACATGGGGATAGTCTCCCATGGAGTAGATGGATAGATCTCTCTCGCTCTCTCTCTCTCCTTCCTCCGTCCGCAATACAATATTCATATCTTCATATTCCATTGCCCCTTGTATGATCTCCATGAGGATATGAGCCTCTTTTTTCGATTCCTCCGAGTTTCTGCTAGCTTGGACCACTAGCACTTTGTTTTATTTGTTTTCAAAACACCCTTTTTCAAGATGACGCGATCTGAAAGCGAAGACGCGCACCCCCCCACCTCCTCCACTTGAAGATACTGTCGAGCTCACAGGACGCAGGAAGAAACAACCTCAGGATATCGGATTACCCGCAATCAGTCCTGTCGATCTGCCGAAGATCTCTGTGTTGGAGGAAGCAAGTACAACTGTTGAAGACTGGCATGACGAAGTGTACTGCATTCTCCATGTTCTTCGTCTTCACAAGCTGTTGGACTACAAACGTCCGCGACCTTGCATCCGCTGATGGCACGGGAGAATGGAATCTCAGCCCGTCGGCAATTTCATATGCCTCTGATGGAACCCTAATGATTCAGGTTGACCAAAAGGGACGTCAAGTTCTCTACCAGCTCGACACGTCGTCTTGGCCGAACCCACCGACTCCAGCCGATTTGAAGCTATTTGACGGTCTGATGCCGTTTGGATCGGTCATGGATGTTACACCACTGCCTGGGAAATCAAACAGGGTTCTATTGTCTTGTGACAGCTTTGAACATAGCAGGCAAGTCATCATCCAAGATTTACCGGCTCAAGATGCTGGCATTTTGCAACCATCAGCCCTCAGACAAGAGAACTTTGGCATTACAAAAACACAAGTTGACCAAATATGGTTTCCGGGTCACGAAAAGCGCCTGATTCATGCGTATGTGTTGAAGCCATCGGACATCAACCGGAAGCAGAAATACCCCTTACTATATGTTATCCATGGTGGTCCGCAAGATAGTTGGAGACAAGTCTGGGATAAACGCTGCCATCTTGCGCTTTTCGCCGAACACGGGTATATCGTTGTGGCGCCAAATCCCACAGGAAGCACGGGTTACGGGCAGCAGTTCACTGATGAGATACAAGGCTCATGGGCTGGAAAGGCGTACTCGGACTTTGAAAGAAGCTTTGATTATATTTACGAATCCCTTGATTACGTCGACACTGAGCGTGCCGTGGCACTAGGTCTCGGATACGGAGGCTACATGGTCAACTGGATACAAGGCCACGACTTGGGGCGCAGGTTCAAAGCCTTGATTGCCGATAACGGTACCTTCAGCCTGCTCTCTCATCTATCTAGCAACACCCAGCATGCGATTTTGCATGGGCTGGGTGGACCACCTTGGCTGAACCCAGAGGCGTGGAGAGAATGGGACCCTGCACAGCACGCCGGCAACTGGAAGACTCCACAGTTACTTATTCACGGAGAACTGAATCATCAGCGTCCTGTCTCTGACTCCCTGGCTGCATTTAACACTCTTAATTTGCAATCAGTCGAGACTGGTCTGCTCATATTTCCAAATGAGGGCTTTGGGATCCGGAGCCCGGAGAATTTGCTATTATGGTATCGTACTGTGCTCAAATGGTTGAAGCAATACGCAAGATAAGGAGCATGGAGTATCTTTATAGTGCGCTGAAACGAAGGAACGGAGTGGAGGGGGCACAAACCCCACGTCTACGTGGCCCGGCTTCTAAAGCTGCGAAAAACACACGAAAAGCCAATCTGCTCGCCAATCTCCTCTCTCTTTTCTGTTGGGGATAGTCTCCCATGGATGAGTATCTAGCTCGCTGTCTCTCTCTCTCTTTCCTCTTCTCCGTCCACAACACAATATTCATAACTTCATATTCTATTGCCCCTTGTATGATCTCTATGACACAGCACATTAACCAGAATTCAAGCCCTCCACATAGGGATATAATAAGCTGAGCGACCTAATCTCTGGTTCGTCTTATTTTGATACCGAGCAACGTCTTTTTGAAGAAGGCAAACCCCCCAGAATTCTTCGTACGAAATCGGAAGCCTTCTAGCGGATCTACGCAAGTCTGAACTATTCCGACTCTGACGATATTTATGAGTGTAGTGTGGTTAGTAGAACAGACTAACCAGTAACAACGAGTTTTATGGCTGTGTCTTTGGCTGTTATATATGGGTACTTCGTCCCTAAGTTGAACGCTAGGTTAGTCTGGATCTCTGCGGGGAAGGAAATGAACAATAGAACTTTGTTCTCATCTAAAAAGCAAAATTTCGACAAATCGCTTATTTTAGGTTCTCGAGACGAATCGCCATAATATCCAGGGCACATTTCACTCCTTTGTGACCGAAACAGAAAAACCTTGCTAAAGTATGAGATTACTGTACAGGTAACTTACACTTATCATTAACTAATGTAGGTTTGTATTTCACAATAGGCATCTTTTTATTATCAACATTTAGCTTAGTAGCGACTAATAATAATAAAACAATAGATAACAACCGATCAATAAACCAAGAAAGTATATATGCTACATTACACGGTATAAGTTAATGGGCTCGGGTCGACTTACTAACACTGTAGGGACCGGTTACTACTTTGCTCATCGTGGATGGATATGATTCGCAGCGTGAGCATAGCTAGCCGCCCACGCAATATTTGATTTTTAGCGCTCAACACAGCCCCCTCAACGCACAACAACCCCACTAGGATCTTTTGACTTGAATGTCAAACATTTAATTATACCGAGCTGAATTACTTCGCCAGTGCTACCATGACGGAATCCTGTGTAACAAATCCCGGTTTATCAGTTTGGCAATGGAATGAAGGTATATATGCCTCATCTACTCAGTAATGCCAAAGTACTAACAGCATAGAAAATTCGTGGCGCAAAAGCGAAGCCCGTCTAGAAGATATGCGAACAGACAACTCGGCACTTCCACCCTCATTCATTCTAGAAAATACAAGGGTATATGTTATGTGAGTCCTGCAGATTCGATCAGCCCACAAGGAAATATACTATAACTTACACGAACAGAGCTACGAGTGCAAAAGTTATCAGATCTTGCCAGCTTCGTCAAGTGTTCCAAGACACATTCTGCATTCCTGAATTCTGGTGGGCCCAACATCTTGATAATGCCAACGGCTACTTTGGATGCGAAGATACAGATCATGTGGGAGGTGCTGGGTTCAGTAAGTCTGCTTCATGTTTGTCCTTGTGATATGACAAGGGTAGTGTCACTGAGTAAACACTACTAGACACCTGGGCATCTTTCGAAGTCAAACATCTTACTAGGGGCATGAAATATCACTGGTCTAAGGTCAATTTATTTACGCGATGGTTTAAGTCGACTGAACAGACTGGCATTCTACTGTTTGGGCCGCCCGATGACCTCTCGACTCCACTGTTTGATCCAAATCCGACACAACTCAATGACCCATTTTGGATGTACAGTGACATCTTGGGAGAAGTTGGGCGGCTCCAAGAGGGTTCAGTATGGGGCATCCGAGAATATGTTCGGGATATTGAGAAAGCCGAAACGCCCGCAGATCAAAAGCCCAATCCTAATTACAGACGGCTCCATGACATCGCTCGACATGCAATCCATGTTACCGAAACACTAGATGTGGCAGCCCAAAATATTGAGCATATTATAAAGCAGCATGAAATCTATACCAACATGCTAGCGGATCCTCAACCCAGAGCCCATCAGCTTATCTCCCGGCGGCTGGCATTCTTTCAGAGCTATGTCGGCAGCATACGGCATCGGTCTGTGTCAAACCAGCTACGACTACAGAACGAAATTCAACTGGCATTCAACATTGTGGCTCAGCATGACACAAGTGTTACTGTTGGTATTAGCCGTGCTGCGCGGTCGGACAGTGCTACAATGAAGACACTCGCATTCGTTACTACGACTTTCTTACCACCAACGTTCCTTTGTGCAGTGTTTAGTATGTCATTCTTCCACTACGATCTAGAGTCAGGCTGGGGTGTCTCGGACAAGTTGTGGATATACTGGGTATGCACTATCCCAACCATCGTTGTTTCAGTCCTGCTCTGGTATTTTTGGCCCAAGATGTTTTCAGATCATTCTGATGCCATGCATGGGAAGAAGAATGGTACAGAATTGCCTACTTTTATCTGATGCGGATGTATTCGCATTGATGTATTATTGCTATTTCTGTTTGTTGATTTATCATTTGTTCTTGCGACCATGTTTCAACATCACGCACAATGTCGCGCAAGATATCACGCCCCTCAGTCAACGGGGCACTCCCATGCTAACTGTAGTTAATTTATGTGGTTGAATATCAGAGAATACCTGCTACGGGTATCTCTACAGTGGAGGTGTCATATTTTTCTGCACATTTGTTTTGGCAGTGGGAAACTACTGAAAAAGTAGCCGTTTGAGTGGGAGCTGATTTCGCTTCGATTATTCATCTTGTATCGAGATTATTATAGTTTCTAAGAGGGTCTTTTCTCAGTGCCGATTCACTCAATGGCCAGTGTTACAAACAAGCCGCGGAGCAGCACCTGCTTTTACGCCACGCTTGGTGAGAATTTCCGGTCTTGACCTTCTATACCTGTATAAGATCGAGTCAATTATCGAAAGTTACATCGCGTGCTTTGGTGTTATTGTCCCTGAAAGTCCCGATCCTCGCCAATGACTGCTGCTACTCAATATATTCTCCCACGGCTACATCAAGTAGCCCATGAACGATAATTGGTTCAACAAAGGCAGACTTAGCACACGAAGCAAGGATGCCGTGCTTGAAATAGACCTTGGGGACCGCAGACGTACCGGCCCACAACTCCAACTCCTGCCATGTTCTGAGCCCAGTCGGTTCCTCGGCTTCTAGTGCAAAAGTAGGAGACCTTGTTCACATCGATTTACATCTACCCGTCAAAATTTGGCCTGATTATTATAAGCTTTCCGCTAGAGTTGTCAAACTGGCGATCAAATTAGAGCAGACGAAAAGAGGAAGTGTCGAGCTCGAAGAGTGTATACTAATTGAGTGGAAGGGTGATGTGGGAGAAGAGATATTGCTTCTGGAACGTGCTATAGACCAGGTAGACAAAGCAGCAGCTTGGCCTTCGACGGAGGACCAATCACCCTCTTATGAGGGCAACTAGGAGAACAAGACTACGGATCCTACTGCAAGTGATCGGTCGATAGGTCCAGATTCACCATATCCTGGGTCGGTCTGCGACAGTATGTTCACCGCAAGGCACAACACTCTTACATTGATCACATCAAATTTGCTATAGCGCCCCTCAATCTTAGTGCTGATCCTTGAAATCAAGAGCATGAAACCTTTGAAGTATTCCATGTGTCTAACAATGAATTTCGACTCACTGGATTAACATCTTAGCAATCGAGCTATTTTTAAGCAAACTCTTTTATGAATGGCCGGCACCAAGCGCCTATCAAATGAGATAGAGCTATCAAACGATTATGCATCTTACCTGGTACTGAAAAGACAAATCTAGTCTAAAGGACTATATTTGACCCAACAGTAGCAATCTATCCTATTCTATTCGGGATATTAGCGAGTTTGTTAGAATATTGGTACTCTTAGTTTTGTTTTAGTACAATCGTTTGTAGGAACTGCGGCTGTGACCGGCAGCGTATTATTATAGACAGGGTCATATGTGGATCAGTCGCTAGCAAGCAGTCCCTATTTGTGCTAACGCGTCACAGGAGAGCTCCGGATCGTCAGTGTGTAGGGGCAGGGAAATGATGCCTTGCCAAAACTGAAGGCCCAGCCAAGCTTCACCTGTTTGAACTATTCGCATATCTGTGAATAGTCCTTATCGAATAGAGAGAAGGTTACTTTACCGCCAGCAGCAGGAATATTCGGTGAATATCCAATCTCCTACCCATTTTGCATAGCATTCGGGCTATTCTAGGAAAAGCAGGGCTATACCGCGCTAATCAACCGCTGAACTGATAATTTTAAATTGAACAATCACCGGAATGAATCAATTAAACCTCACGAGTACTACAAGATACCGGTATGTTTCCGTCAGACAATTCATAATACCATATATTATCTGAAATTAAATTCTGTAGGGTGATAACACGGGATATTACTATCCGGTGGTTGTCATTAATGTAATGTTGTAGGCCTTAGCACCGAGGGTAGAGAAACATTCAAAGAGTTTGGGTGTTGACGATATCCAGAAGTACTGTAGTAGAACCTGGGGTCTATAGCATCCGAAGAAACAAGTCTCCAGGATCAGGAAACCGAGGGAGAGCCGAATTGAGGTACAATCATCGGAATGAGGGGCAGCATTCAGCCTCAGCATCAGGTGACTAGAATCTACGCGCTACAGAAAACATAAGGCGTTTCGTCGATGGGGGCCAAAACGACCATGTCATTTCCTCCCATCAAGCTGACCCTAACCTTTTCGAAATCGAGTCTCTCTAGGAAATTTTAAACATTTGTCACTTGAATATATACCCGTTTCATCTCAGAATTCCACAATGTTAAGCACGAAGGACTACGGTGTGGGCTGGATTTCGGCTATCAGGCCTGAATATGTTGCCGCAGAAGTATTTCTGGATGAAGCGCACGACCGCCCAGCCGATTTATCGCCTGATGACATCAACGATTATACTTATGGCAGGATTGGGAAGCATAATGTGGTCATCTCTGCCCTTCCTAAGGGAGTATACGGCATATCTTCAGCTACTGGTGTGGCTAAGGATATGATCCGTAGCTTCACCAATATTAGGATTGCCCTTATGGTTGGCATTGGCGGTGGTGCACCGAGCTCAGAGCACGACATTCGGCTGGGTGATATAATCGTTGGAGTCCCTGGTGATAGGGAAGGTGGTGTGCTGCAGTATGACTTCGGCAGGACAATCCAAGGCGAAAGCTTCAAACCGACTGGTTTTCTCAGCCCACCGCCCAGATCCTTACTTGGTGCGGTACAAGGTCTCGATAAACAGTACACAATCAAGGGTCATAAGATTGAAGAGGCGGTCAACGAAGTCCTGAACAATTATCCGCGTTTGAGAAGAGAATTTGGGCGTCCGGAGCTAGCAACAGATCGACTTTATAAGAGTGATATTGTTCATCCGTATGGGAACAAGACACCTTGCCCCACTACTTGCGGCGATGATAAATCCTCTCTAGTTATCAGAGATGAGCGCACCAAATATGACGATAACCCCAAGATCCATTATGGTCTGATCGCATCCGCCAACCAACTTATGAAGGATGCTAAGATTAGGGACCGATTTGTCGAACAAAATGATATCTTATGCTTTGAGATGGAAGCAGCTGGATTGGTCAATCACTTCCCTTGTCTTGTGATACGTGGTATCTGCGACTACTCTGATTCACACAAAAACAAAGAGTGGCAGGGCTATGCGGCGATGGTTGCCGCAGCCTATGCTAAGGACCTACTGAATCGGCTTGCCCCAGCTCAGGTCGCGCAGGAAGCAAAGGTCACTCTAGTAGTGAAGGCTAGCGATACCAATCACAATACGAACATCACATTTGCGGGTTACAACTCAGGCTTCCAAGTTGGTCAGAACAACGGTACAATCACGCAGGGAGCAGCCCCTTCGCGTTAGTAATGAGGGTCCTTCTTGAGCGAGCTAGTATTTTTGTCAATTCCATGTTATTTTTGGGAATCCCTTTTTCTTAAATTTGTAGAAAGAATATCGATTCTACAGGAAGTAGTAGTAATAGTAATAGTAGATTTCATTTACCCCGACCCCTCGCAAAGCGATATGCAGGCTACAGTAACTACATATTAACCCCATTACGCAACTCCCGGAGACTGCCTGCATTAGGTCGTGTCTCGGAGGTATCGCTTCAGCGCTAACTTCGATCATAAGGCTACTCCGAGCGTCTAATCAACTCAATCCTTCTTCATACAGAAAAATTCAGGTCCCCGGCTGGCTCAGCGATCCTTTTTATTACACTAAAGTTGTATAGTATGTCTCCTCCAGTGTCAATGATTGCCCTGTTTAGCAGATCTGAATGTTTTCTGACAGCGTTCTGCTCCCCAATCGCTTGTGTCGACACCCGTGGACTAGCCTGTCCACAATGATGCCAGCTGTGATAGAGTAGATAGCGAGATAGTTTGACCTAAGGGTCCGCGTTTTTTGTCACGCCGGGGATGTAGCGCAAGCGCCTAGTCCACATCACTGGGCCGGGTGTCCATTAAAGTGGAAGATGTGTTGTGGCTATTTACCATGGTCCCTGAGCAAACCAGTCCAAGAGTTCTGGACTCGGAAGACAATCTATTTGGCAGCCCCTGCCCTGGAAATTTATAAATTCAAGTTCTTGATCGATTCTGATATAGCAGAAAGTGATAGGCATTTCGCATTCCCCACCTTCACATCTAGAGGGGATCAAAGTTATAACTAGATAATTCGCAAAGTTCCCGAGCGTTGACTGGGGAATATCTGGTTTAACCTCTCATGACAGAAAATGCAAAGCTGAAGTGGGCCGATCCACCTTTCTATCCAGCTCACTGCCATTGGCTACGAACAGCATAGTGCTTCCCATACCATGTTTTCTTTCTGCACGCCCTTGCACTGACTTTGTGACCCGGGTTCCTATCGAGGTAGGCTCTCTAGGCGACAGCTTGCCCGCTTATCAAGGCTTTCCTGGACAGTGCAATCCAGTCTCTATGGCAGCAAACACAGCATGTTGGGGGGGGGGGGGGGGTGGGCGCTATTTCCTCGCTCCCGACTTTGGTGTCTGCGGCTTGGGGTAATTCGCCGGAGGAGCCGATCGCTCGGCAGACAGCGTTGACGGAAGAGGGCACCACTGGAGAAGCTGACGAATTGGCTTTCCTGAGGGTAGTGGGCTGTTAGGGCGTCGATCTTGGGGTGTCTATTTTCACCATTTCAGTTGTACATTTGGAGTGGTGGTGATGGAAAGTGAGAAGATGAAGATGACACACAGACTGACGTCCGTCGGGTCAAAGATCATCCTCCTCAACCATTTTTGGCTAGTTACATCACGACCGACCAGCATTGATACCTTTCATTGTTCAATATTACTATACACCGTCACTATCATTGTTGAAGAGGATGATAGCACTGGCATTATTTGAGAATGCCAGCTCATATATGGCCGTTAAACTTTGAAAGAAGCACATTAATGCCTTTTTTGTAAGCTATGTAGATGAACATACACATACATGTATCTGCGTATACAACGGACTAAACCTGCCTGAACAAGGAAGATCATTCAATCCCAAATATCGACAAACTTACATACAAATATTATGACCAGAAGCTTCTCTGTTGGTACGAAAGTATCCAGATCTGAAATATCGACATGTCAGAGTATAGAGATTGTGTATATCCTAGCTGGCCACCCTGTACGCTCACGAAAATCCAGAAAACGAGAGAGTTGAAGCAAGGTCAAAGACACCTGCATCCTTCTTGGCGTGTTCCTTGGCTCCTCCCTCAGCTCGAGGGCCTGGCCCAGATTCAATTGTGTCGCAGACTCAGCGCCATCACCTTTGGTCCAATCAGTCTGCTGGGGTGGAACGTTCCGCGTGGAACAAAGCCGGTAGGTCGGATCGACAATAGACACAGTGAGAAATCGGCAGTGACCGGGCTCGATCTTGTCCTGAAGCTGTGATGGGCCCATTCGGCGCTGGAAGGCGTTGGGGAAGGAGATCAGCCGGCCCGGAGGCATCTTCACTTTCCCAGTTGTTGCCAGGCCGGAGTATATTGAATTTCCTCGAATCCGAAAAGCCTTCCTATATACTTGACGTCCCATAGGGCATGTGGTAGGATCAAGTCATCTTTCTCGCTTTCCTCGTCATCTGGATCCTCGGCGCCGATTTGATCGTAGACCCAGGTACGATCCCCTAGTCTACACCTCTGCGGGAAGCTAACTTGCGGCTCAGACATGTTTTCCAAATCAAGCGCGTAGATGGAGTTGGCGACTATACGTTCGTTTGCATTTCCTTCGGTGTGCCACTCCTCGCCAGGGAACGATGGCGTTTCAGGGTCTAGCTCGATGCTGTGAATCCGGACGACAACCTGGAGACCCTGTTCTCGAAACTCATCCTGTAATACAACCGTGTAAAACTGGTGATCATCAACGTCCTCTTCCTTTGGCTTATACATCCATTCGTAGGGTTCCAACCAAGGGTTTGAGTAAAGGAATTTGAACAGTTCATGATCCGTCCTGGAAACGTGCTCGTGGTGCGCCGGGCCAACGATTGCTTTCCTGGTCCTCCCTGCTTTCCAGTCCTGATATGAGTACGCGGTTCCTGGGTCCGAGTGTTCAAAGACGAAGGTGTATGCATACTTGGCCAAGACTGCGTCAAGCAGCCCCCAGCGGTCCTTCCAATCCTCCGGAATTCTTTGCGTTCTGACCTTATCCCAGTATACCTTATTGTTAGATTCAGGTTTCTGAAGGTACGCCTGCACTTGAGCAAACATGGCTTCGTATTTCTCCGCAGAGAGTTTGCCCTCGTCTTCCTCGTGGGGTAACTTTTTCGCCCATTCAGGTAACTGAGCTTTCCACTCGACTCCGTAAGTGCGGATTCGTATAGGTTCACGAGGACAGGAGATGCAATACCCCTGGGATCCGCTAATCGTGTTCTTCTACTTGTTCCGAACCAAAATCTCATTCCACTGCTTGATGCTGCCGGAGATCACGGCCTCGATTGCGGAGTACATCTCGCGGTTCGTCGGATGAAGATTGTTAATGTAAGACGATGTCCGAACATCCGTAGACCTAGGGGGACCAGTGAATTCCACTTCAGATGGTAGCCACTGAAATTTCGAGGACCAAATATATTGACCGCCGTACCATGACCAAATTGAGCCATGTTTCACTAGTTGTGGGAGTTCCGTAACGATTGGGCCCTCTTTACTGCGTGACGACCAGGAATTCTCATCTATTCCACAAGATTGTCCTCCGACTAGGACTTTCGTTCTCCCATAAACAAGAGGAAACAAAGATTGGTCGACGAGATAAACTATAGCTGACTCTGACTTATGCCGATTGGCTTGATGAGATAAAAGATCAACAGAATTCGACAGCTGCGACTTCAGATCGGAAGAGATTGCCGTATCGGATTTATAGACACCGCTGCTAGTGTTGAAGATAACTAAGCGGCCATCTCGCTCGAATTGTCTAGCCTTGTCTTGCAACTCTTGCAAGCACCAGTCCCACGTTTTGTCATTGATCAGCGAGGACGATTCAACGGCGTCTTCTCGCCATTGAGCGATAAATTGCTGGTCAAAGATAGCGCGTTGCCAATTCGGTCGGTCGGTGAAGGTGTTGATCAGATCTAGGATGGCCAGTTCTTTGGCTGTGAGAATGTGACCATCCCAGTCATCTGTCCCTGTGGCAAATTGATCGCGGGAGAGCAACACATTGATGGGAACATCATAGAGGCCGGGGACTTTTAGTGGGGTTGGTTTATTATTTAAGGGAGTCCGAATGATGTCGGTCAAGGCTCAGTGAAATGGTCGCGAGTTACGCCGGGAGTGAAGAAGAATGAAGAAACCTCGGTACTTGTAAGAATAATATGATAGCCACCCTACCATCAATCCCAACCTTACTCAGGGTGGGTCTGTCCCACAATACCAAAATTACCCACAAAATAGAAAGTTTCAATTGAACCTTGCATTCTACCACCACCTAGTATTTGTAAAACCTAGTATTATCCATATACCAATTTCCCTTCCTACTATGTCTTGCCGCTAACGTGGCTTCAAAAAGCATAGGAACACGGTAGGACAGCAACTAGAAGAAACTAGGAGGTAGTCACAGTAAGTCGCTTGGAACTCTCTCGTTGGAATACTCATCGACATGTCATGGAGATCATACAAGGGGCAATGGAATATGAAGATATTGAATATTGTATTGCGGACGGAGGAGAGAAGGAGAGAGAGAGAGAGAGAGAGCGAGAGATATCTATCTATCTACTCCATGGGAGACTTTCCCAATGTGGGATGTCAGGTGACATCCCCAACAACAAGGCTTGTTCGAAGATCGGGACTAATTTCTTGGTGAACCAAGATGCATACCCCCCATCCCCTCCACTTGAAGATACTGTCGAGCTCACGGGACGCAGGAAGAAACAACCTCAGGATATCGGATTACCCACAATCGGTCCTGTCAATCTGCCGAAGATCTGTGTTGGAGGAAACAAGTACAAATTTCGAAGACTGGCATGACGAAGTTTACTGTATTCTCCGTGCAATGCATCTTCACAAGATGTTGGACTACCAACGACCGCGACCCTAGAAAGGAGACAAAGGTTATAAAAGGTGGTCTTGCTGGTCTAACACCCGTAAGGTTTCCAGGATTTCTAGAACATTGATTAAGCAAACAAGCCAAAGATACGCATGCCTCCTCGTTTGAAGCCATATTTTGCCAGTCACTTGGCAAATACATTATACCACTGTAAGCCTGAGCGATTTGTATAGAGATAGTAGTGGGTAATGTTTCTTTGGTTCATATAACAGGCTTAGCCTCCTAACAAAGGGCTAGCATCTGCTGAACTGACTGGTCGTGATCATGCTGACGGTGGATCCGTTAGAGCCTTAAGAGGAAGACGATGTTTGCCAATTCGTATTTCGATGACCTTGATCATCAACCGCAAGGGTCCGAGCCTGGAGAGCCCCACTCCTCATGGTACACCTGCGTCAAGCTGTGAACTTTGCCCTTGTCCCGACAATCACTCTGAGAACAGCCTGAAAGTCCCATCACGACAGATCCAGAATATATTGATATTAACAGCGATCCGGCTCCTTCGATATCCAATCGCTCATCCGATGTTTTACCGCTCATCCGATAGTTGTATCAGCCCCATCAATGGTTTGCACTAGCCTTGGAACGCTCAGGGCATTTCTTTTCATAGTACAAAGTAGTTCTTTTCTGTAATCTAAACACGCAATACTTCTGCCTTAGGTTTGATACCCCAGGGCTATGACTAAAGTATAAAAAGTACTTTGACCCACCTAAACAATACAAATCACTGTGACTAGTCTATCTATGATGTCACGGTTGAGGGGGCGAAGAGACATACACCCAACCTGCTAGCCGGTTTTTGTCAACACTCGTTTTTAGGCAACCGAGTACCAGGAATAAAATCATTCTATACTGAAGTCCCGTTAACAGTCATCCTTAGTAGTATCACCTAAATAAACTCCTTATGTCGACAAGTGGTTACGAATCCTGGCTCCAGACAACTGAAGATAGATTCTGAATACCGCACTGCACGCCCTCATGCAGAGGTCCTACGGCAACTATTCTTAAACAAGATTGATTTAACCACCGCAATCAAAGAACTGAGCTTACTTGATTTCAAAAAAGATGATACGCCATGGGCTCTCTGGGAGCTGATCTATGAGGCCGCTGCCGACTTTCCTTCGAGCGATTCCTTATTGCTGGCCCTCTTAGTTAAAGCCGAAAAACTCGATTCACAGCAATCTGAGTCAGAATCTAAAGACATAACACGGAAATAGTCGAGCTACTTCGGGAGTATGTGGCGCGATAAGTGGGATATCATCTCACCCCAAGCATCACCAGGATGGACAGTGTCCGCATCTAAGTCAATCACTTGATGGATTAATATGAATACCTTCTCAGTAAGATAGCTAGCTACAACTTCTTTTTGTCGAGGAATAAAGCTTCGTGCATTAGGCTTAAGCTTATTGAAGAAGTGTTTGGAGGTGGACCCGACGAAGTACAAGGAGGGAAGACGTCAGGCACAGTCCGCGCTTCACAGACAGTCATCATGGTATAAGACGGATGTATCAGAACTACTATCAGCCAATCTATGCGCCGCTGCACAATGGATAATCTATGCTAGAGGGTTGATGTGGAAGGATGATCGACCCGACAGTTCTGAGTACATTCAACAAGTTCTACCCGGTATCCCTTACTAAGCAGTCCGGCCCACATGCAGTGCTCCAGGGCTCCAGGACTCAAGTGCTCCAGGGCTAGTCCTTGTTTGGAATGACAATCCTCGCCTCTGCTCCTGTTCCTCTTTTTCTTTGAAATGCTTTCTACCTCGCGCAAATTCTGGCAGACACTATTGTCCGCCATTTCCGGTCACTGAACTCCATGTTTTTTTTCCCCGTGAATTTCGGAACTTGAAATTGAAAAGCAATTCTTCTACAATTCCTACTCATTTCTGCGGATAACAAACAGAACTTTTTGGTTATCATTGTTCTCAATCTCGAAACGTCGCACGCGCAGCCAAAATGTCCATTGCAGCCTTGCCCGTGGAATTGATCTCAAAGATATGTGACCATTTGGATTATCAGGAATTGGTCGCTCTGAGGTTATCATGCCGCGCATTGTACACAAGCTCACTGGAGAATTTTGCGAAGACCTTTTACCGAAAAATCTGTTTCATTGCGACAAGCGAAAGTCTCCACGAACTGGAAGAATTATCCAAGTCAAATGGTCTCCGCGAGCACGTTCAAGAGCTATGGATGATCCCCGTAGTGTTCGATGGCGATGAAGGGCCCCTCGGCATGATATCTATATCGTCAAAAAGCTGCCGGCAAGTCAAAGGCGACGAGCTGGAAAGTCGGCGTACGGTCCAAAAAGACATGATTGCAGATAATCGCAACCTGCTGGAGTCAGAAGCGTTCAGTGATCGACTTCGGGAATGTATGGATCGATTCAAGAGCATCCAAACAATCGGACTCGCACATTACAGAACGGAATTTTTGCTTGATCCCCGGCAGCAGACAGTTCCATTCCTCGGCAGGCGCCAGATGATGAACCAGATCGATTTTCGATTCGATGTTTACAGCCTGCAGGAGTCTACGCGTACCAACAAGGCTAGTCAGATACGGAAACTAAACTCCTTGGCATTATCAAAGCTTTTTCTTGCGTTATGTGGCTTAAGCTGCAGACCCCGAAAGCTGTCCACTTGCGATTCTAAATTCTGTTGTGATATCGGCCCTAGGATTGTCCTCTCCGAAGAGCAATCAGATTCTCTACTGTCTACTTTAGAAAACCTCGAGGATCTTCATTTATGCATTGATCTCAATGAGGCAGCTTGGCTGAAAATTTTCAGGAAGCTTGCACCTCAACTGGAAGTACTGACCTTGTCGCAAGATCATATGCCTTTTTTTCTTGTTCAAGATGACATTTATGCCTATCCGACAAAAAGCTACGCTGGAAACATGTTCCATGACATTAGCTTCACTCGACTCCGAAAGCTTAATATAAATAAGCTTGATATCAATTTCAGCTCTTTGAGATCACTATTGCTCAGTGTCAAGAAAAGTCTGGTCACTCTTACAGTCAAACGGGTTATAATAGGCAGCGAGGAGTCAGGAGCCACAGAAAACCCTCGATCGCAAGATGCTGAGTCCCCTGACCGCCAGGAAAATGAAAGATCTGTCCGATATACATCGCCATCATATCAAACTACAGTGCCATCACACCAACCAACCTTGCCATACCATGGACCTACAGTGCCACCATTCCAACCAACCTTGCCATCATATGGACCCACAGTGCCATCTTATCAACCAACCTTGCCATCACATGGACCTACAGTCCTATCATTTCAACCAACACCGCCATCATTTTCAACATCATCACCGTACACACCGACTGTGTCCCCGCAAAAATATGGACCAGCCCCCCTATCAGTCCTACCAGTATCAGAAACAGCATCGGCCGAAAGTGCACCCCAATCACCCCAGCTTTCCTCGACTTCCGATTCCTCTGAGGCGTCGACAGAAGAATATTGGAGCAGAAAGTGGATGTCTACATATCACCCATATGAGCCATCTAAAACAGCTGGAGGTTGTTTCTATCCTACCCGGGAAACCGTAATGGCATGGGAACGCAACGAAGAAAAGATCACTTCTATGCCCAGCTTTTTGGACATTTTACGGAACGAGTTATCACTAGAAACACTCTCCCTGGAAGATATTATCTGTGACGGCAATTATTATGATTTCGAAAGAATCGACACTACAGACAAACAAGGGGGCAAAGTGGAAATTGATATTCGCAAAGCCAATATTTCGTTGAAGGATTGGATTTCCCGGCTAAGGCCAATTGCTCGCTGTCCGACCAATCGCATTATAAAGTGTAAGGAAGACAAAGGTTAGTGGTACCTCCCTATTTACTCTCTATGGTTACTGATGGAAGCTAGAAATGGAGGATTGGTTCGACGAGATGATAGGGAAGGACAGCGGCTCATTTACTAGATTAGACTGTGACTGCAAAAGGAAAAAGAAGCCGACCTGGGGATGTCCTTTTGGATGTCACCGATATTAGGAAAATGTCAGCTTGCATTTATCTTAATAATTTTGCGAATAATTGAGCTCTATCATTACAGTCTTGACACTGCATTCGATTCAATCAATATGAGGTAATAGAAGTCGCATGTCTTTCTCTTTACGGATTTTCCCCATTATATACCAAGAAAAAAGGTTCCAAGTTTACTAAATATTTACATTGTTTGTCTTGGTGATCTGCGGGGTACCTCGGGATCCCACCCATCGACATGAATACTGTGATGCGGCATGTCAAAAAAAAAAACAAAATTGGTCCTGTTTGACGAGATGCTGAAGGTGGGGAGGAAAGGAGAGAGAGAGAGAGAGGAAGAGTGCTCCCCAGAACTATATCTACACCCTATGCAACCTGGCAAATCAGGCATCCAAGAAACCCTGCGCCTCCCATCCGATCTAGCTCCATGGTCCAAACATCACGATTACCCCAGAATATCTTTATTCTCATATTTACCCTCTTAGCTTAGATTGTCGTTGAGATTGACTCTTGTAGGGTATGACCAGTCAATGCGCTTCCGCTTACTACCTTCCCTAGGCGCCATGATGGGTACGTGACTTGCCGCTGTTACACACGGGAAAACGGTAGAAAAGTCACTGCACTATGATTCCTAATATTGCATCCGAGAAAACGAAGAGACGAAGAGAGAACAAGTATGCACTCAAGGCCTGGAGGATATGTGAGATGACCTGAGCCCCCACCAAACTGTCTCAACCTGTGGACCTATCTATGCCTTGGAATCATGATGCGAAGAAACCCGGATCTCTGAAATTCATTGCAACAATGTCGCACATGCCACTCATTTGCATGATATATCCTGGTTCATATGATTTCGATCTTTTACCATCGTGTCAGCTACGCAAAACATGGTCTCGGCTCCGATCTTGATGGCCAGAATGTATGGGTCATTTCTCGTGTGTGATATTACGTAGGGCTAAGGAAGGTAGAAAAAAGGTTGCGGTGCCAGTTGCTATTGAACCCCCGAAACTTGGTTCCATATTGTTTCGAGGAAAATAGTGGTAAAGTTTTGACACAATATCACTGGTGCTATATCTATCATATTCCATGGTGTATGACTCCGAGGGTTAGGGGCATACATATGGCACTAGAGATAGTGTAGGCCAAGAAGTGAATATGAGTGCAATATAAGCCCTGATGTTTCATTTGAACTAATGTTAATCTCAAACGCTGGCGCTCCAGACACAAGGAAACTACATTGGTAAGCCATATCTTTGATGATGCCTAGAGAATACAGAGAGTAGCTATTCGGAGAAAGATGCACACTAGATCCCGAGAAAGTTAAATGGACAAGGAGGGAAGAAAGCAAAATATCTACAATGGGATTTTCTATATGAAGTGGTGGTCATGTGATTACACCTGACCACCAAAATAATGATCGAGGGGGCTTTCTCCAGTTCATACAAGATCGAGTTCCAAATTTAATCCGATCCGCCGGAATTCGCAAGCTTCGAACAGGTCGAAAATTCGTGCGGAGCTGTAACACGTAAACATGCTGGATGAACACATAGTTGGCTTGGCGATCAGCACAACCCCTCTTTCCCCCAATCTCAAGAAGCCGGTCTATCTCCGGTTGGTGACCGGAATGAAATTTCCTATCTGGGTCAGATTGAAAGTAACCCACTCCCATCCCCCAGCTCAGATTCTCACTGAGGGAGACGAAAGTCGGTACTAATGGTCATTTCCTCATGGATTACAGTATGTAGAGCCGGATGCAAGTGTGCCTGCGAGTAATTGGAAATCTCAGCAGCCGGTGCAGATAAGACAGCGGCACACGTTGCTGCCACCCAGAGAGGGCCGGATTAATTGCCTAGACTTCAGGTCCTAGACATAATAATATAGATAAGGTGGTGTCTATCAAACCAGAAAATGCTATCTTTCACTGATCTCGGCTGAGTTGATAGAGCAGCCATCATAAAGGACGACTACTTGGCGTGTGCCGACAGCCACACCTAAATACACGCGGCTCATGACCATCCCCTCAGCTGTATAAATATAACTACTCGGTGTCTGCGGATTTATCGCTTGTCAATTTAGATCCCTGATACTCTTTTGCCCTCGCTCACCATGGCGACCTCGGCGGTAAATAACGACAGCAAGACCTCTCCATCCCTCGAGCTCACCAACATCACCAGCCATACCGACGATAGAGCTCAGACTGATAGGCTTGACGATGCATATTTACACGCTTCGACATCCACAAAAATTTACAGGGGTGTCCTGTTCCAGATGATTCTGTTCGGGGCGTAAGTCCACATCATACTATCTTCAAAATCATGCTCGTGAAATAACCTTTTGAACAGCCTCTCGTTCGTTGGCCCAGCCATGTCCGACGCAATCTCCAACCTTGGAGGTGGCGGTCTCTCCACCCCGTATCTGGGAAACTTGGCGAACTCGCTCGACTATGCGGCTTCATGTTTGATAGCTCTCTTGGGAGGCCCATTGGTAAACAAATTTGGTATTAAGTGGTCCTGCATGATTGCTGCAGTGACGATGCCTCTTGCAGGGTCTTCTTACTACGTCAGTGCAAAGTACAGTGTAGATTCGTACCTGCTGTTCTCAAAGGTGAGGATAACTCATACCGCTCTCCAAGTCGTTTCTAGGCCTAACAGCTTTAAAGCTACTCGGGGGATTCACTTCGGCCTTCCTCTACGTCGCTGAGACGACAGCAATGCTGTCATACCCGAAGCAAGATGACAGGGGTTTCTACTTGGGTAAGTAACACCCGACCCCTATGGACGAGACATGAATGCTCACAGTTTGGCTTAGGTATGTGGTCTGCCATGCGAAGCTCGGGCAGTGTCGTGGGTGGTGCAATCAACTTTTCCACAAACTACTCCAAATCTTCCGAAGGAGGCATTGCGTGGTCTACATACCTTATCTTTGTGGGCTTTGGTGAGTTCTCTATGCATAAATATCAATAATGTAGCTGCTGAATGTGGGAATACACAGAATGCACTGGTTTGATCTGGGCTTTCCTTCTTTCACCAACCCAGCGTGTTCGACGTCGCGATGGTTCTAGAATCGCCATGTCCAGTAGCATCAGCTGGAAGCAGGAATTTGCTGCCCTACTCAAGCATCTACAGCGCAGAAAAGTTAGTATACTTGTATGAAGAATTGCTCCAGCCAATGACTAATGCGGAACCTCAGACATGGCTTCTTTTCTTGCCAGCTTTCTACTCGTTCTTCTACGGTGGTACCATGGGCACATACCTCTCGCTACACTTCTCAGTGCGAGCACGCGCCTTGTCGTCTCTGATTACCCGTTAGTACCTTTGATGCCACAAGCGGTAAAATTTTCTAATCCGTGTCTTAGCATCGGTCACCATCCCGATAGTCATTGCCTATGGGAAGCTGTTGGACTTCTCGCGCTGGTCCCAACCTAAGCGAGCATGGGTTGCTTTCATTCTCTGGGTCATTCCTCAGGCTGCCTCCTTCATCTGGATCAGTATAGAATACAGCCGGTTTGGGGACGCGACATTGGGACTAGATTACCAAGAGTAAGTTTTCATTCCCGTGCTCCATGGTATTCAGATACTAACGTATTTGGTTCCAAAGAGATAAGGGAAGATGGGCTGTGGCTTACATACCGTATCTGATCATCTTCGTAACCGGCTATTGGACTCAACTATGCTTGTACTGGATCCTTGGCACTTTCTCTACTGACATCGGATCTTCCTCCCGAACGGGTGGCTTATTCCGTGCATTCGAAACCGCCGGCCAGGCTGTCTCGTACGCCATTAACTCGACCTCTGGAGCCGATCCTATAATACCTTTCTATGTCAACTTTGCCGTCTTGCTTATGACTGTCCCCTGCATGGTACTCCTGATTCGAATGGTGCCAGAGGCTCCATCTAGCACGGACATGGACGCAGGGAATGCCGAGGTGATTGATGGTATACCAGCCAAGAACCAAAACTAAGCCATCTGAGACGACCGAGAATTGTATGATTGAGCTTAGTTATAAGAGCAGCTTCTACACTCCATGATTTCCGTGATGAATATACAGTCAACTGGATTAAAGCACAGTCTACCATCCAACGGAATTTATATGCTATAGCATTTATAATCGTACCAAGCTCACTAACACTCTGAGGGTAGGCTCCCAATAGAAGGTCCCAGGTCAAAGCAAATTCTTACCGACGTATCAAATTGGCCAAAGCCCAATCATAACACCCCCATCATAGATAGCTATATAAAAACTTTTTTTACGTCTCGAAATACAAAAGTAGCTTGTTGCGCAACCTGGTCTAATTCCTTCGCCAATTACGTCTGTAGCTGTACAAGCTTCTTGGAATTATTTTCCTCGCGCGACACTATCGGATCCGCCCGCTCTAAGAATAGTTCTGCAGATTATCGGGGCTTTTGCATTAGCTACCAAGGTGTATAAAGCTCAAAGTTTACATGCCTGATTTTACAGGGTTGGTACCTGAACATGCCTAGGGGTGTCTGGTTTAAAACTGGCAGAAAATCAAAATACTTGAATTGCACGATAAAAACTTGAGGATCCTAGTTCGTGCAGATCTACCGGGGCTGCCAACTCAATGTATACTTCTCACTGGCAAGGTGAATGGCAATTTGAGAGTAATCTATCTCTTCATATAGCACAATAATTATTAACAAACTAGATATTATAGCAGCCTCGTATATTGAATTTCGGGAATGGAAATGGTATAAATATGATTTAATATTCAGATGTATGAAAATATATCGGAAACACGCGAAAGGACTACGAGTTGAAGATGTACTAGGCTAATTCCCGCCTCCACCTTATAGATGCTCAAGCTAGACATCAAAGAATGTCTTTAATCTCCTGTGGGCGAGCATAATACGCCTGCCAGTCATCAATGTTGCGGAAACTGAGGAAAGCTGTCACGAAGAATTCAGGATCAATGATCCTGAACCGATTCTGCCGTGTTCCACCGCCTTTCGTAGTTCGTGTTTTACATTGTTTGATTGGAGGCCTCAGGCATCACTACCTTAATTGTTTCAGCGTGTTGTTCTTTCTTTCTTCTTCTTTCTTTCTTTCCCCATGTTTAGTATTCTAGTTGAATGCACTCTTTTTCATCAAGACTTGGCTCGTAACAAAAGCTGGTAGCTCTGTAATCCGTCAGTACAATTTCATCCAACCCACGTCATGCTCAGTGCACACCTCGAGGGGCTCCTCTAGGTCATCCACATCGCCATTCGCAACATCCTCTTCATCAAGCTCCTCTTCATCAAGCTCCTCTGGTTCGCATTCAGCATGGACCGCACCAACAAACCCTGTCTCATCATTCTACGCGGGAGCATTCAGAACCGATTCCATGGCTTCCTGGTCCACCATGATACAAAACCGAGCTCGACCGGTACGTGCACAGTAGTCTTCACTAACGCCCTGCTCCTCTTTTCGCCCAGCCTTTGCCCACTGATTGAAGTGCTCGCGGAGAGTAGCAACTGTCGCACCCTCGAAGGAGGGGTCTTCTAAGACCGTTGGGGCGAATGTATCGAGGAGATCAAGATCACTGTAGAACTCTAGAAATTCTGGGACGGGACTAAGAAAGCGACTCATTTATTCCTCCCAGTCGTAATTGTTTTGGTAAGCTCATCAGTAGAACACGAAGCCCCCTTATAACATGGACTTCATACGCAATTTCAGCAATTGACATAAACGTTGTGTCCAGTAATGAAAGGTGTGGGGCGAATCAGGCCGGTCTGACCGAACGTTATAGTTGTAAATTCGCTCTCTAGCATATAATCAAGGGCATTTATAGACCAATAAGACATAGATGCTGTGTAGACTTTCTCCATGATTTTTGCTCCTGCCTGGGAGGCACCTCCTTCGCCCCAGGAATATGATGCCACAAGTTTCTTGAAGAGACCACACAAATCTTCTTAGCATTGGCACAGGAATAGGAGCCAAAGTTACAGTCGCACAGCCGGTGCTTGACTTCAAGAGTGCAATGCAAAGCTTTGCGAACATAGCAACCAACAACGAAAAGCACCAGTATTCTTTTCCGAGCACTAGTTGATGCTTTGCGCCCCACGCTCAGGCGAAGATATATTATGGGCTCAATGTTAGCAAAGAGCTCCCGGAGCTGGCCACTCGAAGGGTATTTTTCATGGAGATCATACAGGGGCAATGCAATATGAAAATATGAATATTGTATCGCGGACGGACGGACGGAGGAGAGAAGAAGAAAGAGAGAGAGAGAGCGAGAGATATCTATCTATCTACTCCATGGGAGACTATCCCAATGTGGGATGTCACCTGACATCCCCAACAATTTTGGACTCGCTCACTCAGAGCAAAGCAGCCCAGGGGGGCTGAGCAACTTTGAAGACCGGGGTTCTCTGGATGATATGGATGCCGTTCCACGATTGGAAATACGGACTGTTGAATGAAATAAGGGCAACAGCAAGGTATTATCGATTCCTGCAGCGAAGCGCTTGCTCGGCATCTCTGAGGACATCCGTCAAAAAGCTTCGAGCTTACCGTTTGCCTTTCATTGGGGTGTTCCCTCTCAATTCCTATACTGCCAAAACTTTCGCATTCTCGATATCATAACTCTAGCTTCAAAGCTGTTTACGGTCACTTATTTGAAATATCTTGTCATAATTTTCGAAGTAGCATTGGTACAATGTTCAATACTATGTTCAATAGTGGGGCCTAGCCACTATGCGGAACAGGTCAGACTACCGACTTTGAAAGGCTTGCTGAATTGCTGCCCCTTGATTCCTCCCTTAGTTGTGAGACTGTACTTGTCTCCATCGCAGTGCGCTCCCCTAGTTAAATTAGACTTGATCTAGGCCTTGAGCAGAAAGGAACATACGTGTAGAAGTCGCAAGTGACGGGGCCTGGTGCGAATGCAGAGATGTTGATACTTGTGACATCTTTCTCTCTGTTGTACTAGTTAGTTTAGAGTCCTTAAACAAAGGAATCAATACATACGGAGCTTTGGAAGTCGTACATTCGCCACCGCGACCTTGGTATCTATCATAGCCGGAGTGGTAATCTATATCGACCTATATAAATTGTTAACACTGTCCGATATGGATTGAGAAGCTTTCACATACCGAAGCTGGCACCACCTGGGCCAAAGCCGGGGCAACAAAGGCAATCAAAGCGAGAGAGGGGACAGAGAATTTCATTTTGGCTGAGATGGAACTGGGTGAATTCAGCCCTCAGAGTCGGGATATCTTGATAGATATACCATAAGCTCCAGCAAGGGGCATAAACTATATAGCGGATCGTCGGGCTCCAGTGGCGTTGACCGCTACTCTGCGCTTAAAAATGAGATCTATCGAACTACACGTACGTGCCCAGGCGTGTTCCATTTGAAGTAGAAAAGAACTAAACTCGATAACTCACACTGGTTTGTCCCGATTTTATCTCTATGCTTTGCCTTTGTTTGTACTGTAATTTTCTTGCTATCGACGTATTTTCTCGTTTCAATTGAATTTCTAGCTTGATAGATTTGGTCCAATTTTATGCCGAATAGTAGACCTTGAGTCCCTATTCCGCTTTTTTGGGTCTGCTTACGCTTGAAGCTGGCGACATAGAACGGCTTGCTGAGCTTCTGGATCTTCTCCGAGTCCTTAGTCTCAAGAATCCACTTGTCTCCCTTGCAGTCCGCGTCCCTGGTTATCTTAGCATTGACCCGATCATTAACAAGACGGGACATACTTGAAAAAGACGCATGAGATTTCAGGATCTTTCTTATTCGTGTAGATTCCGATACCGACGACCTTTTTCTCTCTATCACACTGGTTAACGTGAGAAATACACTCAGAGAAAGGATACCACGGGGCTTCGGTGTTCCCGCATACAGACACTTCAGGGTCATATCTATCAGACCTGAGGTCGCTTTTGATGTATACCTTAAGGAAGAGCACTTGGATCAGCTCTTTAGTGACTCGGGTCTAGAATCTTCCCATACCTCGCCAATAGTCTTTGGCAAAGCCGGAGCGGCAAAAGCGAACAGAGCAAGAGCGGTAGGGGCTGAGAAATTCATTGTGGATAAGATGTGCATAATAGTCATTAGATGTGGCGTCAGGCGGCCTTTATTATACCTCTAGCTCTGGCATGGGGTGCGAATCATATAGCAATTATCGTGCTCCAGCTATGTAAACTGCCATTCTATCCGCTGGCATGAAATCTAGTGAACTGATAAGGAATGCAAGAGACCCTAAGTCAGCACCTCAGCATATCTCAGGTACAGAAAGTTGGCTAGCTGGGGATATGTATGCAGATCGGTAGATCGAAGCGAAGGCTAATGGGAGGTCCACATGGTTGACTTGTGTGTCGATTCCTACCTCTTTGGGAAATTATTGTACTACGTCCTGAGCTGCCCTTACTTGGCTATCGAATTAGTGATATGCAATGCATATGCATGCCTAGAGTCTTACGCGAAGCTGTCGAGTTCATGGAGAGCTGATTGAAGTCTTTTGTACACGTAGCTTTAGCTTCCAGCCACTCTCATGACTAATTTCCTTGCAGCTCCCCGAACTATTGAATGCAAGTCCATAATTGCTTTTTTCGACTAAATAAGTGGCTAGATATTTCCCATGACATTTAACTTACACTCGAATGTGAAATGACGGTAATGTCGCCCTCTACTCCGATCTCCATGAATAATTCTAAATTCATGAAATCATTCTTGAAAGAACGTCAGAGAATCGGGTTGGGGATGAGACTTTCAAAATTTTCAATAAAAACAGAGCCCATTTTATTAGATATTGTCGATGGATTCCCAGAGAGTATCCACTGTTTACTGTCACTTGCTGTCTAGCCCAGACCAATCAGAAAGTATGAATGCTCTGTATTTTGTTACCCCTGGTTCTGGCAATTTATAACGTGGATCCTGGTCGTTCCGGCATCCCGGCCGTTCCGGCAGGCACTTCAAATTTGCTTCCCCTCACCAAGCCTCCTATTTTTAAACACCTACCATGCCTCCAATCCGCGGTCAAAAAGCTCAGAAATCAGTTGAGCAGGAAGGCAGAGTCCTACTAGCAATTAAGGCTATCAAAAATGGCCGGTTTACCTCCGTTGCTGCTGCTGCTCGCTCTTTCGAAGTCCCACGATCTACGCTACAAGACCGGATGAAAGGGGTAACCAGTTGGTCTGGCACAAGGGCTATAGGCCATAAATTCACCCAATTAGAAGAGGAATCAATCCAGGATTGGTTAATCTCTATGGATCATAGAGGTGCTGCTCTCACGATCGCCATGTTAAGAGATATGGCTATTTTACTACTCGAAAACCGTGGAGGTCATGCCCCCCAGACCGTTAGTAAGAATTGGCCAACACAATACATTAAACGACATCCCGAGCTTTCTAGTCGATTCTCTCGCAAATATGACTATAAACGCGCCTTAATGGAAGATCCAAATATTATTATTGAGTGGTTTAAGCTTGTTGAAAAAACGATTGCTCAATATGGTATTACTTCCGATGATATCTACAACTTTGACGAATCGGGATTTGCGATGGGAGTTAGTGCAACAACGAAGATTATCACATAGTCATTTTATACCGGTCGGAGGGGCGTTTTACACGCTGGTAATCGCGAATAGGTGACTGTTATTAAAACAATTTGCGCCTCCGGGCGAGCGCTCCACCATACGTTATCTTTAAAGGCAAAAACTTTATGGTACGATGGTTCGACGACCTTCCAAAACATTGGGCTCTTAACGTTAATCCAAATGGCTGGACGAGTAACGCAATTGGCGTTGATTGGCTCCAAAAACACTTTATTTCGCATATAAAAAGTCAGATGAAAGGGAAACATTGTCTTTTGGTCCTTGATGGCCACGACAGTCATCTTACAGCGACATTCGATAATATTTGCCAGGAAAACAACATTATACCAATATATATGCCTCCGCATGCCTCTTATCTTTTACAGCCTCTTGATATTGGTTGTTTTGCTGTGTTAAGCGCTCTTACGGAAGGCGGGTTGCAGAATATACCCGATTAGGTATCGATTCTATCGAGAAAAATGACTTCCTTGATATCTTTCCAACGGCTCGTAACGATTCATTTAAAGAGTCTATCGTTCAAAGTGCCTTCGCAGCTACTGGTTTAGTGCTGTTAGATCCTGATCGGGTACTATCAAAACTTAAAATTCGCCTTCAATCTCCGCCTCTACTAGATCGACCAGTTTCACAAGGTTTAACATCAGGTAGTAATATCTCTACCGGTATCCCTCAGACGACTAAGCAGCTAGAAAACCGCAAATCTAGGCTTAATTCTGGTCTAAGCTCAGCTGCTGATAAGATCTCTTCGCCTACAAAACGTGATCTTTAACAATTTTACAATATGTCGGTTAAGCTAGTTCACGAGCACATCTTAATACGGGATGAGATCAAGCGTTTACGGGAGGGGAATAGAAAACAGATAAAAAAAAGGGAGAAATCAAAGAAACAGATACCTAACATGGGTAGTTTAACAGAGCTTCCGGTCCCTACTACCAATATGGGTGGTGAGGAAGGTGTTAGTGTGAGATATATATCTAACCCTACACCTGCTCCAGAACCCCAAGTTGAACCTACACTTCCTTTTTTGGCCCCTGTACGCCAGCAAACTACATGTTCATTATGCATGGGGAAAGGGCATAGGTTTACTACATGCCCGCAGAAGGTTTAAATTGTCAATTTAATGGTGTTTGGTTGTTTGGAGTTTTAAAAAGTGTAGAAAGATTTAATGGGGTGACGGACCGGCAGGGATGACGAACCCGCCGGGATCCACGTTACTTACTCTCTGGAAATTTACCGACATAAACAAAGAAATGAATTACTGATGCCTCAGGCATAGATCCACACTGACAGCTCAGGTGGTACCCCCCGGCTGTATTAACGTAATCGGGTCGTCGAACGCGGCCACCAGAAGTGGCAACTTAAGTGACGGAAATAGGACTTCGTTGCTGTTTGAGTCTTTTAATTTTTTCCTGCGATCACCACTCATATCTCATAAACATGCTTTGAGATGGTTCTTTCGAAAAGTCCCAAATAAGAGATAAACAAGAGATACAGATTGGTACTAGTCATGTTACCGTACAAAGGCATAGGTTCCACATGGACCGGCTCTAGCGACCGGCTTTAGCGGCCTGTTCTGGTAGCCGGTCCAGATAACATGGAAAACAAAGTAGGCTCTTGATAGCCGGACTGCTTTTAGAAAGCGAACTAACGCCGCTTGAACTCGATTATCAGTCCAGTCGCAAAGTCTGTGCGGCAACTTTCTAACTCTCTTCCGTCAATTTATCGCCATAATGGTTTTACCAATCTGTAACCCGACGAAGTCCTTCTGGATCGAAGAAGCCAGCTCTGCTCTACGAAACTTTCGGTCGACCGAAAATTTACCAAAGGAGACAGATGTCATAATCGTAGGGAGTGGATATGCAGGTGCAACGACCGCATACTGGCTCAATAAGGCAAGAGAGCTACATGCCCAAGACTCTTGAGCAACGGTCTAAACGAAATTTTCAGTACACGGCAAACGATGCGCAACAGCCCCAAATGCTCATGCTAGAGGCTCGAGATATTTGCGGGTCCGCGACAGGTCGCAATGGTAGGGTTTTCCTACAGTCTTTGATTGCAGCTTAAGCGTTATCGTAACTAACAAAGGATTAACTCAGGAGGGCAGCTCAGGCCGCATGCCTACTCGCGCTATCCAGCATGGTCTGCTAGATTTGGGCCCGATGGAGCGATGGGCCTTATCAAACATGAAATGGCGCACCTGTCAGCTTTTCAGGCTCTTCTGGCCGAGGAGGACATAGATGAGGAAGTGTGCTTTCGGCTTGGTGAGACATTTGATGCAGCCATGTCAAATGAAGCCTGGGCACGACTGAAAGGCGCGTACAAAGCAATGAAGGAGGACCATGGGGAAGAGAACGAGGTGGTCAGGGTTTGCAGGCTAATTGAAGACACTAAGGCTGCGGAGGAATTCACCCAGATGAAGGCATGCCTGGGGGCAGTGGTGCACCCCGCCGGTCAAATGTGAGCTCTCTCGCTAGAAATTCTTTCCTATATCCATTTATTGAAAGGTGACTAACTTTTCACAGATGGCCGTACAAATTTGTTCATGCCCTGCTCCGCATAGTTCTTAAAGCAGGTAATTTGAACCTCCAAGCACATACGCCAGTTGAGAGTGTCTCAGACCGAGACGAAGCCGGTTGGATCACTGTCAAGACTGCGAGGGGAGATGTACGAACGAAAACCGTGGTGCATGCGACAAATCGATGGGCTTCTCACCTCTTACCGGAGTTCGACAATCTCATCTTTGGGAGTAGAGCGACTTTGGCATCCATCAAAGCACCAGAAGATTTCATCAAACACACAGGTGCCCAGCATTGGGACAGTATCGTAAATGTCTGGACCTTCAAGGCCGTGGCAGAAAATAAGCAGAGTAACTAACGGTTCTAGAATTATCATCTTCAACTTCCGCCACCTTACAACAACATCATTGTTGGTGGAGCAAGGTCTCTTCTCGTGCACTCTCCTCAAGATTGCTCCCCGAACGACGAAGAGGATAAACAATTTGATGGTGCTTCGGAATTCTTCCAATCGTGGCCTCAGTCGGACGTGGTGGGATGGCCTGGTAGCCATCCAGCAGAGTTAGCAAAGAATGTTGACGAGGGTGGCTGTTGGTCGGGTGGTAGGTCTCTCTGTGGTGATCCAGAAGCTGAAAGCATGCACTGACAAACCAACAGTTGAATCGATGAGTATCGACGCATTTCCTTTTATCGGTGATGTTCCAAACAGGGATGGACACTTCGTTACGGCTGGCTTTTCAGGTCATGGTACGTGTCGCCTGTGCAAGATCAACTGTTCTGTCAAACTGACATATTGTGTTCAGGCATGCCCCGTGTTTTACTCTCCGCCGCCCACATCGCACCGCTGATTTTGGATGACTTGAATGTCAAGTACACTGCTCCCTCCCTCGTTGTGCCATACCCGCCTCTACCCAAACCATTCCTGGCAACGGCCGAACGAATCAGTTCTCTCCAAAAGGTGGATTCTGCCGCCATTTTTGAAAAGAACTCCAAAGACTGTCTAGAAAGTGCAAAGAAACCCTTTTGTAACAGAGTTCCGGGTCGCCCGAGGTCTTAGGACAGATAGCGGATCATGAATGGGCAACAAGCTTGTCGTTAGCGAGCTGAGATTCCCTTTTCAGATCAAGTTTCAAATACTGAGTGCAGGAAATACAGTTACCAATGCTATAGTACTATATAATTGTACTAAAAACGGCTTAGACCTGTAGTACCCCCGTAGCACTGTACGACAGCACTAAAATTGCCTAGGTGCTATAGCACTTGGTACGGCCTAACTAGAAGATCGTGAATCTTGAGAAATTGGAGCACGGTGAGAAGTGTGTTGCGATCTGAAGATCGGATGGGGGAATGATCATGGGATAGTGCTGCACCCATATGTATCTCCTCTCTTTCTCCTCTCTCTTCGTCTTCTTTCCCCATGTTTAGAATTCTCGTTCAAATGCACTCTTTCCATCATTAAGAATTGGCTCGTAACAGCAAATACCAGAGCGAGCATAGCCAAGATGGCTACTCAAAAGCTATACGCCGCCAGACTCATAGAATTCTAAATCGTTCTCAGTAATCCTGTGCGTGGCAAGTGCTTTGGCGTCTCTAATGCGCGTAGGAAAGGCAGCGGTGTGGCATCCATCCTTAAGAAGTAAAACTATTTTCCTGAATTTCCAGCAAGATGCAGAAAAGAGTGCCTATTTATTCTGATAGATTGACCCCACTTCTTCTCCCACCCTCTTCTCCGCTCGAGTCCACGAGCGGCCCCTCATCGGGCCCACAGAAAAACCGACAAAACTTTTCAATTTCTGGAAGATACTGTCGGCAATGTTCTTTTCCCGTACTCATGTTACCCCAGGTAGCAATTGACGTAGCAATTTCAGTTTGTAGGGTCCAAACCAAAGGATTGGAATGGTAAAGCTGACGCCTGTCAAGTGACATTTCTTCGGATGAGGGCAGGTGGATTCCCGGTGCTGAAAGTCGCATTTTTTGAGATGCCCCTGTCGATAGCGTAGCACGCTAAAAGTGGTGTTTCTTGTTTGGGATCGAACCCATCCGTCAATATGGATTGCGCAGTTTCAAACAATACTAGAATATGCACGACTGAAGATATACGCAACATCATAGGTAGGTATGATGCATGATGCATTATGTATTAGGTAGCTGTACAGTTGCACACCTCAAACCCCCACTCCGCCTCCGCGACATCTTAAATTTTTTTCTCTCAGTACATAAAACCTAGAGCTGGGTGCCGCCAACCTTAGATTTCCTCTTTGTATTTGTCATTGCCGCAAATAATTTCTGATGAGCAAAGAGTTAGGTCTCTCGAGATTACTTCAATCCTCCTATATCAGCAAAGATGAATCAATTACCGGAGGATCCTTGTATGCAGGAAATCCAGCGACTGAGAGCTGATTACGAGGCAAAAAGAGCGCGGTCTAACCTTGATTCTGCTGGTGACAGACGGGTAATCGACCTCAGTTTAGGCTTGATTGACGGTGTGTTCTGCTACAAATATTGATTCGAGCACCAGTGCATCCGGCTGGCTGATATTCCCGGCACTATTTCTGGGGATATACTCCGCTTGAAACAAAATCTGCCCGACTCAGTCGACCACGGCGATCATGAAATCATCGGTGACAAAGTACGCCCCATCTTGAATCCCCCACCGCCTCCAGAGCTAGATGACGACTCCGAGGAACTTGATACAATCCTTGCCTCACTCCCGATCGTCGACGTCGATTCCAGCAAACGTTTTGTCAAGAAAGGCAAATACAAGAGCGAAATTAGGAACCTACTCGAATGTGAAGGTTGATCCTGTCCGGGAGTGCCAAAATCAGCTCACATCATTGAACTACACTACTGGGAAAGTCACCAGAGGGGAGTTTGGTCTTCGAGAACTCTAAGCCCCGATAAGTCTTAGGATTGCTGTCTACTTAAGGCATCTCGGGTAGATCGTTATCGTCGGTCGAAAGGCCTAGTTTTGCTAAGCCTTTATCAGAATTCACAGGCCAAATACCAGTTTCTCGGAATCCATATCGAATAGTCCGCGTTGTCAATACTGACATCCGCACTGTTAATGCTAACATCCGCACATCGTGAATTCCCGCGAGGAAGTTAGCCTTTGACCGCGCATCACCACCCCAAAAGGCCTCATCATTATTATACTTCTTATAATAATGCTTTAGCAGTTGAAATGGTGTGTCGTCGAGCGGTTAGCAACCATGTGTCGTATGTGGGATAAAACAAAAAGGAATGATTCGTTTTCTCTAGCAAAATTTAATGGAATCATGGGTCAAATGTAAACTATGATTATCCATTATAAGAAGACGATATTCCCCCTTTTTAGCACGAAACGATGTAAGTTCATCGAAGACCTGAGCCTAGGTAAAACTAACAATCTCATCGGTCCAACCATTCGAGGTTGGCCATGTAGTATAGTCGCCTAGTAAATTGGCGCCGATAAACCAACTTTCCATATGGAATTGGCATTGACTAAGAACCACGGTGGCATAACCCAACTATCGGCTGAAACACATTCAATGCCAGTAAGCGACTTAGATTGTCTACTAGTATTGTTTTTGGAATTTTCCCGGGCTGAAACAACATTCTGGGCCTTCCCTTCGCCAATTCGAAACCCAGTCTCGTCGAAATTATACAGGTTCTTCAGAGTGATTCCGTAGGTTTTAAGCCTAATTTGAAGGCGATTGTACCAAGAAACAATATAGCCAGGTTTATAGACCTCGCACCGTGCTTTTTCCATTGGCTTTTGCTTAATGATTATAAAATGTGGAGGTAGACGGGCGATAAAGTCGTAAGCCCAGTTTTTTCCTAGGTTCCGGGACGGTTCATAACGTCGGACAATTTGTAGAGCAGCACCCTGAATCTGCCCTACGGTCGGGGGAGAGAAAGCCTAGTCTAAGGTATCAATCCATAGAATTAATGCTTTCTCTTGCTCGGGTTCTAGTGCTTTGTTGGTCGGGGTACGCTCGTTTCGAGACTTAGAACCTTTGAGACGGCCCCTCAGTGTACAGTACGAAATGTCGAATTGCCGGGCGATCGCTTTGACGTTAGGTTTCTTAGTGGCACGGCATAATGCTAAAGCATCAGTGATGCGGTCTTCCAATTCTTGAGGCACAAGATGAGGATATAGGGGTGTAGTGAATTAATGGAGAAGGTTGAATTGATAAAAATGAGTTTACGGTCGGGTTGAGGTTACGCCCGGGAACCCTGACACCGCCTGGTGGCCGCGTTCGACGACCCGATTATATAGTTATGTTTGCTGTAAGTCGAAGTCGAGTGCTCCGTACTGGTCTGTGATGGGACAAACGCTCGTAATTCTAATACTTGGACTGTATTCCGGGTGAGACCGCTCAAGCCCAGGTGCCGTAGTTCGTTATAACAGGGCTTTGGTGTACACACAGTGGGCTCCCGGCGTTAGCGGGATTCCGGTGCGCGCTAACCTACAGTGTATTAATCTTGTCGCAAATACTTGCCCTGCCACATATTTGATATCATTAATGAGCCTAGGTATAAGCGATCGACGTATCCCATCTCTGATTGATAATGATTAGAAATCGAACAATGTTGGTTAAAGACCATCCAGAATTGCTTGAAACTTTATGTTGAAAAGGCAATATAAAAGATTGAAAGATGCCTAGCAAGAATGTACAAAACCTTCAAAGTTTGCTTTTGAAGCCTTTTTTATCGAAGAAAAGTTTAACCCACGAGTCTTGTACCCTTGAAAATCGATCCAATGAAGGAGATCCGCAAAGTAATTGTACTGGGCGTAGGTACTTTGCTATAACATATGATCGTCTTCCATCTGAACACCTTTCTAGGCCACAGGAAATGTGGGACAGCGCGTGATATCTGCTCTTCTGAAGGCATCGTTTCATGTCACGGCTGGTGGTAGAGCCTTGGGCTCTATGTCCGACCTTCCTTCGGAAGCAGTAAAGATTTCAGTTGACTATGGCTCCCCAGAATCGCTCAAGAACGCATTTCATGATCAAGATGCTGTCATTGAGGCCTTCAATCCCAATGTTGCAATATTCCAAGAGCAGATTGTCCAAGCCGCCATCGATGCTGGCGTACAACACCTAATTACCCCCGACTTCAGCAGTGATACTTTCAACGAAAACGTCGAAGAATTATTGATCTTTGAGCCGAAGCTGAAGGCACAGCGTCTCCTTGAATCTGCTGCTGAGAAACATGGAATCAACTGGACCGCTATCATTACAGGGCCATTTTTTGATTGGGGTTGGTTCCTTACACTTCTATCTTCTTCTCCCTGTGAATCCGCATTGACCTTGATATACGACAGCCATCCCACGCAGTATTTTCTGGGTGAACCCAAGTTCCAAAGAGGTCACGGTCTTCGGATCCGGCAACCAGCAAGTGAGCATGTCAGCGATTGATATGGTTGGACGGGCGTCTGTTGCTGTTCTGCAAAATCCCGTCGCCTTTCTGAACCGCGTCGCCTACTTTGCTGACTACACCGTCAGCTCTAATGAACTGGTTACGACTCTCAGCAATATGGATACCAGGGAGATGTGGAAACCGAATGAGATTCCGCTTTCGGGCTTCCTTCAACGAGGAAAGGAACTTTGGTCTCAGGATACAATTGACGGAGTCCAAGATAGGCTCAATTCCCCAGCCTATCAGATTCTGGGGACGTATGGTCTATTTGATGAGTCAAACAGATATGGCGCAGACTTTAGTAAGAAAGTCGAAGAGGGCTTCGGTATCACACTGGCAGAATTTCAGCAAATGCTGCAGCAGGCTATTTTTAAATAGGTAGATTTGGTTCATATAAAGATCACCAAGGAGCCTTGAGGATTATGCTCACATCTTTCATAGTCATGTTCCCTAATTCTAAACATAAATTCATCAAATTACATTTCCTCCCGAATCCTGAGTCTTCCTCATAGTTCTTCTCATTCCAGCCTTGGAAGTGAGATACCTAGGTAGAGTATATCATTTTTACTCGAAGCACATATCTAGGCCTTTGAATCTTATTCTAAGCATTCTTGAATGAAAGCGTCTCGGTACAGTCACATACCTAGGTTGATGAAAGTGATATTTTATCATTCAATCACCAACGAATTGAGATATCTCCTTAGTAGGCCAAATCCCCCGTAGTTGACAATAAAACCTAGAAATAAAAACTGATTGTACGATATCGCATGTATAATAATGTCAACGGCAATCTAGAAGAGACGGTCTTTTCTTGTTCGTTCAATTTCTAAATAAAGATTTTACTACCCGCTCATTCAGACTATTTCCAAGTTTGAATTGTGGAAGCCCAACCTCCACCATTATACCAAAAGCACTTGCTGAGGAATGATTCATTTCAACCGAGTCATCAAAGGATATCACGATTGACCGGGCCAGACTTCGTTGGCAATCTCGCGGACAAGCTTCAGTTTGTTGATCATGCCCACGTAATCAATGGAGTTGCCCTCTCGGTGACTGGCAAATCCGCACTGAGGGCTGATGCCAATCTGATTGAGTGCTGCATCAATAGTGATATCGTTTCCATCAGCAATGAACTGGGCAGCCACATAGATGCGCGTCTTCGTTTCATCGTTATCCTCGAGCTCGGGGAATTTGCTAGTCACAACTTCAAAAATCACGTTCTTATAAGTGGATAGTTCTTTCAAAGGCTCGAAGCCTCCAGCACGAGGTGTATCATACTCGAGGTAGTAAGTGTCGACATTGAGTTCTCGGAAAAGCCTCCGTGCAATTCGATTATAGCCGCCCTCAGAGAAGTGACGGCTGCCAACGAAGTTTCCGCGACAGATGTGTGCACCAATGTGGAAATCAGCAGGGCGATTGGAGAGTAAACTGTTATAGAGCTTGATGTATTCGGCGAACAAATCATCGGCGGATCGAATATTCAATGGATCGGCTTTCCATCCATCCAGCATCTTTTCGGAGTAGAAATCTATCGACCGAGAATTCAATTGTTTCTCTGTTGAGCAGTCTAGGCACGGAGGCCTTTTCAGAGTTATAATCACAAGCGAGATTAGGGTCATCAAATTGAACGTTCCCGCAGCCGGCCTCGTACAGGATCTTTAGCTCCTCTTGGTACGCTGTAGCAATGTCGGCGAAGTATTCCTCGTCGGATGCGTAAATGTCTTTGGGGTAGGCTGACCCCTCTTTGTACCGCAAGTGGTACCAGTTAGGGGCAGCGATGGTGAGCTTGACGCTCTTCGCCTCTTCAGGGGACACAAGGCTTGCCAAAAATCTAAACTGCGCAACATACGTGCTTCAGGCGTGCTTGATCTTGCCAGTACAAATAGCGCTCTCTGGGGGCTTGTGTCCTGTCTCGAAAAATGCAGCGACATCAGGAGCGTATATACGGAACAGTCCAGGCTCAGGCTCTTTGATCTCCTCGAATCCAGCAAAGCTGGGAAAAAATGAACCCCAGAACAATTTTCACATTACGCAATGTCAGCAATCAGTAGTTTACCTTGTTTGACAGGTCCAAATGAGAGGGATTCTCTTACTGTGTCTGCAGTATTCTCCATCGAAAAGAGCGACATATCCAAGTTCTTTCTGCTTTTTCACGATATCCTGAATATATTTCTTTTCAATCACAGTGAGATCAGACTCGGAAAGCTGGCTGTCCTCAAAGGCCGTCTTTGCGTCGAGGAGCTCGCGAGTTCGGAGGAGCGAGCCCAGGTGCTCTGCGCGGAAAGGTGGATTGCGGTGGATTTGAGGCGTCATGGTGAATGTAAATCTGCAAAGGAAAGACCTGTCAGTATTTGACACTCGGAAACCGGAGATCGACTTCAAAATTTACTGTGTTTTGAAAGGAGAGAAATGCAATGGGAACAAGTGCCGTGTCTGTGCAAAGCGAGGAACTGGTTCTCACGTGTTGTAAATATCTTCAGCTCTCGGGAGTGAACTCTCCAATGTTTGACTTTAAATTAAATACAGTATGTTACTCACTTTTCAGACGATGACTTCGACAACTCCCATCGGGCAACTATTTGCGAGCCGGCGGGTGATCATTGGCCTAATACGGACGAGCCAGCATTCAAATCTTACGGCCCCCACCAAGATCTACATCAGCTCGTCCTAGCGGGAACTATGGAAATTTGCATTAATCAAATCAATTATAAGAATTGGAGCTCAGTCATGGGTGGGACTCTGTGCGTAAACTCGTATCGGATATGATCTTTAGCCGACGCCCTTTCCAAGTGGGTACACCTATTGCTTAACTCCGTCGCTGTGCATATTGGCATCCAACCTGACAAGCCTGGACTCCAATAAGAGCAGCAGTTGCTGCTCAACTACTGAAGCGAACTAGGAAGTGTGTAATGAAAATATCCACCTGGGCACCAAGCCGGCTGATGGTACAGTACGTAATACCTAGGTCACTTGCCACTATCGCTCCGACTATTTTCATACCTAGTAGATCTATTCACTAGACCTAAACTTGTCTGGTCTATCAGGCAACACACCAGGAGCAGCACTCCCAATAGACTGGCATTCAGCCCATGAATCGCGTAGAAGAATCAATGGAAGTCGCATCTAGAAAGTTAAATCTGTCATCCGTCTACTGGAGGAATTAACAATTGTTTCTGAGTGGATTTCCATGCCTCTTTCTGCACTAGACTCCACGAAGAAGTTGGTCAAATCAAATCGGTCAAGGCGGAATATAGGTTCTCGGGACAAATCCACCCTTATTCATCTAATCCACAGCCTAGCCTGTAGAACCCCACCTTTACAACTACTTCTGATTATCACATGAAGAAACACGATCTTCTCAAGTATCTATACGGGCTGTTGAATGTCTAGATAAGAGCCTGTTCATTGGGCAAGACACAAGCCATGACAAGTATTTGCGCACCAATTAGATAGCCACCAATCTTGGAGCTAGGAACATTTCAATGCTAAGGTTCGCAATTACTTGATACCTAGGTAATCTATTTTTATAATTCAAAGTTTACGAGCAAAAGCAGCTTTGGTAAACTGGATTAAGCATCACGCTTGAAGAAGACGAGATTTACAATTCAATATTCCAAGTTCCAATGAATTTGCATTCATACCGACTCCTCGAATGAGCTAAACTTCCTATTCATATTCTTCTCCTTATTTTCCCCTACTACAAAGTCCATTTCCAGAAAAGGGCGACATCACCTACACCTAAATAAGTAATAATCCATTTTTAGGCTGCGGAAAAGGCCGGAAAATAGACGGAAGCAGAAAATCAGTTCAGGTCTTGAGATATAAAGAAGGAAGAGACTAAAGTGGGAGAAAAACTACCAAAAGTACAGAGCCTTCCAAGGTTGGGGGCTTGAACTCCAGTAAACCTCAACATCCTTCTTATTTGAAGCAAAGCACCGAGTTGGCCCATCCAATGTTCGAGTTGGTACAACCCCAAGTTTCGCCCTTGTGATGGCCGACATTCTGCGACGAACCACTGCAGTCACGGCCAGAGAACAGCGTACAGTAGGTGTCGCTTCGTGAGCCAGCACTCACACCGAAAGAAGCGGCGCCACTGTTGAGATTGGTGCATCCTTCCTCGACGTTAGATCCCAACCCCTGGAAGGCGTTGCAGCCACAATTATAACAGGTGTAGGCATAGAATGAATCAGCGGCTGCCAATGATCCATGACTGATCAAGAGGATAGAAGGAAGAAGCGACTTTAATTGCATGACTGAACGATTTTGGTCAGGAACAATATCGAGGTTATATACTCCGTGCTGGCTTTGCACTTACTCGCGATGTGAAATCGTGATGGAATTCTTTGAGAATTGTGAATTGTTAAATGACAATGGGTAGGATCATGTATATCAATTGCAGAAGGGGACATCGACCTTTATAACACAAAAGTGAGGTCTAGGCATATTCCTTTTTCGGTCTGAGGTGGCAATGCTGAAGAGACCAGGCTGTAACTGTGTCATTGAACCGCTATTTCTGTCCAGCTGATGTGATCCGTTCACGATATGGATGTTTGTCCATATGCTTGACTGGTCCTCAGATGGCTATGCAGTTGAGATCGGCGCTATTCAATCGGTGATTAAGCTAATATCAGGCCTCCCAGGTGGGTATATCGTATTCGAGCTGGAACAACTGGATACCTGCAGGGATCAGGTTGTAAGCGTACCTAGTACGGAGAACCAGTGCTAACTCCGATAACCAACCAGATTAAAGGGAAATAATCTGCCCTTTGCCAAGTTCTCGCTTATTGTAACTAATTAAGGGTCTTCTCTCTACGGAAATGTTCCTACCACGGGTATGTTTGTTGACAGTATGATACCTAGGTACAGTATCATTGATGCTGCCTGGAGAGATCTCGGGAAGTAGAGAACTTGATTCAAGTTTCTAGATTCTGACAGAGAAGCGAATCTGTCAGATCCATTTTCCAAAAGTCTCCATGGCTGTTTTATTGAGTAAGGTAAAACACTCATTTTCTAGCTAGTATTTTTACCTAGGTACATAGGGTCTATAAAGTCTGGGGACAGCTGGTATCAGATGGATTCCATTGAAACCATATTAATGGATATTTAGTCGCTATATCTCAAATGATGCTTGAAAAGATCCCCAAAAGGACCGAAGGAAAAACATATGACGGGGGATGAGAAAGCCCATACAAAGATGACAGCCAAATGAGATAAAAGAGAGTGCCGCCATATTTAATTGACGGGAAGTATGCGTTCATTGAGTACAATAACGTTAATATTTATGTTATCTTCTGGCTACTCTGGGTTTGGGAGAAACTTGTGAGACTCGTAGAGATTCCCCTCAGATAAACAAATACGTAGGTATGAACTTGATTCACGGTCTTCCCTACGAGGCTTTTCAGAAAAGGTCTGATTTTGCTTGATTCGTGCCCGGGTGCCGAGCGCGAAGCCCCATATGGCCCCCACCTGCGGCCCCACTCCGCCGCACCTGCGCCCGCAGCCCCAATCAGAACAAAATGCAGCACACTGAGCGCCAAGGCTTCACCATAGGGCGTGAACAAGCTCCAACAGTACATTCCATGGCATTGGGTACGGGTTCCATGATAACAATGAACGGGGAACCGCAATCACAAACTTGTTGAGGATTTTTTTCGGATGCAGTATATGACGATTCAACTTTACACCTGGGCACTGTTTTCAGTACTAGTCCTTTGACCCTTGTACATAGCAACAATGCTTACACCCACCTGTCAATAGATGAATCTCGTATCTATAAAATTCTTAGCACTGAAGTCTTTAGTCTACTTAGATCAATAAGTTATAGGCTTCCAAGGTTTCTGTGGTTGATTCTGGGCATACTAGTTGGCACTACGAGGAACTGAATTGGCATATGGTCAGCCTGATCCAAGCCTTGGACACATTTCCTATCCTAACTTATACAGGAGTGTCTCTGTGTGTGATTCATTTACCCTGACCCCTCGCAATGAAAAGCTGGATTCTAAACCATAACCCACTAGGCTGAGTACGGATTCGTATTTTACCTGTATGGTCTTTGGGGGTTCCAGAACATTGATCATGAAACAAGCCAAACAGCGTGCCTGCTCGTCGAGAAAGGTGACAATTTTGAAGTCGGGTTCCGTCAACCAGCCACTCTCTGAGTGGCCACTATGAACGAGTTGAGTGTACTCTCTAGATAATTTACTATATTGTATTAGGTATAAAAAGATGCGCTGTTCATTGTATCAACAGTACAGACTTCGGACACTTGGCCAAATGCTGCAGATGTCCTTCAACGGAATATTCGAAACCTGAGGCACCAGTTGAGCCCCGGTATACTAGCGTATACTCGCGATGGCCTGGTGGATAACTTGAATAGAAAGCTGAGAGATGGAAGAGACTTTTCCACTATTTTGAATGTGCAGTAAAAGAAGACAGACATTGTGGCAATATGTCTGATATCAAAACCTAGGATGACGTTGGTTCCTCTGCGGTATGAAATTATCCTGAAAAATCCAGGGACGGTCTAGGTTTTGCAAAGCGGGAATCGGTTACTTGGAACGCAACTATGTGAGTATTTCTCCTGCTCCTACTCACGCTTGGAGGGATATACATAAATCTCGTTTTCAAAAAGAAAATCCTGGCCAGCAATAGATAGGAAAGGTCTGGACTCCCCTACGCAATATAACAAATCTTAGTTCCTGGGGCTCGAAAATGGGTTCCTAGGAGCTGGGGTTACGGTCTCCAAAACCCCCTCCACCAAAGGCGGTCAGCTTGCACACGGATTCCGCAGGGCAGATTCTGATAGCCTCAAGTGGAGGCAATGTTCGATCATATAAAAAAAAGTTGGCTCCTCCCAAAATCTAGCTCTTCAGATCACCTTATATACCATGCGCTATTTGGTAAATCGTACTGAGCTGTTGCCCTCCCTGATGGTCTTCAGGAGACCCTCCCCGAGTCGCAGCCTCCTACCTACCCTGTGCCGGAAGCTGGTGCCCAAGCGGCCAAGCCCAGCGGGAAGACTCACCGTCAATCTGCGATACGGCGTGGAAGCTGTTGATTCTGGCCCATGAATCTCTCGAGCGCACCGATGACAGCAGCGGACAGGCCGCAGAGGCCTATTACCATGTGGGATGGTTGTTTGCGAATGCGATTCTCAAGCATCGAAATCAAGGACATCTCGACCCCGAGTTCAGGAACGATATCATGGTTTTGCTTTCCCAGGTGCGGCGGATTGCGAAGCAGAGACTAGGTATGCAAGTGAACGCGGCTTCAAAGTAGTTCAGCACGTACCTAGATACGATCGGGTTTCTGTGGGTGACTCGGAAGACGCGTGGACCGGGCTCAAGGCATTAGATGCGTGGTTCGAGAAGCGAGGCGAAAGTGTCCCGATGGGCGTTGAGAAGGTGATTTTGGATGCAAGCGAAAGGAGCAACATAGTGCATAACATTATGGATTTCGGCAGAGAATGGCAGAGGAACGGAACAACCTTGGGTATGAGTTTCGGCTCCGTAGGAGGAACAAGAAAGACAACAATCTTCGATGGCAATGGGAGGCAAATCAATTATTTCTGCACCGGCTCTGGGCAACAATACATAGTGGAGAACTAGAACTTTAATTCTGTAACAGGACATTTTGCTCTTTCACTTTCTTCTACATGTACCATCATACTTCAACAAATCAGAACCATTCCTCTCGGGTTGACTTTGTACTCGAAACTTTGTGCTGCGGCTTCTGTGGATGCCGAGTTCGAGATAGCACTGGGTGTGTGAGGTAAAATGGATGTACTGTAGCAGCAAGATCTTAATGTTTCTTTAAATTCGGATAAGTTTCATAAGACATTAAAGAAACCCTTATTGTCTGGGGTCGGATGCCGACAGGCATATTAAAGGGCTATTTATCCTACTCCTCTAGCGCCAGTAGACCCCGTGCTTTTACTTGATCAAGCACTATCCCGACGTATGCATTCTTAATCGTGAAAAGGACTGCCAGAATCCAATTCATACATGCAGCAAACAGAGAAAGGTAGCAGTGGCGAGCGGAAACTACGCTGCGGAGCCCGACGAAAGCAAACCGTCCTTCAAAGAAATATGAGCATCATTAGTCGCGTCACGGTGATTCGTGATGTGTGATGGATCCGTTCTTTCGCACATCCGAACAAAGAAACCAACACGTTTTGTAAGCCGTGGCGGTCGCCAGGTGAGGCCGTATGGTGCGGCCGTCTCGTGCATCATGGTCATCACGCGACTCTCTGCAGTTTTCCGGAAATGATCGTGACCTAGCAATCACGATGACCTACAAGATGCCTTTCAATACGATTCCGTATTTGAAGCCAGGCTAAGTCTGAACTGGATTAGTGTGTACTAAAGTAGGGTTCCAGAAAGGTTCCATGAGAGCAAAGTGGTGAAACTAATTTCGATTTATCCTGTAATTATTACTTGGGTAATAACTTTGGTATCATTTGATCTCGCAGAACAATGCGGGAAGCCTTCTAGGGGTGGAGCAAACGATTTATACTTCACATGCAAACAATATAAACATCACGGCATAACGATTATCCGAGCGCCAAGAGATCCATACATAAGCATCTCGTCGACAATCGAGTCACAGCTGACCTGGTTACACTGCATCAAGTCCAGCTACAAGTCCTCTACATTGAAATTGGTCTCCACTTGGCCCAAAACGCTATGGAGCAGCACCAAGAACGCCAAGCTCCTCTTGCCTGTTCACCCTGCAAGAAAGGCAAAAGACAATGCGACAAGATACTACCGTCCTGCTCTAGGTGTAAAAGGTTCGCTTCGTTGTAGACCCAAAAGCTTACTCTCATAAATCACTAATAAATTATCTGTTATTCAGAGCAGATAGATTGTGCCAGTATCCGCCCATCTCTACATCAACAAGTGTGCATAGTCGAGAAGATGCAAGGGCGCCGGGTAGAGCCTCAACTCAATCATGTTTAAGGTGCAAACTCCATAAACGAAAATGCGATCGACTTGTTCCGAACTGTTCTCGTTGTGTTAGGCACGTAACCCTCTCTCCCCCCACATTCCCCCGGCTCTGAAATATCTTTTTTTGGCTTAAAAAAGCTGACACTATAACTATTTAGGTCGAATTCAAATTGTGAATATGGGTCCACTAATGATTTCCTTCCATCCATGCTGTCAAATACACATGACACACATCCATATCTAGAGCCCTCCGACGTGAACTTGGATTTAGGCTCCTTGTCAGCAGAAATTAAGATTCCGTTCGAGCCACCTATAAAATATCGCCCCTATATGCCAGTATTGCTACAGTTTTGTGAGTCGCTTCTTCTAATATCACCAAATAATACACATCTCGAGCAAGCTCTTCCTTTGAATCACAAGGCTCAATACTACAGAAAGGTCTAACATCTATGCTCGAGATTAGTCTTGATTTCGATAGCCTCACCTTCTAACATTGCCGTCGCAAATAGCTTGGCCTCACATCTCCACTCAAAATGGGTTCAAGTCGCGATGCAGGATCCTTGTCTGTTTCATGCTACGATGTTTAGCGCGTCAGCGGCTATTGATAACTTGAATAATCGTGGAAACAATTTAATTACGATATATCATCAAACATGCGCCATTCGTCTGGTCAATGAACGCCTTAGCAAGGAAACCCCGGTTTTGAATTATGGTACTTTAGGATCCGTTATACCCTTGATACTTTGCAATGTAAGAAATCCTACTTTTGATAACAGACCTGTGAAGTGTTTTTCCCTTGAAATCCGTCGCTGATGAAGACTTAGATGGTGGCGCCGGACAGAGCTTCTGCGATGGCTCATCAGAAGGGCCTCGTAAGTATGCTACTCCTAACACCAAAGCCGCTGAGAGATGGGATAGGACCACTACTTGGGGTGATTAAACTGTATGAAACAAAATATTTGGATGTATTCATCGCTCAATCTAAGTCTAATACAGAACCATGCTCTCTCTCTCCTGCGTGTTTGATGTTGCTCCCGACTGGGATTGCTTGCTCTCGCCTACAGTTCGTCCTCACTCGATCCTCCGCAGTCTCATTGCTAGCGCTTTCTTCCATGGTAACAAATCCGTTCTGGAGAGGCCAACTGTGGACGCGATTTTGAGTCTGTATGAGGCGGTCTCTCAGTTAAGCCACTTAAATCATGTCGATGCCGCCTCCATCAGCGACGCGGTTAAGCGGGTGCTATCTCTGGCAAAGCAGGATGACGTTTTGAATCTCCCTCTAAACAACCCATCGCCTTCGAATACTGCCGATAGAGTCAACCTCTGCTGTCAGCTTTGTTCACTGATATTTTGGAAGTTACTCGAAAACCGTGGCTACGTTGAAGCTGGTTTTCCTACAACGAATATGGAAGAGTCACAATTACTATTGGAGACTTTTACTAAAGTAGAATGCCAGTACTGGATTCAGAATGCCCCAGAAACCTTGATATGGATTGTGTTCACTGGGGCCGCTGCATGTCTTGATGAGAAGGATCGAGGAAGCTTTTTTCGAATTGGTGGTAGATCCCTAGCAGCCATTGATTCTGACAGCCTGACGTTGGTCAGACAAGGCTGGAGATACTTCGGTCTGTTGAGGAGGCTAGCTGGCCTTTCATCCCCTTCTGAGCTTCCTGGCGGAACAGATTCATAGTAGGCGCTCGCGAAGTTACACCCTTTCCTCGGTCCAATCCCATAGATCATGTGCCATTGTTGTATCTCTTGCAGCTTTGCTAGCCACTGAAACTTTGCCAACTGGGAGAAGATAAGCTCCATTATCGAGATTAATTTTGAGAGCCGTAGATGTTGCGGCATAAACAATGGCACCCGCCCCTTCACGTGGACCACGGGCACCCAGCTCAACAAGGGGTTTAATAAAACGATACATTGGCGTTGATGACAGCGGACCCTGCGACAAGCCGCTATGGGCAGTCAATATCTTGGAAAGAAAAAAGAAATAAAAAAAGGAAACAATTATCCTCTGCACTTACGTTTTGACAGTCCCTGGATGCAAAGAAAGAGACATAATTTTGGCATATCTCTTCGCCAATTCTTTGGAATGCAACACGTTGGCAAGCTTTGAGTGGCCATACCGAGCCCAGACTGAGAAACCATCTTTCATGTTCATGTCGGAAAAGATCATGCCCTGTTTTGGCGCCAGTTTTTCATGCGCGTCACTGGATACATTCACAATTCGAACTGTGCCTGCGGGGACAGACTCAACAGTTTTCAAAAGCGTTGGAAGCAGCAGCTTTGTAAGAAGAAAATGCCCAAGATAATTCACCTAAATAGGACAATTGGTCATCGGCTTTTTTATGTAAATTGTTAGGGAGATTCTTACTGCAAACTGCATTTCAAATCCATCTTTCGTTTCTTCGTATGGCACACACATCACCTAAACTCAATTTAGTACTCCCACGGAGGTATATCAAACTCAGTTCAGAGGCCGCTTACTCCAGCATTATTGACCAGTATATGAAGGGTTGATTCATGCCTGTAAGCCTAACTCAGTTTGACTCAAATCATGGGCGATTACTCCCACATGCTACATACTGGGTAAATTTAGCAGCTGCCTGTCGGACACTCTCCAGATCCGTCAGATCAAGCGGGAGGAAATGGATATCTGCGGAGGGGAACTCCTTCAGAATGTCATTTTTGGCTTCCTCGGCCTTTGAGCCTGACCGACTAGCAATGTATACACGGGCACCATGTTTAGCTAACTCATCACTTGTACCGAATCCTCTTTTGAGAGTAAGTGGAGGCTTCTTTTAACTTCGTTTGCGATGAACTGATCGGAGGCAGGAGCGCTTTATCACTTACAGTCCTGTGTGTCCCCCAGTGACTATAGCCACTTTTCCGGATATATTGGGCGTCGCTAAGTTTGGATGGCCTCCCATGGTTGAATCTTGCTAATTAGTACAAAGGGGACCTGGCCTTTAAGTACTATCACTGCGGCGTGCCGACGGCCACCATAGGGCAACCACTGATCTGCGGATGCATATGGAAGAAGCTTTGCCAGGAATCGGTGAAACCGCTCATATCTCCTTCGAGCTGCATAGTTTAAAATTATTAGCTTTATTTCTAGGCGCTTTTTTGAAATGAAAATAAAAAATAAAAATACGAGTGCGGCGTGCGGCCGCAAATGCGGCGTGGGGCGGGTCGACCGCTAATCTACAAATGCGCAAGGGAAGTACCCCGTACATTGGAAATGTTATCGAGAGACTGAAATTTTCGTGGACCATTTCCCCGATTAGTCTGCTTTTCAAACCGTCACATTCGAACGGAGTTAATGCGGTCTAATATGTCTAGGGTCAAACTCGTTCGCCTGGCGCCCTTCGAGAGAGTCGCGGTCGAGTTCCCTCAGGATTACATAACAAACAATATTGAAGGCTTTTGTTTCCTTCGGTGACCATTGAGCTGCGGGGACCTCCTCGAAATTAAATTAAAGCCCTAGAGTGCATTAGCGCTTTGTATTGCACAATGCCAGCGACACTTTAGACCAAATGAATAAAAGGAATTACATCCTGTCAATTAAATCTGGCGACACTCCTACGTTTCACTTGGCTGTCATCTTTCCATAGGCTTTTCTATTCACCCGCTATATCCCCTTCCTAGGGTCATTTTTAGGGTCTTTTCAAGTGTCGTTTAAGGCATAGTGGCTACCTATCCATTGATACGGTGGCAACAAAACTTATTTAATACCAGCTGTCCTCAAAATTTTTAGATACTATGTACTACTGAGCCCCTTCTTCTGTCATTTTGATTTTGATTTTCCTCATTCCAATTCACACTTTTGGATTTTGTGACTTGTGACTTTTCAGTATGTCATACAAAGCGCTCTCGAGCTGGATACTAGGTTTACTCGCTCTTTTTATCGTGAGAATATGGATAAAACGTAAAGGACCCTTGGGGCCACTGCCTCCAGGCCCGCCGGCTAGGCCAATCGTAGGCAACATCGCCGACCTACCGCCTCCAGGAGTGCAGGATTGGATGCATTGGTTGAAGCATAAAGAATTATACGGTACGCTCAAGAATTCATAGCTGACCGACCTCTTTCTCTTTCTATTGCTGATATGAAATTGCGCCTGCAGGGCCCATCAGCTCCATTACAGTGATGGGACAAACGCTCGTAATTCTAAATGATGCACGCATAGCATCTGAACTCTTGCGCAAACGCGCCTCACTCTACTCGTCAAGACCGCACATGACCTTTGCGTCCGAAATGCAAGTTTCAAATATCAAACCGAAAGTAACTATTAAAGTAGCGAGGCTCATATTGACAGCGTAACAGGGTAGGCTGGGAGCATGCACTGTCTATGCAGCCGTACACCGATCGATTCAAAGCATATCGAAAGCTTCTGAAGCCATATTTTGGTTCAGAGAGGATCGTTCGCCAGTATACCCCGCTACAGGAGGTGGAAGTGCGTCGCTTCTTGTGGCGTGTTCTAAAAGACCAAAAAGGCCTCACGCAGCACATCCAGACGTCAGTGATTTCCTCAATACTCCTATAAATGAAAAATCCAGATTATAACCACACTAAATAGTGAGGCAGGAGCGGTTATCCTCAGGATAGCATATGGCTATAGAGTTGAGCCACATAGGCAGGATCTGTTGGTGAATCTTGCAAATGTGTCCCTAGAGCAATTCTCAGTTGCTTCGACACCTGGTACTTGGCTGGTAGATATAATACCTGCATGTAAGTTGCGGGTGAAATTTTTCTCCCATTTGCCTTTTCCATAAGCACTAATGTCAATCAGTAAAATACGTCCCGGCCTGGTTTCCGGGAGCTGGTTTCAAGCGAAACGCGCTGCAGTGGAGAAAAAACCTTGAGGACGTTGCGAAACTTCCATACGCCCTTGTTCAGCAGCGGATAGAAGATGGCAAGTACGAGCCATCTTTCCTCTCTGACCTCTTCAAATCAAACGGCATTCCATCTTCTGGATCGGAGGAGGAGCTAGTTGCTAGATGGACAACTGCATCGCTTTACGTCGCGGGTGCCGACACTGTACGCTACCTCTCTGCTTCCGTGGGCCGTTCCGCTTGCTAATATAAGATAGACTGTGTCTTCAGTTGGAACATTCTTCCTCGCAATGGCATTGAACCCGGAAGTTCAAATTAAGGCGCAAAAAGAAATTGACCGGGTGATCGGACTTGGCCGACTCCCCACGGTAGAAGACCGCAAGCGTCTACCTTACATCAATGCGGTGGTACAGGAAGTTTTGCGTTGGCACCCTGTAGTGCCGATGGGGGTCCCGCATATGTCGACAGTCGATGACATGTACGATGGATACTTTATCCCCAAAGGATCTCTTCTCATGCCGAATATTTGGTGAGTTTTGATGCTTGATAACTCAAGACGCCACGATCTTGGTCATAATATCTATATTCTAACTCGCTTCATAGGGGCATGATGCATGATCCCTCATTGTATCACGATCCTATGGCCTTCAAGCCAGAACGTTTCTTGGAGGCCGATGGCCAAAGCCCTGAATTAGATCCGCAAAGCTTAGTATTTGGGTTTGGGCGTCGCATCTGTCCTGGCCGAATTTTGGCAGATAGTACAGTATGGCTGAGCGTTGCAAAGTCTCTTGCAGTGTTTCAAATCAGCAAACCTGTGGAGAACGGCGTGGATGTGGATGTTAAAGCGGAGTTCCAGCCTGGGGTTATCAGTCACCCAGCTCCGTGCCAGTTGCAGGTCACGCCACGGAGTGATGCGCATGAGAAGTTGATACTTTTGGTGGAGGAGGAGCACCCTTGGGAGCAGGGTGATGGATCCGAGCTTCATAAAATCCGATCTTGACTTAACGTTCGCATCTCCATGCCGTGGTTCAATGGTGCCCGCTTTCGCGTGTGATACTATTCTTGCATATCTTGGCGGTACACAGCGCCAAGGCGCAGAAATCGCGGCCCGTGTTGATCCTGTGGGGTTGATCCTGGAGACGGGTCTTCCCACTAAAACGCCACGACTGGCACCCTGTTTTACACTGTAGGAAAGTCATTTAGATGATATTCTATCTGCAGTTCCCTTGCCCGATGGCAGATACTTATCGGGTTTAATACATTCTAGAAAGAAAAATCGTAACGGCTACGCAAGCGTTTTTAGCTTTAGAACCTTTGTTCCTGACGGGGGTTTGACAGCGCTTGGCTCTATTTGGTACCTCACGACAAGCCTGACGTGGTGAGGTGTCATCTTTGGCTAATGAAGTCAGAGCTGTAAGCGCCCAGCTCAAGCTCGGACCGCATCGCTATTTTCAACTTGCATTGAAATGTGGTGCGTTATTAAGTAATCTTAGGTGACTTCGCGAGGTGATATGCCTTGCCGTTGCCACGCACTTGGGTAATTCAGGTCAGGCTCATGTTGAATAAGAGGAAGTTGCGTGATTTCTTGCGCCACGGCCGCGCAAGATCGTTCCAAACAAGGAAAGGGATGGTTAGCTGCTGTAGGTATCTCATAACGGCGGAATTTTGCACAGATTTAATTCAAATAGACACGACCAATCAAACTCATGGATCCTAATCATAATCTGTAAAATTTGTTGTGGCCCATGTGACCATGAAACGTATACATATGCAATCATGTTGGTCCCGATACACGTGTCTCTTCATCATTCATGATAAAAGAAGATCACCCCGCTCTTTCCATGCTTTTCGTCGCCTATCTCTTTGCGTCCAACTTTTAAATAGAAGCCAGCTTCCTATAACATGAAATGATGTGCACTCTTGACATCACGAAAGCAGAAGCGGGAGTCCTCAGTTTGTCGTAGGCCATGAAGGTCTCAGCGATGAAAGCAACAGGGGATATGCTAGTCAATTTATTGTACCTTCTCTTTTAGAGAGCAGTTCGAACTTTCGAGAACTCTGTGACCTACGACAAAGAGCAAGTAATACTCAACCAAAGTAACATACCCTAATTAATACAAAATAGGGATGGCAGAACCCTGAAGGCGACATTTTTCTACAAGTTGATGATGAAAATAGCAGAAGAGCTTCATCGGTCTACTACTGCCCTGACAATCCAACAAGCTTGCCCTGGCCCTATCAATATCCTTGACATTTGCATGGCACCTGGGGGCTTTCTCAAAACTACCTTGAACACAAACCCGGGATCGCACGCCCTTACTTTCAGCTTGCCCATTTCATGTGGAGGCCAGAGAATCCGCCTGCCTAAAAACCCGAGTTTTGAACAAAGGTTTCTAGATACCACTCTGCTCGCTATAGATATAGATATGGACATGGAACAGATCCCCCAAGGTCACCCTGATGCCGAGAATTTCTTGCCGCGGCAATTCAAGTCAAATCAACTATTTGAATTAGCCATCTGTGACGGCCAGGTTCTTAGAATACATGAACGCGCCGCCTATCGAGAAAGCCAGGAAGCTAGACGTTTTGTTGGGCATGTCAGGTGACATCCTACATTGGGATAGTCTCCCATGGAGTAGATAGATAGATAGATATCTCTCGCTCTCTCTCTCTCTCCTTTTCTCCTCCGTCCGTAATACAATATTCATATCTTCATATTCCATCGCCCTTGTATGATCTCCACGACGTTTCATAGTGATGCAACTATCTCTTGGTCTTCAGTTTCTCCGACCCGGAGGGACTATAATTCTCCTTCTTCACAAGCTTGAAGCGTGGGATACTGTGATACTCGTCTATGCGTTTAGTGAAATCTCCTCAGTGCAACTTTTTAAACCAAAGTCGCGTCATGCCAAGCGATCTTCCTTCTATATGGTTGCGACCGGCATCCAGAGTCAGTCCAATAAGGCCCTTCGGGCAGTTAATAGGTGGAAAAGAATTTGGCGTGTGGCTACTTTTGGCTCCGATGATGAGTATCGGAAGGAACTCCGGAAGGAAGATCTTCAAGTGGAGACGGTTATTGAGCATTTTTGCCAAGAACTTGTTGGTTTAGGTAAAGAAATTTGGAAAGTTCAGGCCAACGCACTCAAAAAAGCACAAACGCTACATTGTTTTGTGCATTTCCCAGTGAATTTTCATGGGCAATGAGCTTATCCATAGGCCATATAGACATTGGTTGTTTCCTGGTTTTACTTATTCATGGCCCTGTCAGGTCGGGTTTGACGGTCCAAACTTTCGGTAGAAAACCCTAAATGACTCAATGATATCCTGGATTGTGAAGACATCCTGCTGAATGAAACACCTGAGGTACTCAACCTGCCACCAGATAGACAGGATTTCTTCCACTGCCTGGAAGAAATATCTGGCAGTGTCTTTGTGTGTCATGACGACGCCCACGTTCACTGCTTCTTCCCGGAGTGTATCCCAGTCGTCTATCCAAGACAATACATCCTTAGGAGGTTTCATTGACGCAATGGCATGCCCTCTGCGAATGATCTCTTCTTCATAGGCAGTGGATCTCCCAAAACGTGTTTTTAGAGATTGCAAGCGTTGGTGAGAGGTGCTGGTTTGCTGCACAATTCCCTGGAAACTCTCATGGGCAATGAGCTTATCCCGGTAAGCCCTCCATTCTGGGTCATTATCCAATAGCTTTTTCACCTTCTTCACCTTCTTTTCTTGTAGGTTGATGGTGTCGCCTTCCGCAGGGGCAATAGCGCTTGTCCATGAGCCCCGTGGTCACTTGCGGCTTGCTCTCAGGCTTGCACTCGGGCCTAGCTTCTTCGTGGCCTTGCCAGCTTGAGGCACTTTTCGGAGCGGCCGATGATTTCGATGGAACAAACTCTCGGTAAGAACCCCCGAATGACTCAATGATCTCCTGGATGGTGAAGACATCATGCTGAAGGAAGCACCTCCGATATTCAACCTGCCATCAGATAGGCAGGATTTCTTTCACTGCCTGGAAGAAATATCGTGGAGATCATACAAGGGCGATGGAATATGAAGATATGAATATTGTATTGCGGACGGAGGAGAGAAGGAGAGAGAGAGAGAGAGAGAGAGCGAGAGATATCTATCTATCTACTCCATGGGAGACTATCCCAATGTGGGATGTCACCTGACATCCCCAACAAAATATCTGGCAGCGTCTTTTTGTGTCATGACGACGCCCACGTTCACTACTTCTTCTCGGAGTACATCCCAGTCGTCTATCCAAGACAACACGTCATTAAGAGGTCTCGTTGACGCTTTGGCATGCTATCTGCGAATGATTTTTCTTCATAGGCAGTGGACTTTCCAAAATGTGTCTTCAGAGACTGCAGGCGTTGGTGAGGGGTTCTCATTTGCTGCACAGTTCCATGGAATTTCTCATCGAGGTGAGTGAGAATCCATTCTTGAACTTCAGCTATCCCTCGCTCCTGTTCCTCCCATTGGGCCATGCGGAATTTACATAGATCAAAATGATCTCTCCATAATTCTATCCTCGTCTCATCCCTACGGTTTTCAGGGTAGGGCTCAACTTCTGGTTCTTCCATTCTCTGAGGCAGGCCGAACTCCGGTGTGGCTGGGTTGCAAAATTGCCAGACTCTCCGCGTGGTAGCGAATTGCTTGCAAAGGTCAATCCACCTGTTCCATTGAGCGGAATCTCGAAGTATATCGCCTTTAAGGGCTGAAATCATCTCCATTGTGGATGCATCCATAATCTCAGATGTATCTACATAGGGTGTAGGGGTATCGGCTCGGAGGAATTAGCAATCGGGTGCTGAAACGGATTCGATGCGTGTATCGTTCGTGTATCGCGAGAAGCGACGACAGCGACGGCGAGGTCCAGGATGGTCCTCAGGTGACTTCTTGCGACATGTCTGACGAATTAAACGTTGCGAATCGAGCACATACTGTAACTGTTGGATAGCTATCCTGGCCTGGCCAATAAGAATGTGCGAAACACTCTGTGTTTTATTATCTGTTGGGGATGTCAGGTGACATCCCACATAGGGATAGTCTCCGATGGATGAGTAGATAGATAGATCTCTCTCGCTCTCTCGCTCTCTCCTTCTCTCCTCCGTCCGCAATAAAATATTCACATCTTCATGTTCGATTGCCCTTGTATGATCTCCATGAGGTTATCAGCCTCTCTCTCTTTTCGATTCCTCTGAATCTCTGCTAGCCTGGACAACTAGCATCACATATCAAAAGAACCATATCAATTTCTTGATCCCACACCCACCGTCATCATGGCTGGACCCTCTGGGGAGGTCCCAATCACTGACACTGTCAACCTCGCCGATGTGGAGGAGAATCAGGCAACCAACTTGCCCGATATCACTAAAGTATCAAAGAGCTCTCTTCTACAGTAATTCCGAGCTAAATTCCAAATTTCAAAAGCATTAAATGGGCACAATAGGGAAACATCAACTAGGGAGAGCAGCCTTTTCAATTGGCCTCAATTCAAACCATATGGTTTAGATATAACATAGATCAAACCCCATTGTCGTCTGCACAGGAAAATACCGAACCAATCTCCCCACTTTTGTGGGCATTGGAAATAGACTGAATAACCCCATATGTTCGTCCAACAGTCATGAACACCCCAAGTAGATGTATCAGCCCATAAAGTACAGATTCAATGGAAGAAATAACTTGCGTCTAGCACATAACGAATATGTTGAGGCGGAAAATTTCAGGTTCGCAGGATGAAGAAACATCTTTCTATTGAATTAGATGTCGTTAACGCCACCTGAAAGACATGATTGGAAACTCAATTCTGGACCGCAATAGGCCTGGGAATTGAATGAATTGACTGGGCCTAGCTTCAACCATCCATCTCAGGTGCCGCCATGGTCCATGCGGAGACAATGGGTGCCGCAGATTTTTTTGTGCTCCACGTTGGTCATGTACTTCTTGATGGCGCCGGCAATGGTGTCATGTTGTGCTGTAGTATCGCAGTTCCGGCCGGTGGAATGGTATGTCCACTTGAGGTTCTGATAGGTGCCACTCATGGAATTGCAGCTTCCTTAATCGGAGAGCTCCTTGATCGTGTTTGCCAGTGACTTGGACATTGCAATCACAAAATCGGTGATTACCGCACAGGCCGCGGTCACGGTAATAATACGCTCGCAGACATTGATGGGAGTTCGCTCCACAAGAGCATTATTGGTGTCCCTTGTACTAAGAGTGGTATTCAAAGCGGCGCTCTCATTCAGAGACATTTGGAGCCACTTGTCTAGCAGCGACAGCTCTTGGGTAGATAATGGCAAGGTAGAGGCCAGCGACAAAGTTGAAAGCCAGCAAAGTGCTGTGATCAGTGCACTCTTCGGAAATAACATTGCGCTGGAGGCCGTTGAAGATAATCAGACCGGACAGGCAACAGAAACGGGCTATGTCGAGTATGCGATCAACTAAACCGGGCATTGCTTGGAGCAAAGTTTTGCAAAACACAGGAGAAAACTGGAAATCTCTGTCGGTTTTATACTTAGGGGTTCGAATGTTTAGACTCGAGGGGGGAGCGTGAATAGATAGAAAGAATAGCGTCCGGTGAGTCTATCAGGATGCTACCCTAAACTTGCTGGATTTTTGTCAAGCTGGGTTGGATAAAAGTACGGAGTAATCTTATGTGCGTCCCATTTAGAGTGGAGCATGTCTCACTTTCGTCCATAGTAGGGTTAAGTCCTCGGAGTACAAGGGTTCATGACCGGGGGCCGGCCCGCTCAATGATCCACGCCAAGGCCTGGCGTGTCCTGATATCGAGTTTGTTTTGGCTGTATATACACGACCTTCCCCATATCCGTCATTATCTGTTGGGGATGTCAGGTGACATCCCACATAGGGATAGTCTCCGATGGATGAGTAGATAGATAGATCTCTCTCGTTCTCTCTCTCTTTCTCCTTCTCTCCTCCGTCCGCAATACAATATTCACATCTTCATATTCTATTGCCCTTGTATGATCTCCATGATTATCACTGATTTTGGCAATATGTAGGGATTTAAACATGACTAAAGAATCACAAACAAATATTGGATACCCTCTGGAAAATCACCTGACATTCACTTGAGTCTCTTGTAATACTTTAAGGATCAGATGGTTTCCATTGGATGCCCAAGGCACCGAGTATATAGTAATCACTAATTACATAGTAATTAATGCCAAGACATCACTTATTAGAAAACCCAGTATTACTTATAGGAAGTAGTGCCTGAGGCATCAGCATGCCTCCGGCCCACTTCCTGCCTCAGGATCTGCTGACATAGCAGAACCTGGAAACCGTAGGGGATCACACTCTACAAAGTACAACACAGGGTTCCTTTTTTACCGGGTGGGTTTATTCGTACCCAGCGCTAAGCCCTATTAGGTCATCATATGAGAGCCAGATGTACCCTGGGTTTTTTTGAATGGTATTCCTGCGTTCCTGCTTCTGAGTAATCCCTATAGTAATGAGGGTTTAGCGCTGGGTACAAATAAACGCACCCTTTTCACCCGGTCAAATTGAATGACCATCCAGATGGACAACAGTGGTAAATGTCCACTTCGGGTTCCTGGATTCAATGACATTCCTGTGAATTATGAGCTAGACGTCAATGAGCGGTTCGCCCATTGGCCTCCCGGCACTCAAGGGATGAGGGTCACGTCCCGCGCCTCACGAAGCCCGAAATCTTGCTCCTTCGTCTCATGGAGCATGTGACCGATAAACCAAAATGGGAACAGGATATACTCGATGAAATCGTGGTCAACGAATGGTATACCGAAGCTGAATCCGACTCAAGACTGGGAAGCGATTTGAGGTTTGAATGGGACATCGACTTCGATATGGACCTAATTTCGGTAATCACCTGGACCTGGTTCATTCAGGAGCTTCATGATAAGGCTCTTCATTACAGTAAGAAATGCTATGTCCTCACGTTAAATGCTGATTCTGGTGTCTGTAAATCAGATCTACTAGTTGCAAGCGACTTACAGCAATCGTTGCAAGAATCGCTTGCTCATTTGTTGAGCCACCCTTGAAAACCGTCTATGAAAGAAAGGAATTCAAGTACCACCCTTGAACTGGTTGATCCGTCACTTTTCATGCTCGCCTGCGGCCAGACTGCTGTTTTGACTCAAGGAGGCCAGGCCCGCATGAGCGAAAAATGCATCTCATTCCCGACGACTGACCTCAACGTCCACATCCCAACCACCCCAGAACTCTATCCTACAACCACAGGCTCATCGCTTTGGTCGGACAAATTTCAGTGGTTGCCATGCGAGGTGAAGTTCTCCGAGGACGAGGGTAAAGAATTGCGGATTACATCCTGCATCAACAACCTACACCCAAAATATACTCAAGCCTACGCGTCAATTGAAACGCTCATCAGCTTGAGCCTAGAGCCCTGGAATGATGTTTTGAAGAAGGGAACAACAAGTCGATACCCACTACGCATTAAAACATTCGGATTCGAAGCTATTGAGCCCGATGAAATATGGGGCCCATGTGAACCCTATGTCTGGAAAAATAAGCTTCCTGGCAGAATCTGCACACAAGAGGCATGGGATGATTATTATGTTAAGGCAAAAGAGTATCTCACATTGCCAAAAATTGACCCGAAATACCGTATCCAGCACCAGGACCCGTGGGGTCCACAGGATGAGCCAGAAGATATACTTGGCTCAATTGCTCCTAGTATGTACGAATCATGGGAATCAGAGGACCTTTGGGAAAAACGAATAGGATGGAAGTGGGAAAGACTACATACATTCAAGTACCCAGAGGCCGGGGCTTCTTACTCTTACGAGGATTGGAAGAGAGGTAAAACAGCCAAGCCGTTCATCGACAGGAGCAAAGACCGCGGTGATTCTCCGCATGCCGATAATGTGTGCCAATCGATCTCGCTACAAGATGATTTCCGTGAGCAGGGACTTCAAATTATTGTTCGCGTATCCACTATCGATCTTACGCCAGAAAACACGTCATATCAAGAAGATGATGATTTCCACGTGGACGGTCTACTAAATGAGCATATCGTCGGTGTGGCGAGATACTACTACGACGTTGAAAATTTCACCGATGCACGTATTTCCTTCCAACAAGAGGACGACCTTAACCCATTTGAGTTCAGACTGGGTGTTGATGCCATGAACAAGATATTTGGACTCCCGCACTTCGAACTAGGGCAGCCTAATCCACGAAAGCTTCAAACGCTTGGCTCGGTGAGAACAAACCAGGGTCGATTCCTCGCCTGGTCCAATAGCCTTCCTTACAAAACCAGGCCATTCACACTAGAAGACAACAGTCGACCTGGTCACCAACGATTCATTTCCCTTTACCTGGTTGACCCTCATTACCGCATCTGCTCCACCCAGAATGTACCCGCTCAGCAGCATGAAGAGTGGTGAGATGCGGTTCTTGGTGAAGCGGCGTTCTCTAAAAGGTTGCCTCAAGATGTTGCAGACACGATACTGGATCAGACGGGAGATTGGCCGATCGGTTCGGCCGGGGCACAGAGATGGAAACAAGACCCGGAAGTGGAGCAACAGCGCGCTAGAGAAGTTCAATCTTCCGAGGTGGACTTCCACAGCTTTTGGCCACCTATTGATCACATGGAGGCACATATTGTAGTTAGCCCTTCAGGGAAGCGGACAATTTTCGCGGGCTGTAAATTCTGTGTCTAGCAAAGGTTCAATTTGTGTTACGAGCCAAGTCTTGATGGAAAAGAGTGCATTCAACTAGAATACTAAACATGGAGAAAGAAGGAAGAAAGAAAGAAACAACACGCTGAAACAACCAAGGTGAAGATAAAGATGCCTGAGGCATCCAATCAAACAATGCAAACTACGTTCCGAAGAAGAGCGGTGAAACACAGCAGAGCCGGTTCAGGATCGTTGATCCTGAATTCTTCGTGACAATTTGGCCATCAGCAGCTTGAGCTCACTATCTCATGGAGATTATATAACGGGCAATAAAATATGAAGAATGAAATACTGAATTGTGGATGGAGGAGAGAAGAGAGAGAAGAGAGATGGAGGAAGCTGTCTGCTATCTACCACCGTGCATGGAGACTATCCCCAAAGGGGAAGAAGGCACTTGACGCCCTAAAATAAACGCTATACTAACGTAGCTTCTCTGATCTATAATTAAATTGTTAGCTGAAGTCGTATATTCTAAGGTTTCGCTTACTCGCTCGAGGTAACAAATAGAACAATTGCAGAAGTGCTTGCACTGCTAGGAATATTAGATGCCTTCTGGGTGCTAGGGGTATCAAAGTAGCCCCAGTTTCATCGTCAGTATAGTCGTCACTAGATTTATAGAAATCAACATCAGGAGATCTCTTCATTGCCTGGTTAACGGGATCCTAAATCTCGTAAACTTAACTGCTATTCATCTGATAGCTAAGGAGGTAGCTTTTCTAGGCACGGAGAGCGGCCTTCCGGGATTGCACTCGCTTATTTTTTAGAAATACATACATAGGCAGTGGATCATTAAGTAGACAATAATATCTATCGATCTTGTTAATGTGACCACCGTAATGTTCGGTGGTGTCGTTTGGTTCTTTGATGTATAGCGGAGTGAGCTTAATTGTGAACCTGAAATTCTTTCCTTATATAATGAAGCATATAAACTCGGTGCTATATTCAATCCAGTGAGTGTTGAAGACAAAGGGGGCGTAACACGAAGGTTGCTTATTTGATCCATTCCTCGATTTTATCAGCGGGTTCGCATGAAGATATTGGCTGGTCTCTTGCGAGAACTGAATTCATCATCGACAAAATACTCAATGTCAACACCTTCGGGCTTGAAACCCATTCGCGAATAAACAGTCCGCCCCATGATGGACGCTTCGGTGATGGCTTCCAAATTTCCACGGCGACGAGCTTCAGCGAGACCCCATTTTACGAGCTCTTTCGCGATGCCTTTCCTCTGATGCATTGGATCAACAGCACACAGGTCCAAAACGAATACCGCTGGTGGGAGTTCCGTGATCTTCTTCTCGATGACCTCCCTGCGGCGCTTCTGCAGAGATGAAATGGCCTGGCAAAGATAACGTTGTTCCGGTTCGTTTCCGGGATATATATCTCCAAGATTCATTGCAGCTTCAAGATCATACAATGGGGGGTCACCATGGCCCTCAACACTGGAAGCCTGGACCCAAATGGCTAAACCAACAATAGATCGTTTACTTGCGCCCCCTGGGCCCAGTAGCGTAGCTTTCAGAAACAAGGTGTTCGGGTTTCCCCTGTAATCAAATGTTGTGTGGCGCCATCGATCAGCCATGCGGGATGCCCCACGCTCCCTTCCTTCTGGGCTATCCCAACCTGGGTTCATGGCTATCCAGATACCATCCTCGGCCTGGCGACCAAATGCTTCGGACACACAATCAAAGGCCTGAATAAAATCGTCCACATCATTTATCAGTTCGATTATTAATTCGCCATCCTCGCTCTGTTTTTGGAGAGACATGGCTTTGTTCTTGATTGCTCTTGGAAATGTGTCAAAGCATCTGACGTGTGTCGATGCATAGTGGGGGAAAGGAAAATGGGGGAGGGATAAATTTGAACACTTGTCCTTTTTTGGAAAAGACTTTGCCAAGAGGCTAGCCACAATACAGCGGCCACAAGACTCTCACCAAGTGGCTAATATACTATAATACATGGGTCTACTTCATAGGGCTCAGTTGTTAGGCATTTCTTAATGTTTTTAGTTTGAGAGTTTGAATTTGACTACATGGCCAGGCGCACATGTCATATTCCCGGCAAACAATAGGTTGACGGCCGATTTCCTGTTTAGTGAGAAGCTTGCAATAAGCAAAATCTCAGCTTGAGCGATGAAGTGCATATTTGATCCCAGATGTCCTGGGGGATCAAGTACTCACTCGAACTATTACAGGGCCAAAATTGCACAAAGTCCATTCATTTGCTCTAGTTGTTCAGTCGGTTCTACTGACTTTTAATGTGACCTGCACATAGACTGAAAGTTGTCATTGGTTCTACTTATTTCAAACCTCACTCTTTGTTCGCTTCGTGCTAATTGCCTTCCGCCCCCTCTGCGTGACACATTTTCTCACAGTAATAAGTCATCTGACGACCTTGTTAGTTTTTACTGCAATCAACGAAAAAAGAGGTACTAACCTCGTCACCACCGATATGCCATCCAGCAGAATTACAGTAGTTGCCGTCCTAATTCAAGTAAGCTATGTCTCTGAACCTTGCACAAAGATCAAGCAAATGACTTACAAAGGTACAATCGGGACATTGGTCCCATTGTTTGTCACCCGTATTGCGCTGTTTATAAAGGTCACAGGCACATTTTGTCTCGTCCGGTAGAATCTCATACTGCTTTGCCCATGAGTTGCTGGGGCTGAAAGGGGTGCCACCGATCGCCGAATATTTTCTATTGGAGACGCAAACTGCAACATTGTGCAGATCAGCCAGGACACTAAGTGAACAGATGATAGCATGTCAGAAACTTTTTTAAATTGTTTTCGCTGAGAGGTGGACAAAGCTACATACCTTCCAGCCAAAGCGACTAGCAAAGAGGCCCGAGTAAGCAACATGATCGAGTGTTCTTTCCAAAAATAATCCTAGGAAACGAAGTCGTGGTATAATGACTGGAACGAAATTCTATAGTCGATGGGAGGGTATTTAAGGCGAAATTCTGTGCAGTTCGGTAGATTTGATGGCTATCAAATTCAGGCAACATGTGATACCAAGACTTGAATCGCTTTTAAATTTACTTTGATAGCGATCCTGTCACTTCTCTTTCTCTTTCAGTGCTTCAATAAGTTTGAGTTTGTCTCATCCTACATTGTCTCAAATTTAACCTTGGCACTAACGGCTTCCTCTTTAGGTGTTGAGCCCCGTAGATCAGGGAAAACCTCGGGGAATACCTGCATAATCGCCATGCCACAGGTTTGGCGAAACCTCGGGGGATGATGCAGGCCCATCGATGAACAATCTACATAAATTCATCTGGGGGCCAAAATCATAATAATGTGTCAGATTCATTTCCGTGTCAACCCTGATGGGGCATCCGATCTGCAGATAAGAACGCTCACTAGCGCATTCCTGGGAGATGCATCTATTTAACTTTAGCCAAGATGAAGATCATTGCGCCCTCTGCATTTGGTCTTGATTTTATTGGGTATAAACTCAGGGGCCTACAATGCAATTGGCATCTGTTAGGCCATATGACATAGGACAGTGATTTTTGAAGAGATTCCAGTTTCAAGTTCCGGCTCTATTTATTATTTTTTTTCCTGCGTTTTGCTCCAGACGCCGACGGATGAATAGTCAACTGCGGGATTTTGCCAAGTTCCTTGTATTGAAATCCGAAGGCATGAACATCCTGCCTACAAACAGCAGTCTGTCTCATTTAAGTGATCCACAGCCGTGACTAAGAGTTAACTGAAGATAAACAATCTTTGCAGGTTGCCGGATTCATACCGTACCTTGGTTCCATTTAGGGGGATCTATTTAAACACGCAGAAGTTCCATAAGACTGATATTGTTGCAAAGTATTCGCTTCGTTCATCGCCTAAAATCGACTCTTTTCTTCCAACAATGCTTGTCAACCAAATTTTATACATAGCTTTGGTCACTGCTGCAACTGCTGCCCCAGTCATTGACCAAAGCCTCAATAGCACCCAGTGGACTCCAGACCATGTGCTCCAACCCGGAGAAGTCATTATTTTTGGAAATGGCCGTAGTAAGTGTTCTAGGCAGAGGGCAGACTCTGGAAACAAAGCTAAACAAGCTCTTTAGTGGAGGTTGTTCATGAGGACATCTATCATGGCCTGCTATCTTTGCAGGAGCTCCCCCTCCACGCATCCGAAATCGACAATGCTTCTCCGGACTACCACCCTGCCAAACACAACACTTCTGGAATTTATCACCGTGATTCATGCGACTTGACTACTGCATTAATTACTGATAAAACTCAAACCTTCGTTGACTGGGATGTCCAAATGTCTCCCGTTGTGATCGGCACTGGAAATGGCATTGATGTGTCTGTCAGCTCCGGATACAGCGTGAGCAATGGTATAACCGTCAGTGCTGGTCTGGACTTGAGTCTCATCAAGGAAAAGTTGGGTGCTTCTGCGGGTATTGACTACTCCCGCACATGGACCACACAGACTGTTGTGACTGTAAAGGCAACAGTTCCAAATGGTTACTCTGGCGTTATGATAACGAAGCCCATCAAGACGCGCAAAACTGGTCGGGTTTTGAAAGGCTGCCTCGGCTCACAAACACAAGCGGGTACATTTTCTGCTGATTCATACGAAGATGGGTCATATTCGGGAGTCAAATGGGTCTCCGGTGCAATCACTTTGTGCTCGAAGAAAGAGTTTCCTCTCTCTCGTTGTTCAGGGAGTGGAAACTTTATTTGAAGGCACAATGACTGGAAAAGACTCTCGATGATTCATTTTCTGTTGTTGAAATCAAGCGAGAAGCCATCACTAATCTTGGCATTTTGGCTAAATAAGAAGCGACGTTGGGTTCTGGATTTGTTGTCTATGTGCCAAGTTGAAACATGTCCTTCATGGAACATTTGTATTTTGAGAGGTTGCAATAAATTTTTGTACAAGACTAAAACGATAGTCGATGCACATCAGTTTGTAAAGCTCCCATCTAATGCCAAGTAGAAGGTGAAGAAGAAGGGGTAATGAGTTTTTGATAGAAACAAAAATAAGGGACCAAAAAGACGCAGGGTTCAACGAATGATATCAGGTAGTGCATTTTGTGGCGTTCTCAACAAACTTGGTAATTATGCTAGTCGCGGTAGATGTAGTTGCCACCGACCTTTTCTTGGTTGTTGTCTCTTGAGATGCAACTGTCACAGACTTTAAACAGTTCCTAACGACGAGGTCCTATAGCTATAGAAGCCATCAAAACCTATTAGACTAATGTTAAGCTTATATCCTTTGTCTAAAGGTCACCCGTCGTTTGGGCTGAACGCGTAAGGGAATCGAAGAACCATGTCCAAGGAGCAAGGAAATGGTTCTAAACCGCGAAAAGGCCATAAAGAGAATATGTTTGCGTGAAACTCGCCTGCCACTAATAAAAGGCCGGTATACTAAGCGTTATAGCTGTTTCAGGAAGGCGGTAGTGGAAGGGGTTTCAAATTGGAATGCCTCTCTTGAACCTTTTGCGGGCCTATAACAAGGCTCACGGAAGGTGGGGCCGTCTGTGATAGAAGTCTTGGAACAGCTTCCGTCTTGTGTATATCACTGACATAAGCAGATCCTCTCAAGAGGAATTTAGTCCTGAATACACCCTCTAATATTGAAAGAGAGGCTGAATCTAGTCCCCAATAAGGGATTCAACTTTGATTGATCCGACCGGAAAAACCTTAGGGGGTCTAGAAAAATATTTATATAATTTGTAGACCCCCTCTGCCTCTGACTTGGCAGGGACCACAGATTACATAAGCTTTTTTCTGTGGACCCTCTGAAGTTTTCTGTCGGTATGCTCACTCGCCCTGGCCAATAAGAATGTATGAATGCTCTGTCTTTTATTACCCCTGGTTCTGGCAATTTATAGGGGGATCTAACATGACTAAGTAATTACAAATAATAGTGGATCCTTGCTGGCAATTCACCGACATTTTCTGTGGTCCCGTTCTGTGGTCCCGCTCAGCTGGAACCCGATTAGACAGTTTACTTGAACACACTCAATGTATGTCACAGAACCTACTATTGGTCCTTTCGCATACCAGCGCGTACAGTATTCTCTGGGAATCGACAGGGGGCTCTAATTACATAAGGCATACGGAGCAATATATCCTCCGGTTTTATACAGCATGGTATCGATAGGTTTGACACGATGCTTTCGCCCGCGGGTGCTAAGCCGTACTGGACCACACCGGTTTTATTCGTGCTGAGCCTTGATTGGAATACATAAGATCACTGATAAATTTATTCTCCATCGGATCTTGGGAAAGAACTACCCAATGACTATGACCCAATATATCTCCACTAATAATGGTTTTTGTGACAGGATGATGGCGTGATAATCCGTCGATATGGCTCATGACTGACCAAGAACACGGTCTCTACTTAAGTAACGGATCCCTCTTCTAAGGATCTAATTCGATTATATATCACTACCCCCGACAGAATGATCGCTCCAACATCTTCATTGACAGAGAATGTCCCGACCAAATTCGACGAAAGAAACCCCCACGTTCAGTCTATAGTAGGCGATGGAGCACTGCAGCTGCTGGCCGAAGCCGGTTCGCTCAGAGTTCTTGATCCCAAGACATCTAGACGACTTTTGCGCAAAATAGATTTGTATATCATGCCACTGATCTGCATCGTGTACTTCCTCCAGTATCTGGATAAGATCGCCATCAGCTATGCCAGCGTCACCGGGATGCGCGAGTCAGCAAAACTCTATGGGAACCAATTCAACTGGGTGTCGAGTGTGTTCTTTTTCGGCCAGCTCGCGTTCTCCTTCCCCACAATGCGCCTGGTGCAAGCATTCCCCCTGGCAAGATATGTGGCTGTCAACGTTACCATCTGGGGCACCATCCTGGCCTGTATGTCCGCGTGTCATTCCTTTGCCACTCTGATGGTCTGCCGCACGCTTCTGGGCGCCGCAGAAGCCGCTATCGTGCCTGCCTGGGTGGTCTTCACCTCGCAGTGGTACCGGAAGGAGGAACAGGCTTTCCGCGTCGGTCTGTGGTTCTCCATGTGTGGATGGGCGCAGATGTTCGGCGGCTACGTCGCATACGGTGTAGCAATTCATATTGGTGGGGATCCTAGTGCGTCCCTGCGAGGTTGGCAGGTCATTTTTCTGATCCTGGGCCTGCTGACCGTGGTGATCGGCATTCTCTTCTTCTTCATCCTGCCCGATTCCCCTGTTACTGCGGGATTCTTGTCCCCAGAAGAAAAGGCAATGCACGCGGAGCGTCTTCGAGGCAACGGGCAGGGCATTGGAAGCAATGTTTTCAAAAAAGCTCAATTTTTTGAAGCCATTACCGACCCGCACACTTGGCTCTACTCTTTCTGGGTCCTGGCGGCAAATGTACCAAACTCCATTGCCACGAGTTTTGGAAATACCATGGTAACGGGGATGGGCTACTCGCCAACTCAAAGTCTCTTACTTGTGACCCCGTTGGGGGCTTACGAGGTGGTGGTCTTGGTTGGCTTGACCTATCTGGCAATGAAGACACAGCAGCGACTATTCTGGTGCATCATGGGCCATATCCCAGGAATCGTAGGGGCGATTCTTATGGCGACAACTGACAAGGCGCCGGCTCTTGTGGGATACTACCTCTCTGGGGGCATTCCGATCGGATGGACGACAATCCTTGGGCTCACCAGTACCAATGTAGCTGGATCAACTAAGAAGATCACCGTGTCGTGCATCCAGACGATCGCCTACACTGTCGGCAACATCATCTCGCCCCAGACATTCCAAGCCAAAGACGCCCCACAGTATTTGCCGGCCAAAATCTCTATTGTCATTTTGTACTTCCTCATTACAGCAGATCTATGCCTTATCCGGTGGGTATCAATCCGGGAGAATCGCCGGCGTGATCAGGAGAAGGAGGCATTGGGTGAGGCGAGCGTCCTACCAGAGAACCACGAGTTTTTAGACCTAACAGACCGGGAGAATCCGAACTTTCGTTATGCTATATGAAGATAGTTTGTGCGCTCGCGATGCGGACGAGGTACAGAGATGATGAATGAATATAGTCAATGGATGGAAGCAAATTTACAACATATCTGGGACGCAGACCCTATGCCCAGGGTTCTTTGACTATGGCATATTTCCAAGAATCAAATCAAGATAATATCCAAGACGTACTTGTGAAAAACTTCGCTAACTCAAACTCGGCCACGGAAGTTTTGACAAGCTGTGTGGAGAATTACACTCGCTTAGAGATGTAAGAGGCCGGTCCGTCATTTTGAGATTGGCCCAAATAAAACACCGTCGGCTCGGGGAGTAGAGAAAGAGCAATTCTCCCACCCACTGAGCTTGACATTTGTCGAGACTAGTCATGGACAATGCATCTTTCCATCGATCTGATCGTATCGAGGAGTTGTGTACTGAAGCAGGAGTAAAGCTAGTATATCTGCCACCTTACTCACCTGACTTGAATCCTATCGAGGAGTTCTTCTCGGAATTGAAAGCCTTCATTAGACGGAACTGGGTGCGTTATGAAGAAGACCCAGACCAAGGGTTCCACACTTTCCTCGAGTGGTGTATTGAGGTTGTGGGATCTCGAAAGCAGAGTGCTTTAGGTCATTTTCGACATGCTGGCGTGGTCATTGGGACTTAATAGTCAATAGGGTTGGAGGAGTTATGGCCTTGACCTTATGGTGACACACTATATATACGCCAACAGATACCAAAATTGCTCAATTCTCTGCTAGCTGTATTTATTATATTACGACACCGGTGGTTAAGTCATTCACTAAAGGGGTTGCGTCAAACGTAAATGATTAAAGAGTCAATCAGAAGTCTATACTAACGCCTTCCTACATCTCCCACAAGTTCAGGCTACGGCCTGCGTAGCTTGATCGACCGACGAGACATTCCTCCCACACTTAGCCCATTAGCCAATATCTCTCACAAATTGGCGTGCGATACCTACCATAATTCCTTTGTCGATGAAGAATGACGGATCTAGGTCCTCATAGATCAGCTTAAGATCTAGACCATTGGCTAACGCCACATTGCATATTTGCCGGAATTGAGCTTTCAAGTTGTAGTCCTTAACATTCGCTTCATGCCATGCGCTATAATCTCTGACAGCTTCATCTCGTAATCCAGTGATATTGAGGTCATCTATGACTTGGTCATTTGGCGCCAGAAGCATTGCTGAAGCTGCGGCTGTGTTGGACGTCTCTGATTGCGGAGAAGATTGCATCCCATTGAAGTGAATATTGATAGGATGACAGCTTCCTGGAGTGCCGATCATCTTGTTGTTTTCAGATTGTTGGCTCTCAAATCTGTGCCGCTCTTCCATATATAGCTCTTCACGAAAATTGTCCGGAACGTCCTCGTGAGACTGCAAGGGGGCACCTTTCTCCACAAAGGAGATTAGACGCTTTACATGATGGCTCCTCAGTCCATAGTGTTTTTTGCCATGCGGGTCTTGCCAGCAATGTGGGCCAAGATGGCATGAGGAGGATGGACAACGCATCAAGTTGTAGACACTCCGCCAAACCGATTCTTGCCCAGATGCGTTTTCCTCGGCATCCAATTGAACGTCTCGCTTATTGAGCATTCGTTTGGTGACCGATGACCTTCGTGACCGATGACCTTCCTCTTTTTTCGACCCTACCTGAGGCAGTTTTGGAGAGACGATCGTCCTCAACATGTTTAAAGGTAATACTTAACCTCAGTTTCTTGCCTCGACGGCACAGTTCGCCCCACCTGAGCAGTTGCTTTTCCACGGCAGTCCAATCGATGTCGAGATGATCAAATAGTTTCGTCAGGTCGCGTTGGGAGCGATCATTTACCGACACGACGATCGAGGTGTCGTCTGACTTTACAGGGTGGATCGAAATTAGTTTCACCACTTGCCCACGGAGAAAGTATCTCGAACCCTCTCTTGGAACACGCTACACTTATTACAGTTACTCTTCCCCTGAACCCTTGTCTTGGCAGTAATCCAACACACGTGTAAATGACAGCATAAAAATAGCTTCTGTATTAGACCTGTAATTGTGACTAAGCAACATCGACGGTCGGTCCCCTCCCATGAAGAAGCTGACCAATGAAGTCCTCGAAGACTGCAGCATCCGTGGAGCCCTGGAATACACGAGAGAGCAAGATTCCATCGTCGCAGTATGCAGGCAATATCTGGTAGCTCTGGTCACGATGGAAGTTGGCTACTTGCAATGGTGCCGTGCCTACCGGAGACCTGTCCGTCTGAACCCAATTCAGCACCCAGACTCATCCACGTAGATCAATTGATGCGACTGAAAGTCTGACAGGTTATGCATATATAGAAATCTCGTAAATCCGCATTCTGTTCCTTTGCTCTCTGTCGAGCCACCTTCTTCGACCAACCCACCGAAGCAAAGGCCCGTTTAAGGCTTGAAGTTGTGACCTGAACACGGAACTCGTCCCACAAATTGATTGCCATCTCGTCCACATATAAACCGGGCTTTTCGAGGAGGCGATCGCACAGTGCTTCTATCATCGGAGACGTTACGGTCCGTCGCCGACCGACTCGAGTTGGGGGTGCTCTGACATTTCCGAGCCGGCGGAGGTTGTTGCTGATGTTGATAATCGAACGTTTGCTACATTCAGCAGCTTTAGCCCTTTGTGAAGCAGTCAATGATTTGCTCAATAGCATATTCTGAATCATTTCGAGCTTTGAGACAGGTAGTCTTGGCGCCATGTTGCGAAGTAATCTAGATGGTGATGTAGGAGAGGTTTGACAGGGAGCGGTGGGAGACCGCTGACGGGATGCGAGGAGCGACTTCATATGTTCACCCTTGCTCACCCTTTTGCTCAGTCAGCAGGAGAGATAATGTTGAGTGAAATGTCTTGGGGATGCTAGGTATTAGGGAATGGACCTGACCTAGCGATCTTGCAGTTCCTGGGAGCCTAGCAGCACATCTCAAAGCTGCGGACCTCAGAAAAAGATGGTTAAACGAATTGGCGCTTCATCCCTCGGTCATTTTAATCACCAACTGTGATCCAGTACTTCTTAGAATGTGCACTTTGATTGCTGGGAAACAGTGAACTCTTCAAGCGATGAGGGTCATATATTTTATCCGGAAAAGGCTGGCTGGTTACGGTAATTGGGATCGGGTCGTCCCGTTCCTGGGAACGCCATTACCCGCCCCCACATAGAAGTATAATCGATACAAAACCATTCAGAAAGCGGTGTGGCGAGCAGAAAGGCACACTTGATCTTTCTGGCTGAGCACACTAGAGTCACATGATGACAAGGCAGAGGAAGTTCCCCCTCTTTCAGTTCTTTGGAGTCCCACTGAGATTCTCGTCATGAACCACATTAGAACTTTCTGAAAACAGATACTCCTCAGCGTCTTCTGCTAGAAGAGGGAGTGCTTGTTTGACACATCGCGTACTATCTCGCTCGTCTGAGCATTCTAGTTTGTCGAGCTGTTCTTCATCCATCATGGCTGATAATTCCCAATCTCAGCCAGAGCAATCAGTGTCAGGACAAAACAAAGCTAGTCCCGACACACCACCATACCGAAAACAACTCCAACACGATGCCTATACCATCGGATGGGTGTGCGCCCTTCCAAAAGAACAAACCGCAGCCAGAGCCATGCTAGATGAAGAGCATGAACCTCTCCCAACCCCTCGAAATGATCATAACGCATATACTCTTGGCTCAATACGTGGCCACAACGTCGTCATAGCCTGCCTTCCTATACCCGTTTCACCATGAATAGCCAATAAGTTCCTTCTAGAATCGTCCTTAATAGGCAGAAGTAATGAAATGCCGGTCTCTCAAATCAAGACTATAGTACCCGAGTAGTGCAACAGAGAGTATTGGTATTGAAGCCGTAGATCAATATATTGATACGCGTAGGGCAGCCTGTACCCAACCACCTAAGAGAGAGTGGGCACGATCTAGCACCCTAGAATTCGTAGATACTGTTTGTGTTTACTTCAGCTGGCAAGATCTGAGGGTCCGCAGTTTTCAGATGGATCTTCCAGAGATACTCAAGCTCCAGGAGCTATGAGACTGCGAGGTCACATGCGTTTCCCAATACCCCAGGATTCCCCCGAACTTCAGTCAAAAATCATTTCATCCGCTCACTGAGCAGGAGGATGAGCAGGGTGAGCATGGAGGAAAGAATTTGCTCTTTGTGCCCCGAAACAGTAACGCCCATCGGTCAACCATTGAAGAAGGCCCGCAGTTTTCAGATCTGTCGCCATGACAACCACGTTACCAAGAACTACGATAGTGTTAGGTCACGTGCATTTCCCATTACTCCTGCGTCCCCAGACCTTCAGTCAAACCTATTTCGTCCGCTCACTGAGCAGGAGGGTGAGCAGGGGTGAGCATGGAGAAATGAATTACCCCGTGTTGGACCAACAATGCCGCATCAGGAGGTTTCCACCACCGAGATCCTGAACGTTCCAACATCATTACGCAATATGGCGCCGAGGCTCCCTCCTTCGAAGCTCGATATGATCTGTCACGAAGAATTCAGGATCAATGATCCAGAACCGGTTCTGCCGTGTTCCACCGCCTTCCGTAGTTCGTGTTTTACATTGTTTGATTGGATGCCTCAGGCATCACTACCTTAATTGTTTCAGCGTGTTGTTTCTTTCTTTCCTTCCCCATGTTTAGTATTCTAGTTGAATGCACTCTTTTCATCAAGACTTGGCTCGTAACATGCCATTCCTTTTGGAATCCGAGCTGCGAAACCGGGGAGGAAAGTATAAGAGCGCCGATAGTTTATTCGGTGTGAAGGTGGTTGTTAGCGGTAAAGGTGGAAAGTTGATCACAGGCCAAAACCCACCGAGCGGAGCTGTAGTTGGCGAGACCTTGCTCCAGGCTCTTTTGTAAATATCTGGCAGGTAATATTGTTTGTTAGTTCTAACCAACTCGAAACATAGTCAAGTTGTACGAAAAATCAGGAATAGTAACACGTGCAGAATTGAAGCCCACAAATTCATGTGTTCCACGGTTATCTACAGGTTCGGTATCGAATCGGGTGACTATTAACACCCTAGCCCCACACCACTTTAATTATATGATATTCTGCTAGTCAAGAGATTTCCAATATGGTTGTACATCAATTTCGATACTGTGGCAATGTGGGCCAAGTGTGGAGGACCAAATCATGCAGATGACCAATGCGAGTCTACACGTAAGCAGACTAATCAAGGTTTGGACGGTCCACAGGTCTGTTTAACCAATGAACATCAAGGGGTAAGCAGACTAATCCACGGATACCCAAGAAAGGGTAATATAAGGGAGACCTAAGGCGCTACGAGGATGTCCATTAGCTGATTGTGGTTATCTGTGGGAGAATATTCTAAGGATAGGCATTAAAATTCGGGAACTAGACAATTGATACCTACGGACCCCTCCAAGGTTACCTTTTTCATTACTAATCGCGTTGCTTTCGGCCTTTCGGTTCCAACGGTGCTAATCTCCTCTCATTCTAGTCATATAGAAACCCCAATGTCATCAATCGCCCCAGTCTCAAACGCCCAAAAGAGCTCTTATTCTCCCGATGACGATTTGACGGGGGTTACTAGCGCGGCTTTACGGCGGAGAATACAGAACCGTCTAAATCAAAGAGCCTACCGTGAGAAATTCGCCTATTCATAACATAATCGATATCGATCGTACCTAGCTAACACGGTCCTTTCTTTTAAATCCAGGCGCACGTCTCGAGGCGCGCGCTCAAAGGGAAAAGCGAACAAATGAAGCACCGCAAGTCCCTAAAACTGGAGATGCTGCTACCCTCGCACTACTAAAGAGCGGAGCCAAATCACGGCTAAATCCAATTATATGCACACTATGTGAGGCACAACACTCACAGTGTACATTTGCCCCTCCGAATATACATGCTCTCATGGATGAGTTCGAAAAAAGAGCCCTGAATAGTTATTTGGAAGGCTCGCCAAAGACGGATCTTTTAATCAGCCTAAGCAGACTAAATGTCCTTCGGGCAGCATACGATAATGTCATGGCTATGGGGATGACGGCGGAGTGGCTTTGTCAAGATGAACCCATTTCAATATTCAGTATACAGGGTCCTCAGCTTTCTGAGGATAGTATCCCATCCACTTTACGTCCCACAGACCTACAACGATCAACCCCACATCATCCATGGCTTGATATTTTCCCATTTCCTCAGTTTCGTGACAACCTCATCCGAGCCGGAGATAACCTTGATGATGATGAATTATGCCATGACCTTACGGCCTTTTGGGACACTCGCACTAGTAATGCTAGGTTACTCGTCTGGGGAGTACCGTCTTGTCCGGAGAATTGGGAGGTCACAGCGGAATTTGCTATGAAGTGGGGTTCCTTTCTGCGAGGTTCTCCTGATATTCTCATTTCAACAAATAAATGGAGGTTAAAAAGAGGTGAGAAGCCACTAGTTTGGAAGAGAATATTTGGTATATACTGAAGGTGTCCTCTTATACACTCTATATGGGAAGCACTCAAGTTATACCCAAGTGATACAGAGGGCAAGGAATATGAAGGAGAACTGTATATATGGCTACCAATCAAGTCCGATCATAGCAAGTTTCAAAGAGAAAAATTAACACACAGCAATAGATATACTAGCACGCTGGCTTGTGTGGGACTTTGGTTTGCACTAGAATTCAATAAATAGCCGAAGCTTAGTAATATATCATCTTTGTGCTTAATCCCCTGCTATAATGATCTTTTAGTTGCTTATCTCGGGGTTGTTTTCGGGGTGTTGATTGTAGGGGCATTAAAGGACTTTACATCGTCTTGGGCGATAGTTCATATAATATTGATTTGCCTCTTTCCCAACATCCCTTTATTCTTAAGCTGAATTTTATAACGTATGGTTCTATATTAATCTTCCAATTGGCGGCGTGATTATTCTTATGTTCGGTTAGCTTTCGGTGGGCGACCAGTAGCTCGCAATCCCCGCATGTGATTGGTGACTGGCATCTCCATAACATATCTTTTCCAAAAGGAAGACAGAAGGTCCGTTGGAAACTTTGTACGGAGTATATCGAAGCCAAGGGGCGATGAACCACTTCTGATTAGCCCTAGTCATAATTCACGGGCACCTCACTGACCATCATCTTGAAGAATAGTTCTACGCTTTTAAGCAGAGAAAGGTCCGCTATTTCGCCTATAGTAGAAGCGCGGGGGTTGCTCCGCGAGAAACTAGACAGAATCATCTGAACAATGAGATATCGATGACTCTCTTATATTAATGCTATTATTGAAATTGTCATACACTAATAACTAATCCGCCCATTCGAAGCTACTAGAGATCTAGCGGTACAGCAAATGTATGGTATGGCTCAATGATATTTATGAGTCTAATTAATATGATAAAACCCGCTATTTTAACAATCTGTACGGATATTGATAATCCACTGTATTATACACTCTTGTAAAGTATGCCTGGTACCAGTTGGCATATAATTCTCTGGGTATAACACCCTGTCTTTACCATTTATTCAGCTTAGAATTCGACACAACCTGTTATACTACCGGCTACGTCACCTGAAACGTTGACTGGCCGGTGCTTTCACGCTGTGGCCTCTGTTCATCTCTTCGAATTCCCCACTTGAGCTGAGCTGACAGCAGGCGGAAGTCCGATTGAGTCCGATTGAAACAGATAGTATAGTGTAGTTCCGAAAATACTCCGCCCGAGTGCCACCACCAATGTGCCGTTAAAGAGTAGATCTACATTGCATTATTAATCAGAGAAAACAATTCCAAATGATACCATTTAGTCTAACGCCTTGTCCTTTTGCCATATCAATTATCTATATAGTCTGATACACGTCTTCCTCAAGTCCATCTTTGACTCTTCTTGTTAGTTACTTCCCTTTTTAATTGTGAGAGTATGTTCGTCTCCTTTGGGCTGTTGGTAGAAGTCTGACACTATTGTTGTACCTGAAACTATATCAGTTTAATGTGGAGAGATACGCGCGGAATAAACCAAGGGGGGTGGGGGGTTTGAATCCGTTGTATACTATAATTGAGACATGAGGAAGATGATCCTTTCTAATTTTCACACGGGAGGAGGGTACAGCAACTCTATCATACGGTCCTGTTGTCTTAGATGTTATATTATGCATGGTTTCTGTAGATTGGATCACCATTATAAAAGGAAGCTGTTAGTCTCGAAGTTTCTAGAGCATCACAAATCTATCAACTAAATTGACTAGCAAATAATTCATTCTTCTTTGACTTGGTGAAAGATGCAGCTTCTCTCTCTTTTTGGCTCTTTGGCTCTTATGGCCGCGGTAGTTTCCGCGGCCGATCGAGGCAGCTATACCAAAGCTGGGATCGGGGCTCGCAAGAAGGCGATCTTGGATGCTGGTGGTAACACTCGTGATATGGCCATTGCCATGCTGGAGACGTGAGTCTACTTGTTTGGTATCCGTTCCTAATAGCCTAGCTTACAACTACTAGCGACACCATGACCACGGACTACACTTATGGTATGTCTAAGATTTGGCCAGCGAAACTAGAAGTGGTGCTAACATCCGTACTTATAGGTGATGGAAAAACAGGCGATGGCACAAATTTTGGCTTGTTCAAGCAGAACTGGTATATGCTGAGAAATTCTGCATCTGAATTCCTGGGTCAGAGCGCAGCCCAGGTCTCTAATGGTGCTGTTCTCAAGTAAGTTTTGGTAAAGGCGATAGGCCGAGGTACATCAAGCTAATACTTGAGTGCTAGTTGGGACCTGAAAAAGG